AAATTTTGACTATACAACTAGAGATTGATTCACAAAAAAACAACAGAATATTTTCACTGGATTTATAGATTAAATTTAACAAAACGAAATTAAAATTTACTAAAAATGACAACAATTCTGTTTTTATTGTATACTGAGTAGTAAACCATTCACCTTTGATCATATTAAGTAGTCAATGAACATTTCATTGTAAAGACAAAACCATAAGTTGTACCAAAATTTCATTCATTATCTTGGCTTTTATATTGGTTTTTGTATCTTGTCTGTTGTCTACAAAATTTGTTTTAAATTTAAACATTTTTATGATAGTATCTCTAACAAGAATTATACTGCAGAAAAAAACCAACAAATAAAATATATTATATGAAAGATTGTAAAGTAAAAATTATGAGCTCATCCTTTAAAACTTGTAACGTACATGTTTCACTTTAGATTGTATCTTGTTGTCAATAAAATATTCTGACAAACTTTGAAGTTTAAGGCAGTTACTATTTTTAAAGTATCCTTGATTTTGCTACCAAATATTTTCTATTGCTTATAAAAATGTTTCAGAATTTAAACTATTTTTATATGATTATTTAAGAAATATTACATTTAACATTTAAATTTACATTTGATCATATGAAATTTACAAACGAGTATTAATTAATTTAGCTCATGATATTTTAATGAAATTTTGAAGTGGGGTATTATAAAAAAATTAATTAAATTTTTATCAAATTAATTTATTATTATAAATACAAAACAAAATAATTTTAAAAATTTATATTTAGTTTTAGCAAATTTATTTACAATAATTAATTTACATTTGAATTTTGATATCATTTCATTGATGTTTTCATTTTTTTTTTTTTCTAAGATCAACATAATATTAAATATATACTATATACACTACTACTATATAAATAATATAAGCACATGATGACACAAGCTAATTTGAATAATACTGGGAAATTTATTTATAAAAACCTCAAAGATTTTGAATAAGTTAAATTAATTTATCAGCATGGTAGCATAAACCGGTAATATTATAACATCATTAATTGGATTCTTTTTTAATTGATCAAATGAATGTTGATAAATTTAATTGGTTTCTATACTCTTTGAAATTTAAGGTTTGATATGAAATTTTTGAATTTTAAAATAGAGTGATGTTATATTATAAGTAGAGAAAAAATTAATTTGCATGTTCAATGTGGGTTTGCTAGTAGCAGCATAGTTTTATTTGATTTTTTAAAAAGATGAATTAAGTTTCATTAATGTTGACAACAAGCTGTCTTTTAATACAAGTCCAAAACTCATTTAAACGTATTCTTTCAGAATTTATCAATTAAGAGAAAAAATTGATAAATTTAGCTTGTTTGTGTTTGACTCAAAATAAAATTACATTGATTTTGATTCATTGAGTTTAATTCAAGATTTTTACTTATTTTAGATATGCCAATTTCTTGAATCAATTATTCTGATAGCAAAATATCGTTGTCTCATGGTAATTTATGACTGAAGTTCAATTTATGTAATTTGTATCATGTATTTTTACAAATGTAGATTTTGCAACTCTAAATCCTTAAAAATCTATTAGTTCACTAATTACTTGTAAGTAAAGATGCAGTTTTATTCTAACTCATCAATGTGTTTGCTACATCTAAAAGCTATCGTCATTTTAGCTCCTTAAAATCACCTCTATTAAAATAGTTATTTTTTTAAAATTTAAATATGTTTATTCAACATTATCTTGTTGATTCTTCAATTACAAAACAGAAAAAAAGTATGTTATAGTTCTATTAGGTTATAATTTATATTATAAGTTGAAAAAGATTTATTTTCATTATTAATGTCAACATAATGATCAATGAGTTAGATATCAATTAATCGTTAAGTATAAAAGTTCAGGAATTAAATAAACGTGAAATAATACTCAATTGATCAAAGTAAGGGATCAAGTCTCGATATGTGTTCTCTTTGAAGGTCACAAGCGGAGATTGTATTTTGATAATTTTAGTTAGTTTAGTTTATGTTTAGAATTTAAATTTACAGTTTCGATACTTCAAAATTATTTGTTTAATGATGCAATTATTTGAAAGATTATAAAGTGGTAGAATTATCCACTAAAGTTCAATTTGTTTTATCAGGGATGAAATTGATAAGGTATTTTATATTGTTGCAGTTCATTATATTATTGTAAGAATTTAACTAAACCTTCTAGGCAATCAATTCTATCACTCAAAACTACAACAAAAAAAAGGTCTCTATTGATGTTTAGAACAAGTTACAATAATCGTAAGACAAGAAAATTTACCAAACCTTAATGTTTGATTGTATAACCAATGAATATTTTAAAATAAAGGTAAATCCATGATTACATACTGAAATTTCATTCATTATCTTGTCTTTAATTGATATCTGAAATAAGTTATTCTGCAGAAATTATTAACAAGTTAAAATATCATATGAAAGATTATTGAACCATGTTTTTATACATGTAATTTGCAATGCGCACTTTATATTGCCTTCTTAAAACAAATAAATGTATCTTGACAAACTTTGGTGTTTAAGGGGGATTACTATTTTTAAAAATATTTAATTTCGTTACCTCTAATTTAGCTACCAATTAATTTCTATTGTTAAAAAAGATGTTTCAGATTTTGAACTTTTTGTTCATATTATTTAAGAAATATTACATTTTATATTTAACATTTTATATTTAATGCATATGAAATTTACAAATGTTTTTAGTTTAAAAAAAATTTATCTCATGAAAATTTAATTAAAATAATAAAGTGTGGGGTATTACAAACATTTAATTGTATCAAATTTATTTATTATAAATATAATACAAAATAATCTTAAAAAATTATATTTAGTTTAGTCAACTTATAAACAATAATTAACTTATTACTTTTTAATTTTAATTTTATTATCATCAAACTTTATGTTTATACGAAAGCAACGGATTTTTCTGCCAGAATGGATGAGTCGGTAAAAATATAACATCATTGAATGGGTTCTTTTTTAATTGATCAAATGAATGTTGATAAATTAGATTGGTTTCTATACTATTTGAAATTCAAAGGATCGATATGTAATTTTTGAGTTTGGAAATATCAATGATGTATATTGTAAGTAAAAACAATAAAATTTGAAATTGAATACTAACTGTTCGCAATGATTGAAGTATGGTGATATTGTTGTGTATTTTTAATCCTGTATGATATTGAAATCACCGAGAAACCATTATTCCATTTAATAAAATTTCAAAACTCATTTCAATGTATTCTTTCAAAATTTATCAAATTAAGAGAAAAATTGTTAAATTTAGTTTGTTTATGTTTGAATTAAAATAAAAATACATTGATTTTGATTCATTGAGTTTAATTTTTAGAATCCCTTTTTCATTTTCTTCTGTATAAGAAGGTAACACAAGTTCATTGATAGCAAAACGTATCGTTGGCTCATGGGAAAGTATGACTTAAATATTTTTAATGTATGTAATTTGTATCATGTATTTTTACAAATGTAGATTTTGCAACTCTAAATCCTTGAACATTTAATAGCTAACTGAGCAATTTTCACTATAAAGACATTCTAATTTAGACTCATCAAAGTGTTTGTTACATGTAAAAGTCTGTTATTATTAGCTCCTTGAAATCACTTTTCATAAATAGTTTATTTCAAATATTTTCACATTACTTAATAATATATATATAAATTTACATAATTTGACCTAATAAATTTTTCTTTTACAAAACAAAACTAAAAAATGTGTGTTGAATTAATTAGATTAAACCTTAATATTATAAAGATTGGTTTTATTATAAAATTTTAACATAATAATCAATAACTTAAAGTCAATTGATTAAATTGTAATCTGAAATTCAATGGGAATGTAAAATTAATTTTGTTGCGATTTTATAACGTTTTTAGCTAATTTACTTTAATCGTTAAAAAATTATGATATTTTTATTGTTAATACTTTTTGTATGGTAAATTTATCTTTTAGGCATTGAAGAAGATTCTGTTTAAACATATTAAATATTTTAATTGATATATTTTTCTTTGATACTTAAAGGTTCATATCATCGTTTTAATCATTTTGAATTTTGAGATCAAAAGTTGTTTTTAAAGATAATTACATTACATTTCATTTCCTAGATGACTGAAAAAGTATTTCTTTGCTCTATCAATCATACTCACAACTTGAAGTTGAATTTAAACAAATATATAAATTTAGGAATTTAATGAACTTAAAATTATACTCAAATAATCAATTTAAAGGCACATGTTTCGAATTTATTTTTTATTTGTAAATGAAACAAATAAAGACAAATACTTTTAATATTGTTTAATTTACATTAGTTATAGAATTTAAATACAAAATGTTTGAAAAAATTCATTGTTTTCTGTTTGATGTTGCAATTAATGATTCACTAATTCACAACGTGATGGTAACATTTGCCAATGTTTGAAGGAGATAATGAGAGTGGAATCAATCTGATTAGCATATATGTAATTTTGTACTCCTGTTCTTCTTTAAATCTATAAACTGTTATAATTTGATAATTTGAACATTATTGTCTTTAATCAGATAAATAAAGATGTTTTTATTCGATTTCTTATCAAACAAAATTTTAAGGGGTAAAAATTACACAAAATCAGAAAAAATAAAATTATTTCAACATGAAACAATCTTTAACATTCAACCAAAAATATTTATATAATTAATTCAATTTTCGTCTAACTTTTTTTTTTTTTTAAAAAAAAAAACATGATCATTTTTTCAACTATACAACTAAGTTGATAATCAACAAAGAGTCATTCAAAATTTCAATACCCAAAAAGTCATGTCGAAAATTGTAACAACAAAAACAATAACACCATCAGATTCAAATGATAACAATTATAAAAAAATAATTACATTCATAAATGATAAGCAACAGAACACGTCTATTCCATTTCCAATAACTTCTTCAACTAATTTAAAAATTCAAAATCCCCAGTTCATGACCACAAATATTGATTCAAATATAGATCCAAATTTAATTAATTCATCATATCCAAATCAAAATTCATTATCCTACTCAAATCAAATTTCATCAACTCCAATAAAGTTATTATCATCATCACCTCTGAAAAATTCATCATCAATTTCATTAACACAATATAATTCATCAAATTCAACATCAACTACTCCACCTTTATTAATTTCAACTCCAATTTCTTCAATCACTACTGAATATAATGATTTACAGTTATTGGGATTTAAAATAACTCAAATGCTTGTAACAATGGGTTTAGTATCTGATAAATCTGAAGGTTTAGAGGATACAGAATTAGATTCGGAATCAGAGTTAGAGTCAGAGTCAGAACTAGAATCAAATTCAAAGAGTTTTTCACAAATTTTAAATAATAAACAGAATTCACTAAAAATTACTATAAACTTAGATATATCAAAATCAAATATAACTTATTCCGTAAATTTAAATTTCAAATACGTATATAAACACAACAAATCATCAGAATTACCAATAAATCTATATATTACAAAATCAGAAATCATAAAATATTTGATGGAAAAAATTTTAAATCAATCTACAACTACTTCACAAAATTTTTACTCAATTGAATCAAAAATTAAAAAATTATTAATTTTAAAAAATATTAAATGTTTTATTAACGGATTTGAATTAGAATTATAATTATTTTTACAAACTTTTTTTTAAAAAATTAAACGGTACTTTTGAAATTAAAACTGTAAAATGTATTTAATTTGTCTCTAGTTTCTAGAATAATGACCAAAACTGGGTGGTACATCACCACTCTCCCAAATAACTTGTTTCGAACCCATTTCAAACTCCAATGAACCACCATTAGCAAATAACTTAGAATGATCAACCCAATTCTTATCCCATTTTTTACCATTAACTTTCAATGATTGAATATATATATTATCACCACTTAAATTATTAGCACTAACAACAAAAGTAGATCCATTATCTAACGTAAGTTTCAAATTTGTTACTGATGGTGATGTTATAAGATAAGTTGTAGTACCAGCTATAGGATATATTCCAATCATACTGAAAATCACCCAAGCTTGCATAGCTCCACCATCTGAATTACCAGGTAATCCATCAACACCACTCCCGAAATTTTGAGTTAAAATATAATTCACCAATTCCGAAGTTTTATATTGTTGATTTACAAAATTAAATAAAAAGGGAGTTAAAAAACTAGGTTCATTACCAACATCAGCAATTTTAGATCCATGTAATGGATATAAATCAGATATTCTTTGTACAAAACTATCATTAGATCCCACTAACAGAACAAGTGTTTGTATATCATGAGGTATTGCAAATCCATACTCTATTGGTTTCCCTTCATATTCATCATCACCCCAATAACAACCACCACATGATAATGGATCATAATTTTTAAAATTAAATGACCCATCGGAATTTTTAGGTTGAATGAATCCTTTATAATCATAACCTTTAGCAGTAGCTTCAGGATTCCATAAATTTTGCCAATTAGATGATCTCTTCAAGTATTTATTATAATCATCGTTTTTACCTAATCCTAAAGCAACTTGACTTAAAGCAAAATCATCATAACTATACTCCATAGTTCTACTAACTGATCTTGTATAATTCCTTGTAACATATCCGTATTTTAACCAATCAGGTAATGCACCACGACCTTGTTTTGTTGAAGCATCACTGGCAAATGAATCATACCAATAAGGTGGTTGGTTTTCAGCATTATTAACCATAGCAGAATACGCGTCTGACCAATTAATTCCAGATATATTTTTAACAAATGCATCAGCCATAACTATATCTGAATTTGATCCACCTTGAGTTCTACCATTTTGATTAGCTGAGCGTCCATCAGGTGTCCAACCTTCATTTAAATATATATTCGTAAGTGATTGAACAATTTCTGAACCTCTACGAGGATTAACAATGTTTATTAATGGGTTTAAACATCTGAACGTATCCCAAATAGTAAAAAAATCATCATAATAAACTTGGGAAGTGGACCAACCCGAATTTGGATTCTCTCCTGTCTTATTTGATGGAATTAAATGAGTTCCATATAAATTGGTATAAAATTTGTCAATTAATGAATTATTAAAACTTGAAATTTGAAACTTATTAAATACTTCATTTAACCAAATTTGTTGAGTTTCTTCAACTAATGAATAGAAATCTTGGTTATGGTTAATATTATCACATGCTTGAGTTGTTGAAATGAATGATATACCAGCATGACTAATAACTTCTTGTTGATGACCAAAATTAAAAATTAATCCAAATGAATCGTCTTGAGTTGTTGAAGAAGTACTAAATTGATTTTGAGTTTCTCCATTTTTATCAAATTTTGAAACTGATTGAGCTGGTGTTGAAAAATTTGAACAAAAATATATAGTCCATGGTTCTTGATCACCCCAACCTCCCTTTATTGTAGTTTGTCCAATGTATCCATTGGTGGTAGCATCAATTGATCCATTTACAAAATATTGTGTCCACCATGGTCTATTTGGAGCAGTTAAATGATGTGAAACATTTACCAATACTTTAGAATCTTGAAAGTTATCATTAAAATTATATTTTAAAATCCCATACCTTTCACCAGCTGTCAATTCAATATTTATTTTACTTGTGGTGTTTACTGCATAATATCCAACTTTAGCAGAATCAGGTTGGGATCGACTCAATGTAACTTCTTCACCATTTGAATAATCTCCATAAAATGGTAATTGAGAAACAACTCCATATTCAGGTGCACCACCAGTTCCACTTTCATGCATCATTGATATACCATTAATAACTCCACCAGGTGCATAACCAGAATAAGGATTACCAAATTTGGAATCCAATACATCAACTCCAATTTTAGCCATTCCAAAAGGACGAGTTACTCCTGGAAACATATTACCTCCATTTTCAGTACCATAAAATAAATCAACATGATCTAATGGATTTATACCATTTTTATTTGAAATTTTAGTTTGTCCTTTCTTTTTAGTTGGTGCTGCTAGTATAAATGAAATCAAATAAAATATTAATATCATTGAATCGATATAGTATCTCTCAATAAAATCATTTTGAATACATTAACATGATATCATTGAGTTTATATGATCAACTAAAAAGGTTTGAAATTATTGAAAAATCACGAAACGTGGGGCAAAAGTATATCTAATTTTTGATCCAATAATGTTATAACAAACTAATAATGGCCCTGAAATTATAATTCATGTTGTAATCTGATAAACAATAACACGTAAATCGGCATAATAAATAAAATATTAAAGTAGTAAAGTAATAGTAAACTAACTATTAGTAAATTATTAGGCTTTATTGAAATCTAACAATATAAGTCAAGTACAATTGATTTAAAACGCAATTATTAAACTCGGTAAATGCCTTTGTATTTTCTTGATATGTTCCATTACTTATTTTGATTCAATCTATTTTTAGTTATGCTATAAGAATTATATATTGTGGCATTTGTTCTGAATCATTTTGATGAGTCTTTTGTGATCAATTGACCAAATTGAGTCTCATGAAGTGATATAACCATTAAGGCGGATGAGTATCAATTGATGAACTAATGTCTAATTCGTCATCATTGAACGAGTACATTAATTGACAAAATAATTAAATTTCATATGCAACATTGATTTAAACAAATTTAGTTGTGAAATTATAAAGACTATTTCCTAAATTATTAATTTGTTATTTCTGATTGTATTGTTTGTTTTTTTATTTAGTTAAATAAACGTTATTATGGAATATTTGATTTTGTGTAATTAGTATACGAATCAATTGGTAGTTTTCTTATTTAATCAATTCCCACTTTCTTTTAGGAATTAATTAGTCAATTATAATTAACATTTTAGTCTTTTCATATATAAAAGTTCACATTATTCGACAAACTAGATAAATTTAATTACTTCTTCAAACCTATCAGACTTTGAAGATAAATCTTGAATTCTTCTTTTTTTTCTAATGAATCATTTTTTTTTTCATTTAAAATCAATTATAAACCTTGTTCGCATTTGTTCAAAATTTTAAAACGTGTTACCAATAATTAGCCAGAACAAAACACAAAATAAAAAGAACAATTAAGTAAAGAAGAAGAAGAAGAACTTTTAAAAAAGGTTCAATTTCTTGATTCGGTTAATTAATTAAGCACATGTGGTAAGTTTATTTTCAAGTATTGTTTATTCATTTCTTATAATTTCTCATTCTAAGGACTTGTTGTCTCTTTGATTTTCAATCTGATAAGAATTCTTTTACTACAGTTGACAACCAAATACAATGAAAAAATTTTTAGATAACTTTGCTGTTATCTTTATTATTTGGTTCATGTAAACCCACATGGGTTGAGTTTATAACGTAGATGAGAGTTCCCACAATTTCACCATTGAATAAATCATAATGTAGATCTCTTAATATTCAAAACATAGTACACATCCACACTATTATTACTAACCAGGAAATTAAATACCGATTCGAAATAATTATGTAGTATTCTTACACGATTATTATAATATCAATACAAACTCTACGGAAGATTAAGGAATCTGACTATGGAGTGAACTATCAAAATAATTAATAATTATATTTTGGTAAAGTATGAAATCAAACTTATAATAAATCATTCAACTAAAATATTTTAATTACTAATAATAATAGGATTATTATATTATACTTGAATTAAAATAATAATAAAAAAGCGAGATGATCTATGATGTAATAGATTTCCTAATTTACTTATTTCTAACAACGTGACTATTGCAGGAACAAACTTATTCAAAGAACGTTAAATCATCCACTAAAATACTAAATTAGGAGCAGGATAGGAGTAGAGTATAATTTAGTTTATTTTTCTTTTTAGGATAAAACCATTTTTAAAGAATTAATATAAAACCAACATCACACAAAAAAAAAACTTTTTCACTAACTAGAATTTAAACTAAACTATACATCAGAAGCGCGATTTAATTGCGCTTCCAATTTTTTTACTTATAGTAATTAAAATAATTAATCACTTTTTTCAAATTTAAAGTGAAGAAAATACTGAGATTAAAATCAAAAACTTGAATCAAAATAAGTTAAAAAATATACCCAAGAGATTTTGAGACCTCATTAATCCCCATAATTTTGTAATAAAAAAGAAAGAAAATAGAAGAAATTAAAAAATTTATAAAAATTATGAGCACTTCTTTTTTTTTCCTTTAAAATTTATATGGGTAAAATTTTATTAACATATCCGAATTATTTTACCCTACAATACCAAGGATATAATATAAATTTAAGAGGTTTTTTAATAAATTATTTTATACAATCGGATATAGTAATAAAGGGTATACTTGAAGATCATTAATGCAAATTAGAGTTGTACATTATAGGCCCCCTCGTTCCACTGAAATTTCGGTTAATAATCGATAAAATTTATTCTTTAAATAATGTTGGAATAAATATAATTCAATATACGAAACTAAAATTAAATTGTAAAAGCCTTCTTTTTTAGTCTATTAATTAAAAAAGTCAAATTTTATCAGAGATGAAACTTGATACAATAAATTATTTACAAATTTCCAATTAATTCTAAAATTAGAGTTTTAATGATCTTGTGCAGTTTTAGTAACACTGCTAGAATAACAAAAAAAATCAATGACTCTAGACTAGATGGCGCAGGAATTAAACGAAGATCCTTACTCTAATAAGGGTAAATTGTAATGTTTCATTTCAGATTTAAATAGATTATCAATGGCTGTAATTTCGTATTGAATTACTTATTTGGTTCTTCACTTGTATTTGATTATTGAAATTATACATAAATAACTGAATTTATTGATCATCAATCTATAAATAGTAGTATTGATTAATAGTAGATCAATATTAGTAATTCATACCATCTATATTATTGTTACTATATTTTTAAGATAGTAGTATTATTTACTAATCATTTAAATATTCCTCTTTTTTCATTTCATCTACTTGTTCAAATTTTTTCTTAATCTTTATTCGATTTCAATTCATAAATATAATATTTCCTTAATACAGTTATTATTAATTACTATAGTGTCATAATATTAAAAAATATCATCATTTTTAGTTATTTTAACAAATATTTAATATTACTACGACTAATATTATAAATCTATAATATTAACATAAATTGTTTATATATAATTATTTATATCATTTATTTACACTTACTTTTCAAATTGTCAATTTCAATCGGTTCAAGTTCAATCTCAACAACTTTCGAACAAATTAATTACAATACTTTGTACTTACCTTGATTAATTATTTGTAATACATTTAGTAATAATACTTTACATCATTAATAATAATTTTCTTTCTAATTTAAGAAAAAAATTAATTTTAAAAATACCTCAAAATTTATTATTTTATTATAATAAATTTAATTGTCACATTCATCTTACAACCAAAAAATACAAGAAAATTTATTTACAACCAACCAACCAAATTATTTATTATCAATTTATATATCCCCACTTGTTTCATATTTGATTCAACTTATTAAAAACTATAGATCATCAATTTTCAATTATCATTATATAAATATATATAAAACTACAGAAAAAACAAGAATATTATACATATAAAATTTATATAAAAGAAAATCACGCTACATTATTAAATTATAAATCAAACAATTTAACAAATCAAAATGGGTGATTCGTCAACTAAACCTCCAGGTAAATTATCAAAATTAGGTAGTAAATTATTTGGTAAATCATCAACAAATTTACCAACTTTACAACTGATTGAAGAATCCAAGAAACAGCAACAACAACAACAAAAATCACCAGAATCTATATCATCTCAATCACAACAACAAAATAATATATCACCAATAACATCTAATCCAACTCAAAAAAACCCTATATCAAATGATGAAGATTTTATACTATCTCAAGTTGAAAATGATGATGTATCAGAATTACGACATATAAAACAACCTCAACCTCAAAAACCAATCACCACCACCGCCACCACCACCACCACCACAACAAACGGAGTAATGAATAATTCAAATAGTTCATCACCGAAATTAACATCAACAAGGTCTCAATCTCCAATTAATAATAATCAAATAGTATCTACAACAACTTCACCAATACTGATTTCATCATTAGATCAAAAATTAAAAAGATCAAATTCAACTACTACTGCAAATTCAAATCAAAATAATTCTTCAATTATAACTGAAAAACCATTATCAAATAGACCATCTCCATCAGTTTCAAGATCATCTTCTAAAAAAATTCAACAATTAAAATCACAACCAAGTACATCAACAACTCCTCAATTTAATAAATCTAAAAATGAATCAACCACTTCCCTTGTATCTCAAACACCTCAACAACAACAACAACAACAACCTCAATTACCAAGATTTGTAATGTTGGAAGATGGAAATCATGAACATCATTTAAAATCAGCTAAAAGACATGAAAAGTTATCAAATATGTTGAAAGATTTATTAGGTGCTAAAAAATTAAGAGATGGTGCTAAATCTGCAGTCCCTGATATTTTACAAGGTGCAATGCAATCTTCAACTTCTCAATTACAATCATCACAAAATCAACAAATTCAACAACAATCACAATCACAAGTAAAACCACCAACTTTATTTGCTGGATTAGTAAATCAAGTTAGAAACCATACTTCACCTTATCATCAACCAGGTACTACTGAAACTGTAAATCATAGCAATACCACCACCACAGGACCTGATTGTAGATCATTTGTTGAAAAATATGGGAGATGTCAAGAAGTTATAGGTCGAGGATCATTTGGAGTTGTTAGAATATCACATAAAAAAATAGAATCAGCTGATCAAAGTCAATTTCTTGAAAATGGATCCACTACAACCACTCAAACAGAAACTACTCCACAATTAACATCAACATCATCAGTTAATTCTTTAGTACCATCTCAACAACAGCTACAACAACAAGAAAAACTATATGCAGTAAAAGAATTTAAAAAGAAACCATCAGAAAGTGAAAAAAAATATAATAGAAGATTAACTTCAGAATTTTGTATATCATCATCTTTAAAACATCCAAATATAATAGATACTCTTGATTTATTAAAAGATGCAAAAGGAGATTATTATGAAGTTATGGAATTTTGTTCAGGTGGTGATTTATATACATTAATTATAGCATCTGGAAAATTAGAATATGCAGAAGCTGATTGTTTTTTTAAACAATTAATACGTGGAGTTAATTATATGCATAATATGGGAGTTGCTCATCGAGATTTAAAACCAGAAAATTTATTATTAACTCAACTGGGACAATTAAAAATTACAGATTTTGGAAATTCTGAATGTTTTAAAATGGCATGGGAAACTGAAATTCAATTTTCAGAAGGTATATGTGGATCATCACCCTATATAGCACCTGAAGAATTTACTCAACTGACTTTTGATCCAAGATGTGTTGATATTTGGTCATGTGGAGTTATATATATGGCAATGAGAACAGGTCGACAATTATGGAAATTAGCTGATCCTCAAAAGGATGAATTTTTTGAAGAATATTTAACAAAAAGAAAAGAATCTTCAGGTTATGAACCTATTGAATCATTAAAAAGAGCAAGATGTAGAAATGTTATTTACCTGATATTAGATCCTAAACCAGAAAGAAGAATTACTGGGAAACAAATTTTAAATAGTGAATGGGGTAGAGAAATTAAAGTTTGTGATGCTGGTGATGCTAAAACTAATTAAATGGTACTTTGAGGTGGATTAGATTATATTTATTTATAGTTTGTTATAGCTTTTTAAAGTCTGTTAATTTTTTTTTTTTTTTTATATTTCGAAGTTTTTGCTTACAGTCACTTTCGCCTATTAAGGACCTATCCAATTTAAAAGGTCAAAAATGTTTAAAATATCAAGATAATTGATTAAACATCACAGAAATTACTTCTTTCATAGATCTGATATGTACATTACATGTGTAAAATCATTCAGATCTAAAGTCTTTGTAGATAAAAGCAATTTGACGCGTGTAAAATTAAGATTTGGTTATTTAATTTCTTTTTTTTATGTAGTGTTGTATTCTCTATTTACTTTATTAAGAAAATAGACGATTTATTATACAACAATAACAACACTTATAACATTTTTGATTTTAGCAACAAAAGCACATTCGTCAAATCACATTTATTATCCAGAAAGTTAGTCAGTTTTATCATACACTTTGTCAGTATCGAAATAGTATTTGATAACTCCCCCCTTACTTAATTTGGAAATATTATATTTAAGTTTATTATATGAGATCAAGATCTAAGAAATAAAAATCACCCTAATATATATCAACAATAAAACAAACCAATTTTAAAAACCTCAATTACTGCAAAAATTTTCCAAATAATTAAATAATGGTAGAATTATCAGATTATCAAAGACAAGAAAAAGTAGGAGAAGGAACATATGGAGTTGTATATAAAGCATTAGATACAAAAAATAATAATCGTATAGTTGCATTAAAAAAAATTAGATTAGAATCAGAAGATGAAGGAGTCCCATCAACAGCAATAAGAGAAATTTCATTATTAAAAGAAATGAAAAATGATAACATTGTAAGATTATATGATATAATACATTCAGATTCTCACAAGCTTTATCTTGTGTTTGAATTTTTAGATTTAGATTTAAAAAAATATATGGAATCTATACCACAGGGAACTAATGTTGGATTAGATTCTCAAATGATTAAAAGATTTATGTTACAATTAATAAAAGGTATAAAACATTGTCATTCTCATCGTATATTACATCGTGATTTAAAACCTCAAAACTTGTTGATTGATAAAGAAGGAAATTTAAAATTAGCTGATTTTGGATTAGCAAGAGCTTTTGGTGTACCTTTAAGAGCTTATACTCATGAAGTTGTTACTTTATGGTATAGAGCTCCTGAAATTCTTTTAGGTGGGAAACAATATTCAACAGGAGTAGATATGTGGTCAGTTGGTTGTATATTTGCAGAAATGTGTAATAGAAAACCATTATTTCCAGGAGATTCAGAAATTGATGAAATTTTTCGTATATTTAGAATTTTAGGAACACCAAATGAATTAATATGGCCAGATATAAATTATTTACCTGATTTTAAACAAGGGTTCCCACAATGGAAAAAGAAAAATTTGGCGGAATATGTACCAAGTTTAGATAATGATGGGTTGGGGTTATTAGAAGAAATGTTAGTTTATGATCCATCAAAAAGAATTAGTGCAAAAAGAGCTTTAATTCATCCTTATTTTAAAGAAACTAATAATTTTTTAAATCATCAACAACATCCTCAACAACAACAACATATACATGGAGATAATATGATTAATGAAACTTTTTCAAAATCTATTATAATGGGGTAATTATTAATTCTCAAAAGCATTAAATCAAAATATTTACATACTAGAATTAAAAATTACAATTTTGGAAGTTATTAAAAATTTAAATTAGAGTTAAAATTTACAAAAAATGTATAAAAGAAAGTAGTCATTATTATCATTATATTATTTATTGGAAAATTCATTAATTAGCAAAGAAAATAACAATCCAGTCTAAATCAATTTAGATCTTATATAATAAGATAATAAAATTAATAAAAGAGCTGAAAATATAATTTTCATTGCGTCATTTGTAGTATTTGATTTTGTTGTTATTGATGTAGGATATCCATGTTTAACGTTATTAATTTCTGTTTCTTCTAAATTCGATTTATTGTCTTTTATTGAATCAACTTTTGATACTCTATGTGATGATGAACTTGAATTTAAATTACTTAAACTTCTATAATTATCTTCTATATCTTTTTTATGTACAATCTTGTCAATCTTTCCTATATCTACGACCAGCGTAGTATCTAATTCTATTTCTTTTGTAATTTTTAAATTTTTATCTTCTAAATGAGGTAGATTATTTTGTCCTTGATTATCTAATTGTATAATTGGGTGTTCTGTGTTTATTAATTCAAATGAATATGCAGTTGCATTATTTGTAGTTTCTATTTCTGACATTATTATTGGTATATCTAAATTTTGACTTGATTTAACTGTGTTGGAAACTTCTTTTGGATTTAGTTTTAATTTGAAATAAATTTCTTCATCTTTTTCACTTAATTTTGTATTTATTAAATTGAATTTTTGATTGTCATAAGTAGTTGTTGAATTTGTATTATCTTTGTCATAAACTTTGTGAATTTTTGAGGTTGGTAAATGCAGATGAAGTTCATTACTTAAACATTCAATTTTATTTAATAAATTTGTTTGACTATAGTTTAATCTAACAATACTATCCTCGATTTCATTATTTTGAATTTTAATCAATAAAATTTCATTTTCTAAATAATTAAAATTATTATTTAATTTATAATGTAAATCTTCAATATCTTGTAATTGTTCTTTAATAAAATTAGAATTACTAATTATTGAAGAAAATGATGATTTCTTATTAATATTAAAATTTTTATTGTACAACAAGACTTCTTCATCTGGTGGTGATGATGCCAAAATTTTATTTTCCATTAATGTTGATGTTTCATCTTCTGAATCATATAATGATATACTGTCTTCATTGCTAGTTTGTAGTAGTGGATTAATTGGACTAAATTCATTATTTTGATGAGGTGCATTAAGACTGACGTTTGGACTTATTGATGATGCTTTTACTATAGGTGATTCGTTTATTTCTATGGGGAATAATGGACTATGTGGTGATTGCTGTATGTACCTGGGTTCATTGGGTATTGGAGTTTTTGTAATATGTAATGGTGATGATTTTGAAAATTTAATTTTAAGTGGAGTGGTTGGAGAACTCATTAAAATTTCAGTGAAATGGTTGATCTGAAGTTTAATCTATATATGATTGATGCTATTAAATGCTTGATAATTTTTTTTAAATGATGAATGATTTAGGTTGGGTATGTAACCAACAAATATTACGTATAAAATGTGTTAATATATGCTAGGAACTTTTTAATTGACCGTATCTCCAATAATGCAATAAAATTACAGATGAGCTAAATGCTGATATGACAGGCTTAAAAACTTATGATGATGACAACTAAATATTAAAGTTATTAAAAGTTTAAGAAAATGAATGATATTAAAAAAATAAAAAAAAATAAAAATATTCTTTTATAATTTGTTATGTGCCACAAAATCAAAAAATTCCTTCTACTATAAAATACGAGAGTAAAAAAGTTTATTTACAAATTGTATTAATTTACACTACTCAATACTACTTAATTAGGAATAGTAATTGAATTATGTTTTTTATCAACAGAGATATTTATAAATAGATACTATGTAATGAGATTACACGTTGCTGATCTAAGAATGTTTGCTGTCTTGTAATTAGTTTTCACAGAGTCAAGTCTTGATCAATGGTTTCAGAACAGTTTTTATCGAAGTCGGTAGAACTAAAAACGTTAGACACAAGCTAAGCTAAACAATTCATTGTTAGACATCACAAGGATCGACAACTAAATTTTTAGCCACAACCTTTGGATTTCAACCTCAGCTTTTAATCTAAAATTTAATATAATCTTTTAAATATTTTAAGTAATGTCAAAAATTTCCCAATGTCGTGTAAAAAGTTTTCAGTCAATAAAATTACATTTTAAGACAACCAAATTGAAATATTGTGTAATAATAAAATTATTATTCTACTAACAATAGAAACATATTTAATACGTAACAACAATACCCGTATAATTGATTAAAACCACATCTAATAATGTCATACGAATCACATAAAGGAGGAAGAGGTGGATCAGAAAATAGTAGTGGTGGATATGATTCACATTCATCAGCATATAAAGATGATTATTATCAAAATGGTTCATCATCATATAGAGGTGGGTATAGAGGACGAGGTAGAGGAGCACCATATAGAGGTAGTTCAAGAGGTTCATATAGTGGATCGTATTATGGTGGAAGTAGTAGAGGTGGTAGTAGTTATAGAGGTGGATCTTCAAGAGGTGGTTATTATAATAAATATGGGTCAAGTTATAATAATTATGATAATCGAAGTGGATCATATACTGAATATAATAGTCGAGAAGATGGTGGATATGGAGAACAAGATAAAAATATAGAAGAACCAGAAACTGAAGAACAAAATGAATCAATAGATCAACAATCATCACATCATAGTGGATCTTTTCCATCATCATCATCATCATCATCATATAGAGGTAGTTCATATAGAGGTGGTTATAAAAGTCGGAATGGTTCATATAATGGATCATATCAACCACATTCATCATCATCACATTCACCAACAACTCATGAACCTCATTCAGGTGGAGATTATTATAAACAAGGAGGAACAGTAGATAAAAATTCAAGACATTATAAAGAATTTTTACATGAAAAAAAATTAAAAGATTTTACAAATCCATGGATTAATATTTTAAATATTCAGGATGAAAATTTACAAAATAATTTAGAAAAAAAATATATTGAACAAACAAAATTAGATGAAACTATTTTAAATTTACAAAAACAAAAATTAAAATTAGAAATGTCTATGAAAAGTTTAGAAAATTATGGTAAACGTGAAGAACTTCATGTTCAATTAACTTCTGAAAAATTGGATGAATTTGTATATATATAAAGTTTTAATTTAATTAATGATGATGATAATGAAAAATACCATTACTGCGAGAATTACTCGATCTCTCTCATTGAATAAGCTTAGAACTGAAATTTGCCGAAAATAATTTGTATTCTCTAAATTGGTGTTTGTATTTTTTAAGGATAGTTTCAAAATTATCCGGACTTTTTCCACAACAAAAAAAAACATTAAAAAATATCAATACAAATAACACTTCTTTTAATTCTAATATAATATCATACACCATCAACATGTCATCATCAATTGATATCTTCAAAACAGTAGATGATCTATTACAATCAATAACAACAAACAAAATAGCATATTATGGATTATTAGTTGCATTATTAGTTGGTGTATTTAAATTAACTACTTTCACATTATCTTTTGGTACACTTTTATTTGAATTATTTATAAAACCATCAGTTGATTATAAAGTATATGGAGCAAATAGTGGGAAATTTGCAGTGGTCACTGGTGCATCAGATGGAATTGGTAAAGAATTTGCTTTACAATTGGCTAAAAAGGGTTTTGGAATCGTTTTAGTTTCTAGAACTCAATCTAAATTAGAAATTTTAGCTACTGAAATTGAAACCAAATATAAAGTTGATACTAGAATTATTGCATTTGATGCAACAACTGATTCAGAAGAAAACTATGAAAAATTAAATAAATTAATTTATGATTTACCTATAACTATATTAATTAATAATGTTGGACAATCTCATTCTATACCAGTTCCATTTTTAGAAACTACTACAAAAGAATTACAAAATATTATAACTGTTAATAATTTAGCAACTTTAAAGATAACACAAATTGTTGCACCAATAATTGCTAAAACTGTGGGTAAACATGATTCAAAAATAAAAGGTTTAATATTAACAATGGGATCATTTGCAGGTTTAATTCCAACCCCATATTTAGCTACTTATTCAGGTTCAAAGGCTTTTTTACAAGAATGGTCAAATGCATTAGCTGGAGAATTGGCATCTGATCATATTGATGTTGAATTAATTATATCTTATTTAGTTACATCAGCAATGTCCAAGATAAAAAGAACTTCACTTGCTATACCATCTGCTAAAAAATTTGTAACTTCAGCTTTAAGTGGTGTTGGAACAAGAAATGGTGCACAAGAAAGGTTTGCTACTTCTACTCCATATTGGGTTCATGCTTTAATGCATTTTGGAATTGTTAATACTGTTGGTACTTATTCAAAAATTGCAAATAGTATTAATTACAAAATGCATAAAGATATTAGAATTAGAGCTTTGAAAAAACAAGCAAGATTATCTAATACTTCTAATTCTGGTGTTGAAAAAATTGAATAAGTGATGATGATGTATATATTGTTTATTAAATATTCTAAATATAAAAGAGAAAATTATGAATATAATGTTAAATATTTCGTACATTTATTAGTATAACGTAAACTAAATAAATACAAAACTAAAAAATCTCTCAAAGATTAAAGCCCAAAAACTAAGCAAAAAGAATTGAAATAAAAATAAGTCAGTAAAAAAAATTAATTAGAGTGTCTATGTTGAAAACCCCCATTTTGATAATGAACTGAATATTGTTGTTGTTGTTGTTGTACAGGATACGGTATTGTGATTGGTGGTAATGATTGATTTACTTGATTTAATTGATTCACTTGAGTTACTTGATTGATTTGATATTGATGATTATAAAATTGAGGTTGTTGATGAAATTGTGCGTATGGAGATTTTTGGAAATAACTATTTGGTGGTTGATTATATTGTTGTTGTTGATGTTGTGGGTTAATTCTTGGAGTAGCTGGGATTGAAGTTATAGGAGGTAATTGAACTATATTTTCTTGTTGAGAATGATAAATTGGTTGCGGTTGAGGAAAACTATTAAATGGAACTATTGATGGTCTTTTCGTATATGTATTGAATCTAATTTCATCTATTGATTGTGATCTAATTTGATTTGGTGATTGTTGTTGATAAGGTTGTTGATGGTAGTATTGATGTGATGGAGGTGATTGATGGATTGGGTTTACTTGATGGATTGTTGGTGGTGTTTGGTTTGGTTTTGGCTCTACTTTAACTTGTGGTTCTATTTTTGCAACTTTTGTTTCATCAACCTTTTTAATATTCTTCGGCGATTCTTTTTCAGCTTCTTCTTTAATTTTTGGTTCATCTTCTTTTATTTTTGTTACCTCATCTTCCTCATTAATATCATCATTAGCTAAACTTTCAATAACTGATTTTTTATAATTTCTTAACACTTTATCCATTGGGAAAGTACAATAAATATTTCTATTATATCCAAAAATACGTTTAATTGAAAGGTTACCATTACCATTATCTAATCTATCAAATTCATTAACAGGATTTAAATTTTCAAATTCTAATTGAATTATACCATTATAAAGATCTCTTTCAAATGATCTACAATCAGTATATATTGAATAATTTTCAATTTCAATTGGTAAGAAATATATTTTCATATTACTTTTATACCTTGGTCTTGCTATAATTTTTTTAAAAAATAAATTATTGGGGATTTCTTCATTTTGTCCCAAAGAATGTAACATTTCATCTGAATTTTCTTCATCATCAATTAAATTAAAATCACCAGGTTTAGCAGTTTCTAATTTTAATATTGATGATCCATGTATATCATCAGTAGTTGATCTTGTAATTCTTATTAATGTGAAATTTTTTGATTGAAATAATGTATTGATTGCAGTATCTAATGAATTAAAAGTTGGAGTTTGTTGATCAATTTCATTTGTAAATGATTTCAAAATCTTATTTGAATATTCACTTAAATCAACTACATTATTATCTATTAACTGTAAACCTTTTGATACTAAAGAAATAGATGAATGATTACCACCATGGTAATTTATTATTGATTTGTGATTGTTATATTGTTCAATTAAATCTTCATATTGTTTTGTTGATCCAAAATCATTAAATAATTTATAAAGTTTCTTATCGTCAGTGAATGGTATAAGACTATGATATAAATTAAATAAATTAGAACATGATGTTAATTTGATCTTTATACCTGCTTTTAATGATTTAATATGTAATTTCAGTTGTTTTGTATCTGTTTTTTGTCTCTTTGTGGAATATTTTCTTCTTATAGCTAATTTAACAAAAATTTTAGAATTTAATATCTTTTTGTTAATTTTAGATTTTGGGATATGATCTCTTAATAATAATAATGGTTTATTTGAGTTTGTGGTTGTGGTTGGTGATAAAGATTGATCTTTTAATTGTTTAGATTTTTTAGTGGTGGTAGTAGTTGATGAGTCCGATGGTGAACTAGGAGTTGAAGGATTAGTTGAAGTGGATGAACTAGTGTTATTACCACTATTATTCTCCTTTTGTTGTTGAATAAAATTTGTTGTTGATTTTAAAGTTGGAATCGATGTTGTAGATGTGGCTGGTGTAATTAAAGTATTATGATTAAAATTATTTAAGGTACCATTATTATTATTATTATTATTATAATTATTATTATTATTTATAATAGGTGGTAAAGTAACTGAAGTTGAATCAATTGGAGAATTTGATAATGATGAAGATGGTGAAATTATTGGAGCTATAACTGAATTGGTTGTAAATTCTTTATTAAATTTATTATTTATAGTTTCAATATTATTATTATGAGGTAATTGATTTATATGAATTCCAGATCTTGGTTGTAAATTATTATTTATTATATGATTTTTATAATTTTGATTTCGTAAAAAATGAGCTTGTCTTTGAGCTTCTTGTTGTTGTCTATTATATTTATTAATAGCTTCATCAGCATTTAATAAATCTATTAATCCAGTCATAATTTTGGATCTTACTAACTAAATTTTTTAGTCTGAGATTTTAGTGTATTTGATCTAATTTAAAAATAGAACCTCAAGTTGAATGAACTTTAGGTGAGAATATAACTTTAATGAACTTGAAATCTAATGATCTAGTATATAATAAATAATATGAAATCTGAAAGAATAAAATATTTTAAAAAAATGATGAAAGATTTATGAAAAAATTGAATTAAATTTATATTAAAAAAAAAATTAAGGAAAGAGATTTGAGACATACATGAATTTATATATAATAGAAATTATAAATTATAAATTAAAAATTTAATTATATATAAAAAAAGTAAAAGATCTAATACAAAATTGAAATAGAATCAAGTTTCATATAAGTATTAGAACACAAATTCATGTATAATATGATTGTATTCATGTATAATTAATTAATTTTGAATTGTGAATTTGAATTTTTGAATTTCGAGTTAATTTTGAATTTTTAGGAATTTAGGAAAATAAAAAATAGAATTTAAAATTATGCATTAAATTGTATGTCATAATACTAAAAATGTATTATCAAATACAGACTAAGTAACAGACAATGTCTTCAAGGATTAACTATTCTATTATTAATAAAAATATAAAACAAGTAAACTAGCCTTAAATTTAAAATATTAATAAAAAACTAAAAACAAAAATGTTGATGTTATTTTGCAAAACAACTTATTTTCGTCTTTAAGAAGTCTTACATTATACATAATTCTAAGACACAAAAGTTATCAAGTGTTCATAATTTTAAAATTAAACAATTAGAAAAAACGAATTAATAATTTGTGATCGATATTCAATTCCGTAATTTTTTTGTATTTTTATTTATAATTGAAAAATTATATTATCCTTCTTGTTATAATCTCATCCTATTGTTTATTCAACAACTATTGTTCTCTAAGATTTTGCTATAAGTCGGTTTGGTTGAAGTATTTGAAATGTCGAAAACTCGTACCGATTAAAAAACAAAGAAATATTATAATTCTGGTTGATAAGTAAAGAATAGCAAATATAATAAATTTATAATTTAAAATTAAACGCAATTAAACTTTTTAAAACACTAGTCCAAAAAAAATTATTTTTATTTATTACTTTTTAATTTTAGAGTTAGTGATTTCTCAATTCTTAACTACTATACTTAAGCCATTAATTTTAGATTAAGACACATGTGGTGGATTGATAAATAAATCCGTTAATAATTATTCAGTCTAAAAAACTTTAAAGAATCAATTTTTAAATTTTTTTTTAGTTTTTCAATTCAATTTTGTATAATTGAATGTGGCTAATACATTAATTCTTAAGAATTTGATCAACCGAAAGTTTAAAGTTTTATAAATATTTTAAAGAAATATTTTCAGCAATTCAAATAACTTTATTATATCAGTCTATTGTTTATGTATATATGTTTTTGTTATAAAGATTTACGGAATAATACAAGAAATTGATTCGGTACATAAATGGGGCTAATTTCCGAATAACTGTTAAAGCCTTTTTCATAAAATTGTAAAACCTGAAAATGATGAACCGTAATAAGAGGACTGATTATGAAGATGCAAATATAATTAGTAAAATTCTAGAAATTCTGGTTAATTCCATGCATATCTTTCTAGAAAAAAATTAATAAGAATTTGGGATAAAAATTAAATGAAGTCAATTTAGATCTAAAAAAGGGTATTAGTTTTTTTATTTATCAAATGTATAACGTTTTAAATATCATTTATCTATTGTAATAAATGGTACGAACATATGATTCAAGACTACATTTTCTGCAAAAGAAGTTATATATTTTTTATTATTATTTAGTTACAGGAATTTTATAACATATTGTACATGTTTATAGAAAATCGGGTCTGGTGGGTAAACAAATTATATACATCACATCGGAAACTACGAATTAAACAGAATAGTAAAGAAGTTAATAGAACATCTAAGAACTTCCAATTTGATTTTTGCCATTTTGAAATATCGACTCAACTTAATGAGTTTGAGTTTGCTGCTAATTTGAACAATTAAAGTTGAATTCTAAAAAAGTTAATTAGAGTTATAGAAATTTGTTCAATTTTAAGCGAATAACTTTAAAATCAATTTAAATGCTTTTAAAAAAAAAGTTTAAAATATCTTATTGAGGATAGAAACAATAATTGATGACATCAATCTGAAATAAAATAAATCTAAAACAAGAATATAGTCAAGATAGAAAGAGCTAAAACAAGGGCTTTCGTTATCAACAATATAAATCAAATACAAGGCTGAACTAATCTAATTATATTTTAAGGCGAAATTGTCTTAAATTTGAATCAAAAACAGTGGGGACTTGAAAATACGTTTGAATGATAGCTTAACTGATCCTTATATTTGAAATACTAGATCATTTTCAAAATAAAATTGAATCCATAAACTAATAAGTAAAACGTTTTATCATAAGTGTAGTAGAAATTAAGTAAAATCGAAGTAAAAGTGATCTACAAAATTATAAAATATTATAATATTATAAAACGACACCCCTAATCTAAAACATCAACACCCTACGTTTTATTTTAATTGATTTTCAAAAATAAAAGAATTTAATCCATTTGGTGAACCTTTTTTAAAACCCCTAGTGTTTTTATCAAGTACTAAAAATTGTTAAATTTAGTGTTAACAATTTGAGCTAAAATGTATTTAGTGTATATTTTTCTTCAGCCCATGTGAAACACTTTATTTTCATTTAAGAGATTTGAATTTAAATCGAGGGTTAAACATTTTCAAATAGGCTAATAATAGATGACGATCTAATTTGTTTATAGTAGAAATATGTGCCGATTTTGGTAATATCCATTTCCATTTTCAGCATATGATTCAACAAAGCTACGCTGGATAAGGCTGAACAAGCAAGTTTTCTTTTTAGGTATAAATTTATGGAAGTTATGGGATTATCACGATTTTCTTATCTTTAAACTATTTTCCGATTTTTGTGAATATAGGGACAACTTTTTAAATCTCACCTTTGTGCAATTACTGTTAGATTAGTTAAACTTTCTATCTTTGTCTCACAAAACTTTTAGATGTTTGACATGTTTATTTTGTGTATTCAATTTAACTTTTTTAATTTGTTAGTCATAAATTTATCAAAAGTTAAAATCCCCTAATTTGAATTTATCTTGAGTTTTTTTAAACTTTAGATTTCCGAAACTTTCGAAACTTTTTAATATCTTGTGTAAATTTCGATAATTCGAATTTAATCAAATATATATACTAATTTTCAAAGTTTAAGACATTATCTTACTTTCACTAGCCCAAGTGAGACTAAAAATAAAAATGAAATAGATTTATTAAGGAAAAAAGCAATCAATGATAAAGACAGATTAAGTAATAAAAATAGACTTGCTTGTGAAAATTCAAGAATTTAGAACAAAGTGAAAGGTTTTTATTTTCCTAAAGTTGCTGTTTTTTTGTAAAAAAAATTTCATCTATTACTGGTTCAAAAAATTATTTAGTAGATGCAATGGAATACCGTTTGGTTGTCTAATTTCAGAATTTGGTGATAATTTTTTTTTATCTCTAAAAGTATTACAAAACACAAAATATAATTTGTGTAATTTTATATCCTATGTTTGTGTAATGTATTTAAATTTTCCTCAAATTTTTATTTTCTCGTACATTTTTTATTTTAATTTTATTTTTGCAATTTTTTTAAATTTATTGGTCTCTAATTGTTTTTTTCAGTTGCAATTTAATACGTTTGATTGAATGCGCTAAAAAGTTTTAATGAAATTCTGCAATTTATAAACACTAACTTTTATCTAAATATTTAACTTTCATTTTTAGATTTTACTTGGCTGGAGCTAAATGTTGCTATAGAATCGTTTATATAAATTTGAAGTCTAAAAAGTCAATAACGAGTAGTTGAACTGATCTGTATCCTCGAAATATTTGAAAACGGGCAGCTACACCCTAAAAAATTATTAATTTTGTAGAATAACAAGATAAAATTCGGAATGTGGCTAGAACAAAACAATAATAATTTCAAATAAATTTGAGGCTAAACTTTGGTAATGAGGAGAGTCAGCACATGTTTAATCTTAATTAATTTTATATTAAAAATCAGTTTTATTCGGAAACACTTTACCTGCTGTTTGTAGATTCTTAAAAATTTGAGTAATAAAACATTTGCGTTCTATTTATTAATTAATTTAATTAAAATCAAATTGACGTCAGTCTATCCTCTATTCAAAATTAAAAAAATTAAGTTTGATTAAGGGCTTATTGAATTTTAGCAGTTTTTGATTTTTGTCTAGGAGTTTTAACTTCGTTATTCTCCATTCGTTAAAAATTGACTTCAGCCCTTATGGCTAATTAAATATCCTATTGTTACTTTAATTTTTTGACTGTGTTAATAATCATAACCAGACTAAATTACCCGTCATTTTTTTTTAACGAAGATCAAGATATAAGGTTTTCACCTTTTGAACTATATGATACATCTTTGAGATTTGGTTAGACGAGTTCAAAGTTATTTTTACTGAAAATTCCATCAAGATTTTGGTTTTCATGATATCACCAGATTTTATATACGTTTTGCATAAATTTTAGATTCAAATTTCATATCGTAATTGTATATAAAATGGAGATAAAGATCTAAAATATTTTTCGGAGATACTAAGATAATCATAAAACGATAATCTTGTTATCAATTAACAATAAAATAGAATAGATAAAATGATGATGTAAATAATTGTCTATTCTCATTACACCATGAGCTTATCTGTGGGTGAATAAAGTAGTATCATTCTTATTGTCTTATTTTTGCAAATTTAATAAACTACTATTTCAAATAGAGTTACTTCATTAAAACTTTAACTGCCCCAGCTTTATAATTTATGTACGACTTCATAAGACAATAAGTTTTTAAAACAAGTCCAAAATTACATCAGCCTTTTGCCTGCTATACAGTGTTTGGTAATGTCATGTTACATCATTCAAGTAATCCAATATGATTTATCTAAAGAATTGAAGATCTGAGTGCTAGTCACGACGACTCTGTAAGAAGTGAAACGAGGAAAACTGTGATGATAAGTTTAAAGATAAAAGTATAAATTTACATTTATTATTATTATGAGTATCTAGTATTGACTTTAAAACTATATTCCCATATCTAACTTTTCCTTGATCTAAATCATTACTTAAAATCAAATGCATTTATTTCATACGCATCTATCCAGTCTTATTTCCCTTCTATTTAATTTCCTAAGTTTCTCTTAATTTTGTTGATCAATAACAGAATCAATATCATCAACTTCTTTTAATTTGAAATCTTGAGCTAAAGAAATTTCAACTTTATTTTCATTATCATATATAATTCTTGCTAATTTAGATTGTGGACCCCAACCATTTATTGGAGGATTTAATTTAAAAGGTAATAACCAATTTGTAATTGTTAAAAAATTATCACTTAAATTTGTTAATTCATGAATTATATCTTCTATACATATTATTCCTAAATTTTCAAATTTATCTTCCACTAATTGATTATTATCTAATTTTATGATTTTTTCTTTTGGTTCTTCAGTTGATTGTTCTTCGTCTGATGTTTCTGTGGTGGTTATTCTTGCTCTTTTTTGAAATAATTTACGTATTGATGATAATGATGGTTGACCTATGATAATATATGGCGCAATTAATCCTAATAATTGTATGGTTTGCTTGTTGGCTTTTATAAATACACCAGTATTTGATTCAGTTAATTTTAAAACTTGTAATATTTGATATGCCTTTTTTGGAATTTTTAAACCTTTAGTATGATTTGGAATTCTTATAATAAATAATAATTTATAATCATCATTATCTTGTATATCTTTTAATGATTCCTTTTTCAATTTTTGATTTATTTTATTAATTCTTTTCTTTTCTATTTCATTTGATTTTTGATTGCTTAATAAAGTTTCTGCTCTTTTAAAATTTTTTTGCTTTTGTTTTAATTTAAGTTGTTTTGATACTTTGATCTTGTTGGCTATTTCTTCTTGTTTTTCTAATCTTTTTCTATCAGCATTTTTACGCTTTTTTAATAAAATCTCCGGATTTGAGTTCAATATAGCCATTATGACGTTTATTTATTGGAGTATGTCTATTGGAAACGGTTGATTTAAACTATTGATTTGATAGATGGGTTGGTTGTAAATATTTTTTTAAATTTGACTGAGATGAGAATTCCTAATTTTTTTTGGAGTTACAAAACCAAAATTTTTGATAGAGCGAAAATAAAAGATACTCCAGTTTTCTTCGACTAAACTTTCATTGAAAGGCTCGCACGAGTCGCGTGTCAAATAATTGCCTAGTACGATTATCTCTAAATCTAACTTGAGATATTATGTCATCAAGAAAATAAAAAGCTGATAATTGAAGACCAAAATGTGATAATTTAAGTAAAACTGAAGTAAGTTCTTCTCAAAAAAAGAAAAGTGGGAATTCAACAGAACCCTCAATTTTCAAACTTTTCTTACCCCTTGATACAAATCTTGTTTTGAACGGGTAAACCCAGACGGATTCAGAAACTAAATTGATAACATGCACATCTCATATCTAATTCCTTATCCGCTAATTGACAATTTACGACTCGATAATCGAGATGTAATTCAGATCCTGAAAATATAATTACGATCCAAGTCCAGTTTCTCGATACTCGGTTTGTCAGGAACAACTGAATTCAGATTAGATTTGTCTCAAATTAGACTGGTTTTACAGATAAACATGTACTTGAACAAATACATTCTTTGATTTCTAGTGCATAGATCTAGATTTACAGACATTTGATTGTTTAGATTGATAAACAAACGTTTCTCAATAGGGTAATTCTTGATTGTTTAATTAAATGTTAATTGTGTTAAATGATAAACATAAATCTGCAAAATTACTTTTCTTTTAGATTTATGTTGTTAATTTTGTAATTTAAAAATGTAGAAATACCGATGTGACCTTATCAACTTGACATACTTAACAAATGATAGCTTGATAAGGTGATTTATTTATTGAAGATATGCATTAATTAAATGAAGCAAATTTAAGAAAACATACATGAATGTAAAACATATTTATCACAATAAGAATAATAAAGAATATTGTCGAATTTGAGACTATTGAAGCGAAAATAAACATAAGATTAATCTTGAAAGATGAATAAATTCTCTAAAATGGGTAGACTGGTGTTCATCAAGTGACCGAGCCAGCCTTTCATTAACTCTACTAAAATTGAAGTGATAAACCGCGTGCCATGAACTTGTCATTTCTCAGGTAGTCAAGCAAATCCATCAATTTTCTAAAATATATTCGTCACTTTGAAACTTCAACCGTGAGTCTTTAAGAAAATATCTTGACAGACATGACGTCAAAGAGGGGAACTTTTAAAGTGAAGTTTTATCGTAATATTCTAGACCTTCGTAGTGTTCATGATCTAAGGAACCAAGCTCCTATTGTAGCACTCGGTTTGAGTGAAAAATTGTTTAATGTCTTTAGTTTGGAGGATAGAATGGCCCTATGGTGAAATAAAAAATATTCAAGCTTTTTTCCAAAAAGATATATACTGTATGACAAAAAAGAATGGTAATGAAAATTGGTCCTGACAGCAAAAAGCAACTATAAAAGGTTGAGATCAAGTAAACTATTGTATCATATTTGATACGGTACTTTACAACCTAAAAGTTACTTGATAAATGTACGTCATAAGTAAATAGTGTTTTGTTAAACGAAAGGGGGGTACTGATGATCAAGAAATATCTGGACTTGTGATCCCAACTTTTTTTGTTACAATTTTGTTACGACTTTACTACGTCTTCATGTGCAGTTTTTGCAAATTCATTATTTTACATGTGAGTTAATCAAAAAATAAATGAACTTAAGACTAAGTCAGAATATTAAATTTAAACGGTCAAGATAATAATGCATTTAAATTCTAAAGTGAGACCAAATTGAATCATTAAAAATAAAATATACGAGAATTCAAATGATACATTAATTTTCTTTACACATTTTTGAAATCTGTTGAATTTTTAGATAAATAATAAATTGTACAGATAAACTTCGTCAAAAAGTTTAAATTTGCTTCTCCTCAGTTCAATAATAATAATAAAGAGATAAATGTGTCAAAAAGTAAATTTATGTCTAATCAAATTTAAGAAATATTCATTTACCGTTTAAAACCTTATTTCGCCTTGACAATATTGATTGATCAAAAATATTAATTCACTACTTGATTACAAGATTAAGATGTCGTAGATATCATATCCTGAGGCTAATGAACTCGTGAGATCCCAAAAAATTGGCTGATCCAACGATAACACTAAAAAAAAAATTTCATGCTAATATTTGTAAACTCTTAAATATAACAAGAGAAAAATAATAAATTATTATAATTACGAGATGATCATCCTGAAACAATTAAATTGAATTTCTTTTCGATAAACCAAATTTAAAGTGATGAATTTAAAATCATTTCATTAATTTATTTGTAGATTAAGTACTCATCCAGTGTGAAAAACATGTAATAAAATTAATTGAACAAATATTAAAATATTACTATATTTTATTGTAAATAATGAAAATATTTTGGTACCTTGAAATTTTGATTGAATCAAAAATCCTGCATATAATACTTTAATTTATTTATTATTTTAATTAATTAGTAAATCTGCTAATTAATATTATTATGTAATTTATTAGTCTGTTATAACTATTGATTTGATCTGATTTTAATTTTTTCATTACATTTCAACCAAAATTTTCTAACAACTCAATTTTATAGCATTTTTTCATTCATTCTTTAATTCAATTATATACAATTATACTACTATTGTAAATCAATTACTTATTATATAATAATATTTATAGTTTTTTTTTTCATTATCAAAATTTTAAATTTTTTTTAGCATTGGCATCTGCATTTTTTTATTCAATTTTAAAAGGGATAAAAATATTATCAAAATAACTAATGATTTAATGAATTCTTATAATTATAAACAAGATCAAGTAACTAATTCACTAAATAATCAACAATTGCAACAACAACAACAACATAATGATTTACAACAATCAAATTATCAAAATCAACAATCAATACTGGGACAACAACATAATATAAATGAATATAATATGCAGGATCAGAATTTATCTTTACAACAAGGACAACAACAACCTAATTATCAATTTCAAAATCAAAATCAAAATCAACAGTATATACCTCAAACTGATTATATAAATCAACAACATCAACAACAACAAAACCAAATACCTATTAAACAATTTAATCAAAATCAAGGAGGAGTTCAATTCACAAATACAAATCAAACTTATTCAAATCAATATCAACAGAACACCGTCGTACAACAACCTTATTCTATAAAACAAGATGGGTTGAATATACAACCACAAAGGTCACAAACTAATAATAGAAATTATAATACATTAACAAATCAACAAGCAAATATACCTTTTTATAATAAACAAATGCAACAACAACAAAATCAAAATCAAGCAGATTTATCGGTTATGCAACAACAAAATTATAATTATGATTATCCGCAACAACAACAACAACAACAACCACCACCACAACAGAATTATCAACCTCAATATCAACAACCAACCACCGCATTACCTATAAATCAACCCTCCTATAATCAACAAAATTATTTACAACCATTGTCAGAACTGATTCAAGAATCAGTACCACCAGCACCACCACAAGAAGAAGAAAAACCAAAACGAACAAGAAGTAAAAGATCAAGAAGTTCAAATTCAATATCATCAACATCAATTCCACCAGAAAATGAATTAAAACAATTGGCAAAATCAAAATTAAATATACCATTATCAGAATTAGCTTATAAGATTAAACAACTCGAGAATCAAGAAAATCCTCAATTAACAATTGCAAGTTCTTCATCATCAAATCCAATACCTGCTACAACTTCACAAGAAAATATAGAAAGTAATAGAGAAACTCAAAGACTGATTTTTGGAATGGTTTGGCTTTTAAATTCTTGTGAAATTTCTCCAACTGCTGTTATTCCACGTAATAGAATTTATGCAAGATATGTACAAATATGTGCTGATAATAGTTTATCACCTTTATCACCTGCAAGTTTTGGTAAATTAGTTAAAATATTATACCCCAATATAACAACAAGAAGATTAGGAATGAGAGGTCAACTGAAATATCATTATTGTGGAGTTAAATTGAAAGGAGATCAAAATATGCAACTGCAACTACAACAACAACAGCAACAACAACAAAATCAACCACTGTTATTACAACAACCACAGTTAATGAGTGGGTTTATGGGTTCTGTTGATTCTCCCATATCATCAGCAAATTCATCAATAAGTTATGATGATTCTCCGAGATCACTATCACAAATAAATACTCCTTCATTTACTCCAATTAATTCACCTTCAATAACATGTTCATCATCAACTTCATCTTTTAATTTAGCTGATCAGTTACCACTGGTTTCTCATATGAAATATATACCAGATTTATTTAAATCATTAAATAATGAATTGGTGGCACCTGATTCAAATCCTTATGTTCCCATTGAATTACCATCTATATATCCATACTTACCAAAACAATCAGATCGTGATATTGCAGATACATTATATTCATTATATAAAGTTCATGTGAATTCAATATTTGAATCCTTAAGATTTATGCAATTAAAGAAATTGTTTTCAAGTTTCAATCAATTTAATACCATATTGACTATACCAGTTTATAAATTATATACAAGTGATTCATTATTAGAATGGATTCAAGCATGTGATTTAATAATGTATAAAAAAATGATTAGAATGTTAAGTAAATTAAGTTTACAAATAATGATACCACAGGAAAATATCAACCAATTGAAAATAATTTCATTAAATTATTTAAAAACATTATCCAACACTATAATTAATCCTAAAAATTCCAAAAATTTTATAATAATGAAATTAAAAATGGGTAAACATTTTATTAATTTATTAAATAGATTAATTAAAATTATAGAAACTGGAATAACTGCTTCCAAAATATTGGTAGATACAAATGAAAAACAATCAATGTTAAATGATTGGATGAAATTAGACCTTACTGAAATAATATCAAGAGAAATTCCATGTAATGAAACAAATATAAGTACTTTAAATTATATAATGAATAATGAAATATTTGAAATCCTAACAAAATCAATGTCAATTAATAATTCACAAATTTTAATTCAATTTTTTGCAGATTTTTTAAATAATTTACCATCAAAATTTTCAAATATAAATTCAAGATTGTTCTTATTATTAACTTCAAATTTTTTAACTACTTGTTTGAGAGAAATTTCATTAGTTAGTGGAGAAGGTTTTGGTGCTTGGTGGATAGTTAGATGTTGGATAGATGAATATTTAGCTTGGATAATGGAATTAGGTGGGTTTTTCCAAGATGATTTAAAACTACAATCAGAATCTTTAGGTGGTGGTGGAACAATCCCTCAACAACAACAACAACAACAACAACAACAACAACAAGAGTTCACAAGCACCACCGACCAAGGTGATAATTCTTTTGGTGCAATTGACTTGTTGGAAACTTCATTTGAATTTGAAAAATTACCACAGTCTCAACATGATCAACTGGATGCGACATCTCAACAAACTAAGCAATTGACTGATGCTTTAAACTTTGATCCTACTGTTAGTAATTTATTAGGATAATTATATAGCATTTTACATTATTAGATTTAAATTATAATTTTTTTCAAATGTACGAAATTTTAAAAATTAATTCGATCACAAAATTGGAATCTTGTTTAGGTACAGCATACCCAAGAATTTGCATTCAAGATTGATAGATCTTACAAGATAAGACACCACTTGAAGTAATAGATGCATAACTAAATTTGATGGTATATATCAACATTATTTTTCCGTTCAATTGTTCTCAATTCTTTGCCAACTGCAAACTTTTTTTTTTTTTACAACCAAAACTAATAAAATTGGTTGCAAAACTTTTTACAAAATGTCAGACCTATCAAAATTTGATACATTTAACTTAACAGATCAATTATTAGAAACAACAATAACTCCCAAACCAAATTCAAAAGATGATACTAATACAACATTAACAACCCCACCACAACAAACAAAAGATTATTGGAAATTTAGATTATCTATTAAATTAATTCAAGATATTTATGTATTTCCAGAAGATGAAAATTCAAAAAGAGAATTTTATGATACTATATCAACTGATTTAATTAAAGTTTATGGTAAAAATAAATCACCTGGGAATAGAGGTATTAAAATCAATTCTAATCTCGGTAATGAATTAAATATTGGTACAAATTTAATGGAAATTGGTACACAATCTTGTTTATTTGAAAATGAATATAAAGGGAATCTTTTATTTTACGTTTCTAAATATTTTGAAATTTTTAAAAATTATTTTAGTTTATTAAAAATTAATGATTTGGAACAAAAATATTTGAATTTAATATTTTTAGTATTTTTTAATTATTTAGAAGATAGTGAATTTGCAAGTAAGATTAATAATTTATGTACTCATCAAAATCAAATTCGATTAAATTTTGAAAAACAATGGTTAAGAGATAATTTAAAATTATATATGATTGAAGTTTTTCAGATTTTTTTCAAAAATTATTCATTAGCTTCTGAATTTTACAAGAAGATGCAGATAAAATGTTGTAAAAATAATTGGAAATTCTTGGAAAATTTAATTAATCTTGTTTTAATTAATTATTCAACTTTGAAGAATTACAAATTTGAAGAAATTGGTTTAAATTTAGATCCAAAATTTGCTATTATTAATCATAGTTGTTTACCTAATGTTTTACAAATTGAATATCAGCCAAAAAAATTTCAAATAATAAACACACTCCCATTGAAAACCGGTGATGAATTATGTATCAACTATATTCCAATTAATGGTATTCCTCAAGAAATTCGAAATTATCAACTTAATTTAAATTATTATTTCAAATGTGGTTGTAAATTATGTAAATCAAAAAATGATATTTTTTTCACAATGCAATGTAATGAATGTTTCAAACCAATAAAATCATCAAGTTTAACATCAGTTTTAACAACTAGTAGTGCAATCCTCAAGGAAACTTCATGTTCAAAATGTTTCCATCCTTTTGATACCGAGATATATACAAGACAAATATTAATTCGTAATTTTTTTATGGCTTTAATGTTAAGGAATTCAAAACTGAATTATAATTTTAATGATGATGGTTATTTTACAATGTTACAAAAGGAATTTACAACAATGATTGAAAATAATTCTGTAACATATTTAATTAAACAATTGTTTGAATCAAAGGATAAATTTATAATCCCACCTGAAAGAATTCCATTTGTTAAATCATTAATTGATGAAGTTATGACTGGTAAAGTATTTGCATTATATACATTCCCATTCAATTTAATTGTTGAAAAAATAAGTAAAGAATGTTGTGAATTTAATAATTTTGAATCAGGTATGGAATACTTGAAATATTATTCTAGGGTTTTGTTTGCTATAAAATTACCATCTGACATATCAAATCAATTGTTTTTTAATGAATGTTTATACTTGGAAATTTCTGAAAATATCGAAAAGTTAATGCAAAAATTATATGATGAAAAAATAAACACATATTTTGGAACTTTTAAAGAATCAATGGAATTATTAGCAAGATGTCAATTTTTCTTTTTAAAACATGTTAAAAGTAAATTTAAAATTATTGAAATTGAAGAAAAAATTAAAAAATTATGTGAAATTTATCAACCTATTAAATCAACAAAATCAGTTCATTCTTGTTTAGAACAATTGTTCATTTACGCAAATGCAAATATTTTTATAACAAAAACAAGATTTTTAATATTCAATGCTAAACAAGAACAAGTTACTTTGTTTCATACATTTGATTCAGATGATCATCTTTGAGTTGGGTGTTTAAACATCATTTAAAGCAACACAAACAGCACCTTTATGATGTCCATTATATTGTCTTACAGTTTCACTATTTGATAAATCCCATAATCGAACATAATGATCAGAACAAGCAGTCACTAAATATGCACTATCTGCACTAAATGCACAATCCCATACCCATCTTTGATGTCCTTGTAATGTAGTTTCTAGAGCGAAATTTTGTTCTGTTGACCATATTCTAGCAGTATGATCTGCTGAACAAGTTGCTAAATGTTTCATATCTGTACTTAACAAAACTCTTGTTATATATTTTGAATGTGATCTAAATTTAGTAACTGGTGTTAAAGAAGTTAAATCTTTTTGATTTTGCATTTTCCAAACATAACAATTACCTTTATTATTTCCAGCAACTAACATTGATCCATCACTTGCAACACTTAATGAATTAATAGGTACATCGTCTTCAGGTATTAAATGGTGAGTACATTGATTTTCTCCCAAATCCCAGACTCGAATATTTCCATCTTGATCACAACTTATTAATTCACCTTGATTTGGATGTATAACTACTTCATTTACTGGACAATTATGTTTATAATTTCTTTGTACTGAAGGAGACCGTACATCCCATACTTTAACTGTTCCATCTTCACTTGATGTAACCATCCATTTATTATCTGCTTGAAATGCTAATGATGTAACGTTTGTGGTATGACCTTCAAATGTCATTACTGGATTATTATTACTGTTATTTGAATTATTTGATGATGATGAACCTTGTTGATTACTTGTCGTACCACCATTTGAGACATTGTTTGAACCTCCATTACCAGATGATCCATTCTGTCGTATATCATATAATTTTACATATAAATTTCCAGCAGCTGCTAAGTATCTTTTATCTGATGTTATTTCTAATCTGTTGACTTGTGAATCTGGATGTTGAATTGTTCTTGAACAAACACCTGTTAGTGCATCCCAAAATCTTATGGTGTGATCGTAACCCGCAGACGCTAGTATAACAGACATTATGTACTAGGTAAGTTGTTGTTGTCGTTGTTAGTTGTTAATTATTTACAGTTGTTCTTAAGAGTCAAGATTCATTTTTCAATATTTCATTTTTGTGTACACTTTTAAATTTTCAAAATTTTCGAGATAGTCAATAATAAAAATTGATCTGTTACCATGAGTGGATCAATTGTCAAAATATTACCGGGAGTTCAGTAGGTTTTAAATGATTGATCTTGGAAGCGAGAGCGGCACATTAATATTACAAATAAGTAAGAAATAAATTTAATCAATTATACGTATATTATTCTATTTAAAAATTGGTATTGATTGCTTCTTTTTGCGCTGGTGTTAAAGAAGTTGGATAATCGACTTTGAATACAATTTCTAAATCCCCTTTTTGTCCTGGACTCTTACTAATTGGCATACCTAAACCAGGATAAGTTGTTGTAAATCCTGGTTGTACAGGATTTGACCTACTTAAAGGAATTCTTCTACCATCTATAGTTGTTACATCTTTTTCAAACCCAGTTAATGATTCTTTGAATGTTAAATGTACTGTCAATATAATATTATTACCATCTCTTTTAAAAATTGGATTTGGTTTTTCCTCTATTACAAACTGTATAGTTTGTCTTGCTCCACATTCTGGTTGATAATCTCCTTCATTTGAAAAATTAATTTTTGTACCTGATTTCCAACCTGGTTTTATATTTATTTCTAATATTTTTTGTTCTCTTGATCCATTTGGATCTTTTCTTGTTATTTTCATCTTTTTGGTGGCTCCTTTATATAAATCTTCTAATGATACTGGTAATGGCATTGATACTGTATCTGGATCTGGTCTTGGTTGTGATCTTTGTCCAAATCCTCCTGGCATTCCTCCTCCTCCACCTGATCTGAAACCTCCACTACTTCCAAATGGTGAACCACCTTGTCCACCTTGTCCTCCAAATCCACTTGAACTAAATGTAAATCCATCATCACCCATTCCAAATCCACCCATTTGGGAAAATATATTGAATGCATCAGCATTTGAAAAACCTCCACCACCTGATGATCTAAAACCTCCTCCACCTGGAGCTCCACCGAATCCACTGAAACCACCACCTGCTCCACCTGCTCCACCAAATGGATTACCTTGATCTGCTGCTGGTGCATTACCTCTTGCTGCTTCTAAACCATATTGATCATATACTTCTCTTTTGTCAGCATTCGATAAAATATCAAAAGCTTCTGAAATTTCTTTGAATTTTTCTGTATCACCAGTAGGTTTATCTGGATGGTATTTTAATGCTTGTTTTCTATAACCTTTTTTGATTTCTGCTTCACTTGCAGTTGGTTCTACTCCTAATAAATTATAAAGTTTTTTGTCTTTGACCATTGTGGTATATAATTATGTGTTATGATGAGTTGAAATTTTTTATCGTTGTTTCTTTTTTTTTGTCCCCTATATATGTGAGTTCTTCTCCAATAAATCAATTGATAATTATGATAACTTTGGAGGATAAGAAACTTGTTAATTCTGAGGAGTTTTATTTCAGTATTTCAACTTAATTATAGCAAACATTTTTTATCATTTTGACATTTCCATTTTCGCATGCGCTACCTGAAAGGTCGACCTAATATTTCTAGAATCTTCTAGTTTAGCATTACGTATAAATACGGAAGTATGAATCCTAATTGACCCAAACAGATATCCAATTCATTAAATTATAAATACAATCATTAAATTACATATTACATACGTCCTATACTTTTAATGCTACATTTTCCTTTGTGATATATTTTTCGAAAGGTTTTAAAGCATTTGCAACGTCTTGTTTAACGAATTTTTCAGTTTGTTCTGGAGCCCTACCAACAAAAGTTTTTGGATCCAACAAGGAATCCAAATCATTCCAAATTGGTTTGAAATATTCTGTGTTTCTAACTCTTTCAATTAAATCATTATCACCACCTTCTTGTTTTACAACAGCTGAAGCTTGATGTGATAAAACTCTAATTTCTTCATGACATTCTTGTCTTGATCCACCTTTTTCAACCATTGCCATAATAATATTTTCAGTAGCCATAAATGGTAATTCTGAATTGATTCTTCTCTCAATAACTTTTGGATAAACAACTAAACCAGAAGTGATATTAAGCATGGTAGATAATAAAATATCAACAGTTAAAAAAGCTGATGGTAAATTAATTCTTCTTATAGCTGAATCATCTAAAGTTCTTTCAAACCATTGAACACTAGCAGTTTGTATAGAATCAGAATATAACCCACCTAAATGTCTTGCCAATGAACAAACTCTTTCACATCTCATTGGATTTCTTTTGTAAGCCATTGCACTTGAACCAATTTGAGATTTTTCAAAAGGTTCTTCAACTTCCTTTAAGTTTGCTAATAATCTAATATCAGTAGCAAATTTATGTGCAGTTGCTCCAAATGATGCCAATGGAGCTAAAACGTCGATATCAATTTTTCTTGAATAAGTTTGACCAGTAACTGGATAAACATGTTCAAATCCCATTAATTCAACAACTTTTTGATCTAACTCCTCCACTTTATCATGATCACCATGGAACAAGGACAAAAATGATGCTTGAGTACCAGTAGTTCCCTTAACACCTCTTAAACCAATATCATTTCTTGCTCTTACCATATTTCTTAAATCCCATAACAATTCTTGTAACCACAAAGTAGCTCTCTTACCAACAGTTGTTAATTGAGCGGGTTGAAAATGAGTCCACCCTAAAACTGGTAAATCTTTATATTCCAATGCAAATTGACTTAATCTATCAATTACATTAACTAATTTTGGTATTAAAATATCATAAGCATCTCTTAAAAAGATTAAATCAGCATTATCAGTAACAAAACATGAAGTTGCACCTAAATGAATAATACCAGCAGCTGAAGGACATGTTTCTCCAAATGTATGAACATGAGCCATAACATCATGACGTACTTTACTTTCTTCTATAGCTGCATCTTGAATTTCTTTATCGGTTATTTCTAAATGTTGAGACATTTCATCTATAGCTTCTTGAGTGATCATATCTAATCCAACTAATTTCTCAGCTTTTGCTAAATTCAACCATAATTTTCTCCATGTTGAAAATCTATTTCTTAATGAAAAAACTGCTGACATTTCTTCAGATGCATATCTTGAAGATAATGGAGTTGAGTATTTATCGTATTCTGAAACCATATTGAAAGAGGAATTATTTCAGTTGCTATTGTTGGTTTAAAGTAAACTAGTTGATTCAATTGACTAAGTGAATTGATTGTTCTACTGGTATTGAATTTGTAGATTGAAGGTTTAAAGATATTTAATTTTTCAATATTTGGTCTTCTCTTAAATTTTTAATTAAGACATGCAACAGGTGTAGAAAAATTCCCCGTAAATTTATTTGTTAATTTAAAGTTTTGACTCCGAAAAAAAATATAAAATATGTTTCTTGTCATTTTTTATGTTTGGAAAGTCTTAAATATGACGTAAAAAGAAGAATACATCTGTAGAGCTTCCCGTCCAAAAGGAAGCATATAATCTCAGAACTGACTCATCCAATAATAGGCTAGCCAGAGTATTGTCCATCGAAGATGCAGATTGTGATTTGATAAACTATGATTGTTCTCTTCAGACTAACTCTTATCTTTGTTTCCGTTACTTACTCTAAATGATTTAACAATATTTTACTTCACTTGTGTAAGAACTATCGAGTATAAAATGCTGTAGCTGAATAAATAGAGGAAAAGCAAGAGCTGAAAATTTTACAAACATTGATTCTGCTTTCTAAACAATACATCATACAAAGTTACATTTATTAAAATTGATTTGAAAAAATTAAACAATGCTTGATTTGTTATCGTGAACATAAAAAGATTTTCCCACATACTTTTCGACCTCTGATTTAGCAGCTTTTATGAGTTGACAATGTATAAACCATATTAATTTTTTTCAATTATATCATGAATTATATAATTCATCTTTGGAACAATGTATCAAAAGAAAAACTAATTAACCATTCAAAGTCAATCTTTAATATATAAAAATTGATATATCACCAAATAGCCTTGATCCAGGATAGTGAAACGTTCTGGATTTTAATAGACTAATTGACAAACCAAGGGCCCAACAAGGCTGACAAGAAGCTCTGTTTTTTGGTCAATATATAATACTTGAACGTTTTAATACCACAATCATATTACTTACTATCTAGATATAAATACGTACAACAATAGCTGCAAAGTAGCCATGTAGTTGATTTACTTTATACCAAAATGATTGTTGTTGTTTTAGAAAAGGTGTAATTAAAAAAGTGAACTGTAAAATTAAATTGGTCTTGTTTTATTTTTTTGTCTTTTATACATATTAATTTGTTATGCTAGGACAGGTAGATATAGAAATTGCACCAAATCTGGACAAATATGCATAAAAAAAATTCTTCTTTTTCTTAGACCTGAAGGGCTAGATTTTTTAGAGTTAGATTTTGTGGGAATTGATGAAAATAAGCTTTTACAAGTGCTATATGTATTAAAATACAATTATACAAGTTATAGATCGTAAGAACAATACTCTCTAAGTACTGTCGAATGCATTTGAGGTGTTGAGCTTTGAGAAAGCTTCTGAATCAAATTTTTCTGTTCTCTACCATTTACTTTCAAGAAACTTTAAATTAACAGGTCTATCTTTCAAAATTCTAAATGTCATTGCGACTTAAACAAGATTCTATGAGACTGAAAATGACATTATTGACAAAAATCTACTTCAAACTAAGAAAGTAAACAAAGCTAACAATCTAAAAAGGGTTCAGACTACAATTCTATAAACCAATACGAAATACAAATTAAAAATATACATTAAAAAAGAAGAATAAGGTCCAACCTTAGTCTTATATGTCAAAAAAGAATACCAAGCTTTACAGAAAACGTCTTAAATTCCATTATTATTTTGCTGTTTCTATTTTCATTGTGACAGATCATGTCAATTTGATTGATATCCTTTTTAGTTTAAAATATTTAAACACTCAACGTATCCTTATCTGAGCCCTGTTCATGGCAAAATCGAATTTACGAATAAAATCGTTTCAATCAAAGCGAAAAGATAATACCAAGTTTTCCACATATTTTAGCATTCGAAGTAGACTGATTAAATCTCCCAATTGTTTAAAGCATTTGAAAAATTCTAAAAGAATACTTAGCTAATTATTGTCAGAGTCAGTACTAGAACCAGTACTATTCAACAAATCTAAATTTTCAAGAACACCATATAACATCACCCCTATTGAAACAGATAGTAACTCCATTGAGCAAAATTTCATTTTAAAAGTCATAAATGTTCCATAATTCACGAAGAAACTTGCTCATCTGTAACTTCTATTTTTCAGCTTGGTTTAAAATAAATTTGGACTTCACGGTTCCATCAGACAAATTACCAGCATCAAACATTAAAAGTAAAAAATTAATTCGAAATATTTCATAAATCAAGTTTAAATGTCAAAGACTAATCAAATTTATTAATACATGTAAGTTTTTATAAATTTGAAAAGAATCCAATCTCAATTATGAAAAACTTCATCAAGCCTGATATAATAATAATAGGAAATTGCTATAATGCTACTATACAATGCAGAAGTGATGAAGTAAGAATATTTTTTTTTTCAGAATTTGTGGAAAATTCCTCTTTATTTATAAGAAAAAATCTTTTGAAATAATTTAGCATAACAAAATTTAATTTATATCTAATTTTAAAGCTTATTACTTAACACAAAATTCAAATAAGATATATTTAATAAGAATAGCAGTTAACTTAAGAAATTATAGACGTAAATACCTATTGCGTTACTTCATCACTTTAATTCTAAAATTTTGTTGATACTCAAAGGTTATATGTACTCAACGTAATTGTTCTATTATAGTCTTTTAGTCGACCTTTTGAGACTCACGTTTAGTTAATGATTTCTACTTTACCCCTCTTTTAAACTACTTTTCGATCTAGGCAAGAAGACACAAACTCGTTATTTCCAACCTGAGAGCAAGATTTGTTATTTAAGAGCTTTCACTTTAAAGCGAATTTCAACTTGTAAAATATCTTTAATAGCAGGAAATACATGAGATTTCATGGCAAACATCAGAGCACAGAAATTACTCCTCAATTTAGTTTGTACCTCGCATGCATGGAATTAAGTTTATGGATTTTAAAAAAAACTAATGTGCTTTAATCATGGATATCTATATAATTCTTCTGTTTCTAACATATCACGGCATTTAAATACCGTATGTTTATTGTTTGCGCAATAGATTTTACAGTTTCTCACTTGCTCATGTAGTACAAAAGATCCCTTAAAGCGGCTGATGATTCAAGTTATATCTTGGATTTGATGAAAAAATTGGGGTAGGTTATGTTGTTGATGGAAAGAGAATATTTAGTACGTACCACGTGACTCAGATAAGGTGTCAAAACCACGTTACACAAAACTTTAAATAATCAACTTATTATCAAAATCATTTGTAACAACGAATACGACAGATCTTGCGTTAATACATTATACTCGACTTTTTCAATGCTCATCAATGAGTCAGTGGTCTAGCTTACTAGAAATTTTGTGGTTGTATCACGGTTTCAAACCTTCATCTTGTAACCTGAGGTTTTCCCGTCTTTTTCCTATCATTAAAGCATAAATATAATAAAATTTCTCATCAAAGTTTTTATTAAAAAGATAGATTATCTCATATCTTATGTTTACAAATTTAACGATAAAAAATACAAGAAATCCAAGCAAAGACTCAATTACGAGTGCCAAGACACATTATCCTTGATAAGAAGAAGCGGCTAGGGTTACCAAATTACAACTTTCAATTCTCATACGATGTTTTCGTTTCTTAAGTTCGTCAAAAGAACTATGCTTATCACTTTTACCCCCCACATTGGCCACACGGGATGAATTTTCAATGACTCCAACTCATTGATTATAATATTGTAGAAATTGTTTTTCCTATTATCACATTTGCAGCTCGAATCAAAAATGATAACGATGGCTAAGAAAAATAATAAATATTAAAATGCTGATAAGAGTTTATATATATTAAGATGCGTTTCCAGTATGCGTTGATGATATTTGAAATATGATTGACAACCACCATTGACACTACTGCTACTTTTATCCATACAATTATTAGTCATGCAAGCAACAACATCAAAAGTAGAATCACATATACATAGTGTTGTATCAAATCGAGGTCAATTAAGACATATTGATCCAAATAAAAATTTAGGAGATGAAGATCTTTAAGACAAATTGGTTATAAACAAGAATTAAGAAGACATTATTCTACATTTGAAACATTTGGAATTGCTTTTTCTATAATGTCATTATTACCATCAATTGCATCAATTTTACCAATTTTATTATCAAGTGGGTTATTGGGAGCTTGGTTATCATGGTTTTTAGCAAGTTTCTTTATCTTGTTTATAGGTATGGGGCTTTCTTTTCACGCATCAGCAATCCCAACTTCAGGTGGGTTATATTATTATACAAATTATTATTCTCCAGAATCAATTCGAGTTCCTTTAAGTTTTCTAATTGGTTGTGCAAATACATTAGGTTTAGCTGCAGGAACTTGTGCAATTAATTATGGATTTGCAGTTGAAGTTTTATCAGCTATTTTTATACAAAGAGATGGAGATTTTGAAATTACAGATGGTGCTTTATATGGCCTTTTTGCTGCTTGTGTTGTTACAAATATTATAATTGCATCAGTAGCTACAAAACAAGCAGCTAGATTACAAGCTTTTGCAGTTTATCTTAATATTTTTTTAATTGTTATTTTCCTTATAGCTGTTCCAATTGGGTACTCCAAAAATTATGAATTTAATTCTAGAGAATTAATCTTTTCAGATTTACAAAATTTCCGTGAATGGCCAATTGGTTGGAGTGTTTGTATTAGTTTACAAGGTGCAGCTTGGGTTATTGGAGCATTTGATTCAGTTATTCATTGTTCAGAAGAATGTAATAATCCACAAAGAGCTATGGCTTGGGGTATTTTAGGGTCAATTGGAGCTTGTGGTGTATTAGGAGTTGCTATTGTTACTGTTTGTGTCGCTTGTATTGTAGATGGTGATATTCAAAGAGTTTTAGAATCGTCAACAGGTTCAGCTATGGCACAAATCATTTATGATTCATTAGGAAAACATTGGGCAGTTGCATTTATGGCAATGATTGCAGTTGGTCAATATTTTATGTCAACATCAATTGTTATTGCAGTAAGTCGTCAATCATGGTCATTTGCAAGAGATGATGGATTACCTATTATTTATAATTGGGTAAAATATGTTGATCCAAGAGTTAAAGTACCAGTTAGAGCAACTATTTTTGTTGGTGGACTTTGTTTAGCTTTAGGTTTACTTGTTTTTATTGGACCAGCTGGTGCAAATGCATTATTTTCATTAGGTATATGTTCAAATAATCTTGCTTGGATGATGCCATCATTGTTGATATTATTACCATATGGTAGAAAGAAATTTGTTCCAGGTCCATTTTGGTTTGGAAAACCACTTTCTTATACTGCAATGACAATTGCTTGTTTGTGGGGGGTTTTCATAATGGGATTATCATTATTCCCAGATAATATTGCAGTTGACAAAGAAACAATGAATTATACAGTTGTTATAAATGTTGGAATGTGGATTTTATCATTAGCTTATTATTTCATATATGGTCATAAGATTTATTCAGGACCTAAATCCAATTTAGAAGATGAAGGTGATTATGCTGAAAGCTCAGATGTTGCCATGATAGAAGAAATAGCTACTGAGAAAAAAGTTTGATGAGATTATGATGTGTTGAATAATTAAAACTTATGATCTTTCGTTTTTTTGTATAGAGTGTAATTGTTGGCTTGAAACGATCTGAAACTCATTGGCTTGTTTTACGTAGAATACAGACAAATCATGAAACTACATGTATAAAATCGACCTAAATATTGTAAAGTTTAATTAAAGAGACTGACTAATATATATAATGACGCGTTTTGGCCAAGGCTTCAACATTTTTTCCAAATTAAGTTAAATTTGAACAATTTTCGTTTAAACTTTTAATTTTCAAAAACCTTAATTTCTAATTATTCCGCCTTAATTGCTTTAAAATTTTAATACCGATATCAAATGTAGATTAATACATAAAATTTATAAATCCAAGTAGATCAAAAACTGGGGTAAGTCTCTTTATTCTTATTGTGCCAAATGTTATCGAACAGATACGATATACTATACATCAATTTGGTGTTTATTTGTCTATTGAAAATTTCAAATCTCTTCCTAATTTATATGAACAATAAAATACTACAAAGTTGCATTTACGAATAAGCCACCTTAAGCCACCTTGGAAAAAAACAAAAGAAAGATTGCATTTACGAATAATAACCATTATGAGAAAGTCCCTTTAGCTAAGGCAATTCATCATATATAAAATTTCATTAGTGAATCTGGTATATTCTAAGATGTATCACGTACTTACACTTTTCTTTGGTATTCTAAATTGGTAGTTCATTTAAACTAAAACATATGTGAATAAATCGTAAATCATGTCGGCCTTAAACTTAATTTTATAACCGTTCGTACTAAAAAGTTTGGGGGAATTAAGGACTTTTATTTTATTTATTAATTTAATTTAATTAATTTATAAAACAATCAAACTGAAAAATATTTAAAACAATAGAAGATTAAAAAGTAAGACAAGAAAAAATCAATTAGTCAATTATTAAGATGGGGGTGTTTACTAAGAATAATAATAATGACGTAGTAATTATGTTTAAAGTTATTTAACTGACAAATATATTTCCTTGTGGTTGGTAGCTACAATAATATGGTTTGCAATCCTGAATTTAATTACTTATTTTATACAATAGAAAACAAAGCAAAAGAAAAAAAAGGGTATACTATCATACGAAGTAAAAAGTTTATTTGAAATTGGAATTATAAAATAGAAATTCGATTTGAAACAATATATATTGGGGCAGTGAGGAAGTTAAAGTTTCAATTAGTACATATACGTATAAGCTAGTAACTTTACGCATTCTATGGAATTTGCCCTTCCTATGGTTCTGATTTGATCATAGATTAGGTAAAGAAATCTGAAATTATGAAAGCAGGGGCGATGTTTTTAGTTTACTTTGCCTTTGTACCTATTCAAACCAATCTTGGTTTGATGATTATGGCAATTTTATCAAATCTTCACCTTTATAGATTTAATTTATGCACCCTATTTAGCAACTTTTTACTACTTATAGACAATTTATAAAAAGAATTGGTTTCAGATCAATTTCATCGTGTGTAAAAGACGAAGTTGATAACAAAAGTTTATTTGTCCTTAACTTTTTGTGCTTGTTTAAGGTTATAAATAGATATTTCAAGAATGTTTCAGATACGGGGTGCGAAATCACTTAATTAATCGATGAGCTATAAATTGGAGGAAGAAGTTGGATTAGCTAATTGAAAGTGACTCAATTCCCATGCATTTCGTTTAAACTTCCCTCTGAATTCAAGTGGCGAGTTAAATATATAATTTCGTTACTCATTTGATGTTGCAAAAGTGTCGATGACATGACGATAACGTGACGATATTATGACGATCCTGTGTCGTAATAAAAAAAAATAAAAAAAGAAAAAAAAAGAAAAAAGATATCTAAAACATTTGTTTAACTTCGTAATTTAAATAACTTATTAATGTATTATCTATAATTGGATTTATTAAATTATTATTGTTCTAAAATCAATTGGTTAATTTGATAAAAGGAATGATAAATAGCAATGACATTCCTTGATCGTAACTATAGATGATCATTTCTACTAGACAAGAGAAAGGTCAATATTGATCATTCAAGAAATCACACTATTACCATTTCAAGTTCTTGATTTATTTGGACCACTAATAAAAAAGGTAATTGTAAGCGTTTGTTAAATTTTTCATGTTTCTTTTCCCTTTATAAATTCTCAATAATATTAATATTTCTTTTTTCATATATACATTTGCTCGTTTTTTGAAATATCCATTTCATGAAATTTTGGAATTTCTATTGAAGTATGAAATTTTTACAACTTCAATAAATCCAAAGAGAAATTTAATAGATAGATGAATTTTTTAGTAAATCGTAACATATAATTAAAGTGATTAAGCAAAATTTCATTACTAATAAATTTTAAAGTTTGAATAATCTAATTTAGTAACTAGTAACATGATCTTGAGATCAAGGGTTAATTGACTACCAAAAAGTATAATCAACATCTAATTGAAATTTGATCAAAAACTCCTTTCACCAAATTCCCATCAAAACAAATGTCATACTCAATAGTAAAAAAGTTAAATTTTCAAACGCAAAATATAAATTCTTTTGTGTCTTTATTAATGTTTCAAATGGGGTGCTGATTCAAACATATAATTTGAAACAAGCTTTTTTAATTAATTTAATTTAAATTTTTAATTTTTTTTTTTTTTTTTTTTACNAACTTATTTAGAGATTATTGAAATAATGTATTTTAAATTAATTTACAACATGAAATTAATAAATAGTTGTAGTAAGCTAAAGTATCAACAATTAACTATAATATATTACTCATTTCCTAAGTGTCATTTATCATTATGAAATTCAAATGATCAAAATATATTGTAAACAAATAAATTGTAAACTAAAGAAGAGATATCCGGATTAATTGATTATATATTTTATTAATCCAATGGAGGAAATAAAGGATCATTAATGTTTCATATTTGTTGTTAGTTGAAATGCTAAAAAATAAAATGTAATATTATTTACGTGATCATTTTGTCAATTGGTTTCAGATTTCCTTATAATGACTTTAAATTTCAATTTGTAATACTTTATTTAATAATATTATTATTATTATTATTATATTTGCCTTTTTTTTAAATTTATTAATTAAAATCAAATAAATTTCTTTTTTGTTGCTACCAGTTTACAAATTTCCTTTTATTAATTAATTAGTGTTAATTAATGAATTAGTTAGTACTAAATTAGTCTCTCTCTCATTAAAAAAACCATTCAATTTATTTTTTTTTATCTCTCTCTTTTAAATTAATTTATCATAAATTTAAAATTTTCTTTTTTTTACAACCAACTTTTTTGAATTCAATCAACTACTTTTATTTTTAATCAATTTATATATTAACTATTTTACTTTTTCTTCTTTTTATCTATATATTATTATAATTAATTCACTATTTCAAAAATCATTTATTTAACTATACTATCATTTAACAATTCAACAAACTATAAACTACTTAATTTTCAACAGTTTTTAGAAAGGACAATTTAGAAAAAAATTTTATTTATTTATATTAATTATATCAACTAATTTAAAGAAATAATGTATACTGAAGATAATCAACAACAACAAAATTTACAACAACATCAAACTCAAACTCAACAACCAGATTCAACTTCATCTCATCAATCATCAACATCTGCTACTAATAATTCATCATTATCTACATTATCATCAAATAATTCATCTAATTCAGTAGCAACAGTAGTATCAGGAGTTACACCTTCACATCATCATCATCATCACCCACATCATCATAACCATCAAAATCATCATCATCATCAATTTAGACAAGTTTGTTTTAATCCATCTACAAAAGTTTTAAATCCAACTCCAACTAATACTTTGCCATCATCATCATTAAATGCAACTACTAATCCAAATTCTTTAATTACACCAACATCAACTCCATCAAATGTTCATCAATCACAACAGAACAATAGTAGACAAGTATCATCTACCAGTCATAAAAGATTATCATCATCATCACAATCATCTACTAATTCATCTGATTCAAGTAAACGCATTAGATTAGATAATAATAACAATTCAACTTTAGGTAGTTCAACCGCCACCACAACAAATACTCCAATAAATAAAACTCCAAAATTTATACGTAAATTTAGATCTAGATCTTTACCAATTATAAATTTTAATTCAAATAATTCAGCATTTTTTTCTCATAACTTAAGAAGAAAACATAATTTTAATAATCAACAACAGCAACAACAACAACAATCACAGTCGCAACCAACAGCAGCCCCAAACCAACAACAACAGCAACAACAATCTGTTTTTTCAACTATTCCTCCATTGCCACCAATCAATTTACAATCACTTAAAGAAATTGATTTACATGAAATTTTAAAAAATCCACAATTAAGACATGATATATTATTTGATCCTCAATTACAATTTAGACCAAATTTAGATGGTGAAAGAGGTAAACGTAAAAAATCAATTATTGATAAATATTGGTTAGAAATTCAAAAAGAATGTCAACAATTTTTTATACCAAATTTAGATGCTAAAACTATTAAAATAAATAGATTACCAATACTATTCACTACATTGAGAGATATATTATTATCATTATTACCAACAAAAGATCGTCAACAAGTTAGTGAAATTATGGATATTGATTTATTAGTACAACAATTACGTCATGGATCATTTGATTTTGTTGAAATGAGTAAATGGTTAGCAGAAGTTTTTAAATCTCATTGTGCACCAATGAGAGATCAATGGGTAATGGAAATGAGTACAAAATTCATTGATGCAGCAAGTTATAATAGTGTCGGATATTTAGTTGGTGGATTAAGAATGATTTTTCAAATTTTGGAAGCAATGAAATTAGATGTTGCAAATCATCAAATTAGAATTTTAAGACCTGTTTTAATTGAAACTGCAGTTGATTTTGAACGTGATTATTTTCAAACTTTAATTAATCATCAAAAAATAAATATTAATGATTCATTAAATTGGTTTTATAAAAAATTTGTTAAAAAGACTGAAGATACCAAAATTGAAGTTAATGAAAATAATATAAAACCAATTGTAATAAGTTCAATAATAGATTTATTATCATGTCGTCAAATGGCAACTGAATTTCCATCAACTTTAACTTTTGATCATACAAGATTAGTATTATTAAGAGCTGATGTAAGACAATTAGTTTGTGTACAATTATGTGTTGTATTATATAAACAATTGGTTGTTAACTCAAAATCAAGTGTTTCATTATTATCACAAGATCAAATTACAAAAGTTCAACAAGAAATATTGGCTATTGTTACTGATGATAATGGTAATATAAAATGGACTAAAAATATTAATGCTATATCTTTACAACTTGTTAAAAATTTATATCCACAAGGTAATAATGAAAATTTACCAATTCATTTAGTTGAATTTAGTCATAATTGGTTAATGAAACATATACAGCCAAATTCAGAAGTTTATGGATTAATGGAAATTAAAATTTTTAAAGAATTATTAAATGAAATAATGTCTTTAGTAATTTCAGAATCTGAAAAAGAAGAAAGTAAGAATAATACAATTAATTCAAACAACTCAACTACCACCACCAACAACAACAACACAACCAATAATACATCAGAAATGAAAAACATAGCAACAAGAATATCAACATTAGTTAATTTCCATTGGAACGTATTTGGATCATATTATTTAGAATATATTAAAAATCAATATACTAAATTACAATTATTACAAGCAGCAGAAGAAGAAGAAAAAAGACAACAACAATTAAAATTAAATGTTGGAAATTCATCACCAAAACAACAAGATGATAATTCAGTAATATTGGATCATTCACAACAATCACAACAAACTAGAGATCATAGAAATAATACTAATGGTGGTCAAAACACCAATAATAATAATAATGGAGAAATTGATTCAAATAGCAACAGTAATAATCCAAATTCAGCTCCATTAAGTATGTTATCTTAGTTTTTATATGACATGTCATGAAACGTTTTTTTTTACATTTATCACATAATTTTATTTCACAATATAGGTTTTATTTTGTTTTTTTAACAAAAAAAAAGAAAGTGCATTTTATTTTATATTATTTTATATTTGGTTGTTTCTTAAATTATATTTTATTAGAGATTATTATTATTTTATTAGTTTTTTTTTTAGGATATTTTTAAATTTTGTATATTATTATTATTATTTTTAAAAAGTATAGTAATACATGATGATGAGTTTTAAATTCATAATTGTACTTTTATTTTGTATCTGACTCCTCTACATTTTTCGATATGTTGTATCTATAATATCTGAATTGTTTGCCATTAGATTAAAAAATTGTCTCTGTGATGGTGAAAAGCTAATTAAAATTTTTAAGCATTTAACGTGTTTTGTTAAATTGAATTTTTACTAAATTTGTACTGTGATAATTTTAAAATCTTAACTCCATAACTTTATTTTTTTTTTTTTACAACCAAAAAAAGTAAATATCTTGATCCCCATATTTAATTTAAATTCTACACTCAAAACAACAAAGTACTAATTGGTTCTTAATTCTTCACTCAAATTGAGATTTAGAATACTCATTGTTCAGATCTAACCTCAATCACTAACATATATTCTTATACTCAGATTATTCATAGGAAAAATTTGTTAAATCTATACGGGAGGATAAATTAAACAAACTAAAACAAATCATTCCGTTTACAAACTATACGACCAAATTCAGATTTTCTATTTATCTCATTAATATCATATACTAAAATCAATTAGATCAAAATAACAATACAATGGTTTCTACAATTATAAAAGTTCTAATATCACCAGCAACAATAACATACTTAATAACAAAAACAATTTTCATAAATACATTATATTTACCAATTCTATATTTATTTTCAATATGTATCTATATTCCATTATTCAAATTACCATTTTTAATTCCATTAAGATACTTATTAGAATTGGAACAACCTCAAACAAAATATTCAATTGAAAGGTTTCCAATAGTTTTAGAAAATCATTCATTGAACTGGTTAATGTCACAATTTAATCTATTTGCTATAACAAGTTTTCATTTTGTTTTAACTTCAATTTATATTGGTTTAGGTGTGGGGATAATAATGGGATTTCAATTAAGTTTTATTTCTTGGTTTTTCACTTTGGATTTAAGTGGTGGTAGTGAAGGTGTTGTTATTAAAGATTCTGTGCCTATTAAAAGGGAAAAAATTACAAATATATGGGATCAAAAACCTATTCCACAGATTAAACAGGAAAAAGAAGCATCAATCAAAAAGGAGCAATTTATAAAAAAGGAAGAAGATAATAAATCAAAATTGAAGGGAAAAATATTCCAACAACAACAACCCCAATCACAACAAAGAATACTAAAGACTGAAAATAACTCTCAAAATCAAAATTATTTTGGTAATGATGATGATGAAGAAATATATATTTATCCAACTCCAAAATCAGATTTCGAATTAAATTCAAATAATCTTTTATCAACTTTACGTAATAGAAAATTACATCAATCTCAACAACAACAATTATTACAACAACAAATCCAACAACAGCAAGCACTCCAGCAACAACAAGCATTGCAACAACAACAACTACTACAACAACAATTAAATAAAGTCCAAACTTCACTATCACAAGGTAAAAAAATCAGTCAAACAAATGTAATGCAACCTTCTCGTTTTGAAGAAACTTCAAGTAGTTCAGGTAATGATATAGATATTGTAGATGTAGATGATGCCGAGGATGAAGAAATTGAACGAGAAAATCATAATTTAGAATCAGTTCAAGAAGAAGAATCTTCTGAAACTCAAGATTATGATAATGAAGAAGAAGAAGAAGATTTTACAAGAGAATTATCGAGTGATGTTGATGATCGATCTCATGGTGATGTTAATGATTCTACTAAGTTGACTAGTTTTGGATTAAGTGAAATTAATGAAGAAAGTGAATAAGATTAATTTAGTTTTGATATATACTTAGTTTTAATAAAATTTCGATTAATTGTTCAGTGCTACTCCATGCAATTTATTCTTTAAAAATGTAATATTATCTATAATTAGTACTCATTGTAATTCTCTTAATTTGAACTTTTTTGCACCAAAACTATTATAAAATTTTACTTTGAAATATTCTGTAGTTTTGTTGTTTTCAATATTACATAAAACTGACAAATGCTCAGTAGATGTTAATTGTTGCTAGCCAGGACCAATCATCATCATCTCAAATAGAAAATTGGCTAGTCTATTAATTATTAGCTGGTTACAGATCATAGGTAGAAAATTGAATCTAGATGAAAAGTAAATATTTACCTTTCCTTTTCCGTATGGTTGCAAACTACAAATTCTCCACAAATAAATTTTATGGTTGCAAATTACAAATTTTCCATGAATTAATTTTAATTTAAAACTATGTTGTACTCACTATCATTATAGATTTTCATTTTACCATATTAAAACCTTCAATAACCAAACTTAACCGGGGTTAAGAGACAAAATTAGTTTATTAATCTTTGTGATTATTATCTTAAATGTACTAAATCTTAAAATTTTGAGATCTTATTTGCAAAATTTAATCACAAGTATAAGCGCTTTTATGGAGAAAACTTTAAAGTTTAGAAAGTTTTTGAGAGATAGTTACGTTTCAATTCTTATCATAAAACGGCATTTTGATGAGATTTTCATATATAAAAGTGGGGGGTAAGTTTAGTTTTTGGTTGTCAAGAAGGTAAAAAGCAATCATTAATTTCAGTTAATGACAAATAAAAATGAATTGGTTGATCTTGAACAACAATTTGACTGAAATTTATGGGAAAAATAGACGATTTTAAAAATTTGAAAACGACTAATTTAGATGATTCATTTTTCTAAAAAATTTAAGGTACAAATTTTTAGTCAAAAGCAAAAAAGGATAAAATTGACAAGAAAAAAAAACTTTAGATCCTTTTTTTCAACTAAAAAATTTGCGTATGTATTAATTTAAGATTTTTGATAGATTTACGATATTAAAGATTTAAAGATTTGATTAAATATAGATTGTTGATCTTTAAATTTATTAGGTCTACGCTCTTCGATCTTAATCTGATTAATTCAAATCATGCTTACGAGATGTATTAAATAAACTTTAATTTATACAGTCATCTATAAATGAAATACTCAATACTTCTATTAATTCTAGTCTTTGAGATATGAAAAATTGTGAAATTACATTTTTGAGGTTCATACAGTTACGTGAATTTTACCCTTTAGAGAAGACAAAGGAGAATAAAAACTTTTTATATTTTTATTATCGTATTCAAAAAGGGAATTTCATGTTTGTATACCAAAATTAAATTTTACCGTAATCATCCAATTTGTGTAAGATTGTTTTGTAAAATCGTAAATGTATTAAGTGCAATTACTTATTAATTACTAACAAACATATACAGAGATAATTTTAATGATGGATATACAAAATTTATCCACGTTTTTAGACTACTCTAAGGACTTCCGAGAATGATCAATTTGAAACATAAACTTTTTTAATCAAATCTTGTTGATCTAGTACTTTTTGCATTCGTCTTTAAACGGTTTGTCTTACAATAAGGGTCTATGCTAAAAAAAATTCATTTGAAACAAGCCACTTTAAATCATGATTCAAGTGACATTTAAGTAACTTTTTAGAGCTCGTTTAATTCTCAGGTTCTACGATATATCATTGAACATCTTACATTCGAAGTTCCTGAGTGTGAGCTAGTATCATCAAGTAGAAGAAATCATGGCTTTGAAAAAATTTCTAGATATTTATCGTGAATAGTTTTAAGTAGGAAATAAAATAATTTTGAAAATAAAATATTTAGCACTAACTACATAAAATAATAAATTATTCAGATCACTACTCTCAATTTCCTCCACTTTAATTTTACTTACTATCATATGAAAGGCTAAAACAGGGAGCCGATTTAATAACAGTTTGTTTGCTTGACACTAATTTCGTGGAAGCTAATGTTTACGCATTCATTTGACGTATATTCTTTATGGTTAAAATCCAAATTTCATCTATGAATAAATATACAATAATTGAAATAAAGTATTTGACGTAAACTTTAATGAAAATGCGTTAAACAAATATTTCCCGAAAGCAAATGGCTCAAGTTAAAGCAAAGTTATTTTAATAATGGTGAATGAAGGTGAGTAATTGATCTGACAGATACGATTAAACTATAAAGTTAACGATGAAAAAGTTTAAATTATTTTAACTTTTCGAAAAAAAAAGTTTAAAATTATTTCATGCACTCTGAAACATAAGAACAATTAATGAATTGAATTGTGAAGTTATTCCGAAAAGAAGATCAATACACGGCTTAAAGAAATTCAAGAACCAGCTCAACCACTTTTTTTGAATAGAAAAGAAGTTTGAGAGTCTGTTTGTTATTTTTTCAATACTTTATATGTATTGAAATGTCTGTCCATCTAGCTAGTTAAATAATCACAATAAACCTCTTTTTATGATCAACTTTAGACTGGTTCGGTTAATTATGTAACTTAGTTCCAACCCCTTCAACCAAATAAAGTGGCAAATTCATTCTTCTATGAATTCAATTAAGTACCTATTACGAAGAAGTTTATAGAAATCTATTTGCAATATAACAAAAAATTTTTTTTTATATTCAGCCATTGGTTATGAGAACTTTGAAAATTAAGGTTTTATTAAGACACAAATATAACAACAAGACCAAAAGCTAAAAAAGCGTAAATGTACCGCCACTTACTCTTATTTAATAAAAATAGACACATCTATTAAGATTCCTTTCTGATACAAAACGAGCTATTTATTTTTTATGAACATCGTTTTCTAAAAGGAGTCACTACAGAATCTCACATTAGTAGATCTTTAATAGTAAATTTAAGATTTTGGGGAAAGAAGGGAAAAAAGATTTACTGTATTAATTAATTAAATTTGATAAAAATATTGTAATCGTGGATCATTGAAAGTCAGTAGAAAGCGTTGTGAATTCAGTACGATCACAAGATTATCACTCGGACATAAACTAATATTGAGAATCAAAAAGGATAGAGTGAATAAAAATGTTAAATGTATATTAAGTTGACAGTGGTAAACAATTTTGTGGTAAATTAATAAAAAAATTAAAAAAAATTTATGATAATAAATTTAGTTCAAACTAAAATTCTGAAACGAAAATTTCTTATTGTTTTGTTCAATCGTATTAAGATCTGGGGAAAGTATATGAGAATCAGTATACAAGTATAACGTTCAGTACTGCGGTTTTGCTTGTCGTAACCAATCTTTCTTTTGCCTTCTTTAAATTGCAATTTCATCTGACAGGTTTTAACGGGGGATGCAGATACTAACTTGTTTCTTATTGTAATTTCATATATCCAAAAAAATAAAGCTTTTTATATACGTGAAAAAACAATACATTTAAAAAACTTCGAATGACAATAATCAATATTAATTTTAATAAATCTTACATCTTCGACACTCAATAATAAATTTTATAGTTTTGTAACGTTTTATACCCTTAAAAATTATTTAATATTTCAAAAAAAATTATTATCTTTGATCTTTTAACACATTCAACATACTTCATTAATGAACTACCTTGGTAAAAACTTATATTGTTATTCTGTTGTTAATATGATACATATCAAAACAGGTATATTGAAAAAATATATTTATTATTATTAACTTGTTACATCTAATATAGTAATTTTAAAGTTTTCTTTTTACTAAATTAGGGTTCAAATGTAGATTCACATAATCAACATGGAATTTTTAACAAAACTACAATTTTTTTTTAAATATAAATACTTGACGATATATTTCTTAGAATTTTTTATTCTATATTTTTTTGTACTTTTGTTTTAAGAATCTTTTAGTTGATAATTACTGATCATTAAAGTCCTTTCTAGATTATTCATTTGGAAAAAATTAGAGAAAAATTTTCAACATCAAGGATCAACCTAAAGTTACTACTTCCGAATTAATTATTCACATCACCATCAATAATAAAATACAATTTATTACATTAACTTACGAATCATACATAAGGTGGTCAAAATTTCATACACTTAAAAAGTTAAAAATTATTCATATCGATAGGAGAGCACGTGATTCAGTTAATATATATATATATCATCAACTATAACCATTTACGATACACCAAACTTTAAATCACCTTTAGCATTAAAAAGATTTACAAAGAAGGTTTACTAAGGAACACAGCCATCAATCCATTCAATAATTCAACAAATAACACAAAGAAGGGTTTATTATATTCAATTTTATCCCAAATTAACAGATAAGAATAAGTTTCAGAACCACTACATATTGTTAATAAAAGCAGAATTAACATATAATTGAATAAATATAACAATCAAAACTATACAATTAAAGTTCAAGGTACATTAACAATAGAAATTAAAAATTTTTTAACTTCCTTCTCGAGATACTAAAGAATAAAAGAACAAAAGTTTAAATCAACTTCTTATTGTTTTTCATTTTTCCAGCACTCATCGTCGAATAAATTAAGAAGTTTTACATTATCGAAAATTAATTACTAATTATTGACCTGAATATTCCATACAATTAAAAAATATTGAAATTTCTTTTCAGATCAACTCATATACTCGGAAAAATCAACCAATTGCCTTCTTTCGTATCAAAATTAAGTTACGGTCCTATTGCATACTTCCAATACATTACATATCAATTTGAATTTCATTTTTCCCTTTCGATTTTTGAAGATTTCACAGTTTGCAAAAGATATAAAAGATCAATCAAATCTCATTATAAATTTTTATTGATTTTCTACTTTATTAATCAACAACTTTCATTCATAAAGACAATCTCAATTTAATTTTGTTTGTTTTATTATTAGTTACATTTATCAACTGCCATCATCAATAAATTCTTGACGTTACATTTCCGAAAACATTGCTTTTTTCTAGAATTCTTCCGTTGTTGTATACAGGTCTATTTACAATTCCATTAACAATTTTTTAATAATTAATAAAATTACTTCAATTTTTGCTGCTTTTTATTATCATATCACCAGTTGAGTCAAGTTAATCAGATCTTGTTACCAAATCTCAGTACCCTTCAAGCTTTGTTATTTTTAGATTATTTTAGGTCAGTTTTACGCTAAAATTTTAGATCATTTGAATTTGAAGAATAGAAAAATTAGCCACTTAATTTTGTGTCATTTCGCTATTCCGTTGTTTCAGATTTCCATAATATCAACTTCAACTATATATTCAAATTAATTTGCAATACTAATCAACTTTTTCCCCAAATACTTCAAATTTCTTCCCAGTATTACTTATGTCAAATTTATCATTACAATCAAATTCATTCAAACTTAATATACCAAATTTTAATACTACTTCACCTTCAAGAACTATAAATCCAACTACTACTACAAATTTCCACAAGAACTCATTATCAGATTTATCAAAAGTTGCAATAAGTGCATTATACTCAGTAAATAATTTTCAAGATCAACAACCAAGAAACTTAGTAAGATCAGATTCAATAGATTCAGATATGTCCTCAACTAGTAATGATAGATCAGTATCACCAGTTGGTAGACAACCACAAGTTATATTTGTTCATAAATTATATAATATGTTGAATGATGATAATTTACAAGAATATCTTCGCTGGTCACCGAAAGGAGATTCATTTTACGTATTTCATGGTGAAAGATTCAATAAAAATATTTTAGCTGTTTTTTTCAAACATACAAATATGTCATCATTTATAAGGCAATTAAATATGTATGGGTTTCACAAAGTTAATGAAGCAGCAAAAGATAAAAATGGAAATGATTTTACGTTATCAGATTTAGAAAAACCAAACAATAGATGGGAGTTTCGTCATTCACAAAATTTATTTAAAAAGGGGGATACATTATCATTAAATAATATAAAAAGAAGATCTTCAAAAAATAATATTAATTCTCAAAAAAACGTTATAAATTTAGAATCAATTGCACAAGCAGCCATTACAAAAGATGAATCAAACGAAGAACAAATTTCACCAAAACAAAGAGAAGATGATGCATCGCCAAATTCTTCATATTTTCAACCAACTCATATTCAACCATTCTCAATAAAATTACAATCTCCAATGACTCCAAGTTCAAGTAGTTTATCAAATAATTATCAACATAATATCAACTTAGTGGCACAACAACAACCAATTTTTGCAATAAATCCACAAACCCAATTACCACCACCTCCACCACAACAAGGACCATATGAACAATTAACTCAACAACCATCAATGGAATATATACACTCAAATGAACATTTTAATGTACCACAAAGAACATCCATAATCGATAACAATAGCAACAACAACCAACAAAAACATTTTGATCATATATATGAAGAACTCAATAATTTAAAAAGATCAACTAACGAATTATATTCAATGTATCAAATTCAACAAAATGTGTTAATAAATTTTTTAAACTTATACGAAGATAATAAATTAGATTCAATAACAATATCAAATTTAAAAAATTGCATTACTTCATCACCACAACCTCAACAACCTCAACCTCCACATGATTTAATGTTAAGAAAAAACTCATCATATAGTCCATTAAGTTCATCAAGACATAATTCTACTCCATTTTATAGAACAAATTCATTACCTTTAACACAAGAAGAAAATTCAACAAAATTGCCAAGTGTTGAACAACTAAATATAAAAATTAGAAGTCCATATACTACAAATGGTCCAGAATTTAAAAAAAGAAAATTATAAAAATATATAAAAAGAAAAGTGAATTTGCAAAAAGTTATTCAGTTCTTTCATAGTTAGTTTAATAAATTGTTTGTCTTTAGTTCGTGTTTTAAAGTATGCTTTATGTATTTATAAAAATATCTATCCACATTTTTCTATAACTCTATTTAATGGGTTGATGTATTCCTTTTCTAAATCTTCTTTAACATAAACTATATAATAAGGTGTAGCAGTATTTGATTCTAAAAAGTTAAAAACTTCAGAATCCTGAACTTCTGTTATAATTTCATCATTATACTTTCTAAAAACATTATTTTGATATGGATCTTTAATATATATCCAATAATGACCATAACTTGCTTCTCCTCTGTGTATGAAAATTGCAAAAATTGAATATCCGATTTTATGATAGTCATTGAATTGATTTGATATTTTTTGTTGTATGAAATTGATTTTGGAGTCGATTTTAACTAATTGATTTTGCAAATTTGAAATTTCATCGGATATGACTTGTAATGTAGTTAATTCAATCGATAATTTATCATCTTGAATAATTTTATTTTCTAAATACTTCTTTGTTACGATCAAAGTATCAATTATAGTCAATGATGTGGTTTCATCTTTCTGTAAAATTTCATTTTTCTCTTTGGTTAATTCATTAATTTGATTTTTCCAATTAAACACTTCTGATCGCTTATTTATAATTACCTCATCTTTCGTATCTAAGTATCTATCAAGATATATTTCTGAACTGAATGGAATTGGTTCAATACTTTTATAAGCCATCAATTTTTCTCTATCAAACATAACTCTTTGGACATGAAACTGCATAATTTCTGGTAATTCAGTTATGGTGATTGATTTTTTCACCAAACCTTCCTCCAATTTAACTAAATCTTCATTAAAATAATTATCTAATGCATCATAGATGGATTTTGGATGATCACTTACATTTATAATCAAACTATTGAATCTTTCAGTTGACTCTCTTATTGAGTCTGGTTTATCAATTGGTTGAATTGTTTGTTTTGTTTTACCATAAAATAATTTCTTAATTAGATCAATTTGTTCACCATCGTCTTTGTCTATATGGTCTGGTGGTAATGCAGATTCAATTTGAAATACAACATTTTCAATACATTCAGTAACATCTTGCTGTCGGCCTAATTCGATTGTACTTTCCATTTGATCAGTAGATATTGGTAATAATTTTGTATTTTCTGGTGGTGGTGCTGGTGCTTCCTCTTCATTATTAGTTTCAACTTTTTCAATAAATTTTTCTTCAATCAAATCTTGTGGTTCAACTGTATGAGTTTCAATATGTACTGGAGGATCAATTGAATCTTTCATATCTTCATCTTCATTATCAATGTCAATTATTGTTTCTTCCTCTACTATTCCATTGTTATCATTATTCTCAACAATTTCAACATCACTATCTACAATCTCAATAACTTCTGATTTCTTTGGTTCTTTTTCTTTAAAATTGACTGGTTGTGACAATGGCAAAAATGATAAATATGCTAACTCTTTACTTGGTTGAACACATCTTTTATCAGTATGTATCATTTGTTTAAATAAATTTTGTAATTGATAAACAAATTGATTCGACCTTAAAATTTCCAGCTTTTCAACTTTCCTACCACCAATTTTTCTATTTTCATCAACTTCATCCAAATTAAAATTATCAGCATCAAAATTTAAAATTAATTCTCTTAATGGCTTGATACAAAAGTAGTATTGTAATAAAGAATTTAAATAACATGTATTACCAATATTGTCCAACCCAGCTGGCCAATTTTCTGGTGGTAATAATGAAGAATCAATTTTACCAGTTTTCAAAAAGCTTAGTAAAATTTCTGACTTTTTATCTTCTCCAATTGATCGTAAACAATGTCTCAAAACTCTGATATCCACTTCATTTGATAATAACTTTGTTTGGAATTGATTTATAATTTCAAATGCTGACGTTTTGTCAGTTGAATTCAAAGTTTCATATGATTTTTGTATTGTATATTTTTTCAAGTCCGGAATCTTAACATAATCTGGGTACTTTATTTCTAAGTAATTCAACAATAAATTACTTCTTCTATTTATTGCAATAGATGTTAAAGATTTATTCAACATTATAATTTCACTAGAATTTGGATTCATATTTTGTGTCATTATATCATCAACTTTAAATTCAAATGCAGTAATAACAACCTCATCTTCAGTTATTTCTTCTATACCTAATTCACTAATTGCTAAATTCATTGGTATTATCTCATATGCTAAAAACTCCTTTAAAGTATCAGAATTCAATGCAATTGCAATTCTTTTTAGATGATTTTGATAGTATTGATAATTCTTTGGATCATTTTTATATGCATCCTTATACATAGCAATTAAAACATCATCTTGAACTGTATTTCCTATAGGATATCCAATATCTTTTAAAGATTGTTGATAATCCTTGAAACCAAAGAAATTTTCCAGTTGTTGACATTTGTTAATATATGATTTTAATTTTGAGGTTTGTGAATTGTATTGGAAAAAATTACTTGCATCTTTTAGATAATCAATGTAATATAAACGATTAGATGGGTCTGACCTTATAGAGTGCTCAAAGCATTTTATAATTATATCATCTATGAAATATGCTGATGCACTTAATGCTATGAAATATTGAAATCTGTTTGAGTAATTACTGTTGAAGTTGTTGATACTTGTATTTTTATCACATTCAGGTATTCTCGAAAACACTTGGATCATGTTGTCTGAAAATGAGTATTGATGAAAGCTATTGGTGTCATCTTTTAATAATCTTGATGCAAAAAATATCAACTCCATCAGTTTTCTTTTAAATGATTCTTTCAACAGTGGTAGTTCATTGAGATGCGGTGGGATGACTTGTTCTTTATCTTGACTTAATGTAAATGATAACTTATTAAGTAGTAAATTTACATCAATTGAGGTTTCCATTGCAGTACCTTTTAAACTTATTGTTCTTTGAGGACCATCAAAAGTTAAAGGTCCTTTTAAAACCTTGATCAAAGTCTGGAAACAATTTACAGAAGTGGGTATAACATCTTTTGACAAATCCGGATGACGTTCAATATATGATAAATACCTTTCTTTTATTATTGTTTCATCAATTAATGGTTTAAAATCTTCTTCTTGATCAAATTCTGGCTTAAAAATTGAAACTCTTAATATTTGATTGTTTGGTGAGTTTGCACTTTTGTAGTATGAATCGTCCAAAATTTGATCACTTTCGTTGAAATTATCCCACATTAAATCTAAATCATGTTCAGTAATTAATTTTTTTGGAATTAAATGGTATTGAAGTTTATCAAATGTATCGATTGCAAAAGGATTTGATACATTTTCTAATATTATAATTCTAAAATGATTTATTTGGTCTGGTCTAGATTTACTCGTTATCAAACCTCTAAGTATTGTTACTGTTTGATTAGTTTGATCTATTTGAAAAGTTTCTGTTGAAGGACTGAAATCAATTTTCTCATTTAAAATCCAAGTTTGATCATTATGATGACTAATATTCACCAAATTCTGTAACTCATTTGAGTAATCAATTGGTTTGTTATTTAATAGACTATAATTGAATTTATGTAACATTGGTATTGACCATTTTATATCATCTAATATTCTATTTAATGTTTTATAAGGGTAGGTAATTAAGTCTGTATATGCAATATTTGTTTTTAGTAGATTCAACTCATTAGTCTTTAGCTGTGATTCATTATATTGAGGTGGTGAATTTGAAATTGGAGGCTGTGGAATTTGATCATCGATAATTTTATCACTATTACTACTTGTTTCATTTGATATTATCAAATTTGACGAATCAGCTGGAGATCTAAATGAATTCCTGCTTTTTAATTGAGTTGGTGGTTGTTCTTGTGAAACTGTTTTAGTACTTGATTGATAAGTTAATGGTGAATTGTTTTCTGAATCTGTAGATTCATTCGTTGGTTGTTGCTGTTGTTGATCTTGTTGATTAAGATCCGTTATTGGATCTCCTTCATACATTTTTAACAACTATACTATCCCCTCTACACTTCTCGAAGGGTAAATGCTATCAATACTAATTGGTTGGTCGTATAAATGGTGGTTGCTTTTATTAATAATTATTTGGTTGTAAATAGTTAACAAAAGAAAAAGAAATGTATTATCAATAAATCTGGAGAGAGAGTTACATTAATATTACGACGTAATTTTTCACAATTTAAATTCAAACATCACATAGATATATTATAGAAACGATTATCCAAATGTCATGTCATCACCTCAACCACCATCTATAGACTTTGAAAAAATAAAAGCCAAATCAGATGGATCAATCACTGGCCTAGTATCATCTTCTTTTCAAGAAGTTATACAAAATAATCCATATTTTGCAGCAGGTGGAGGATTAATGTTATTAGGTACAGGATTAGCATTAGCAAGATCAGGAATTGTAAAAAGTTCAGGGTTTTTATATAGACAAATGTTAGTTGATTTAGAGATACCGTCAAAGGATAAATCTTATTTATGGTTTTTAGAATGGATGTCAAAACATAAAAAAAGAAGTTCAAGACATTTATCTGTTGAGACTAATGTTATAACTCATGATAATGGAGCTATAAGTACCAACTTTTCATTGGTTCCTGGACCTGGGAAACATTTAATACGGTACAAAGGGGCATTTATGTTAGTTAATCGTGAAAGATCAGGGAAATTACTAGATATGACTAATGGTACACCTTTTGAAACAGTTACTTTAACCACGTTATACAGAGATAGATATTTGTTTAATGATTTATTATATGAAGCGAAAGCAATGGCATTAAAAGCAAGAGAAGGTAAAACAGTTATATTCACATCTTGGGGTCCAGAGTGGAGACCATTTGGTCAACCAAGATCGAAAAGGTTAATTGGATCAGTTATATTAGATGAAGGAATAGCAGATACAATATTAAATGATGTAAAAGATTTCTTAGTTAGTGGAGAATGGTATCATAAAAGAGGTATACCGTATAGAAGAGGTTATTTATTATATGGACCACCAGGTTCGGGAAAAACTTCTTTCATACAAGCATTAGCTGGAGAATTAGATTATAATATTTGTATATTAAATTTATCAGAAAATAATTTAACTGATGATAGATTGAATCATTTAATGAATCATATACCTAATAGATCAATATTGTTGCTAGAAGATGTTGACGCTGCTTTTAACAAGAAAAGAGAACAATCAAATGATCAAGGTTTTAATAATGGAGTTACTTTTTCAGGTTTATTAAATGCATTAGATGGAGTAGCAAGTGCAGAAGAGTGTATAACTTTTATGACAACGAATCACCCTGAAAGATTAGACCCTGCATTATTAAGACCAGGTAGAGTTGATTTTAAAGTGTTAATAAATAATGCAACAGAATATCAAATACGCAAGATGTTTTTAAGGTTTTATGAAAATGAAGATAAATTATGTGAAGAATTTATTGCAAAATTTAGAAAATTAAACCTAAAAAATATAAGTACTGCTCAACTACAAGGATTATTTGTTTATAATAAAAGAGATCCAAAAGCTTCTATCGATATGATTGAAACTTTACAAGATCCTAACACGGTATTTTAAGAGAAGAACAATAATTAACAATTACACCAACAAAAGATTTATAAAAAAAGACATAATATTGTAAATAGAAATTTTAAAATTGTATTATATAGAATGTACATACACTCATAATTAAAAAGTTAGTCATTAATATCATTGCAATTCATAATCATCAAATCTCATTAAAATTTTGGTTGTAAAAATACCACCAATTTTTTATAATCCTCTATATTTCTCATGAAGTGATTCATCAGCTAAATCCAAAGTTGTTTCATTAATATCATCAGATTCATCATCAAAAGATTCTTCATCCTTATCATCTTGATAATCTAGATCTTTACTGTTATCTCTTTCAGTGATAGTTTCAGTTGTACCACTAATTCCACTGCCACTATCTTTATTATTACTCGATGAACCTGAACTAGATAATCCAATTCTTTTAGAATCATTAATTAAATCATTAATATATGATAAATAAATTAAATATATTAACATATCACTATCATCATTTTTAATATTAAACTTTAAATCATCTATATTTATACCTCCCTTGGTTGTATTTGTATTTAGTTTTGAATTTAGTAGTTTCGTAAATGATTTTGGGTTATATGATTTTTTGATCGCCATTTTTGATATCTTTCAATGAGGCAATTCAGTCAGTTAATAAATTCTTGATTAAATTAATTGATTAATTGATTAAAATACTTGATCGATTGAAAGATTGGTTGTAAACAATTTTTAGATCTGATAAAACATGTATTACGTAATTATCATACTTTTATTACATAATAAAAATATAATTCTTATGTAATAAATTATAAATACAAATAATACTACCTAAATAAGAATATTAATAGAAATTTAGAATTTAATTAAAGCAAGTCAAATTTATAATTTATCCGTACCAAAATTAGAATCAAGGGCAAAGTTTAATCTTATCTTTGACAAGTGATATCAATTAATTTATTAAACTGATTATTATCGAGGATATAATTAGAAGTGGAATTGCTTTTTGTTATTAACTGAATCTAATTAGTTTGTGTACTTCATATTATGAAATTCTTGTCAATTATATCAATATCAATTTCAATACTAAGTTTTACAAATGCAATTGATTCAACTATAAAAGTTCAAGATTCTAAACAATTAGCTAATGCTTTAATTAAAAAATCAGAAAAAAATTCAATAATAAATAAAAGATATGAATTAGATTATTCAATTTTTGAGAAATATAAGCAAGATCAAGATAATGAAAAAGAATGTCCACCATGTTTTAATTGTAACTTACCAAATTTTGAATGTACTCAATTCTCAACATGTAATACATTCACGGGGATGTGTGAATGTCAACCAGGTTATGGAGGATTAGATTGTTCTGAACCATTATGTGGATCATTATCACATGGAAATAATAAAAGACCAATAAGAAAAAATAATCAATTATGTAAATGTGAATCAGGTTGGTCTGGTATAAATTGTAATTTATGTGAAAGAGATGATGTTTGTGATGTATTTATGCCAGAAGGAATAAAAGGAACTTGTTATAAACAAGGTATAATTATAAATCAATTTCATCAAATGTGTAATGTTACAAATAATAAAATATTAAAAATATTAGATGGTAAAATTCCACAAGCTACTTTTTCATGTAATAAAACTTCCGAAAATTGTAATTTTCAATTTTGGATAGATCAAAAAGAAAGTTTTTATTGTGATTTAAATAAATGTAAATTAGATTATGATTTAGCCAAAAATCAAACAAAATATAATTGTGAAACTATAGCATGTAAATGTTTACCAGATAGAATGCTTTGTGGTGAAGCAGGAAGTATTGATATTTCAGAATTTTTAACAGAAACTATAAAGGGACCAGGAGATTTTTCTTGTGAATTAAATGATAAAAAATGTAGATTTTCAGAACCAAGTATGAATGATTTAATTCAATCAGTTTTTGGAGATCCTTTTATTACATTAGAATGTAAATCTGGTGAATGTGTTCATAAATCTGAAATTCCTGGTTATGATTTACCTCAAGATCCAAAATTAACTTTAGGTAATATTTTCCTGATTATTGGTGTATTATTAGTTTGCTTGTTGTTTGTGGTCACAATCTTGAGGAATATTAATGAATCTGCATTATTTAAAAAATCTGGTAAAAATGGTTATGAATCGATACCTGTTGATTCAAATCTAATGATGAATTCAAATTTTGAACCAACTACTTTATCATTTGAAAATATTAGTTATAAGGTTAACAACAAAGATAACAAGAATGAACAACAACAAGTGTTGAATAATATATTTGGGTTGGTTAAACCAAGAGAATGTTTAGCCATTATGGGTGGTTCAGGAGCTGGTAAAACTACTTTATTAGATATATTAGCTGGTAAAAATAAAGATGGTACTATATCTGGAGAAATATATATTAACGGGAATGTTATAGACACAAAACATTATAGAGAAATTGTGGGTTTTGTTGATCAAGAAGATCATTTAATTCCAACTTTAACAGTTTATGAAACAGTTTTGAATAGTGCATTATTAAGGTTACCAAGATCAATGTCATTTGAACAAAAACAAGCTCGTGTGTTGGAAGTATTAAATGAATTAAGAATTATTGGTATAAAAGATAGAGTAATTGGATCAAATTTCAAAAGAGGTATTTCCGGTGGTGAAAAAAGAAGAGTTTCAATTGCTTGTGAATTAGTTACCTCTCCGTCTATTTTATTCTTGGATGAACCAACTTCTGGATTAGATTCATATAATGCAAGAAACGTTATTGATTGTTTGGTAAAATTATCAAGAGATTATGATAGAACTATAGTATTCACTATTCATCAACCAAGAAGTAATATAGTTGCATTATTTGATAAATTAATATTGTTAAGTGATGGTGATTTAATTTTTTCTGGTGATATGATAAAAGCTAATGACTTCTTTACAAAGAACGGATATAAATGTCCTTTAGGTTATAATATAGCTGATTATTTAATTGATATCACAGTTGATCACAACAAGATAGTCAAAGTATCAAATGCTGATTCAAATATAGTTACAGCAACATCAACAGATTTACATGACTCAGATATACCTGATGCTCATCATGATTTTATAACAAATAGATCATCAAGTCAAGTAGATACAACTCAGGAATGGGAACATTTTGCAATTCATCGTGATGAATATAATACTGATATTATCGGTTCAAGAAAAACAGAAACTGGAGAAGAAGAAACTTTATTAAGATTAAGAAATAAATTACATTCATTATTTATTGAATCTTCATTAGCTAGAGAATTAATTGATGAAATAAATGAAGGCAAAGAACATCCAAAAGAATTTGATTTAAGAAAACATGATATTTTCAAAAAAGCAACCATGTGGCAACAAATTGCAATATTAAGTTCAAGAACTTTTAAAAATTTGTATAGAAATCCAAGATTATTATTTGCTCACTATTTGTTAAGTATGTTGGTTGGATTATTTTGTGGATACTTATACTATGATGTTAAGAATGATATTAGTGGGTTCCAAAATCGATTAGGTTTCTTTTTCTTTATTTTGGCATTTTTTGGTTTTAGTTCATTAACTGGATTACATTCATTTGCAACTGAAAGAATCATTTTCGTTAGGGAAAGAGCAAATAACTACTATAGTCCTTTAAGTTATTATTTGAGTAAGATTATATGTGACATTATACCTTTAAGAGTATTACCACCAATCTTGTTGATTAGTATAGCTTATCCATTAGTTGGATTAACTATGGAACATAATGCATTTTTAAAATCTATATTAGTGTTGGTATTGTTTAATGTTGCCGTTTCAATAGAGATGTTGATTGTTGGTATATTAATAAAAGAACCAGGCACATCAACCATGATTGGAGTTTTGTTGTTATTATTGTCATTGTTATTTGCTGGATTATTCATCAATAGTGAAGATTTAAATATGCAAATAAAATGGTTAGAATGGATATCAGTATTCCATTATGCTTATGAATCCCTTTCAATAAATGAAGTTAAAGATTTAATGTTGCGAGAAAAGAAATTTGGATTATCTATTGAAGTACCAGGTGCTGTTATATTAAGTACTTTTGGTTTCAAAGTTGGTGCATTCTGGCATGACGTTTCTTACTTAGGTGGATTATCCGTTGTTTTCTTGGTATTAGGATATATTTTCTTATATTATTTCACAATTGAAAAGAGATAGAGGTAGTTGTAATGTTATGTTTTATATTATCATTATATAAATAGACTTTCTTATGAAACTAAAGAAAAAAAGAATTGAAAATGGATATTTTAATGTTTATTATTTTTTATTTAACATAATTTCTTCAAAAATTTGTAATTTTAATTCTTCAATATTTAAATTTGATTTTTCAATATCAAATTCAAATTCTTGTAATGGAATTAATGTAGTTGTTGGTTCATCCAATGGATCATGATAATTTGCTAAATAAGGATGTTTTAAAGCTTCATCAACTGTGATTCTTTTTTCAGGATTAAATAACATCATTTTTTCTAATAAATCAATACATAAAGGATTTATTTCAGTTGAAACATTTTGTAATTTTAATTTTCTTAAAGGATGTTGTTCACAAAATTCCATAAAATTAATCTTGTGTCTTGTTGGTAATGATTTCAAAAAATTTTTAGCTCTTTTTGATTTTATAATTTCTAAATCTTCATCATTTGGTGTACCAATAATTTCAAAAATTAATTTTAATTGATTTATATAATCTGAACCTGGGAAAATAGCTTTATAAGTCAATAATTCAAATATAATACAACCAATTGACCAAATATCTATAGCTGTTGAATAATTTGAAGCATTAAGCATAATTTCAGGAGCTCTGTACCATCTAGTAGCAACATATTCAGTTAATAATGAAATTTTATTATTTATTTCCATAGTTTGAAAATTATTATTATATTTAATTAAATCAATTCTAGCTAATCCAAAATCACAAATTTTTAAATCACAGAATTCATTTATTAAAATATTTGATGGTTTTAAATCTCTATGTATAATACCAGCTGAATGAATATATTTTAAACCTTTTAAAATTTGGTATACGAAAAATTGTAAATGTTGATCATTTAAAATATGTGTTTGAATAATATTATGTAAATCACTAGGCATAAATTCTTGAATTAAATAAACTTCATTAAAATTTTCGTAATTAATTGGTTTTTGAATATCATATAATTTGATTAAGTTTTCATGTTTGGAAAATTTTTTTAATAATTTAATTTCTCTAAGTGTTCTTAAACAGAATAATGATCTTTCAAATGGTTCGATTTTCTTGATGGCTACTTTTGTATTTGTTGGTAAATGAATTGCTAACGCTACTATACCATATGCTCCTTCTCCTAATATTTTAATAACTTTGAAATTTTGAGATATGTTAAATACAATTTTTCTCAGTTGAGTTTTAGGTTGTTTTTGTTGTTGTGGTGGTGGTGGTGCTTGTGGTTGTTGATCAGCTTGTTTAGAAACTTTATTTCTTGTTATAACAGCAGTGATAGTCATTTTTGAGGTAATTTATTGATCCGTGAAATAAAAGTTTTCAAATTTAATAAGAAATGAATCTATTATTTATATTATTGAACTGAAGAAAATGACGAAGAATTGAATGTATGAAAAAAATCTATGATGTTTACCGTATTTGAAAGTAAGAGAAAACTGAATAATAAATTGTTGTAAACTTGCAAACTAAAGTTTATCGTAAGTTTAAAACTTAACTTCTTTTAAAAATAAAGTACAAAGATTCATTAATATTTTATAATAAGTTTAGTAAATGATCTCCCCCTTTGTTTCATAATTTAAATTATCATACTCTATATATTGTACTGTATATAAACTAATCAACCAAATAATAATAATAACAATAATATAGATGAGGAGGTGATGGATGAATTTCATATTTCCTTAATTTCAATTTATTAAATTCTTATTGTTCTCAAGTACTAATTTCATGTTTCAGATTTATTTAATTACTTGCATATAAAAATTTCTTTTTTTTTCTTTCTCTATCTTCGCCTCATTTTTATTAAACTTTAATTTTTTGATAATAATAATAATATTTTTTTTATTATTGCTATTGATTTAAAAGTATAAGAAAGATCACAATACAAAGATTTATATACTTTCACATTCAAAAGTTACAAAATAAATATTATATAAACCAGTTTTAATTTTCATTTTTAAATTCATAACCTCCTTATAAGTATAGTAGAAGAGTTTGCATTCTAACTAGTTTGCATTTACGATTTCGAAAATTTTAACTTCATAAATGACTTCTTATTTGACAAATGAAATTTTAAGGTTATTTTGAAAAAACAATTAAATTACATATGATTTTCAAGCTTATAATCTTGAAACATCATTTTTAAACAAAAGGTTTGATTGTTAATCTAAATTAGTCCATTTTTGTGAATTATTAACTAATTTAGAGATACGATTGAAAATTTAATCTTCTGAGATTTTGTGTAATTTTGGTTTTAAGATGTAAATATTATTTTTATCTGTTTCAAGAAACGAAACTACTTTTACATAACAACTTTAACATATACTAAAGGTTAAAATATTGATAATTTTCTTCTTTTTTTATAAAATAACCAGCTCCTGTTTTATTCGACTATATGTCACAAAACGAATAGTGATTATTATACTTCCTTCATATCATATAATCTTGAAACAAAAAATAAATAATATATAGGACTAGAGAAGCTTTTTCTTTGGTTAATGAAAATTATTGGTCTAGAACCACAATTGGAAAAAGGAATGCTAAAGAGAGTAGGTTTAAGCCTTTCTTTATTATGGCAATGAGATAAATACACTTAATTGAAAATTGTACTGGCACTTCCAGATCGTGTAATATATTTGACAAATTTAAATGACTAAAGAGTTAAAGGAAAACTATTTCTGCGGCGACTATAGTCACCAAGCATAAGTAATTCTTTATATCTTTTAAATAGTTTGGCTTTTAATATCACGCACATTACTATTTATACCTTTGTAAGCTTTGAAAGCGCTAAGTTTCTTTGGATCATCATTAAGCTCAGCACGATATTTTTCTAGAGTTTTCATATGACTCAAAACATAAATTGTGATTCGTAATTATAAAATGTGAAGATTTTCTGAATATAGTATCAACAATTACAAATTAAATGAAAACTCTAGAAGCACTAAAAGATTAAGTCATCGAGAGTTGAATAGTTATTACTTTGATTAGATTGTAAATAGTACTCAATAAAGCTAAAAATTTAATAAATCGAAACCATAGTTGCACATTCAATGCAATTACGAATAAAAAAACATATAGCAGCAAAGTTTGAAACGAACAAATGAGAACAAATACCATTGAGTCTGACTACTAACTCTTTATCTGTAAGCTGGATCATCATCTCTTGGTCTTGCTCTTGAACTTCGTTTTGAACCACTTCCTCTTGTAACATCAACACCATCTACAACTCTAAATATATTTTTATTAGAATAATTTGTTAAAACTCCAAGATTATCATCTGATTCAATGTTAAGTTTTAAAAATAAATCTCTCAATTCAATTGCTCCTTTTGGTTCCTTCAGTCCAGTTACTCCATCTAAAATTAAACGAGTTAAATTTTTGCAATTTGATATATACAAACAAGTTAAATCTTCAAGTCTGTTGTTAGATAAATCTAATTTTTTTAAACTATCTGGAAATGTTTGGTTTGATAACATTGAATAACTAAGATCAACATTTCTCAACTTTAAATCCCTTAAATTATTTAATGTACTAAATATACCAATAATCGTATTGAAACTAAAATCGTGAATATAAACGGATTTTAATGAAATTGGAAAACAATTAAGATTTAAATTTTTAAAACCTAAACCAGACATTTCAAATTTTGTTAATTTGCCACAACCAGCTAATGAAATCTGAGATAAATTTGAAAAATCATTCTGATAAACACTACGTCTTCTTTCCCATGAAAAATATGTTTCTCGGTGCAACATCAATTGTTCCAAGTTTGGCATGTTGAGTGTTACAGAAAAAGGTTCAATACTTTTGCTACTTTTAGTAGTTTTTTTTGATTGTTTACCTGATGCTTTGTCAACAAATGTTGAATCATAATTAAAAAACGTGATTGGATTGACTATCGGACGTCCATAAAGTACATCTAACTGATTAAACATGAAATCTAAGAATTCTAAATAATCCATTTGATTTAAATTTGTTTCAAAAAGAGCTTCGATTTTATTATTTGAAAATGTAATTTGTTTCGAACGTGGAAATTTACATTCACCAACAACTTTAGCTATTTTGCAACTATCAATTTTTATATTTTCCATTTTATTGGACAAACCTGCAAAAATACCTGCTAAATCTAATAACTTCATACCATCTAAATTTAAGTCATCAAGGGATGTTAAGCTTTCATTAGATTCTAAAGCAAAACAATTACTCCCATGGATGTGAAGCTTTTTTAGTTTTGAAGGAAATCTAAATTTTGAATTAATAATAAATAATTCACCGTTGCTTGAAAAATCTGAAGTTTTAAATTCATCATTTGTACCATCTTCAACTTGTTTGAATAATTGATTAATTTTATGTTTTAAAGTTGTGTTAAAAAATGTTAACTCTTTTAATGACTCTGGGAACAAACATTGTAAAAACCCAATAAAATTACCACAATGTTTGATAGTAAGTACTTTTAAATTAATAAGTTGATTCAAATTATTCAAATATTTCATTTCACATGTATTTATGTCCAATATTTTAACACTTTCTGGAATTTTAAGTTCATCTAATGATTCCATAACACCCAAACCTTCAAGATTTAATTGCTCAAGTTGATTCAAATTTCTTAAGTCGATTCTCTGTGATTTATTCTTTTGCTTATACAATGTTAAAGTTTTAAGTGATTCGGGAAATGGAAAATTGAATAATCTCAGATAAAAAGTAGTCAATGAATTTATTTCACTTGTTTCTAATTTTTTTATAAAATTATGTACATCCTCCTCGTTGAAATTGACATTTCCTGTGTAAAAATCTGAACGATCAAACACACCTCCTCTTCCCATATGAATTCCAACCACGTTAATTTTATCCCATACTGATTTTAATTCGGCAAAAGTATTTGATGTATCTAAAAGCAATTCAAACTCAACATCACCATAATTAACATCAACTACTGACCTTGTAACTTCTTTAGAACTTGACCGGGTTATTCTTTTCCTTTTCTTAGGTACATTAATAACTGATTCGGACTTAATTAACTCTTTGATATCATCAATTTTACCGGAAATCTTCGTAGGTTTGAATTTGAACTTGTAATATAGATCTTTTACATATTGAGCTGATCCATCTCTTTGAGAACCATCAATTGTACTTATTTTGAAATCGGAATATCTTTCACGCAATGCATATTGTTGTAGTGGTTTGACACCAACTAATATTTCAAGTGTTTTATCATTGTTGATATATTTAATAATTAATGTTAAAACTTCTTTAGGTAATTTTAAAAATATATTCATATTTGATATATAGTAGTAGGTGTAATACCAAATATTTTAAGTTGGTTGTTTGAAAAAAAAGTGTGTTATACATATTAAAAAAAAATTTGGTTGCCATTTTTTTAATTTTTATCAAATTTAGACGTGATTTTATTTAAAGCTACCAAAACATGTTTCAGAAATGATTTTCAAAATTAAATACCCCACATCAAATTACCAAACGGCACATTTTAAATCAAATATTTTAAGTAATGTTCCAAGGGAGAAGTCAAAACATGAATCTAAATTCCTTTATCTCGTTAAGTACTTAATCATGACAACTAATTTGGAGTTTACAAAAAGTTGAAAAAGCTAAATAAAAACTTGAACAAAAGCTCGCTCCAGATATTATAGTTCTTAGATCAAATAACCGTATGAATAAGCTTCAAGTCATATATGATAATCATTTTAACTCCATTAAATTGCTGCTTTTAATACTAAATCAGCATATTTTCAAATTAATCAATATTCTTAGCTTTCAAGCTATGGAACCAATTCTGATTCGAACAAGCTAAAACAGTTAACTGCATCCAGGAATGATAATTTGTAACCTCAGCGCTGATGTTTATCAATGGAATTGATCATTTTGGCAAAAACTCCGTTATATACACTAAATAAATCTCATTTTTTTCCAAAAAATAAACCACATTTGAACTTAAATGCATAGATCTGAATCTCAACCTGTATATCAATCATCTACCAATGATCATTATGTTCTGCATATTGCAATGATTAGAATTTTCAATAATAATTATAATCGGTCCTTAAACTTGCTATCTTTCATACTTTTATAATCATGCTAATTCTTGACCTTAAAACACTTAACGCCTTATACTTCACTTAGTTCGTTGATTGTAGTCGGTCTTGTTGAGCTTAATCAATCTGAGGGCATTTTGTTTACAGCTTTATCCCCATCATGCTGTACTAACATAAAACTTCTCCATTTGGCATGTAAAAGTGGCTTGTGACTTTAAATCACTATGTTTCCCTGTTTCAAACATCCAAATTATTAAAACTGAAGCTTCGATCATATGAAACGCAGTGTTTAATTGACATTAGGAACTAGTTTTGGTAAATGGTCCTGGATTGAATTAGGTAAACCTACTTGCTAAAGTTGTTAATGGAATTTTTCATTTGTTTCTACTTGCTAGAATGAATCACGTGACAGGACAATATTCTCCGAGAGTCAACTTGTTACTATAAAGAGGGGGTTGATAATTCATTGTATCATCGTCGCGAGTTTCAGATTAATTAAAGACATTGATATTACGTTAAACTAGTATCAGCATCAACTTTTGTAAGCAATTAAATTAGATATACAACATTAATTAATCAATTTATCGAGGATGTACATTATTATTTTCTCTTAATCTATCTTCTATAGCTCTTCGAAGTACGAATTGTTGTTGTAGTAGTAAATTATGAATATCATTTCTATAATGTAATGGAACACCTCCAATTGACTTTAAATTTTGATACAAGTTATCTACGATTCCCATACTTTCTTCAATTTTTGTTCCTGTTGGTACCATTGAATTTGCATCGGCAATACTAAATTGAACTTCTCTCAATTTATCTAGACCACCTTCTTGTTCTGGAGTATTTTCATAATTATCAATTTCAAAAGCAGTATCAAAATCTGGATTTGTTTTTTTGTAAGCTCTTTTGACTTTTTTAATATGTGGTCTAGTTAATATATGGTGAGTATTGTGGACAAATTGCCAATTAACTGTAATTGAGTCATCAATTTTACTAGCATGTGCACTTATACGATATGAACAATTACATCTTTTAGTTTCTGAAGCTTTTCTAATTTTTTGAACAGATTCATAACTACCAGCACATTCACAAACATAACTTTCTGTCCATTTGTACTTGGTGGCTGGTTTTCTCTTCTCTTTTACATTAACTGGTGATATTTTCCTAACTAAAATAAACCAAGTTTCGTATTCTTCTAAAGTATTAAATTTTAATTGTATCTTAGGTTCTGATAAATTAATCGGTAGACTATTTGGAAATATTAGTTTTATAATTCTTAGTTCTGCACTAATTGATTCATCTAAAATTTGATCTATAAATTTCTGGTTGTTTATCATTGTTTGATAACTTATCAGGGAATAAATTTCAAAAACTTTGTCATTGATATTTGGATTTAATAAAACTGATCTCCAATATTCACTAATGATTTTGGTATTATTTAAAACATTTTGAACAGAGTCTTGATTCAAAAAAGTATTAAACCATTGAGGATGTGGAAATTGAGTTTCCATTGAACTCGTTTAATTTTAAGTTGTACTGAATTGTTAATGATTTAGCTGTAACATTCAAGTTTCATGTGTTGATTTAATTAATTCAATTATGTATAAATATTTATATAAAGCGCGTTTGTTTTATAATTATAATTTTAGTTTTAGTTTGGTTGTAAAAAAATTACCCTGCCTAAAAAATTTATTGCAAATTCCATCTCTAAAGTATTATAAAAAAAATTCTTCACCAATTTGTTAAGTAATTTTTCTTTTTTTTTAATCAACAATAATTATTGATTGATTTTAATTAATGCCAATGTTGATAATAACAAGTTGTTACCAAAATTGTTTCAATTATCAGCATTAGTCTCAATTATTCGAAAAGATCAGAGAATGAAAGGGTATGTCATTTTGAGTCAACAAACCATCAAAAATGAAAATCAATAATATCTAAATGATTACAATGAATGATATAATATTTTAGCTGAGGATGTACATGCAGGACAAATTGTTAAGGAATTCTTCGTTTATGATTTAATTTTATTAGATTTTCACATTTCGATTGGTTTACGTTATCAATAACGACTATTAGAAGTAAAACTGACAAATTTATTAGTATGTTTTATATTTAACAAATTTTTTTCAATTAATTTTACAATTTTATTACTATGATGAATATGTTCCTACATTTTTCTGTCCGGTGAATCAAACATGATCCAATGGATAATTTACATGCATCACCATCTGACTTATTTATAAAATTAAAAAGTTATTTGAGATTGGAGATAAAATAAAGACGAGGTTTAAATACTAACAGGTAACAATTAGAGTTCAATTTTGCTTGTGAACTAAATGATATACGTATATCCTTTTTGGTTTCTACGTCCTTTTTGAAATTAAATAGCTCAGATCAAATTGTGGAGTATTAAGAACTATCCAAACTGGTCAAGGACTCAAAACTTCAAGTGAAAGTATAATTCTCAATAAATTTGATCAATTTACAAAAGTTAATGATATAATGATGAAAACCTAATTTTATCAGTTCTGCTTCTGAACCAAAAATTCATGAAGATAACACTTTACCAAAGCTCAAAATCTGATATATTATTTAATTTTTGTGAATTGATTTTTTAAAATTATGATGAAGATTTTACTTTGTGAGTTTTGAACTTGGGTTCTAGTCAATTTTAACTTCAATGATCTAAATGTATGTTCAAGCAAGGAATCTAACTCAAAAAATTATATCGTATCATTTAGAATCGTACCATAGAGTCACATAGTATTGAAAGATTATGTCCTTATAAATTTCAACAAGTCTTCTATTCTCTCTACTTATTCATTGTTTATGTAATTTACATTTTAATAAATACTTATACACTAAATATAACAACTTTACCATCAATACCAGAAGTTGAAACTTTATCACTTGAAAAATTCTTAATACTTGAAATAGTATTTTGATGAATTGTGCTTAAAGCTTTACCACCACCACTTACCTTGTTAGAAGGTTTTGCTCTACCTTTTAAATCCATTTGTTTAAACATATTTAAAGCTTGATGTGATGAAATTTCTTGATCTTCTTCATTTGTGGTGGTTGTATCTTTAGTCAAATCTTTTTGTTCTTCTATTTGATATGATTCTTCCCAATTTGATTCGTTACCTTTGTAAACTACTAAATTACAATTGAATCCACCTACAACCAAAGAATCGTCAGATAACCAAACTAATGATTTAAAAGGTAAATAATTAGTTTTCAAATTCAAAATTGATTTTGGTTCTAAACCTTCACCTTGTGGATAAACTATTCCAATTGAAGAATCATGACTAACCCAAGCTAATGCGTCTCCATTAGGACTAAATTTAACTCCATGAATCCAACCCAAAGTTTCATTTGTAAAATCTCCACAAAGTGTTTGGAAAGGTAATTTAGTACCCCATACTGAAGGTTCTGGTTTGGAATCAATTCCCTTGATGTAAGCTGAGAATACTCTAACATGGCCGTCAGTTGATCCTGAAGCTAATAATATCCCATTTGGATGCCAATCTAAACTTGTTATTGTTGACTTGATTGGTTTTTTCAAATGCTTGGAAATCCACCAATCATTTTCTTCTTCATAATAACAAATAGCAATGATTCTATCACTTGAGCCTACGGCAAATTTTAATCCATCGGGTGACCATCTACAAACAGTTGCAGCTCTGTTGATTCTTAACAAAACTAATGTTGGTTTATATTCTTGTTCACCTGGTGGTTTTTCCCAAACTAAGGCATTTCTATCTTGTGAACAAGTTAATATCTTGGTTCCATCTGGTGAGAAATCTATACTTGTAACTGTTTTATCATGACCTCTCAAAGTTGTAATTAAATGAGGTTTTTGAGATAAATTTGATTTGTTAATCTTATATAATTCAATTTCATTTTCTTTTGTAATTGCTAATACTGAACGATCTGGTGAGAAAATATGATCTTTAATTGGTAAATGACCCAATTGATAAATTGCTGGTACTTTTGACATTTTTGAGTAGTATTCAATTGACTTTTTAAATAGTTTAGGAGTTGACTCTCTACTAAACTTGATCCTTTGTTAGTTGTAAAAAGCTAAGATAAATTAAAATTACTGAAACTTCGGAATTTGAATTTGTTAGCAAAACTGGTTTGGTAGCAACTGTTTCACCAAATCGAAAAACTCAATATTCAAAACTTAACAACTTGATATACAAATCGACCAGTTACTTCATTCAATCAATTTCTTTTTACATAAAACCTTATCGCATTTCAAAACACAATATACTAGAAATTAATTAACAATGGCATCAGAAGATTGGAGAAAAATAGATATAGACGCATTAGAACCAGAAAATCATTTAACAAAAGAAGAATTAATTCCACCAAACTTACCCCAATATACAACAAATCAAATTCAAGAAATTGGACAAAGTATAAGATCACAATTATCACAAGGTAAATTTCAACAGGCTTTAGTAACGGGACTTGATAATATTCCATTTGCTTCATCACCACAAGAAAAAGAAATTCATCAGCGAACAATTTTCGAGGTATTATGTTCAATTAAAAACAATAGTAATTCACCAAATGATATTAATAATATTATAAAGGGATTAAATCAAGAACAACAAGATAATTTGATAAAGTATTTATATACTAATATGTCTACACCTTATGGACAGAAACAAGGTGGATTATTATTAAATTGGTTTGAAAAAATTGTTGAAATTGTTGGAATTGGATCTATTTCTAGGTATTTAACCGATAGAAGAACTGTATAAATAGTCAATAAAAGTTTGATGAAAGAGAATTTTGGAGTTGTTGTAGAGTATATAATGATTAAATAAATCTGTATTAAGAATTATATGAAGAAGAAAAATATAAATTGTAATTAGGCTTGAAGTGTTTTTAAAGGTGATGATTTATGATTGTTTACACTATTGCCTTTCATTTTACTTGCGCTATGCGGTGAGGATAAATTGCTCTTTTTTGTAATTGGACTCAAGTGTTGTTTATTTGAAGGTTGGAGAACATTTTTATTTTTAATTGGAGTGCCAGAAATTGAATTTTTATTTGATTTTGCAGAAGATTTATTTTTAGCTTTTGGAGTTGATGAAGTTGACCTATTATTTGAATAAGTAGCTTTATTGTGAAAATTTATAGTTGGTTCAATTACTGAATCTTGGAAAATATCATTCGGATTGAAATTTGAACCACGATTTGGTGATGAACTGTTTATAAATAACCCATTATTACTTGTAAAACTATCATTCATGATTGTACCCATTGATGATGGTGTACCTTTTAATCTTTTAATTTCTGCATCTTTTTCTGAAATAATTGAGTCGTATTTTCTTTTCAAGTTTGATAAGTTGGCTTTGTTTTGAGTTTCATTGGATTGTAATCTATCATTGAGTGTTTCCTTTTCCTTTGTTACCTTATCAAATTTATCTTCCAAGTGTAATACTCTATCAACTTTAGATTTTAATTTCAATTTTATTGTCGATAATTCTAGATTCAAATTTTCATTTGTGGTGAGTTCGTTTGACAATTTTGTATTGTTAGATTGTAATGATTTTGACAACTCAGATTCCTTTTTCAATGAGTCTTCTAATTGTTTAATCTTTCGATCTTTCTCTGAACTAAATGATTCCAAATTTAATATTTTAGCATTGAGTTCATTTTTTTGAATATCAAATTTCGATTGTTCATTTTTTAATCTCTGTTGATGAGTTTCGTGAAGATTATTTAATTCAGACTTTGTTGATGAAACAGATGATCTTAAATCTTTTTCCAAATCTTTTGCATTGTTTAATTGATTTTGTAATTGATTTATTGATGAGTTTAATTTGGTCATTTCTTGATTCTTCTCATGTATTTTTTCCTTCAATTGCTTAATTTGTTGTTGACTGTGTTCTACTTTACCTTCTGTTTCACTACCTGAACTCTTTAAATTTGAAATTTCAGTATCTTTTGCCACAATTGAGCCCTTGAGAATATCTATTTCTGTGATAAATTTTTCCCTTTGTGCTTTTTGAGAATCTAAATCATGTTTTAAGTTTACACATTCAGCTTCAAGGTAAGTTAATTCAGACTTTAATTTATCTTGTTGATTGATCATTTCATTAATTTCTTTTTGATATATTACTTTTTCATCTTCAAGTTCGACTATGCGAGCATTTCTAGAAGCTAAATTTTGCTTGTTATCAACTATAGTTTCATTTAAAGATCTTATACGATCATGTAAAGTAGTTGCTTCATTTTGTAACTTTGAGATTTGATTATTTAAATCTTGCCTTTCTTCACCTAATTTCGAAACTTCATCTTTTCCTGCTTCTATAACTTTTTCAAGCTTCAACTTTTGTCCTTCGAGTGCTGAAATTTCTTCTTCATTTTCAATCTTTAAAGCCTGAAGGGCCAGAAGTTCTTCTGAGACTTTCACCAATTTTTCAACATACCTTAAATTCTCTTCTTTAATTGAATCAATAGTTTCAGTCTTTTTCAGATTCTCGGATTCTAATTGTACCAAATTATTCTTTAATTTCGTAAAAGTTTCAACTAATTGAGTACTTTCTCCTTTAAATCCTGAAATTTCTAATTTAATATCTTCAATTGAATTAAAATATTTCTGTTTTAATTGTTGTTGTTCAGCTTCTAAAGCTTGTATAATTAAAGTTTCTTTTGATGGACCTCTTCTTGGAACCGGTGGTTTTCTGGGGGATCTTATTTTGGTTATTATTGGTTTTGTAATTTTATTTGAAACTTCAAGTGGCTTTTTGTGGTAGGTGGAAGTTGATTGTTGAATTGTTGGTACGTGAGGAGCTGATAATGGTCTCATTATTTTTCTAGGACTATGACGACTTGAAGACATTGTTGGTAAAGTATAACTCGGAACTCTTCTTGTAACATTATCAGTTTCATTTGAAGTTGTAGGTAATTTGAAGTTTTTGACAACATCAGCTACATTGTTTAAGTTTGATTTAATTAATGATAAATCTCCAAACTGGTCTAAATTTAAAACTATCTTTAAGTCTTTGTTTTTGAAAATGTAATTTGTGATCAAATTGTGAGATCTTTTTAGATCACTTTTGGATTTGTTGACCATTGTTTGAGTAATTGATGAAATATTTGAATTTGCAAAAATATTTGAACTTAAACTTGAATTTTTCTCATTACCCATTAAATCAACAAATGTGGTTTTTGTATTGTTGTAAAAAAAAGTCATAATCAAACAAGATCTTGAAGAATTCTCATTGAACTCAGTACATTTACTTAATCTTTGTTTCAAAATATTTTTAATTAATTCTTGATTTGGTTTTGTTCTCTTTAATTTGTTTTCGAAATTAGTGATGTATGAGAATGGAATTTTTTTGGATTCAGTACCATCAGTAACATCCAATAAGTCAGATAAATATTTATTATTTGAGATTTCAAAAGATGAAACAAATACTGGTGATTCCAATTCATTTAATTTCTTCAATTTTAAATTGACTAATTGTTTCAACATTGTAGTTTTACCTGAATTTGTTGGTCCCATCAATACAATACATGAGTTATGTGAAGTCTCAATTAAGTCTTTGTAGTTGTTCTCATTATGCTGGTAAATATATTCAAAATCATATGTAGTATCATTAAATTCGATTGAGTTATTGTCTAATACATCAAAACATGGATATTCATTATAGGTTTGAGCGTTGTTCTGTCCCTTTATTTTTAAATAAAGTGGGATTGCTGACATTATTGAATAACACTTTCAATATCTAATACCGGGTATGACTTTTCAAAGATGTTTAAGAAAAAGATGTTAATTTTAAAAATATTTTAATTAAAGTATAAACAAATAATATTTGAAAAGTAAACACAAAATGTATACAAAATGTAAACAAATAAATTTTATGTCTTTTTTCGGAAAGTCGCCAATTTGAAACATGATATAAATTCAGACGACAATTAACAAACTCATATTTGATGGGATACATGAAAGTGCAGTGATAGGTTATTTGTACATAAATGAGAGTAGTATCATAGAAGCAGTCTGTAGCGACTATAACTTACTGAAGATGAAAACTGTCTAGGTCGTTCAATTTGCACGCAAATTAAAGAAAAATAAAATGTCATCGAAGTTAATCTTTGATCTATAATGAAATGACTGAGTCAAGACCGACTCGTATAATATCCTCATACATTTTTATTTTATCAGCTTGAGATTGTAAATTAGTTTGATTTTACAATGTGCTTGAATTTGATTTTTTTGAAAAATTGACAAATTCAATTGAGCCCTCTTGAAATATTATTAAATAGTCGGTGGTCTTCAATTTTATTTGGTCTTATGGCAGTCTGCTGAAATATTGAGATCAATTGCATTACCTTAAATTCTCATTTTTATATACATTGAGAAGTTATGTTTGTTGGAAGAATTAAAAATAAAATGTGGACAAATATTAGGAAAATTGGAAACTGTTAGTTCGTTGTAATTCAGTAACGATTAAGAGGTTGTCAAGTCAATTGTGAAACAAAGAGTGGGGACGATGTGCATATGTATGTGACTTAAAAGGTCCAAATAGTCTAGGAATTAAAAAACTCCGAAAGTATGTTTTCGTAAATGTAATTCAAAACCTCTCGAGAATACTAGGTCATTCTTACTTTGCATTTGACCTTATGCCTGGTACGGATATGCTGAAAATGTTAAATTCTAGTGGTAACAATAATCAGAAATTTACTAAATTTTTTTTTGCCTCCTTTAAAACAATACAAGGATCTCGTAAATCATTCCTTTTTTAAAAGATTAGGAAATGTACAAAATTGAAACAAAAATAAAATAATAAAGACAACTTCAAACAAATATGACTTGAGTTAAAAGTTGGATTATATTAGTATTGATACCGAGTTTGATTGATAAATTTCTTATAGATCAAAATAAATTGTAATAATTATTCCTATAGTTATGAAGTTATAATAATTTATTATATTTCCGAAACGTAAAACGATTTTTCAATTTGTGGGGAGGAAAGATCTAAGTACCTTAAAATTATTTTTAGTCGTGAAATTAGAAAAACAAAGTAAAAAAAATACTTAATTTTCTGACACCCAAACCTAATTTCTACTGCTTCGGTAGTAATTTCACTTTAAAATATATCGGAAGAAGTAAAAAGTATCAACTGAAACATTTGTCTCGAACGTTTGATAAATTGGATTGGGGTCAATGTTTTAGTTGGTTTTGATACTTTTATAGATTATTGTTTATCGGAAAAACTAATAAATACAATAGATTATTGGGTATTGACTATACTTTTGATTGCCGAGTACATGCCTATGAGCAAATTAATCAAAACTAAAAGCTTGTTGTTATCACACTAGTTAATGTAGTACTAAGCTTGTAATTAAGCTCTTAGTATTATCACCTGAATATTTGATATATTATATCTCGCCTTATATAATAAAACGGTTTTTAACTTTTGTACTACATTACAAAATAAGTAATAAATAAAATTTAGCAGATCCAAAGATTAACTAAATATTCATCTTCAATTAATTTACCCCAATATGCTTGAATTACATAGGAAAAAATTTTAGTCTTAGTAATCATTTGAATATATTGGTCAGAATACTAAATTATGATTTATCATATTCTCCGGTTTACATTTTTATCTATATCCATAACTTTAAATCAGATCTAAAAACAATCACCAAAATTACCCCAGATATTTCATAACCAAAAGTATATCTGGTGAAGCTTTTGATTTGTGATATAAAAGAAGTATCAAATCCACTTCAATCAGACTATCATGAAGCTTTAACAAACAGATTACAATTACCGATTACATTCACTTTTCATCTACATTCATACTACTTTAAACTAACAATAAACCAAGTACAACTAAAGCAAATTCAAAATTCTTAACTTTAAATCCTTTTTCAAGATGAGTTCCTCATTAACAGACCATGAAAAAGGAACAACACATCATATAGAAAGTGCCACATCTTCAATAGAACATAAATTATCAATATCAGAAGAAGAAAAAGAAATATCAGAAGAACATAAACAATATTTAATAAATAAACATGGTACATATAATTTAATTCCTTTACCATTAATGAATGATAATGATCCTTTAAATTGGTCAAATTTTCAAAAATTTTTACAATTAGGTATGGTTGCATTTCATGGATTTATGTGTACTTTTATGGCTTCTGGTGTTGTACCTGCTTTTGGTGCATATTCTGAAATTTTAGGTAAACCAACTCATATAGTTAGTTATTTAACTTCTTGTCAAATTGTCTTAATTGGTAGTTTTCCAATGGTTTGGGTTCCAATAATGAATAGATATGGTAAACGATTATTATTAATTATTTCAGTATTTGGTAGTATGTGTTTTGCTATTGGTGCTGTATTTTGTACAAGTTATGGTAAATTAATTGCAATGAGATGTTTTCAAGCCATATTTATAAGTCCTGGTTTAGCTGTTGGTGGAGCTATAGTAAGTGATACTACTTTTGCACATCAAAGAGGATCAAGATCTGGTGTTTGGTCGATTATGGTCAATTTAGGTACAATGGTTGGTCCTTTATTAATGGGATTTGTTGCACAACATGTTCCACCAAAATATATTTTTGTCGTTTTTGCAGTTACAAATTTCGTTCAAATGATTTGTTATATTTTATTAGGTAGAGAAACTTCATTTAATAAGCAAGATATGTCAAGAAATATTAAAAATCCATACAAGCAATTATTTAGAAAAAATGCAATTTTCCCAGAGAATAAAATTACACCATTGATAATTTTAAGACCATTAAAATATTTATTAAATTGGAGAGTTTTTATTCCTACTTTTGGATATACTATGTTATTCATGCATGCAAATATAGCAATAAATGTTGAGATTCCACAAGTTATGATTGCAAAATTTGGAATGGGTCCACAAGCATTAGGTTTACAATTTATTTCATTTATTATTGGTACTGTTATTGGAGAAGCTGGTGGTTTTATATCTGATATGTTAATTAAATGGGGTAGAAATAGAGGTAAAGGTTCAAGTTTTAGATTATGGTTAACTTATCCTGGTTATATTTGTGCTATTGTTGGTCTAATAATTTTTGGTGTATTAATACAACGACTCAAGCATTACAACGTTGTGGTTGCAAACGTTGGTCTTGTTATTGCTTCATTGGGCCTTCAATTAGCCACTTCTCCTATAATTGCTTACTGTATAGATTTTGTTGGTCCTAGTGAAGCTGGTTCAGTCGTTTTATTTATTACATTTTTTAGACAATTATTAGCATTTGTAGGGCCATTTTATTTCCCTGTGATGTTTGAAAACTTAGGTTTTGCTAAATCTTATGGAATAATGGCTGCTTTGATTGGGGCTTTAGGTTTGATACCTACATTAAGCTTACAATGGTTTGAATCAAGAAGAGGAAGATGAGTTAAAATACTTTAATATCTGTGTACTTTTAATTCTATACAATTTAAATTTATATATTCGACTATTCTTGATTTGGCAAATCAGGCTGTTGATACCCTTTATTCACTGGAAGCAATTTGAGACTGCAGTTGTCTACTCATTTCTTTTGAAGTCTTTAAATGTAAATTCTGAAACATGTCAAGAAATAGATCACCAGATCAAAAAAAAAAAAAAAAAAAGCACCAATTTTGCATGACTTTCTCCCACAATTGCCTACTCTAGAGGATTTTTGGTTTCTTGTGAAGTCGGTTTAGCTGTTTAACCCATTACACTCTTAAGACAATTTTAGTAATTTGTCCAACTTTTGTTAAGTATGGACCACAATAATTTTATAAATTATGATCTTTTTTGGCTGCGAAAAAAAAAAATTTTTGTGACAAAATTCACAATTGTACCAGTTTTTAAACCAAGTAGTTGAAACTTGATGATTATTGAGAAAAGTCGAGAGATGATTATTGAAAAAAGTCGAGAGAAAAATGCTTTGTAAGTGTTCAAACTTTTGGCAATTTGCTCGTAATAAAGAAGTACGATGCTAAAGTACTCTACTTTTAAAAAACTTAACTTTCGAAGAGCTATGATATTTACTTTTAGTATATATCAGATCCGTACCGCAGTAAAGCACAAACGGTAGCGCAGAGACACCTAGATTTTAAATTTCTAATATTTGAGTAGAATAAAAATCATATTCAGTCCCTTAAATAATTTGAAGATAAATGAATATTCTACCCTCAACCGATCAGTCAAATGAATAAGATTATTTAATACAGTCTGGTAAGTTTAATTAAATATATTAATACACAGTTTAATTAAAATAGATGACCTGTCAGATCTAATTAATGAGGCAAAAAATCAAGAAAAATGAGATAAGCTCTTACCACATGGGTCGATCTGAATAAGTAAATAACAAAAAAAAAACTTTTCTTTCTGCAGCTACAATCTAAAAATTTGATGCCTCATATAATTAATTTATTCTTTCTAAACTAATTTTGAAAGAAAAAAAGAAATAGGAGAAATTTGAAATCATCACAAAACCATCCAATTTTAAATAGATTTATAGATTCAAAACACTTCAACATTATTAACCAGCTACGAAGAGCAATGATTATTGATTATACGAGTTGATATATCTACACAATAATAGTTAATTATGATATCAAGGGATACCTTCACTTGCTGTTAAACAAGACTAGTAAACCATAGAAACAATGTATAATTGACACATGTCTTCATTAACATTAAAACTTTCTTATAATAAACTTAAATTTGTGAGTTCATTATATTATTCCATATTAATTCTTTAAAAAAAAGAAATAATAAATTGAAAAGAAAATGAAGAAGAAAAAGAAAGAAAAAAAAATAACTGTCATACAAATTTTTTAATTTAAACGACAGTGTTTTATCATTAATGGACATGTCGGTAACAGTATTTTAATTTTTTAGTCATTTCAAATTTTTTTATTTGAGCTATGATCTCTTTGATCAGTTGTGAGTTAATCTTTCTTTCAAAAAAAGTAATTCAATAGTTCTTTATTATTATACTATTTTACAGGTTGTTAATTGAATTATTAACAATAGATTAAAAATTTATGTCATTAAAAAAAAAAAAGTAGTGTAAAACGTGACTAATCAAAAGTTTTTTAATTTGTGTTCATTTTGTTAAATTTATTTATTTATTAGTTAATTATTTATTTTTCTGTTGTGAAAATTAATTATTGGAAGCGTCGTTGAATAAAATTTTTTTTTGCCAGTCCCTTTTATAATTTTTTAACCTCTTCTTCTTCTTCTTCTTCTTTAACTTTTGGTTCATTCATTTCAATACTTAATAACTTTTATATATATAATTAATTTATATTTAAAAATTCATAAGTTTTAATCTATTTATAATTTATTCATTCATCGATTTACCATCAAAAAAAATCGTTATATACATTTATTAATTTATCTGTATATTTATTTAGGTAAAGAAACAACAACATAGTGAATAAAAAGATTAATACTCAAATTTTTATATAAATATTATATTTATCAATATTACAAAAACCAAACTAAATTATATATATTTAATCATTTTAGATTAATATATTAAAATAATAAAGAAGAAGAAGAAGAAGATAGAGAAAGATAGGATTTATTTTCATTTTAGCTGTTTATATCACTTAAGGAAAGAATTTAAGTAACAACAATTACGTTTTTTACTTGATCATTATCAACTCATCAGTTCAAAACTTTTTTCACTTTATTATCATAAGAACTTTTCATTAAGATTCTTATACTACAAAAATTTTTCATTTTATCAATTAGAATTTCAAATTTTATTATCATAATTATTATTATTATTCACATTTTTTTATTTTAACAATTTATAAAATATATTCATAAGGGCCAAAAATGAATGCTACTTATTATCCACCTCAGGTTTCAGGTCATAGAGCTACTTCATCATTTCATTATGCTCCAACTACTACTACAAATTATCAACAACCAGCCCCACCACCACAACAACAATCATATTATCAACATGGACATAGTCAGTCTTATTATCAACCACCAACTCAACAAGTTTATAATCAACAACAACAATTATTACCACCACCTCCACCACAACCAATTCATTTCCAAGCCCCACCACCAATGGTTATGCCTATTAATCAAATAATTCCACCACCACAAGCAGTACTGCAGAATATACCGAGTCAACAACAACCACAACAACAACAAGAAGTAAATGGAGGTATCAACTCCGTATTGGAGTATGATTTAAATCAAATGTCTTCATTTTTAGGTTGGTGTACATTTGGAATGTTAAAACAACAATCATCACCTTCAAAAGATTTTGAAAACTTAATTTCATCAGTGTTATTTGCAACAAGATTACCTAAATCTACTATTATAATTGCGTTAGAATATATGAATCAAAGATTTTCATCGAAATTATTAAGTGCTAATTTAACTGAACATGAAATTTTTAATTATCTTGTTGTTTCATTAGTATTAGCTAATAAATTCAATGATGATAATACATTCACTAATAAATCATGGTGTGGAGCTACTGGATTACAATTAACTATATTAAATTCAATGGAAAAAATTTGGTTAGAAGAAGTTAAATGGACATTATCAACAACAAATTTCGAAAGAAATTTACAAGTATTAACTCAATGTTGGAAAACTTGGTGTGAAAAATATGGAACAGATGCAATAAAATCATCATCACCATTACTCCCTTCTACAACAACAAAAACTCCAACATCAACTTCATTTTTAATGAATCCACAACAAGTTTATTCAACACCTACAATATCACCATCATCAGTTAATTTTATAGATCAATCGTCATCACCTTATGATAATTATAGTTATCAACAACATTACAATCAACAACAACCTTATTTAGGTTCATCGCCAGTTTATCAAGATTTTGCCAATGCTCAATATAATCAATATTATCAACAACAATCTCAACAACAATATCCATATCATCATTATAATAATTTTATAAATCAACCTAATTATAACGTAGGTCAATTTTATATGGCAACTTGTTGAAAAACGATAGTTAACAATAATCCAAAGAGTTTTAGCCCCAGTGTTTCAAAAAAAAATTATATTTACTTTTATTAATTTAATATTTGCTGCCTTTTATTTTATTTCATTTTTTAATTTTTTTTTTTTTTTTTTTGAAATTTATTTTATATAATTTATATATACTTTTGTTTTTTCGTTGAGTTTTAATTTGAATTTTGACTATATATTTGTCTTCTTAATTTCATATGTTTCAAGATGATTCAAAATGTTCAATTGTTTGTTTTAGATAATATTCGCGTTAAATTGCGAATAGGAATTTTCTTTAAGACGTGCAGGTTTAGCACGAGAAGTGGCCATTGTCGACCCGTTTCAACCCGAATGAACAAGTCGAATACAACTTGCATTTTAAATTTGCATTTTTTAATAAGATTCATTTACAGCTTTATAACAATCAGAACTAATCTAACGAAATACGTCTTTTTGTCCAATAGAATTCTTAATAGTCAATTATAATCAAATTTGTAACCGAAAACAAAGTTCAAGTTACGGCCATGCAAACAAAAAAAAATAAGCTCAAATTTTCGATAAAATAGACAAAGAAAGTTGTCATATTTTGTCATAATTTGAACTATTTTCAAAGTTTAATTTTGATCATCTGAAACCGCAAAGAAAAGTTACAAATACTTGGTAAAAACCAAATTAAACTATCTAGAAATATGTTTTGATGCTTAAAAAGTATATAAATGTGATTTGGGCTAAATTGAGTGGTGGTGCGTAAAATTAAGTTGTCTCAAAATTTGTTAAATTTGGTGATTTTGATGCAAATTCCCTGATTTTCTCGACTCACCCATGTGAATTTTTGCAATTTTTCTACAATTCAACACAACAAATATCAATTTTAAGTCTATAGAGTTGGCTTTAAATTGAGCTACAAATCAAGCATCAGAAAATAAAATTAATTTAAGAATTTTATCAGAGAGTTAATTTTATGACAGCCACCTCAAAAATATAAATTTTGGGAAACTTGACATCGTGGCATCAGAATTAGTGTTTCAGAGTTTAAAAATATTCCGTCAGAATTTTGACAGCATCACCTTTCGCTATAGTGTGATCAAAATAGAAATTTTGAGTTCTAACGATGCTTAATTTGGCAAATTGTGTTTTTGGAGTCCAAATTTCAGCTTAACTGAGGTCCAAAAATTTTAGGAATTTTTGGTAAATGCACTATAGAAAGCTTAAGTATTGTGGTTAAGATCATTAGACCAGAAAATTTTCAATACAACGTAGTATTTTTTTTTTCAATACTTTATCCATTTATAAAATGTGCAGGCGCCTTTTTGAATCTAATAAATGAACTACATTCGAGAGGAAGAAAAAAGATGTTCTCAAAATCTAGCTTTAGTTACTAATTTATAACCCATTCAATTCTTGTTCTAAATTTTACTTTTTTAATTTTAAAGATCGTTTTAGCCAAGCAAATTAAATTTTTACCAAAGAAATATAATTACTAAAATTGAAAGGGGTTTCACCTAGAAATTGTTGAATTTAAAGCATTGCAGTTAATTTTTCTTGAATTTGATAATAATAAAATGAGCTGAAAAGGGAACGGGTGGATCAGGATGAGTTTGGAAACACCACTGTAGATTGTAGATGACCCTGTGAGGTGCGCTTGCTATTTAACGTTCCTTATTCGACTAAGTTTCATTAGTCTGCAAATACTTGCGGAATTATGGTTTTAATTGTACGAAGACCAACAAGCTTGAATAAATGTTTTTCTTCATAACCTTGTGAATTATTACTTATAGAAATCCTTTGATGTTAATTGAAGTTGAACAAAATGCAATTTGCAGAATGGAGAATAAGATTCGTTTTTTTCGTAAATTAATTTTAGAGTCTCGTAAAGTTTTAAGCGATTTGCAGTACAGCTTAAATACTTGATCGAACAGTTTCATATCATGTGGTTGCATTTTCGAGAAGTAGTACGAAAGGTTTTCAACTATAAAATCGAGTACACAGTTCATTAAACCTTCAGTAGAAAAAAAATATTGAATTTTGATATAATGCCTTCAATTGTTCCAAAATTAAACGTCATGCAGCTATACATTCATAAAAGTGAGGGAAACCCAGCTGTTTCTACCTCTTTAATAATTGATAATAATTTATCCGCTCGGTGGACAGTGTCATAAGTTTTGAGACATACTCGACATAAAATTTATTATATTTATATAAATGGCTCAATTTTTTAATTTCTTTTTTTTTTCAAAAATCTCTGAAAATTTGAATTTTTTTGGATTTCTACGTATCTGGTATAATTCTAATGGAAATGATAAAATCATCAGTTTTTTTATTACAATGTAAACAGAATGCCCATATTGGTCATTAAATTCAAATTATAAGATGATGTTCAAACAAACGTATAGTAAAACCTAAAGTAAGAACTAAGTAGTAAAGTAGTGCATATCAGGAACTGGTTCGTAAAATAAATTAAAGTTTCGTAAATATTTTAGAGATCTACAGTAAAATTTTAGTTTTACCCCAAAATATGTCAGGATATGTAGTATAACTATTCAACATATTATAAGAGTAACTATTTAAAATTTAAATCTTTAACTAAATGTATCCTGAATATTATACTTTCAAATCTGTACCCCCTCTGAGTCTTGCAGTCTTTTACTTACATTATGTGCAATATGTAATTTAAAGTAGGCACAAGATTATGCCATATGCATTTTGGATTAAAAAATAAAAATTTTCTACAAATAAAGTTTGTTGACATATCAATGAGCAATTTTCCCCATAATTGATTAGAATGTATAGAATCTGCTTCGAAGATCAGAACAACAAGAACATGGTCTAAGAACCTTCTGAGATAATTCTCGAAATTGAATTGATTCACATATAATTTCTTGACCTGGACCCCAAAGTAATCTTTCGATTCTTCATCAAAATTGTCTTAGCTAAAATAAAATCCCGGTATTATTATAACTCCATTTAAGGTAAAATTAATACACAAACTCATATTTGAAATATAATAATAATTATAATCAATTAGTAAGAGGGATTAACGCAAACTTCACAAAGATCGTGCTTCAATTTTTTCGAAGAATAAAACTTTATAAATACTTGAAAATAACTTAAGAAGTTATACCGACCCTCTATTTAATACTGCTTTATTTTTACAAAAACAAATCACATAAATTATTTTATATAACCAACCTAGTTTAAAACTCCAAATATAGTTACACAAAACTAAACTGGTCTAAAAATATTTTGGTAGCTAATTACTGATTAAATATTTTATAAAATGCATTTTTATAATTCATTTTTATCCATCTTGTCAGTCACGACATTATTACTTCAATTCGGTAATGTTTTAGGTGTAAATATTCCAAGATCAGCTTATCAAAATGAGCAAGTTTTATCATTAAGTGATGATGAATATGAGAAGCTTTCAACTGAAAATCTAAATAGAATTATTGAAGAAAAAAATTCGGAATTAGTTGGTCAAAAATAGTTAGCTTCTGTTGATAATAAAAAAAGAGCTTTAATTATTTATTTACCAAACCCAACAGTAACTTCAACATTATTTTGGACAGGTGAAAGTATTTCAACAGAAACTTCAACTCAATTAACTGGTTGGGGTTTAACTGATTATGTTAAAATTTATTATCCATCAACCACTCAAGAACTCTCTACATCAGCTGGTCCTATAACAGCTGCTACTTCATATGTTACAGAAACTAATACGCTGAAAGTCTCAGAAACAAAAATAACTAAATATACAACAATATATGGTACAGATTCAATAATTCAAACTGAAACCATAGAAGGTGCAAAAACAAATACCGTGAGAGTCATTTATCCACCAAATCCAACTAGTTTTACCACGTACTTTAGTTATAAGACTTACTTAGAGACCATTACTAAGACGGCCACTTTTGGAGGTACTAACACAGTCCACGTTGTTTATCCAAGAAATCCAACAGTAACTTCAACACATTTTGGAGATGTAACAGCACGTCTGGTTAGTGTTGAGACTGGTGATTTTGATGGTACAGATATTCGTCATGTAATTTATCCACCAAATACTACTAAAACCACTACCGTGTATGGAACTGCAGAAACTATTGAAACAAGTACTGAGTATGGTGGTTTCGGAAGTAGAGATACAGTTAAGGTTTTATACCCACCAAACCCGACTACCTATATCACAAATCAAGCCGCTGTTTCTTCTACCACTACTCAAACAGGAAAAATTGGTGGAACAGATACCGTTAGATTTTGGTTACCATCATCCACTATCAAATCAACTAAGTATACAACAGTTTATGGAACTGATTCAACAATTCAAACTTCAACCATAGAGGGAACAAAAACAGATACAGTACAAATTATCTACCCACCAAATGAACAATATTTCACTACTTACTTCAGTTACAAAACTTTCCTTGAAACTCAAACTATAACTGCAACTTTTGGAGGTACTAACACAGTTCACGTTGTTTATCCAAAAAATCCAACAGTTACCTCAACACATTTTGGAGACGTTACAGCACGTCTGGTTAGTGTTGAGACCGGTGATTTTGATGGTACAAATATTTATCACGTAATTTATCCACCAAATACTACTAAAACTACCACCGAGTATGGAACTGCAGAAACTATTGAAACAAGTACTGAGTATGGTACTTTTGGAAGTAGAGATACTGTTAGAGTTTTATATCCACCAAACCCAACGACCTATAGTACAATTTGGGTAAATCCAACAAATATTCCATCAAGTACTACCCAAACTGGGAAAATTGGTGCAACTGATACAATGAAAATATGGTTACCATCATCAATTGTTAAATCAACTAAATATACCACAGTTTATGGTACTGATTCAACAATTCAAACTTCAACCATAGAAGGAACTAAAACAGATACAGTACAAATTATCTACCCACCAAATGAGCAATATTTCACTACTTATTTCAGTTACAAAACTTTTCTTGAAACTCAAACCAAAACTGCAACTTTTGGAGGTATTGATACAGTAAATGTTGTTTATCCAAAAAATCCAACAGTTACCTCAACTCACTTTGGTGATGTAACGGCACGTCTGGTAAGTGTTGAGACTGGTGATTTTGATGGTACAAATATTTATCACGTAATTTATCCACCAAATACTACTAAAACTACCACCGTGTATGGAACAGCAGAAACTATTGAAACAAGTACTGAGTATGGTACTTTTGGAAGTAGAGATACTGTTAGAGTTTTATATCCACCAAACCCAACGACCTATAGTACAATTTGGGTAAATCCAACAAATATTCCATCAAGTACCACTCAAACTGGGAAAATTGGTGCAACTGATACAATGAAAATATGGTTACCATCATCAATTGTTAAATCAACTAAATATACCACAATTTATGGTACTGATTCAACAATTCAAACTTCAACCATAGAAGGAACAAAAACAGATACAGTACAAATTATCTACCCACCAAATGAGCAATATTTTACTACTTATTTCAGTTACAAAACTTTCCTTGAAACTCAAACTAAAACTGCAACTTTCGGAGGTATTGATACAGTTAATGTTGTCTACCCAAGAAACCCAACAGTAACTACAACTCACTTTGGAGATGTAACAGCACGTCTGGTTAGTGTTGAGACCGGTGATTTTGATGGTACAGATATTCGTCATGTAATTTACCCACCAAATACTACTAAAACTACCACCGTTTTTGGAACTGCAGAAACTATTGAAACAAGCACTGAGTATGGTGGTTTTGGAAGTAGAGATACAGTTAAGGTTTTATACCCACCAAATACAACAACTTATATAACTGGTCAACTTGCTCCAACTGCCGTTCCTTCAAGTACTACTCAAACTGGTAAAATTGGTGCTACTGATACCGTAAGAATTTGGTTACCAAGAGTAACAGCTTAGTTTGCTAAGTCTGATTCACAATTTTTTGATTTTTGACTTCACTTTATATATCGAGGTCTTAATACTAGGCAGGTCCCTTAATTTTTATAATATGTTTTGATCATTCTTATATGTCGTTTGATTGTCTATTTTATAGATTTTTTCTAAATTGTATATGGCTTAATTAACTAATATATATATGCAAATGTTAACAAATTCCCGTTTTCCAACGACTTCAGCCGTCTTATGTACTGCAAAGCTAGTAGTGAAAAAGTACAAGTCTAAGTATTAGCTTCATACAACTTCAAGCATTGAAGTTAGGTATACTATACCAATCGCTTGGCTCATTTTACGCGCACTTGTAGAAATACCCGAGATTTTAAAAAGCCCAATTTTTGAAAAGTATACAGATTTCTGACCATAGACCAAAGAAACAAAACTACTTATTTAACCCGTATTAAGGAGAGTGAAAGAATGAGAAGAATATCTTTAAGATTTAAAAGTTATAAGTCTCCGAATTTTCACAAAAGTGAAGGAGCTTCCACAATAAGAATCAAAACTCCCGAAAAACCATCCACTACAACTTCTCCAACATCATCATCATCAACAACTTCAACAACAACAGACTCATATAAATCCCAAAACTCCCCCTTTGTAAAAGAATTAATTCAAACAGGCAAACCAAATTGGTCAAAAGCCCCACCACAATTAAAACAAAGATATAAAGGAATACACTTGATACTATTATCAATTCCCATAATTGGAATAAGTTCATATGAATTACGGGCAAGATTAGATGGTAAATCAGTTAAAAAAATGCAAACTGGAGAAATATTACCTGATGGAACTATTAGAGAATTTAATGAATTTGAAAAATATCAAAATGAGAAAAATAGCTTGTTTGGGAAAATATTTGGGTTGGATTTCTTTTTGGATGGATTAACTAGTAAGACAATGAATAAAGGTTTAGATAAAAAGGAAATTGGGAAAGAATAGTTTCTAGATTATTTATTAAGAGAGGGGAAATTGAAAATAACTAAATTAAGTTGATTACCTCCAAATGGGTCGATTTTCATCTAATGACTTTAGCAAATTTTCATCATCAAATCTTGAACCTAATGATGATAATGGTCTTTCAGGTGATGTACAATTATAATCTAATCTTCTTGAAAAAGTTAAATTTGGAATTTTCATTTCATTTAATAAAGAATTCGGTCTACCAATTATCGTGGTGGTAGAAGAGCTTGCTCTTGATCTTGTTCTACTTAAATGGAAAGGATCATTTCTATGATGATACGATAAACTTTGTTTTGTTTGAGTTTGTGGTGAAATATCCAAGTTATTACGAGGTGTTTGAAATTTTGAATGTCTTAATTTACAAGGAGATTGGAAAATTGGATGATTTGAACAGATTTCTGGAATTTTGGTATAACCTTTTCTTTTGATAATTTTTGGGTACCCCATTTCCATATAATTTGAATTCATACGAGGTAATTTAGAAGGTTGTCTAATACTTGAATTTAAAACATTATTAAAATAACTATTAAAATCAAATGATGAAATTCTTGATTTTGGTTTTTTAAAAATTATTGAATCTTGTAATGTATTGTTACTCAACTCTGGACTTTTAACTAATGTTCTTTCTTCATCTTCTCGTTCATCATCATTAATGTTGAAACTGTCAAATACTTCAATTAATGAGTTTTTTAAGTTCCTACCACTTGGTTTTGTTTTACCTGTGAAAATATCTATAACTTTATCCTTGTTCTGAATACTTAATGGTAATGTAACAGATTGAACATCTACATTAAAATCAATACCTAACCCATTGTTCATTGGTCTATCCAAATTATCATTGCCGGAACTTCTTGATTTTGTTTGAAATGGTCTAAGACCTTTGGAATGATTGGTTTTTTTAATCATCTCCTTCTTCTGCTTTTGAAAAATAGATAAACTTGAATCAATTTTCGATCTTGATATCAAATCATTAACCTCCATCCATTTTGGTTGTAAATTTTTATTAAACAAATTCAGAGTTTCCTTATTAGTAATAACATGTTCAACAATAGCACTTTCAATCAATTTAATGGAGTTTGAACAAATTTTATATCTTGATCCAATGTCATCACTTATAACTGAGTTACCTTCAGTACTTGCAGAGTCACAAAATGTTAAAACATCAATTAAGTCATCACATTCTTGTTCAATTTGTTTTGTCAAGTAACTAAATATATCATTCCATTTCGAATCTATTTTTTCATATTTCAATTTTTGAAGTTGACTCGTTAAAATTCTCCATTTATCTAACATTGATTCATAACTTTGTAAAACAAACTCTCTTGATACTTGAAACGAAGACGAATGCGAACATATCATATTAAACTCTTCAACTTTTTGAGGTACTATATCTAATGATACTTTTAACGGCAATACTTTTGATTCAATTAATTGGTATTCCTCATAAATTTTTTCATCTAAATCATTAAAAGTCGGTAGTTTTATAGATTTTATTGAAAAAGTATGACTGTTATTAAAATCATTAATTTTCATCTTGGTAACAATATCATTTAAATTATATTTTGGTAAGACTTTTCTTGGACTTGATAAATTATAATCTTTCAATTTTTCAATTAATTTTATACAGTCTTCAATTTCTATTCTCAACAGTCTTATAACTAATTCAATTAATTCATGATAATTTATAGATATATCTAAATTTTTTTTCAATATAATCAGTAATTTTTTAACATCTAATAGTATATCACTTACTTCTTCAAATTTTTTTATTAGTGATTGAGTTATAAACAAGTTTGAGTCAGATGATTCAACTAATAATAATAATCTTGATATAATGGAATCAATACTTTCCAAATTTCTGAATAAATCAGTTAATACATTTTTACCTTCATAATACCATTCTAATAAATTTATAGAATTTTTAGAAACTTCTTTAATATTATTAAAAACCATAATTAAATCATTTAAATATAAATCAATATCTTCCAAAATTTTATTCATCTTAAAGGAATCATGTTGCAGTAAAGTTATTGGTAATGAACCTGATTCTTGATTTGGTTGAGTTAAGTTGATCAATTCTTCAAAAAATGAAAAGTTTGGTATTGAAGATAGTAAGTGTGATAGTTTAATTTGTGGGTTTCTTGAAGTTGTATGATTCATAGTAGCATTGATCGTTATTGCAATGAGTATAAATGATTTTTGTAGTCGAGTAAATTGACGGTTGCTTTCTTTATATTAAATATAATATGTTGTAAAGTCAATTTAAAGTTAATATACAATTTATTGAAATTTATAATATGAGGTGGCAATTATTATTCAATTAAGGAAATATTTTATTCATATATATATCCCTTTAGTTGTATTAAATGAGATCTAATTATAAATCTTGTTATGTAAGAATTTAATATATTAATAAGAAGTTGTAACAAAGTGTATCTACTATAATAAAATAAAATATAAAAATATGAAACAAGTTAAGATCAAATTGTAAACAAAAGAATTAATCAAGTCACGTGTAAGGTCATGTGATATTCATAATGGTTTAGATAAGAGTACTGTTTTTTAAAACTTACTAATATTCTTATACTTTATTCATCAGTTCTATTCTTACCTCTTAATAAATTAGTCTGGTCACATAAATATCTTAATAAAGAACAAACTTACTTTCTATTCTTTGTACAAAATCGTATGAAGATTTAAATTGTTTCATTACTCGAATAAATAAATTTTCAAATTGTTTGTTACAAAATCAAATAGATTCGTATTAAACTTTTTGTACTACTATTTAATTTATTTGATTTTTGGAGATGAGTTTTTGATATCAAATCACTTTACATTACAACAAATATATATTCATACTAAAACCAAATTTACCCAATATACAATACAGAAACCAATTGCATACATTACAAATCAATCAGAATTAACTTAAACGCACTCAAAATCGTATAAAATGGGAAAAGCACCAAATAAAAAATTCACAACCAAACCAAACCCAACTGGTAATACAGTAGCAGCAGATAAACACTTAAATTCAGTTTTCAAATTCAATACCAATTTAGGCCAACATATCTTAAAAAACCCTTTGGTGGCTCAAGGTATAGTAGATAAAGCACAAATAAGACCAAGTGATATAGTTTTAGAAGTTGGTCCAGGTACAGGTAATTTAACAGTACGAATATTAGAAAAAGCTCGTAAAGTAATAGCATCAGAAATGGATCCAAGAATGGCTGCTGAATTAACTAAAAGAGTTCATGGTACACCACAAGAAAAAAAATTAGAAATTATACTAGGAGATTTTATAAAAATGGATTTACCATATTTTGATATATGTATATCAAATACTCCTTATCAAATATCATCACCTTTAGTTTTCAAATTATTAAATCAACCAAGACCACCTCGAGTATCTATACTAATGTTTCAACGTGAATTTGCAATGAGATTAGTTGCTAAACCAGGTGATGAATTATATTGTAGATTATCTGCAAATGTTCAAATGTGGGCTAATGTAACTCATATAATGAAAGTTGGTAAAAATAATTTTAGACCACCACCACAAGTTGAATCTAGTGTTGTTAGAATTGAAATTAAAAATCCAAGACCTAATATTGATTTTAATGAATGGGATGGACTTTTGAGGATTGTATTTGTTAGAAAAAATAAAACAATTGCTGCTGGTTTCAAATCTTCTAATGTTATTGATATATTAGAAAAAAATTATAAAACATATTTATCAACACAAGAAAATGGAGATGGAATGAATATTGATTATAATTCAAATTTAAAAGATATTATAAAAGAAAAAATTACTAAAGTATTAACAGAAACTGGATTTTCTGATAAAAGAGCTGGGAAATTAGATCAAACTGATTTTTTAAAAATGTTATATGCATTTCATCAAGTTGGTATACATTTTGCTTAAAAATCCATCATAGCATTATTGCATTTATTTTTTAATTTTATTAGACTAGTCTATAATTTTAATCTATTGATTTAATTAATTACCTTCTTTTAGTAACTTTAGTATTATCTTTTTCAATAACTTCACCAACACCTCCCATTTCTTCTAGATTATCTTCAGCAACACTAATAGCTTCTCTTCTTTCCCAAAATCTATCTTCACATAAATCAAATGCTATTTTCTTTAAATATTTACCTCTAGCGTCTCTATGTGATGATATTGACCATTCTAAAAATTGTGCACCTGTACGAATATAGAAAGCACGTAATGATTCAAAAGGTTTTGGATGGGGCAACCATGGTCTTTGATCGGGGAATTCTTCTTCTTCTTCTTCTTCCTCAGGTACTTCTTCTTCTGATTCTGATTCTTCTTCTTCATCTTCATCATGACCATTTTCTGCATGTTCATCGTCATCTTCATATTCATCTTCATCATCATCATCATCTTCTTCATCTGAATCTTCTATAGCTTTTTCTAATTCAGATAAATCTTCCCAAAATACTTTTACACCATCTAATCTACCTAAATCAATTGAATAGAATGAATTTAAATTAAATTCTTGATCTCCTCTTTCAAATATACCTCCAAATATATATAATTGATCATCTACTACACATGTTGTAGCATTAAATCTTGGATGTGGTAATTGATTCAGTACGGGGTATTCTATCATTTGTTTTTGGTCTTCTTCTTCTTCTTGATCCTCGAGTTCTTTTGATTTTTGAATCTCTTCTAGTTCTTTTTTATCTTCTTCCTCATCATTTAAATTTGCTTTCTGTAAAATAGAATTCAAAATATCTTCTAAATCTTCATCTCTAGTTTTTTCCTTTATGACTTCTTTCTTTTTATTTCTTAATGGTCTTAAAGTTAAATTATACCACCTATTATTTTCAATATGATAAGAATATAATTGATTATAAAATTCAGAATCTAATTGTTCTTCACTTTCTTCATAATCATAAACTCCTCCAAATAATATACCTCTATTTTTATGGTAAACTAAAGAACAACCAACTCTTGGACTTGGTAATTGACCTTGTTTTTTCCTTCTCTCGAACTTTATACTTTTTAAATCACTTTTCATTTTTAATATCCAACAATCATTTAGTACTTTCCCCTTTTGTAAACCTTTTCTTGCTTTTACTTTTGTATAACCTCCATAAATTACACCACCTTCATTACATGGTATAAATGAATGACCAGATCTTGCATCTGGTATAGGATGAGTAGGCGGGAATTCAACTTGATACCATTTAAAATCAGTAACATCAAATACCCATAAATCATTTAAATAAGTAGTAAAAGTTCCTAAATCTCTAAATCCACCATGTAAGATTATAAAATTTTTCCAAACAATTAATCTATGACCTGATCTAGCTGATGGTGATTTTTTCAAATCTAATTTTTGCCATTCCTTTGAATCACAATCTAATATCCAAGTATCTCCATAATGATAAAATGTTGATTGTTTAGGTGATGAAAATTCTCCTCCAAATAATAATGCAATACCTGATGGATGTGAACACATTGCATGAGATGATCTAGGCAAGGGGGAGTTTTTTGATATTATTTTTCTCCATATATCGTTTTCTGTTGAATATGTGAATAAATCATTATAAAAATGTGCATTATTATTACCTTCTAAAACAGTTTCACCACCAAATAGTAAGATTTCCTTTTTGGTATGTAAAGGGTTTGAGATCATTGTTGGGTTTAATCTCTTTGCTGGATGTTTTTCTAGTATTTCAATTTTTACTTCATTAAATTCTTCTTGTTCTTTTTGATAATTTGCTAATATTGTATCAATATCATCATCTTCTTCTTCTTCACCACCTAATTTTTTAGCTAATTTTTTATTCTTGGTTTCTGCTTTTGCATCGTTTTTCTTTTGTTTTTCTGCCGACCTTAACTTTTTGGCTTCCTTGGATTTTTTATCCTTCTTGGCCATTATGGAGTGAAGCTATTGTGAAATATTGGTTGTGAAAAATATGGTTGCAAAGATTTAAATTTGAAAAGAACTAAAAAAAAAAAATTACAAAATCAAAATATACGAACCAAAATAATCATAACAAAACTTACAACCAATTAATTAGAAGAACTTAGTCAATGTCAAGCACAAATACAACTACCACAAGTGACTACTTCATAAAACAAAGAGATCTTTTATTACAAGAAATATCAAACAATGTAAATGACGTTTATCAAAATATAGAAAATTTAAATAGATCATTAAATGAATCAATACAAATTGGTAAAGAATTTGATGATGTTGGTAGATTATGGAGTTCATTTTATGATGGTATAAATGAATTAAAGGAAAGAAGTGATAGATTTGAATTGAAGAGACAGGAAAGAGAACAACAACAACGTGGTGATAATTTGGAAAGTGAGGAATAATTTTGATGTGTAGAGTTAGATAAGGTTTTAATGATTAATGAATAATGAATTTTTATGAACAACCATCGTAGACGCGTTCACCCTCTAATTTCGAGTACTAATTATAGGAATATCAACGATTTCTACAGTTCATCTCCAAGAATTACTATAAAAAAATGAGTTTAAAATTTTTTAAAAAATATATAAAGATTTTTTATTTTAATCAAATTAAGAAAAGATAATACACAAGAATAATACCTTGAAAGTATAATAAATTCTTTTAAAAACATTTGTGATGAACAATTGATGGACCAGATTCGTCGTATTCTTGTTTTGAGATCCACATTTGTTGGAAAGTTGATAATGAAGCCAAGATAGAACCACCAATCCAGACTGAATATTTTCTTTCTGGTGGTGCAATAATTTTAACCTTCATTGATGATGGAGCTAAAGCAGTGATTTCTTTTTGCATACGTTCAGCAATACCTGGGAACATAGTTGTACCACCTGACATAACAATATTACCATATAATTCTTTTCTAACATCTATATCACATTTAATAATTGAGTTGAAAGTAGTTTGATCAATACCAGCAGCTTCTAAACCTAAATCAGCTGGACGGAATAAAGCTTCTGGAGCTCTAAATCTTTCATTACCAATAGTAATAACTTGACCATCTGGTAATTCATAAGATTTTTCAATAGCTGATGATTGTGATGAAGTTTGCATTTCTTGTTCAAAATCTAATGCAACATAACATAATCTTTCTTTAATATCTCTAACAATTTCTCTTTCAGCAGTAGTAGAAAAAGTATAACCTCTTTCTGATAAAATTTTCATTAAATAATCAGTTAAATCTCTACCAGCTAAATCAATTCTTAAAATACCATGAGGTAATGAAAAACCAGCATAAATTGGAACAACGTGAGTAACACCATCACCTGAATCTAAAACAATACCAGTAGTTCTACCTGATGAATATAATGATAAAACAGCTTGAATAGAAACATAAAATGCTGGAACATTAAAAGTTTCAAACATAATTTGAGTCATTTTTTCTCTATTTGATTTTGGATTCATTGGAGCTTCAGTTAATAATACAGGATGTTCTTCTGGTGCAACTCTTAATTCATTATAAAAAGTATGATGCCAAATTTTTTCCATATCATCCCAATTTGAAACAATACCATGTTCAATTGGATATCTTAAAGTTAAAATACCTCTTTTTGATTGTGCTTCATCTCCAACATATGAATCTTTTTGACCCATACCAACCATAATACCTTGATGTCTTGGTCTACCAACAATTGATGGGAAAACAGCTCTTGGTGCGTCATCACCAGCAAAACCGGCTTTACACATACCAGAACCATTATCAATAACTAAAGCAGCAACTTCTTCTATAAATCGTAGTTAGTATTTGAAATTATTCTTTGGTGATTGATTTATTTCAAAGTAGTAGAAGTAAATTTCAAAATCAATTTCGTTGTTGATTAAATTGCTTATCAAATTTCAGAAATTACGGTCTACCTCAAACACTGAAAAAAGTTCTGATTTCGTGACAACATTTATTCAACAATCTGGCCATTTGAAGATCTTCAAAATATAGTCGACGATCTTATCATTATAATTTTTACACTGAGTAGTCCAATCTCTGTAATTGATCAGTGTCGATAAGGTTGTTGTATAACTAATTTTTTTGATTTAATTGTTGACGATATTTCTTGTTCCGTTCGTTAAAAAAAAATTAATCTCGACCAAATATTATACCTAATATTGCTATGCTTTAAATCTCCAACAAAAGTCGTTGAAATTGATCGAGGTGAACTTTTCATTTGAACTATACTTCTTTACATTATATTGATTGCTTGAGGTACAATTGTATAATTAATTGGCTGAAATTTTGAAACTGTAAACATTTTATTGTCGAATTGTCGACCAAACGAAAAATTGAACTTTGAAAAATACTTAAAATTGAACTTTATAAAAAATAAATCAAATCAATCAATCAATTGAAGTCATTGATCTTTATTGATAATAATGTGACTAATTAAATTACATACCACCGTCCATTTTTGTATTATTCTTTTATAATCTTTTTTTAAAATGTATATATATAAATCTAATTAAAGAAAGTTGATTCTTTAAAGATAAAAAATTATATTTTCAGTTAGAAAAAATTTGAAATTTTATAAAAACTTGTGCGAACAACCAAAAAAAAAATTGAACGAATTGAACGAACTAATTTTAAATTAATAAAAAATAATTTATTATTAATTAATTGTTGGCAAAAAAAAATAAACTAATTACTTTTATAATTAACACGATTAGATAACGAAAATGAGAAGGATAATAATATACATATATATAGTATAAATAGACGATACTATTATATGATATAGTTCAGTCGATAATAGTTTTTGCTACTCAATTTTGGCAGTACTATTGATTTAATCGAATAATAATCATTAATAATCTTAAGACGTGTCATATAATTTTTCAAAAGCGATTTACACGACTTTCAGAATTAAAACTCAATGATATAATAAACATTGTAATACATGAAACCTGTGTTCCCCTATTGGAAAGTGAAAATCAATGATGATATCAATGTCTCTATTTCCAAAATCGATCACCTCTGTAGAAGTGATTTTTCGTAGATACAGATACCTTCAAATTGAATTATTTAAAAATAGAATATATCTTCAAGTTTCAAAATCATCATATTATTAATTTCTCCTAATTATAATGATTTAAATGATCATTAATTATTAGTATAAATCAAACTTTATCTCGACTAATTCTTTAAAGTCAGGTCGAGAATTGAATGGCAAATTTTACAAGTCGGCTGTTGCGGTGATAAAAACATTGTAATTATTATTCACAATCGAAATAATCACAAAATCAAATTTTATTAATTAAATTTTATAATCTGAAACTTTTAGATTTATATTAAATGAAAAGAGGCTGTATAAATTTATTAAATAAATGATTGTCTTGAAGTTTAATAATTAATTAATGGAACTGGCACTTGAGATAATCATCGTATTGTTCTTTGTAGAAGATTTTCCTTCTATTTGGTCTAATACAGACTAATTTACATTTTCATAACCAAATTTCAAAATATACGTTTCATTAATTTTCCTATTAGATAAGAAAAACATTATGATTATAATTACGAATTTAATTAATCAAAAATAATAGTAAAACTTGATTAAGACTAAAAACTTATTGACCATCTAAGAATCTTTCTAGTCATATGTAAATGAATGTTTTGTATCACTATTCATTACATATCAACCCAGCTATTATTAGCAAAAAAATTTATGAATAATTTATTAAAATATGATATTAAATATATTGATATTGGAATGTTTTGAATATTTCCATTTTTAGAAGTTTAATTACACTACTAAGGAAAATATAAAAATATGTAGAAAGAAAAAAATGAAAAAAATTAAAATTTTCATTCAGTAAATTTATAACTCAACGAGTGTAGAAATTATCTCTGGTTTAAGAATCAATCTATCTACATATATAATCATTTTGATACAGTTACAATTTGGTAACTATTGTACTGTAACATATTAAATATTATTAACCTATTTGAAACGTATAATAATATCTAATACTTAAACAAATTAAAAATCATTCTCGCATAACCAAAAAGAAAAAATAAAATAAAAAAAGTCATACAAAAACTGATCTTATTTTATACCCGTTGAAAATTAATAGCATTAAATTAGGCTAATACATCAAAATATCAATAATACATCTAATACAATATGTCATCGTCAGTACCATATGATCCATACATTCCAAATCAAACTACTGGAGATCAATCCAATTCAAGAACAGCAGCTATACAAGCAGTATGTATATATATCTATTTGAAGAATTTAGGGGTTGATATATAAGTAATCTTCAAGTATCGATCCAAACAGTAATCCAAAATTAATATACTAACGCACTAATATTATTATAGCAAATCGATGATACAGTTGGAATAATGAGAGATAACATAAATAAAGTAGCAGAAAGAGGTGAAAGATTAGATTCAATAGAAAATAAAACTGATAATTTAGCAATATCTGCTCAAGGTTTTAGAAGAGGTGCTAATAGAGTTAGAAAAGATATGTGGTGGAAAGATTTTAAAATGAGAATGTGTTTAATATTTGCTGTTATTATTGTTATTATTGTTATTGTTGTACCAATAGCTGTTCATTTTAGTTGAGGAACTTAAAAACTCAAACACTGAATCAAATTCTTTCTTTGTTAAGGAGAAAGGATTCAATTTGTTTCTTTATTAGATGACAGAAATCTCATGAATTATTGAAAGTTTAATTTTAAGTTAATTATTAAGCATTTATTAAAAGCTTATTTATAATATATTAAATCATATTATTGAAATATTATTTCAATTTTATTAATTACATATTGTTTATAATGTATAGTATCATAATTTTTTTTTGGATTTTTAGAAATTGATTGAGTATTTTTACATCACTTTTGTATTGACAAGATCTATGGTATAAATACTTTATGTAACCTATAAACAAGTTCACGCTTTAATTATTATATAAATATTATAATAGTAAAACTTAACACTGTATTACTTTGAATAAAACTTTCCAGTGCAAAAGAAGTCAATTTCATTCAAAATTCAGAGTTAAAAGAAAATGAAAAAAAAAAAAAAAATTCAAAACCAATAAAAATTTAATTTTGTATGAAGAAATTAATAATAGAGTATTTATCTATTATTTACTAATATATTAATTAAAGAAGAGTTTATTTTTCATAATTTTTCACTAATCATTTCATCAATTATATATTCAACAATGTTAAAATCATTATTAAGACCAACAACAGCATCAATTCGTTTTACTGCTTTAAAACCACAAACATATAACCTTATACGTTCATTTTCATATACAACCCCACAATTTTATAAAGCAAGTAAAGAAGATCATGCTTATCCATATTTACATGAAAAAAAACCAATAGATACAAAATATACAGAAGAACATGAATATGTGAAATTATACGATGATAGTTCTGCATTATTAGGAATAACTCAATATGCAGCACAAGCTTTAGGTGATGTAACATTTGTTGAATTACCAGAAATTGGTGATCGTATTGAAAAAGGTGATACTATTGGATCTATTGAATCAGTTAAATCTGCTTCTGAAATATATAGTCCTGTTTCTGGTGAAATTGTTGGTATTAATTCAATATTAGAAAGTGAACCTGGTTTAATTAATGAAGATCCAACTGTTGAAGGATGGATTGCTCATATTAAATTGGATGATCCAAAAGAAATTACTGAGAATGATTCACTTTTGAATAGTGAAGATTATGCTAAATCTTTAGAAGAAGATTAAATGGTGATTAAGAAGAAAAAACAGTTAGTTAGCTTTTTTTAATAAATAATATATATTATAATGTTACTATTTCAAGCTACGTAAGTTTTATAAATCTAATTCAGATGAAGTTCCCTTAACTACCCCTAAAACACTATCAGGTACATATTTAGGTATGAAATTATCTTCATGTAACATACCAAAACTTTCTGTTGCATCTCTACCTCCAAAATTAACAATAGATTGTGATCCACCTGGATGATCATTTAAAAATGAAGTTAAATCAACTACTACATTTTTAATTATACACCAACAATCTGATGCAGTGTTGTGTTTGGCGATTTCTTCTAATGAAAATTCTTTGTTTGGGATTGTGAATGCAGTTGGTTTTTTTGATGCTTGTTTTTGTGGTGGTTGTGATTGTGGTTGTGATTGAGGTTGGGTTTGAGGTTGTGCTTGAGTTATTTGCTGCTGTTGTTGTGGTTGTTGAAATGATGCATTTGAATTTGAATTATCATTCAAATCAATAATAATTCTTTTACTATTTGGGTCAATATGTAAACTAATCATATTTAATCTTTGAGTAGCTGGTTGATCAGATGAATCAACTGGTGCTGCTGTAATTTGTTGTTGTTGTTCAATTTTTGAAGCAGGTTGAGATGATAATTTTTGGAATGAATAACTTGAAGCTTCATCAGCTGCTAATCTACCATAAACAACACAAGCTAATAAAGAAGAACCACCTAATCTATTATGACCATGTACACCACCTGCAACTTCACCTGCTGCATAAAGACCTTCAAATGGTTTGTCATCAACAGTTAATACTTGAGATTTATCATTGATTTTAACACCACCCATTGTAAAATGTAATACTCTTGTTATAAAAGATACATGATATTTTGCATCTGGATTATATACAAAAGGAGTAGTTGGGAAGAATTTTTTACCATATGGATCTTTAATTTCTCCACTAGCTGCTTTATTGTAAGTATCTAATTGTTGTTTCAAAGTTTCTTCACTACATCCAATTTCTTCACATAATTGTTTACCAGTAACAGTTCTCATTAATTTTCTATCAGTATAATGCTTTATATGGAAACTTAAATTTTTTTCACTTTCTTCACTTAATACTAATCTAATTGGTCCATTACCCATATTATTTTGTTTTTCCATTTCTCCACTTACCCAATCTCTAGTACCTAATTCATCAACAAATCTTTCACCTTTACCATTCAACATTATACCACCTTCACCTCTTAATGCTTCAGCCCCTAAAAATAAGAATCTTGGTTGAGTTTTTCCTTCAATAACATCTTTATCATTATAATCAATTAATCCAGTTGGATGAACTTGAACTTTATCCATATCTATTCCAACACCATTGTTTTTCATTATAATTTTTTGTCCATCACCAGTTGCATGAACACCATTAGTCGAAGGTAAATCAATAATATCAGGTCTATATTTTCTTAATAATGAATTTTTGGTAAAATCTGCAGCATATCCACCAGTTGACATAATTACCGGTCCATACATTTCAAATTTAGATTTATCTTTTAAATTTTTATATTTAACACCAATAACTTTATCATCACCTTCTTTTAATAAATCAATAACTTGACAATTTTTTAAAATCTGAACTCTGTTTGGTTCATCTTCACTTAATTTTTCTAATGTTTCTAATAATCTATATGTGATAGCCATACCTGGGAATTTTGAATCATGACCACGATGAGTTCTTGGTTGTGAATGCCCACCCAATCTTGAAACAACACTAAGATCTAAATTAAATATCTCTTGTAACCAATGTATAGCATCAGCAGAGTTATAAGTTAATACCTTAATTAAATCGGGATTAGCTCTATCTTTTGCTGTTTTCAAAGTATCTGCATAAAATTGTTCAACTGAATCCTTAATATCTAATTGTACTTGAGTTCTTGTTAATGCTCCATTTATACCTGATGTTGCTTTTCCAGAATTTCCCGATAAAAATCCTTGTTTATCCAATAATATAACATTCGCTCCTCTTAAATAAGCTTGATGTGCTGCTGATAAACCTGCTAAACCTCCACCAACAATAATTATTGGATTTAATGGACTTTCTGACATATTTTAAAATTTTTGTACTGTATAAATTAAGTGAATAAATGTGATGCTAGAATCTATAAAATCTGATTTTGAAAACCTTTTTGAGTAATGCACTGGTGGGTCAAGATTTAATCGAATATTCAATTATAATCAAATAAATAATGATTGAAATATTCAAAATGAGCGCTAATTTAATATTTATATTTCATTAATTCTTTGTGAAAATTAAAATTAGTGTGGGGAAGAATATTAAAGCGGAATATTAATACGAACTTTTCTTGGTGTTATTAAACTAGTCAATCTAACCGACCTAAATTAGGTCGACAGTTTAAATAAATCGACGCGCTTAAATTACTAAATCAAATCAAAATTAAACTTTTGCTTTCAGACACTTTTTTTAAAAAGATTTGAGTTTGCATAAACTTACGTCAAGAAGTCAAATTAGTATAACTATCTCGGTACTATATCTCCAGACCCTTTACTTCATTTCATTGAAATATGACATTTTTGACCCTTTGTAGTAAAAAAAGTTTCAACTTTGATATAATTTTTCAAATTGGAATTTCTCTAAGTTTTTTAATTTTTTATGTCTTATAATTTCTACCCCTTAAGTATGGAAGTTTTTTGATTGAACTTTTGTAAAAGTCCGAAACAGACACTAAATTTAGCCAATCATTTAGTGTATATGTGTAAGCTAATGATCGATAACACTTATAAATACGGAGTGGTTCAGCATAAAAGACATCGATCAAGTGTCAAAAAGAAGCTCAATATTCCATCATATAAAACGTTTTACTTTCTCAATGGACAAAATACTGGGAAAATAATTGTAAGATTTTGTAAAGTACAATGCACGTGACCTTAATTGTGTCTGGAAAATATTTCCTAGATAGTTCAAAAATTACATGAAACAAATTTTGTTATTTTGCAACCAAAGTTTTACATTCACAAACTGGGTTTCAAAGTATATCATTACCTATTCTATTTACTTCTATCCTACCTCAATAGTTGAGCCATTATCAATAACCGAAAGCAATTAAAATCAAACCACTCTAATTTTTAATCTAATGAGAAATGTATTGAAATGCAAAAGAAATATCATTAAATTGAGATTCACCAGCAATTAAACTATCTTCATTACTAGCTAGTTTATCATGATTTAAATGATTCCAAGTAGTAGCATCACCATAAAGCATAGCTGGACTTTTTACAATTTGACCTTTTTCTATTGTACATCTTTTACAATTATAAGTATCATGAGTATCACATTCAGTATTTGGTTGATATTGAAATAATTGTCTTAAATTATCAGCACTAAATAATCTTTCAACATCTTCTTTTTCATCTACTACACATGAACTTAAAGACATTTTCATTGATTGTCTTTGGAAAATTTTTTCTTCTATAGTACCAGTTGATATAAATCTGTAAATAAAACAATCTTTTTTTTGACCATCTCTCCAAACTCTTGCTAATGCTTGTTGATCAGATGCTGGATTCCAATCTGGATCTATTAAAATTAATCTATTTGCTCCAATTAAATTTATACCACAACCTCCGGCTTTTGATGATAATAAGAATATAAATTCCGAACCTTCTGGATTATTAAATTTATCAACTAATTTTTGTCTTTTATTTATATTCATAGTACCATCTAATCTTAAACATCCATATTTCTTGTAACGACACATTTTTTCAATTAAATCTAAAGTTTGAGTATAATTTGAAATTAATACAATTTTATCATCAGTTTCCGAATTAATTCTATGTAAAAATCTTTCTAAAATCATAAATTTCCCACTAAACCAAGTTTGAATTTCTCTATTTCTACCACCACCACCTCCAGACGATATAGAAGATTGATAATCTTCTGGAATCAAATGTTCACATCCTTCTAGATCATCTGGTAAATCTAATAAATCTGGATGATTACATAATTTTTTCAACATTCCTATAGCTTTTAAAGGTTGTGAACCTATACCTTTTAATAATTTTTTAATTTCTGGAGATGTTATAAAATGATGATATAATTTTTTTTGCATTGGTGATAAACCAGTGAACAATACATATTCATATTTTATTGGTAAATATTTTGATAAAATATCATTAGTTCTTCTAATAATAAATTTAGAAACCATAGTTGATAATTCTACCAATTTTGCATCTCCCTTCTCACGTTCTTTATCAGTTGCATCAGCATCTCTACCTCTTAATATAGAATTTTCAAAATTTTTTCTAAAATCATTTCTTGTACCTAAATATCCCGGATTTGCAAAATTTAATAATGAAAAATATTCAGATAAATCATTTTGTATAGGAGTTCCTGATAATATAACTCTTCTTTCACACCTTAGTGAGTTCAATGCTGTAAAAGTTAATGAATCTCCATTTTTCAATCTATGACCTTCATCAGCTAACATTAACCCTACTTCTGTACCAGCTAATTTATCAACGTTTCTACGTAATGTTTCATATGATATAATTAATACTGGTCTTACTACATTCCTACCCCTTGCAGTTGACCATTGTTGTAATGCAGTACCTAATTCATTTGATTTTGTACTTTTACCATCTACCGCTAGTGGAGTTAAAACACCTTCACCTAACCATTTTATTATTTCATTTGCCCAATTTCTAACTAATGATGAAGGACATACTATTATACATTTTTCAATTGTTTTCCTACCTCTCGGTGATTGCTTTAATAAAGTCCACATTAATGCTAAACATTGTAAAGTTTTCCCCAACCCCATTTCATCTGCCATTATACATCCTTTTGCTTTTGGATCAATTAAACCTGAAGTACATCTATAAAGAAATTTAACACCCGCAATTTGATGAGGTCTTAAAATTTTAGCTAATTTTGGATCTATGACAACTGGTACATCTGGATATTTTGCTAATTGCTCTTCTGGGTTTGTGACTATACCTAATATTTCAGCTAATGATTTATGTACTCTTCTTTTTTTGGTTGGTGGTTGACTAATTTCTGATGATTCTTCAGGTTCAATTGATGAACTCAGGTGATTTGATTTTGGAGGTTCTTCTTCGTCTAATTCTTCAATTTTGGGTATTATATCAACAGTTGGATCATATAAAACTATAGCAAATTCAGAGGTTGGATCATGTAATGCACGAGGAGGTAGTATTGGAATAACTTTATTTCCCAATGGTGGTGGAGGTGGTCTATTAAATTCATTTTTCTTGGTGTTGTTTTTACTAAACGGTATAGTGAAGGATCTCTTAAATTTAACATCATTATTATCAATATTTATTTGATTCATTGATCTTGGTAATAAAGCACCAAATTTTTTAACTCTTATAATTTCCCCATTCTCATTCACATTTGCATCATTATCGTGACTTTGGTTTTCAAAATCATCTATTGCATAGTTTGTTGTTTTACGAGTGGATCTAACTGGTCTATGTGAAATTATACCACTTACTGTTTCCAGTCGCGTTTTGAAGGGAACTTTAAAAGGTTTTGCTAATCTTGTCGCTGAATCTGTAACTTTTGCTGGTCTTTTGTCCTTTGGCACACCTGCACCTGACCCCAATGGTGTTGTAAATTCTTTTAATGGTTTTCTATAACCCATTTTGACTTGATGATATGTGTTTAAGATCTTATAGTAATAGTAAAACAAAAACAATAATAAAGTATACGCGATTATAATAATACACATTTCATAGCACAAAATCAAAAGTAATATATCCTCGTACAACTTTTCTTTTCAACTCATCAAAAAAATGGATCAAATATTAGCAAAAGCCTCAAATCAAGTAGTATCATTTGCAATTAGATCAGGTATATCAATTGCATCAGGGTATGCTATAAAATCAATATCAACATTTTTAGATAAGATACCTGAATCACAACAAAAGAAATTATTAAAACAACGTCATAAACTAAAATTAAAAATTGATATTATTAATATTACAATAAATTTAATAAAATTAGCATCAGCTAAAGGTAACACAGTATTAGAATCAACATTAGAACTTATAGATGATTTATATTTACAATTTACTGATTTTGATGAAAATTTAAATTTGGTTGTAAATAACTTATCAACTACAAACACTAAAGAAAGTGTAATTAAAGTTGAAAATTATATGAATAATTTATTGGTGGATATAAATGAAGCTATTCCAATACTAAATTTATCATTAATAACTTCTGGTATAAACCTAAATGGAAATTTAAATTTTAATGAAATATCACCAGGTAGATTATTACAAGCATCGAATTATTTAGTCAATAGTACACCCAAAATTGGACCAGTATTTGATTTGAATTATTATACAATTTTCTATAATCCAAGTAGATTAAAATACATTGATGGGGAATTAGAGGAATTAGATTGTATATCATGGAAAGAAACTTTTGCAAGAAGTTCAACCACTATTGAAAAAAAAGGAGAATTTTCATATTTTTTAACAATAACTGAAGATTTTAATGATGATAGATATCATGAAGATGATGAATTACCTCAAACTAGAAAAATAAATTTAAAAAATATTTCAACTATGTTTTTCACAATTTCTGGAAAATTATTAAAATTAGAAAATAAAAATTCCCCAGTTTTAATTTTAAAATTAATTGATGATAAAGATAATGAAGAGTGGATTGCATTAGGTCAATTAAGTAAAAATGAATTTGACGACGAAGAAGAAGAAGACAGCGAAGAAGAACAAGAATCAACAAAACCTAAAGTATTAAAATCAAATTCATTATCATTATTAGAATATATAATAAGACTTGCAAAATTACAACAAATTGAACAAAAATCAATACTAGCTATCCCTGACGAAATCATAAAATTATATTTACAAGATTACAATAACAATAATCAGAATTTACCAAAATCAATTAAACAAAAATCAAAAGAAGATCAACATAAGAATGAAACTAATTCAAAAATTACTCTAGATTCAAATATAAATAGGCTTAAAAATTTAGAAATTAATAAATAAATGTAAGTAAAAATTAATTTATTATTTATTATTATTATTAATACATTTATCTCATTACTATTATGTGAATATATTTCTCTATTTCAAAAAGCTTTTAAACTTTCTCAAACTTTCTCATTATTATTTGGAGTTGGTGTTTGATTATTAAAAATTGGCATGAAATAATCATTATATAATGGTATATCATCACTTTCTACCATTTGCTTAAATTCATTACTCATTATTCCATTATTATTGGGGAAATTTGCTTCATTGGTAAATGGATTATTATAATTGTTGTTGATATTACTGTTGTTGATATTATTGGGCATTTTGAAATCAGGCAAACCGTCAAATTCAAGTGGATAAGTTGAATTAAATTGATCATTATCTTTATCGTTGCTATTATCACCATTATTATTATTATTGTTATTATTATTATTGTTATTATTATTATTGTTATTATTATTATTGTTATTATTATTATTGTTGTTATTATTGTTGTTGTTATTATTTGAATAGTATGTTGGAATAGATGATGATGTAGATAAATTTCTTTGTAATTCACTAACACTATCATTATTATAATTGTTTTGATCTAAATTACTTAATGGATCATTATCAGTTATATTTTCATCAAAAAAATTTTCAGTATACATTTCACTTTCAATTTTACTTAATTGAGAACCAAATTTGTTTGAACCTAACCCAGTTTTACCAAAATGATGATGTGCTGTATTATGATCATCTGCTACATTGTCATCAAATGTAACTCCTCCACTTGGTGGAAAAGCTGTTGATGTAGTTGATGATGGTATACCACCATTTATAAATGATGTACTATGATTTATACTGTTGTTTACAAAATCAAATGATCTTGTTGAAGAATTTGAAGCTATGGATAAAACACTTTCTGGTCTTTTAGGTCGCGTTTGTTGATAATGTGATTGTTGTTGATGATTATGATTATTATGATCATTTAAATTTGAACCAAAATTTATATTAGTGGTTGATTCTGATGCTGATGCTGAAGTTGAAGGTAACGATGAATACAGATCTAAGTTATAATTTGTTGTATCTATTGATGGTCTAACTGGTTTTGGTTGATAAAAATCTTTATTATTTTGTGGTAATCCTGACAATGGTTGATTTTCATTATCAAAACTTGGACCTCCAACTAATGGAAATAATGGAAACATATTATCAACATCATCAGTATTTGAATCATAATTTGTTGGATCTATTAATGATGATTTTTTGGTCGAGTAATCGTTGTTTTGTTGTTGTGGATTTTGTGAATAATGAGTTGGAATTTTATCTGGGGTTGTTTCATTACTAAATTCTTCATAATTTTCATTTTTAGAAAACATATCAAATAATCCATTTTTTGTATCAAATGGTATTAGTATATCTTCTATTACAAAATTATCATGTAATTCAGGGTTTATTGGATGGTGTGATGGTTGTGAATTATTATTATTTGCAGTTGTTGATTTATGATCTTGTTGTTGTTGTTGTTGTTGCTGTTGATTATTTGTTGATGGAGTAGTAGAATTTTGTATACTTCCTGGTGATGAATCACTTGTATTTGATTGAACTGAAACAGATGTAGATCTTTTTCTTAAATCATTATCTAGTAATTGTTTTCTTTTATTATTCTCAATTATTTGATTATCTTTTGACTTTTTAATGGAAGTTGTAGATGATGAATTATTAATTGAACAAGTACAATGATTAGTTTTATGACAAGCACAATTTATATCATGATTTGAACCATTTTTTGATTTTTTACCACATGAACATGAAACATGTAAATTTTTTAATTTTCTATTTTCTCTACAATGTGAACATTGAGTTGCAGGTCTTCCTTTTGGTTTTATCATTGTTAATGGTTGATCAGTATGTGTACAAGTTGTTACTCTATGACCACGTATACAACGATCGCAGGCATATTTCACCCCATTAATTAAAACCATAATGAAATGTTAAAAATGAGATATATTGTAGATATATGAATATTCAATATTTATTGGTTGTAATGATGATGAAAATGATGATGAATAATATATATTGAATATTAAAGGCACAAAAAAAATTTAATAATATAATATATGAACTTGAGATATAGAAAAAGTTGTGGAGTTAAGTTTATAATATTGTTTTTGATGATACTAGATAATAATTCTATCAACTCCACTGATTAATAAATAATAATAATCTTCTTTGATAATAATATTAAATCTGATATAATAATAATGAAACTTGTATTAATTAAATATTATAAAAATTAATGGATTAGAAACTTTTTTAAAAATAAAATTTTGGTTGTAAAAAAAAAAATATTTTATTATGTAAATTTTCTTTTTAAAAAATATTGTAGTACTTTAAATTAAGTATCTGTTAAATATATTAATAACACTAATAAATATAAGTAACAAATTTCTAAAAAAAAAATGAATTAAAGATACATTGGATTGATAGAAATACTCCTTGTAGTAAAGCTAAAATAGAATAGTATATTCGTAAAATACGGTTCTTTCAATATTAGTTGTATTTATGAAAAAGTATTAGATAATGGAAAAGTAGATATAAAGTGGAAATGTAAAAAAACAACCAAAATTTTACTAATACAAACAAATTCATTATAGAATATTGATATAAAGAATAAAGATATTGATAAATTTAATTACAATAAAAAATTAAAACCCACAAAACTAATCTCATTATTATATATTTTATAAATGATGTAGTTATCATTATTTTCTAACATATTCTAATGTAATGTAAAAATAATAATAATAAAACACATGAAGGGTTAGGAATAAAAGGCAAATCAATACCGCCATTTCAATTAATATGTATGTTTTAAAAAATTATTTAATCAATATTTATCAATAAAGTAGACAGTATGTAGAAATTAAAATTAAATAGGGCGTGTAAAACGGCTGAACAATCTAAAATTAATTTCATACGAAAATTCTTAAATGATTGTTATGATATTTATCAATATTTTCAATTTTAATTATAAAATTATTCAAACAATGCTCATAATCCATTTAGTAAATTTTACTGTTAGAATTTAAACAATTCTTAGAAGTTTATAATTTCATTTCGAGGAAGAAAAATTATAATTAACAGCCAAGCAAAAGTCCCTTTTTCTTTTTAAATTTTAAGAAATAAGGGAAGAAAGAATTTCAAAAGACTATTTCTCAACATTAACTAATCTACTAACTTAATAAACTTTTCAGATTAATAAAGTTATGTATATTGAGTTAAAGAAATTGGAAAGTTATTTTTAGTAATTAATTTGAGCTATTAGTGCTATTAAGTAGTTAATTAATTTAGTTAAGAGGTGATAACCCTGAAAAAAAAAAAGATACAAAAATTTCTTTGATCAGTTCGTATCTTTAGATCTCAAATTCCTTTTTAAGAATAAGGCTAGTGGCTTTAAAAAGTATAGCCTTCGATAACCTGCTTTTTTTTTGTTATGATTTTTTGATAACTAATTTAGTCTTTAGTTTAAGTTTTAAAACGTTTATCTTGAATATCAGCTATCTTTACATTTCTACTAAAACATGTCTCAAAAATAAATAGTTTATTAATTATTATAATAATGCAAAAATATCATCTATATAAACTAATCTATATTGTTTAAACAAAATTAATCTATAATTTACTATTATTTTTAAATGGTGGATTAGTTAATGGTTGATAAACTTTTCTAAATAATTTATCTTCAGGTACAAATCTTGAACTAAATGCATTTATATCTAAATATTCTTCATTTAATTGATCTAAAGAAGTAACACCTAATAATCTCATATTCATTGTCATTTCATCTTTTAAAATTTGTATAGCTTTTCGAACACCTTCATCTCCATATGTTGACATTGCATATAAGAATGGTCTACCAATTCCAACACCTTTTGCACCTAAACAAATGGCTTTTAATATATCAGTTGCTCTTCTTACTCCTCCATCAATATAAACTTCGAAATTTTTATCTAATCCCTTTTTTCTTAATACTGGCATTGTTTCCATAAGAATTTCAATGGGAGCTTTTGCATATTCTAATTGTCTACCTCCATGATTACTTATTACTATACCATCTAATCCATATTCTGCTGCTAATATTGCATCTTTTACACATTGTATACCTTTCAATAATATTGGCATTTTAGTAATTGATCTAAAAAATTCAATATCTTTCCAATTTAATGAAGTATCAATAAAAGATGAGATAGCTCTTGCAGCACCTTGAGAACGATCACTTTCTTCATCACCTTGAACATTACTAACATCTTCAATATCTTTTGATCTCATATCTTTTTCTCTTCTACCTAATTGAGGTGCATCAACTGTTATAAATAAACCTTTACAACCTCTTTTTTCAGCATGTTGAACTAATTTTTTTGATATTTCTTTATCTGCATTTACATATAATTGAAACCATTGAGTTTGTTTATCTGTAGCTTGATCTACAATTTCATCAAATGAACAACTTGCTAATGTAGGAATCATTTGTATAACATCTTCTTTTGCTCCTGCTCTAGTTAAAACTTTTTCACCATCTGGATGACCTAATCTACCTAATGCAGTTGCAGTTATATAAAATGGTACTGAAGTGGTAGTACCTAACATAGTAGTTGAAAAGTCAATATTTGTAACATCAACCATAACTCTTGGTTCAAAAAATATTCTATGATAAGCATCATGATTTTCTCTCATTGTTATTTCATCTTCACATCCTGAACTATAATAACCCCATGCGGTTTTTTCCATTGTATTTCTTGCAACATATTCAAAATCATTTAAATTATAAATTTGTCCTAAATCTGGTTTATTACGAACATTTTTCAATCTTTGAATTTCTTCTGGTGGATTTGGATCTCCATTTTCATCATATAATAATTCTTCATCTTCTTCTTCTTGAGATTCTACTGTTGTAGAAACTTGAATTTGTCCTTCTGTAGGTATTGGATCCATATCATCTTGTTCATCATATTCAACATCAAATTCATCAACAATTTTTCTACCATTTGTTGAAGTTGAAGATTCTTCTTGTTTAACAACAGTTGTTTTAGTTTGTTGTTTCTTTTTTGGTTGAATTTTTCTTTTTTCAACTTCTCCTTTATGAAATTCAGGTTTTAAATATTTTGTTAAAGTATCTGGTGGATGAACTGGATCAAAAACTTTTGTTGCATCTTTACCACCATATTTTAATATTATAGCTTCACCACCTGGATGTTCTGGCATAAATTCAGTTAAATCATAAGCTTTATCATGAACTATTACCCAACAATCTTTTCTATTATTATGTTTACTAACTTCTTCTATTGAAAGTACCATATTTTGTGAATGTTAGTTATAATTTGAGTCTGAGATATTGTAAAATGAAGTTGTATAACGTAGATGCTTTTTTCCCAAAATTAATTAAAGATATGTTTTTATAATTAATATAAAAATAAGTTGTAAAGTTTTAATTCGATTGTAATTAATTAAGTGGGGTTGAAAAATTAATTTGTATGTAGTTTTAATATTGTATTAACTATTATCATAATTTAAAACCAATAATTTAATTCAAAATGGTAATCAATTACCTAAATTAGAAATATTTTCCGTAATTCTGACTATAACTTCTAATCGGAGTAACAAAATCTTATACTTTTAGTTTTGTACTATTCAAAAAAATTGTCTGATTTGTCTCGAGCTCTCTTCAGACACTTTTCTATTTTGAACTTCTGTTATTCTTATTCTGTTAGTTATTTCTTGAACAGTTGCTTGATGGAAGTCAAAATTATGACTAATAAATATAATAAATCTTGTGTTTAATTTTCAATTGAAGAAGTCTATATATCATCTATATTTAGAGTCAAATTTCATGCAAATCGAAGGATTAAATTTATTATAGTTTAGAGATCAGCGCATTAATTTGCGTTTTATGAAACTTTAAAAGTTTAAATAGAATTTGATTAACTATTATATACTACTTAGCTCTATTAATTATTATATAAACGAGTCAATGATCCATTAATAATTTCTAAAGTCATGATATTTCTAAATCTTTCAATATTACCTTTTTTAATATAACCTAATGAAATATTATTAATTAAAAATCTTGCAATCATTAAAGCAAAAACAATTGAATCATTAGATCTAACGATTGATGAATATTCAGTAGCATCAGTTGAATATTCAATTTTTGGTTTACCCAATCTTTCATTTAATTCATTCATAAAAGATTGACATTTTGAGAATAATTTAGTAATGAAACTCATACTTGCTGTAAATCCATAAAGTTTAAATGTTTGTTCATCATTATTTATTACTAACAATGCAAACCAATTTGAAATTCGAATTGGAATTAGAATCATTCTCATTTCTGTTAAATTGATTTTTTGACATTTATCAACTAATTCATCAATTTTACCAGTTAATAAGTTTTTTTGAAACTTACAATCAAATACATAAGTTTTTTCTTTTTTACCACCTTTTGCAATTAATCTTAAATAAACTTCAATAATTTCTCTTTGGATTTGTTTATTTGGTCGTAATGTTCTTAAATCTTTATTTAAAATTTTAGCTTTATATTTTTGAGTGTATTTGGTATTTAATTCTGTTTCGTCTTTTGCTATACCTTTTACTAATACTTTTGAATATTCGTCACTACTTAATTTTCTCATAGCTGGTGATGATGATGATGATAATGTTTCCTTTTTGGTAGGTCGTTGGGGAGTGGGTGCAGGTACAACCCTCGTTTGGTGATGAACAGCCCTTCTTCTGAAGCGTGGCATTGTAGGTTGATTTGATGATTGTAAGAAATGTTACGTGTCAGTGTCAAAAAAAATCCTATGCAAGAGTTTAGTATGATATATATTTTAAAGTCTCGTCCAAATTAACAATCTCTTAAATAATAATTTAAATCTGAAACAAGGGTTAGTCGTGTGATTACCTTAAGACCAACACATTTTGATGTGATTAATACGGTTCAATTTCTCGGCTATGACTCAGGGGCACCATTTTTAGAGACCTGAAATTTGTCAGGGTTCCATGAATGAGTTGAGTCAGGACAATAACAAGAAGGAAATTTTTATTGTGAGATAGTTTGCTCAAACCTTGATTAAATTTAAAGGAAAAAGTCACACTCATTAAACCAAACGAGATTAACTCTTTGAATGTGGAAGTGCGTCTTTTAAAGGGACGTTAGAAAACTTAGCGTAGGTCAACACATAGTTTCTTTCAATAAGCTAAAAAACCAATTGACTACAGAAGATTGTTGAATAGACTTGTCAAGCAGCTCATCAAAGATAATTGCTAAACAAGTTTCGATGGAAGCAATAAATTTTGGAGCTCAAGCAAACAATTCTATCTTGTTTCTAAATTTAGCATTCACAATGCTCGAACTTTTTCATAAAAATGTTATACGATCATTTGGACTAGTTATAATTCTAAAACATGAAACAAAGCTTTTCGTACTTGGCAAGAGAATCTCACAATTTTGTACCTTCAAATCTTAAAAGGGTAAGTTAAACCTTTGATCTAAGCAAAAATTTTTGAATTTTCACGGATAAAATACAATTTTTTTGCAACTTTCTCGGTAATTTTAAAACAAAAATTCCAAACATTAAACGGTCGTATAAAATTTGACATGAAATTTTTGGCATCAAACTTTGATACGATCAATACAATAGATGAATATAAAAATATGTACATATCCAAGATGACTTCCAGATAACTCAATTGACTCAACAAATACTAAACCAAAGTCATCAATCATGAAGTTATTATTACTAGGTCTTATACCAATTGCAATGTATTCAATTATGTCATCATTATATTATACATGGTTACCAACAAATTATAGATTTGATAAAGATTTACTACAAAGTTTAGTTAATGAAACAATTACATTACATCCAAATAATGCAACAGAAATGATGATTGATCTTGGTGCTAGAATCAAAAAAGAATATCCTGATATTATAAATGAATTAAATTTTAAAGATTGGGTTTACAATAACGCAGGTGGTGCAATGGGAATGATGTTTATATTACATAGTTCAATCTCGGAATATTTAATCTTTTTCGGTACTGCAATTGGTACTGAGGGTCATACAGGAGTACATTTTGCTGATGATTATTTTATGATTATGAAAGGTGAAGAAAGAGCAGGAGTACCTGGTAAATTAGAACCTGAAATTTATAAACCTGGAGATTGTCATCATTTAAAAAGAGGTGAAGTGAAACAATATACAATGCCTGGTGAATCTTATGCGTTAGAGTTAGCTCAAGGTTGGATACCGGCAATGTTACCATTTGGATTTGCTGATACTTTAAGTTCTACTTTAGATTTTGGAACTTTTTCTAAAACTTGTTATTTGACTGCTAAGGATATGATTTCAAATTTACTTAGAGGTAAATTTTGATTTTAGAGTTTGATGAAGCAGAGATCAAGTTTGTATATAGAATTAATCACGGAAAAAAAGCTTGATTTGGAATGAAACTTCAAGAATTATACTACTTTTAAGTCTATTTACTAAAAAAATCTACATATTAAAGTACACATACTATTAGAGAAAAATACTTCAAGTAGAGTGGGGTGCTCTACTTTAGAACACCTACCTAAAAAAGCACACCTTGATTTTTGAAAAAATTTTACGCACATATGTACTTTTGTGTAGCAATAATACACATGATATATACTGCGTTACGGATGTATAGAGTATTTTTTCTTTGGCAACTTCATTTTGAAGAAGTTTGAACTTAAACTAGAGGTAAAGACACAACCACTATTCCAATTGACCTCAGATAACCAATATTAGATTGTTTTTGGAGCGGAAAAATCTCATTCAAATTTTGAGCAATGTAGCTTCAAAATTGAGTACTTCAATACGAAAGTTAACAAACATTAAAAAGATTGCGCTTAATTAGCTGCAAAAAATTTGAAATATCAATGTTTCAACTCAAATCAAAATTTCCAAATTGTATTTTGATTTGTCTGGCAGTTTTAGTATTTAGTTTCAAATATAATATCAAATTTTGAGTTTGATCGTAGCTGTTTTGGGTGGGTTGGAAGGATAAATAATTTTCTCTCAAAAAAGTGATTTTTTTTTGAATCCGATTTTGAGCACATCATAATTGGTCTTTCACCACCAAACTTTATGAAGAGATAAAAGAATAGTATCTCAAACCGCCAGGTTTAAGATTGAAGCTTCAAGATTAAATCATGTTTGGTCAGGTGTGCTCAAGTGCTGAAAATGTCCCAACTTTTTTTAGGGATTTTGGATTTGACCATAAGTGACTCAATTTTGAGGTATTACTCATAACCAAATATTTACAGCTTATTCAGAGAGTGTTGAAATGGATGTATTCTGCTATGGTGGTTTGTACAGCATAACAACATAGTTATAGGCTGTTCTAGTTTGTATGGTATAGCTTAAACTCTCATACAAAATGCTATATAAATTACACAAAAATCAAGGTGTGCTTTTTTAGGTAGGTGTTCTAAAGTAGAGCACCCCACTCTATAATAAAAAGTTTTCAAATATTTGAGACTATTCATATTTAATTAAAAATTTTAATTCCGTTATAAAAATTTGACATATTATTTACACAAAACTCTTATAATTTTAATCTAGAATTTCAAATTAAAATTAATAGAACGCGTCTAATATATTGATATAATTTTATTATGTGTTGATTAAAGTGCTTGGAAGTAAGTTCAAGTATGCTGTGTACTTTTTAATAATAATCATTATCGTATACCTCAAGGCTGTATCTACTATCAAAATTTGTATCAAAATATTGGTGGGTAAATATCACATGCAATAATATTCGTCTATTGGTGTTTATTATTATTATTTAAGAATATTAAATTTTGACCAACTGAACACTACTTTTGTCTTCTTTGAATTCTCGTATAAAGATTTAAGTCGACGTCGTATTAAAAAATTTGAGATTTCTCGTTGTAAATTGAATCAAAAAAAATTATGAAACGAATTTGAATCGTCCTTGACGAGACTTTTCTCAGAACTGACCTTTACTGCTCTAAACAACAAAATTAGTTCATTTGAATCTAAATTGAACAAAGACAGTTTTTAAGCTAGCTTCAAATAGCAGTTATACCAATCAAATTTACTTTCAAGTTTAAACTTGTATTACTTTTCAATCATAGAAAAAGAAACTACATAATAAAATTATTTTAATATTCCACGTAAATAGTAATAAAATAAATAAATAAATAAATAAATATTTACAAACAAAAAAAATTTAATATTTGATCTAATCAACAATTTACAACTAAATTTATTGATAAACTTAATCTTACATTGTAACAACTATTAATAGACAAATTCCCAATCATATAACATTATCATAATTACAATCAATCATGGTATCACTATATGATGAAGGAACCCGTTGTTGGTATCCTGATAAAGAATTAGGTTGGGTTGGAACAATAGTAAAATCAAATAAATTAGAAGGTAAAAAACATATTATAAAATTAGTGTTGGAAAATGATGATTCAACCATTTTCACAGTAGAAACAGATAATTTATCAGAAGATAATGATAAATTACCACCCTTAAGAAATCCTCCAATTTTAGAAAGTACAGAAGATTTAACAAGTTTATCATATTTAAATGAACCTGCAGTTTTACAAACCATTAAAATACGTTATTCATTATTAAATATTTATACTTATTCAGGTATAGTTTTAATTGCAACAAATCCATTTCAAAGAGTTGATCATTTATATTCTCAAGATATTGTACAAAATTATTCAGGTAGACAAAGAACAGAATCAGATCCTCATCTTTTTGCCATTGCGGAAGATGCTTATAGATGCATGAAAGAAAATGGAGCAAATCAAACTATAGTTGTAAGTGGTGAATCAGGAGCCGGTAAAACTGTTTCTGCTAAATACATAATGAGATATTTTGCATCTGTTGAAGCTGATGCACAACAAGCAATTGGTCATGATCATAAAGTTGAAATGTCCGATGTTGAAAAACAAATACTAGCAACAAATCCAATTATGGAAGCTTTTGGTAATGCAAAAACTACAAGAAATGATAACTCATCACGTTTTGGTAAATACTTGGAAATTTTATTTGATAAAGAAATTTCAATTATTGGTGCAAGAATAAGAACATACTTGTTAGAAAGATCAAGATTAGTATTTCAACCATCTACTGAAAGAAATTATCATATTTTTTATCAAATTTTAGCAGGTATGAATTCTGATGAAAAAAAATTATTAGGATTAAAAAATGCCGAAGATTATAAATATACAAATCAAGGTGGTATGCCTCAAATTAGTGGGGTGGATGATGCTAAAGAATTTCAAATTACTAAAGATGCATTATCTTTAATTGGGGTTGATGATTTAAAACAAATGGAAATCTATAAAATATTAGCTGCTCTTTTACATCTTGGTAATATTGATATAGCAGCTACTAAAAACGATGCACATTTATCAAGTGACGAACCAAATTTAGTCAAAGCTTGTGAATTATTGGGTATAGATGCAAATAACTTTGCCAAATGGTGTATTAAGAAACAAATCACAACTAGATCTGAAAAAATTGTAAGTAACTTAAATCATAAACAAGCTATCGTTGCTAGAGATTCATTTGCAAAATACATATATTCAGCATTATTTGACTGGTTAGTTGATTACGTAAATACAGATTTATGTCCAGAATCTGTTGCATCTCAGATCAAATCATTTATTGGTGTTTTGGATATTTATGGGTTTGAACATTTTGAAAAAAATTCATTTGAACAGTTTTGTATTAATTATGCTAATGAAAAATTACAACAAGAATTCAATCAACATGTATTCAAACTAGAGCAAGAAGAATATATAAAGGAGCAAATTGAATGGTCATTTATTGATTTTGCAGATAATCAACCATGTATAGATTTAATTGAAAATAGAATGGGTATATTAGCATTATTAGATGAAGAATCAAGATTACCAGCGGGTAATGATCAATCATGGATTGAAAAAATGTATCAAAATTTGGATAAACCACCAACTAATAAAGTTTTCCAAAAACCAAGATTTGGTCAGTCTAAGTTTGTGGTTAACCATTATGCATTAGACGTTACTTATGATATGGATGGATTTATCGAGAAAAATAGAGATACTGTTGGTGAAGGTCATTTAGATGTTATGAAAAATACCAAAAATGAATTGCTTAAAGATATACTTAGTATTATTGATAAAAATGCTAGTGCATTAGAAGCAAATAAAGCACCAACTAAAGGTAAAATGATGAATAAAAAACCAACTTTAGGATCAATGTTCAAGAATTCATTAATAGAATTAATGAAAACTATAAATTCAACGAATGTTCATTATATAAGATGTATTAAACCAAATGAAGAGAAAAAAGCTTGGGAATTTGATTCATTAATGGTGCTATCACAATTAAGAGCTTGTGGTGTTCTTGAGACTATAAGGATTTCATGTGCAGGTTTCCCTTCAAGATGGACATATGTTGAGTTTGCTGACAGGTATCATATTTTAGTACCTTCAAAAGATTGGATTAAAGTAATGAGTGGTGAAACAACTCAAGAATCAGTTACTGGTTTATGTAATCAAATTTTGCAGACAAACACTGAAAATAAAGAGAAATATCAATTAGGAAATACTAAAATCTTTTTTAAAGCTGGTATGTTGGCTCATTTTGAAAAATTAAGAACTGATAAATTATATAGATCAGCAGTTATGATTCAAAAGAATATGAGAAAACGTTTCTATAGACAAAAATATCTTGAAGTTAGACAATCTCATATTGCATTACAAAGTATAATACGTGGTTTTGAAAGAAGAAGATATATTAAAGAAGAAAAAGAAAAAGCAGCAGCAACATTATTACAAACTTCAATAAGAGGACATTTAGCAAGAAAACAATACCAAAATACACTCAAATCAGTTGTTACATTACAAAAATCAATCAGAGGTTTACAAGCAAGAAAGAATTACAAATCATTACGTACTGAAAAATCTGCAACAACAATTCAAAAATCTTGGAAAGGTTATCAACAAAGAAAAGAATTTAACAAAACCAAGAAATCAGCTGTAGTTATACAATCTGCATTCAGAAGACAATACGCTTATCGTGAATTGAAAGCATTGAAAGCTGATGCTAAATCAGTCAATAAATTAAAAGAAGTATCATATCAATTAGAAAATAAAGTTATAGACTTAACTCAATCATTAACATCCAAAATTCAAGATAATAAAAAATTGATGGAAGAGATAACAAACCTAAAAGATTTATTATCTCAACAAGGTCAAGTAAAAGAAACATTGAAATCAAGAGAATTAGAATTTAATGAAAAATTTGATTCAACAAAACTCGAACATCAAGAAGAAGTTGAAAATTTGAATCGTGAACTAGCGACTATAAAATCAGATTATTCATCAGCTGAAGAGAAAATAAGACAATTAATTAAAGAACAAACAGAATTAAAAGAAGAAGTACAACGTACAATTGAAGAATTAAATAACGCTAAATCGGATCTTGTAAAACGTGATACTATAGAAGTTGACCTTAAATCTCATATTGAACAATTGAAATCAGAGTTAGCACAATTACATAATCCCAAAAGTCGGAATACGAGTAAACGTCACAGCAGTGCGTTGGCATGGAATTCACCTAATTCCATTGATAATCCTAGGCCAGTATCGGTTATTGCCATTTCAAATGATGATGATGCTAACATTGATGATATTAATGATGAGTTATTTAAATTATTAAGAGATTCAAGACAATTACATCGTGAAATTGTTGAAGGTTTATTAAAAGGTTTAAAAATCCCACCAGCTGGTGTTGCAGCAGATTTAACAAGAAAAGAAGTATTATTCCCATCAAGAATTATAATTATAATATTATCAGATATGTGGAGATTAGGATTGACTAAAGAAAGTGAAGATTTCCTTGGTGAAGTACTTTCTTCAATACAAAATCTTGTTTCTGTATTAAAAGATGAGGATGTTATTCCCCATGGTGCATTTTGGTTATCTAATACACATGAATTGTATTCATTTGTTTCATATGCTGAACAAACTATAATTGCAAATGATACATTATCCCATGAAATGAGTGAAGAAGAATTTACAGAATATTTGAAATTGGTGGCAGTTGTTAAAGAAGATTTTGAATCACTTTCTTATAATATTTATAATATGTGGATGAAGAAAATGCAAAAAGATTTGGAAAAGAAAGCTGTTTCAGCAGTTGTATTATCACAATCATTACCTGGATTTATGGCTCCAGAAAATTCACCATTCTTAAGTAAAGTATTTTCAGCAAGTGCTACATACAAAATGGATGATATTTTATCTACTTTTAATACATTATACTGGTCAATGAAAAGTTACTATTTAGAAGCTGATGTTATTGTGAGAGTTATTACAGAAATGTTAAGATTCATAGATGCATTATGTTTTAATGATTTGATATTAAGACGTAATTTCTTATCATGGAAAAGAGGATTACAACTCAACTACAATGTCACAAGATTAGAAGAATGGTGTAAATCTCATGATATAGAAGAAGGTTCAGCATGTCTTATACATTTATTACAAGCAGCAAAACTTTTACAATTAAGAAAAAACACAGCTGAGGATATTGAAATCATATATGAAATATGTTATGCATTAAATCCAGCACAAATTCATAAAACAATAAGTGCATATACAGCAGCAGAATATGAAACACCAGTAGCACCAGCAGTTATGAAATTAGTTGCAGAAAAAACCAAAGAAAGTTCAAGTGATGATTTATTCTTAACTATGTCAACAGATGGTCATTTCGAAGATCCTTTTAGAGAAATTGAATTAAGACCTTTTTCAAGAGTTGAAGCTTATGTTCCCGCATGGTTGAATTTACCTGTAATTAGAAGAATTGTTGAATTAGTTGCCAAGAATGCTTCAGTTCAAGAATCATCATCTCATCATCTTAATAATCATGAAAATGGTCTGTATGTAAACAATAAATAAATGATTTGATTAGTTACTTAGCTTTTATTTTATACTTTTTAATAAATAATTTTATTTACATTCAGTAGTCATAACGTCATTATATCTTTTCTCTGGTTATACCAAATTTTCATCACTACCTTTCAATTTCAATTGTAAAGCATGTAACCCTTTTAATTTAAATTCATCATCCAATACTTTATAAACTAAACGATGTCTACTAGGTAAATTTATCCCATTAAATGCTTCACTTTGCATTTTAACATAAAAATGAGATTCTGTTCTGTTTGAAGCACCTTGCATACCTGCGTGTTTTGCATGTTTATGTGAATCATTTCGTATCTCTAAAAAAGAAGGTTTAAATGAGTTGGTAAGTTTTTGTTGGATTGATTGCTCTATAGGTCCTATATTCGAGGATGACATTGTTCTTATGAAGCTTCTAAACATTAATTAATGTGGTTGGTTATGGAATTATAATATTTTGAAAATTTTAGATTTTTGTAATTCTTTCAAGTTTTAGATATCAGATCAGATCTCAAAATATGTATAGCTTAAAATCAATTACACCATCACTAATACGATCCACCTCAATAAAACCAATAAGATACTTCGTCACATCTAGAATACCAAGAAATCAAGAAATAGAAACAGTTGATCTAGCATTTGAAGAATTTATCGGCTCTAACCCTGAAAAATCACCATTAGTAATATTACATGGATTATTTGGATCAAAAGCTAATAATAGAACAGTAGCAAAACAGCTATCGGAAACACTTGCAAGAAATGTATATACTTTAGATTTAAGAAATTTTGGATCAAGTCCTCATATAGAAAGATTAGATTACCCAAGTTTATCAGCTGATGTTGAAAAATGGATCACGAATCAAAACTTTGAGTCAAAACCTATCTTGATTGGTCATTCAATGGGTGCTAAAACTGTAATGGCATTGGCTTTAAGAAAACCAAATATACCTCAAATGATAGTTAGTGTAGATAACGCACCTATAACTTTCGGTCATACTGATTCAAAATTCAATAAATATATAAATCAATTAAGATTAGGTATTGAGAAATATCATTACACGAATATTAAAGATGTTGATTCTAAATTAGAAGAAGTTGAACCAAATAAAGTAATAAGACAATTTGTATTAATGAATTTAAACAGAGGTAAAAAAGACGATCCAATCACTTCTAAAATCCCCTTAGAAATAATAGGGAACGCAATAAGTAAAGGAATGATTGCAAGTTGGCCATATAGTTCTCATGAAAATAGATGGACTGGGCCTGCTCTATTTATAAGAGGTACTGAGTCGAATTATATACCTGATGAAGTTATACCAGAGATATCTAATTTTTTCCCAAATTTCGAAATTAAGGATATTGATTCTGGTCATTGGGTTATAAGTGAAAAACCAAAAGAGTTCATGGAAGTATTAACAGACTATATAGAACGTCATGAAGATGAATAGAAAAATAGAAATTATAAGTATTATTTATCACTAACTTTAACTGATCCATCCCCTACAAAATCTCCATATATATCAAATCTTCTTTGATAATGGACAGGTATACCTTCTCTAGCTTTAGTAATCAAATCTTTATCTAATTCAGCATATAAAATTTCTTCACCTTCACCAGCTTCTGCAATAATTTTACCATAGGGATCAGCAACTAAGGAATGTCCATAAGCTTGATAACCACCACCTTCAACATCTCTTGCTGGTGAGCATAAAACAGTAAATAATTCATTATCAACTGCTCTACTTCTTGCTAATAAATGCCAATGTAATGGTCCAGTTGTAGTATTAAAAGCTCCAGGATAAAACATTGCAAATGAATTATTAGGACTTCTTGAAGCTATTGAAGCTAATTCGGGAAATCTTATATCATAACATATCCCCAATCCAACATTTCCATATTCACCTAATTTGAAAACAGTTGCTTTATCCCCACCAGTTAATGTTAAACTTTCTTGAAATGTTATACCATTCGGAATATTTATATCAAACAAATGAGCTTTTCTATGTTTTGCAATAATTTCTCCCGTAGGATTAAAAGTCAAACTAGTATTATAAATTTTATCATCATCACTTAATTCAGGTATTGATCCACCAACAATATATATTTCATGCTTTTTAGCTAGATCTGATAATAATTTTGTAGTCTCTCCCGAAGGTATGGTTTCAGCGTACTTTCTGAATTGGTCCACTGCATAAGGAGAATTGAAACATTCAGGTAACATTACTAAATCTATTTTTGGTTGTTTTGAAACTGCTTCTTCTATATATTTTGTTACTTTAGCTAAATTTGCCGATTTATCTGATCCTGCTTTCAATTGTAATAAAGCAATCCTTAAAGATTTACTTAATGGTGATTTCAAAACTGGTGATGTCATATTGAATTGAGTTGCGGTTAAGTATATATAGATGGTAGGTGATAAATAACTAAGTCAAGATTCAGATTATTACTAATACTTTTCAGATCAACAAATGTTTGATTACGTAATTTTGTGGGTAATATTTTCGCAGCCTAATTTAATAAACTATGTACTCCTCGATGAAAGAGATAGGCGATCTATTTGTAAAATAAATCGTTGAAATTCTTTTAATCGATAGTTCAATTAATAGTGTGAGCGGCTAACAAGTTATAAAACGATTGAGCCTTCAAATACTATTCCACTTGAGAATTATTAACTATCAATTTGAAAATAGTTTCATATATAGAGCCAAGAAGATTTTGAAAAGTTTCATATTAGACTATATGAATTTTGATTCATTCCATCTTGAACCAAAACAACCATTTTATTAACAACTGATCAAGTCTCATCAAGTGCTCTTCAAATTGAACACTTGTTAATGGAAACATTCTTCAATACTTCTTTACCTTAATTATTTAAGTAAAATTTAAAGTTTTTCCCCCACAAATTTTTTTACAACCAAAAATAAAAAAACATCATTAGATTTTTTTTTTTACAACCAAAACTCAATTTAATTCAATTCAATTCAACTTTCAACTTTTTCGTATTCTCAGACTATCTACAAATCTAAAAAAGAAATTGATATATATTATCTATAGTTTAAGACTCAATTAATGATTGATGGAACTACTTTATTCATCTGAAGTTTTGCCGCTATAGTTGAGTAAAATACCCCCTTAAGATAAGAATAGACATATATACTTAAGACTAATAGAATATAGGAGGTGTAATAGTTCTTTAAGATAAGACTAGTTGATTTACGGATGGAATCAGTTAATCGTGAATTTCATACTGGTTCAGCCTTGAAATAATGAGTCAAGGTGCAGAAATAGAATATTCAATTAATTATTCAGATCAGAATGTGGAAAAAAATCCAATTTTACCTTACTTACATACTTTCCCAATTAGTAATGAGAGATATAAAATTAATGAAATTAATGAAAATAATGAAACTATATATAGTGCTTTAACAACTGTGACAAATGCCTACAATGTGAATAATTATCTACAACCAAGTCTTCAACCGGTATATTGTCCAAATCCATTAGCAAGAATTGAATCATTATATCATCTGTTAACAACAAATTTAAGTAATCCTCCAAATTCAATTTCTAAAGAATATGATTATACTAAAGTAAGAGCATCAACTTCTTATTCCAGATCAACTTCAATACCAGCCTTACCTTTTAGTGTTCCAACTCAAATCAGTAATTCACAAGAGTATAATTTTATTAATACTTGGAATAATGATCAACTTAAAAATACATCTTTCACACAAGATGATACTAGTTATTTTTTAGATAAACAAAACGTTTTAGAGACTTATGAGGATGAAGAATTGGCATTAAGCTGGTATAATTATGTAAATCAATATCCTAAAAATTCAGTTTATGCAACAATTGGAACATCACCAATATATACAAGAGCTATAAACCTGGCATCATCAATGAATAATATAAGATTAAATGAAGAAAATATAGGAATATCATCAAAATTAGATAGTTCAATTTTTCCATATTATTCTAAAACAAATTCAGAAAAACTAAATGAATTGAAAGAAAACTTAAATTTAGGTTCAATAATTGATGCAAGTTCTCAACCTTCAATTAATAATTATGATAATTTAGTTGTTTCAAATAGTTCAAGAAGTTATACTGAAATTTTAGGTAATTTCAAATTTGAAAAATCTGAGAAAGATCCTTTAGTTTATGGAAATCAAAACTTTAATTTACCATCTTCACCAATTCAAAGAGTTGTATATCAAAAATATAATTTGGAATTTGATGAACAAGAAATTGGGGAAGAGTGTGAATCACCCACAAATTCTCAAACTACAATAAATGATAGTCCCATGATTTACCCAATTACCTTAAAGTTTATCATCCTCAAACATAAGTTCTCAAAAATTTGTGAAAGACCATCATATTTAAGAACTTCATCATACAGGAGAAAACATAAAATCGAAATAGAAGAAACAGATTTTGGTGACGATGAAGACTACGACCCTCCATTCCATTCAAAAAATAATGATGATCCAAATCCACTTTCTTCAACAAATTCAGAAATTTATGACATTGGCCCAAAAGTATTACCAAAACCATTTACTGAACAATTCATAAATTTGAAAAAAACAAAATTTAGACCATTATCTGAATTAACTGCATTAAAATGTTATAAATTACCTACCAAAATGATCACTAATTATGATTTAGATAACAAATTGAACAAAATGAAAGCAGTAAATTTTCCAAGAAGACCCAAAACAAGTCATGAAGAAAATGTAAAAACAAATACCATTTTATCAATTACATCGAATACCATGCCAATCAATGCAATTTTGAATTCCGATATATCGACATCAACTACATTAACTGCTGAAACTACCTCTACGGAAAGTTCTACAACCACTTCAAAGTCCAAGTCTAAAAAATCAAAAAAAGATAAAAAAGATTCAGATTCAAAAACTGATAGATATTATTCAAGATTAAACATATATGAATTATCTAAAATCCTCAACTTGGAAAAATTCGATATATCCTTAACTCGTCACATTGAATTATCAGTATTGGAAATTTTTGGCAACTATTGTAATTTCAAACTTGGTCTACAAACATGGATAAGAGATACAACAAGAGAATTGAGAATTCAACTAATCCAAGAGTTGTATACATACACCAGTGTATTTTATCCTGAATTAGATCTTTTCAAATTAGAAATTATTATTAGACGTGGTTCTTATTCAATGATGCAAACTAGATTAAGAAGGGAAAGAAGATTGAAAAGAGCTGGTAAAAAAAAATACAAAAAGAGAAAAACAACAAATTGAATCTTGTAATTACAAACCGCTAATGATTTTATGATGATTAAATTTATTACTATTGTTTAATCAGTAAACGAATAACGATTAATGTTTAATGAGCTAACGATTTTATGATTAATGATTAATGATTAATGATTAATGACTACAAATGAAAATTTGCTTTGAAAATTAAAAGTTATACACAATTAAATTGTATTACTATGATAACTACTATGTATTATTAAATAAATTTGTATTACTATTGAAAAATATATACAACCTTAGAAATGAATCAAATAAAATTAATAAAACTAGATATAAGTTTCTCTTTTTATTTATCAGCTGGTGAATGCATAATTTGAGTAACAAATTTTCCTGAATATCTAGTAATACAAGCAACAGTTAATACATCATTTTTTATTGATGTTGTCATTAAATGGTTCAAAATAACATGATTTGGGATAGATAAATGATAAGCTTCTTTGTTTGATGCATAATATGAACTATCTGCTCTTCTTAATGGTGGTCTCTTATTTATATAATTTGAATTAACATTATTTGTAGGTACTGATTGGTTGACAGGAGGTATTGGACCATTCGGTAATAAATTTGAGGATGAATTTGTTGAATTAGATTGATTTGATATTTTATTTAACAAAACATTATTTAAATGAGGAGGTAATTGAGGAGGTTCAGGTAATTCATAATCTTCAGGTTTTAATTTGAAATAATCATAATTTATAAACATTTCTGGTATATCATTTGAATATTGAATTTTAGTGTTTGGTTTTATGAATGAGTTTGATTTTGATAAATCATATGGTTGGAATTGATGATTTGATTGATTGGGGGTTTGTTGTTGAGAATTTGATTGATGTTGGTGATGTTGTGGGTATGGGTAATTGTTTGATTTTTGTTGATCAATGTGTTTTTGTTTTAGTTCTGCTTCTCCTTCATCTAATACTATGTTGTCATCGTTGGTGTTAATATCATCAATGTATTCAACATGTTCAAATTGTGAACTTGATTCCTTCGATATCTTATGTAATAATTCATTTGATTTCTCTTGAATTTTTTCAAACTCATACTTCCCCGCTGATCTTGGTTGTGATGGATGATTATATGATCCATTAACACTATCATTATTACTATGAGAATTATCTATTGAACTTGATATAATATTTGCATCATAATCAGTACTTGCACCAATGTGATTAGATTGGTTTAATGAGTGATTAAATAAATGAGTATCATCAATAACTTCAAACCAATTAAAAAATATACCTTCTTGATCTGTTGCTGTTGGTAATTGATCACTAACTCTATATTCATTGTTTATAATATATAATAATTTATGAACCCCCAATGGTAAATTAATAGTTGTAACAAATTCATTGGGGTGATTCATCAGTGGGGATAATTTAATAACATCTCTCCAGTTGGAGAACGATCCAATAATTGATATTTTACCAATATTCTCCTTATTGGTGTTGACCCATTTAATTTCAATTGGAATAAGTATATTATCATTATGATTGTTACTTTTGAATTGTTTATTTCTGTGTTGATTTTGATTATCATTATGATTGTAATTATTTAAATACAGTTGATTATGATAGTGTTGATTATGTAGTTGTTGTTGTTGTTGCTGTTGTTCTAGATTTGGCGATGGTGAATGACCACTTCTTGCTATTGAAGCAGCTGATAGCATTCTTGCTGTTGGTGGGGGTTTGTTGTAATAATGGTTTTGTTGGTTTTCAGTTTGTTGTTGTTGTTGTTGAGTTGACGACTGATTAGGTTGATTTGAATTTGTTGAAATTTTTGTAAAATCAACTTTTGATAAATCAGGGGTAGGAGTTTGAGATAATTGATGTTCAAATTCTTGAATATCATCAGAATCTTGTATAAACGGTTCATCCAATTCCATTTGATCATTTGGATCTGATTGTGATTGAGAATGATTAGAAATATTAATATTTTTATTATTTGCATTAGTAGTATATTTATTTGTTTTCTTATTATCATCATAAAAATAATTATTATCTGGTAAAATATTTCTTGATAATGAAGTGGATTCTTCAACTAATCCTTCGTTTAATTCATTGAATTCATCTTCTATCAAATCATTTGAAAATTGATTATAAGGTTGATTCAGTTGTTGAGGAATTATAGAATTTGGCAGTTGAATTGAACTTGATTGATTGTTGGTGGTAGATGATGATGTAGTTGTAGTTGGTTTAATAACTTGATGTAATATTAAATCACTAAATTCTTCATCTAATGAATGATCATTATTATTACTTGCAGTTGATTTTCTAATTTGATTACTATCTTTCGGACTTAGCTTTCTTGGAATTGATGATTGATTTATATTAGTTGAATGATTACCATGATTTGAATTATGATTAAATTGACCATTAGTTGACGCGTTATTACCCATCTTTAATTAATTAATACTTTATTTTTTAAATACAATAAAAAGGAATGATAAATTGTAATTATACTATAAAAAGATTATGATTTTTTAGAATGTTGGTTGTCTCGAGAAAAGTAATACAAAAAAAATAAAAATAGATTGTTATTTTGTAAGTGATGAAAATTTAAATTATGATGTAAGGTAATTCTATTAAGTAACAATTTATGATAATAATTAATAACAACCATTTTTTATTATATAAACTGATATTAATGAGAGATAGGTTGATTACTGAAGACGGGAAAAATCAACAAAGTGATTAATCTCTTTTGCATCAGAATGAAGAGATGCTTTAAGTCAAATTACTAAAAGATACATCGATTTTAATGGTGTGAGTTTTGAAAAAACACTTAGTAAAATATGAATTTACGAGTTTTAAGGTTAATCACTTTATCATGATTGAAAAAATATGAGGAAATACTAATTATGAAGTTTGGATTCAAAATTTCTCCTCTTCGTCTTGTAATAATAACTTAAATACAATTAATTAGCTCACGGTTAGTATAGAGTATGATCTTAAAGATAAATAGCAAAGTAGCAAATAAGGGTTCAATTTTAATTAATATTTTTTTCTTGCAGCTGAATCTTTATATTTTTGATTAAAAGTATATTAATCAAGATATATATAGTCTTCAATTTAATGTTTAGTATTTATTTTTAGTAAAATGTATTTAGTATATCATTCAATGAGTTTAAAAAGGAAAAATCAGCTTGGCAATTAGTAGATAATCATATGAATTGAGTTTCTAGAAAATGCAATATAATGACTTACATAAATTCAAAGATTTACAGATTTAGTAATAATTAATAGTACATATTAATTGAGAAATAGATTTTGCAGTAGTCTAGTAAATGAAATTCTTTCGAAATTTAGGAATTATGAATGAAGTAGGAGCTTGATAAAGTCAATTGTATTTAACATTTAATTCGAGACATTTTTGCATTAATTTGCATATCTTTATTTCTTACTTTCGATATATTACTTAGTCATACTATTTAAAATAGTTATCTACTTCTAATCAACTCAAGGAAAATTATACTATACGATACAAATGAGTGAAACTCTTTTAAGCTCAATTGAAGTTTTAGTTTCACAGGTTCAATAACTCTGTTAAATTTTCTTATCTGAGCGAATGCCCTAAATATAATAAATTATTATATAACAAATTTGCAACTATTTGCAAAAATTTAACAATAATTTAGAAGTATTATAAAAACAAATTGACATATATTCTATTATTTAATCAAGAGGTAACAAAGTATGAATTGTGTATGCAAATAATTAAGAACTGATCCTCAAGTTTTAGTTCTTGATTCCACAAACGTTTTGGTTGTCAATTATTACTTGCGATTCGGATTTTTTAAATTTGCCATATGGAGATAATTCAAAATTACTCCATTTTGTCCTCCCATGTCTTTTTTGGCTCCACGTTTTGACAGTTAGGCCATTTGAATTCAGAGGTTCATTCATGAAATATCTACATCTTTACTTTTGATTATTAAATTATGTAAATGCAAGTAAGGTATAAATCTATTTGTCTAAAAGATTTCTCTAAAATAAATCTTCTATCTTTATAATTTTATTAGTTTCTCTTCTCCGTTGATTCTTCTTCATCATCATTTATAACTTCTTTTTGACTTTCTTGATCTGGTTTTTTAGCACCTTCTCCAGAATATGCATATTTAGAAAAAGCTCTAATTCTAGCACCATAAAAGAAGAACAAATATGGAATTAAACAACATGCCAAAGATATGAAAGCCATCAATGAACTTGCCCATTGATAACCTAATCTATGATACATTTGGATTGTAAATAATGGCACACAAGCACCCCATATTGATCTAACAAATGTCTTTGCGGCTAATGCACTTGCAGCATAATGTTGATATGAATCGACAATATAGTTATTTGCTGGATTATATAAACAACAGAATCCAAATCCAGCTGCTAAACCTGCAAAACATGGTCCAGCCCAGGAAACATGAGGATATGATGACCAAGCGAAAATGAATAATCCTACTGGGACAAACCAACATGAAAGCATCATTGGAATTAATCTTAATTCTGCTGGAGGTAATTCTCCTCGATCTCTATATTTTTGAGCTCTCTTGTTATAATCTCTGTTGAAAAGTGGTGCTAAAGCAGTAGCAATTAAAACACCAACACCAATTGGAATAAACATAATACCAGTCTTTGATGCTGACCAACCTTTACCTTCCATGTAAACAACAGGATAAGCAAAGAAGAACATATACAATAAACCATAAACAACAGCCATATAAATTGTAATTAAAAATACAATTAATTCACTTAATAATAAGAATGGTCTTAATAATGAAACTTTTGCAACTTCTGAAAATTTTCTAACTTCAATTTCATTTAATGATCTATATCTTGAATCACCGGTATCTTTTCTTAATTTTTTAGCTCTTTTTTTCAATAATATACCATGATGAGTTTCTGGTACGACTACAATGAAAATAGCATAAAAAACACCAGCAACTATCAAGAAAGTCCAATAAATCCATCTCCAAGTTGATGTAAAGTCACCTAAAAGACCACCAAAAATTGGACCACATACAGGTCCTAAGAATGGTGCAGCTGAAAAAATAGCCATTGCAACACCTCTTTCTGGACCATCCCAAATATCTGCTAATGATCCACCAATTAATGTCATTGGTGCACTGAAAGCAATACCATCTATCAAACGACAAACAATTAAAGTACCAATATTTTTAGCAGCACCACATGGAACAATAAAAACAACAGCAATTCCCAAGGTAACCACATATATAGGTTTTCTGCCAACTTCTTCAGACATTGGAGCAAAAACTAAAGGACCAAATCCAAATCCCAAAACGAACATTGTTACAGATGCTAAAATTATAACTTCTTCAGAAACTCCAAAATATTTAGCAGGATGTTCTAAATCACCAGTAACTATAGCTGAACCCAATGCAACAACGAAACAAATAGCTCCTAATAAACCAGTATAAAGCCATTTTATTCCAAAACTCAAAGATTTTGGATTTCCTTTATCGTGATCAACAAATTCAACTATTCTTAAACCTGAATCTTGATCGAGTGGATATTTCCATGGATCATTTTCATTGAAATCTGAATTTGGATCAGGGTGTGTTAATTGTCTTTTAAAATCATATGGTTCTTCTAATGGACCTAAAGCACCAGCACCTTCTCTTAATTCTGTTTTGATTCTTTCTAATCCTTGATTATTTGTAACTAATCTTGTTAATTCTTGTTCGTCTTCTGTGTTATTTGTTCTTTTACGTTCTAATGAGTTTTTACGATGGTTGTGGTGGCTATTATGTTCTGACTGTGGTTGATTTGTAATATTACTTTCTCCATATGGAGTTATTTTATTTGATTCTATACTAACTTTATCTGATACTGAATCTGTATTTGACATATTAAATTAATGAAAAAAAAAATCAGATTTTGACTGATGAATATAAAAAGCTTAGTGGAATGAAATTGTGGAAATATTCAATTCTATTTATATTGATCAAATTTTAAATCAATAAACAATGTAAAAAACTTTTTGCATCATTTTTGTATATAAAGACGGTTACAAAATTATTACACAAAACGGAAAAATTTTTCAACTTAATTTTTTTTATTTTTTTTTTTGGCTTTTTCAAAATTTCTGTTTATCTTTAAAGTTAGTATTCAAAATTCCAGCTAAACCTTATTACAATAGAGTCAGTAGTTAATGCTATCCGTGTAATTTTGATTAACGATTACGGATGTGAGTAAGTAAAGTCGATTGATTGTGTATGGAAAATTGATTTAATTCTTAATGAGTACAATACAAAATTAGCCGTTTACTAAAAATAAATTATAAAGATCTAAGATTATAACATTTCTAACAATTTTTTAAATCCAGTGAAACGTTGGAGAGAAGTCACTAAACAGCTGTAATCAAGAATAAAAAATCAAAGATCCTGAATGTGTCAACTTAACCGAAACACTGTTACATTATAGTAATCTATTTTCTAGTTTGCTCCTTATTTTTCTATATAAATTTTTCTTGTAGAAGGAACGGCTAATTATTCTTTTTTTTTTTTTATTTTTTTTTTTTAAAGGAACAAGCAAAAATTTAAAGCCGATTCTAAAAATATATTTTTAACACAATTAAAATTATGAAAATCTATACCGTTTATGTGAAACATTTAAACTTCTACACAAGGCTTAGATATGTTAAGTATATCCTGCGTTATTGTTTTAATTTAAGTAGGTTAATTTTACCTAATAAAACTATGAAACAAAATTATACAGTTGGTTTTGTACAACTAGTATTTTAAAAATGTTTCAAGTTTAACTATGAAACATGAGGCTTAATATTTTTGCAGTACCTTAATTTATAACGTTTTATCTATTTAATCTATTTAAAAATCTATAAACGTTCAGCCATAGCATATACGTAATGTTAAAGCCACTATGATTCAAATAAATATGAGAAATAGAAAGATAAGGTACCAAAAATTCTTTCACTACAATCTAGTTTTCATTTTTATTTTTTATAATTTAAAATTAATGTATTAATCTATATGTTTATTAATATAATGCAAAGTTTATAATATCTATATATAATGTATAATTAGCATTTTTCTATTTTTTATTTATTAGTTCTTATTATTATTTCTATTTCTTAATGGCCAAAATCTTGCATTTGTTCAAGATCTACTTTATTATGTGCGTCCATTTTTGGTGAATAAGCGTATTTTGAAAAAGCTCTAACTCTTGCACCATAAAAGAAAAACGCATATGGGATTAAACAACAAGCTAACGATATGAATGCCATTAATGAACTTGCCCATTGGTAACCTAATCTATGATACATTTGAATTGTAAATAATGGTACTGTTGCTCCCCATATTGATCTAACGAAAGTTTTAGCAGCTAATGCACTTGCAGCATAATGTTGATATGAATCAACTATATAATTATTTGCTGGATTATATAAACAACAGAACCCAAATCCAGCTGCTAAACCTGCAAAACATGGTCCAGCCCAAGAAACATGAGGATATGATGACCAAGCGAAAATAAATAATCCAATAGGTACAAACCAACATGAAATCATCATTGGAATTAATCTTAACTCTGCTGGTGGTAATTCTCCTCTATCTCTATATTTTTGAGCTCTTCTATTATAATCAGAATTAAAGAAAGGTGCTAATACAGTTGCAATTAAAACACCAACACCAATTGGAATAAACATAATACCGGTTTTGGAAGCTGACCAACCTTTACCTTCCATGTAAACAACAGGGTAAGCAAAGAAGAACATATATAATAAACCATAAACAATAGCCATATATATGGTCATTAAAAATACAATTAATTCACTTAATAATATAAATGGTCTTAATAATGAAGTTTTGGCAACTTCTTTAAAATCTCTTTCTTCAATTTCATTAAATGCCTTGTAAGTTTTATCCCCAGTATCTTTTCTCAATTTACTTGCTCTTTTGCTTAATAATGTACCATGATGAGTTTCAGGTACGAAAACAATAAATACAGCATAAAAAACACCAGCAACTATCAAAAAAGTCCAATAAATCCATCTCCAAGTTGATGTAAAATCACCTAAAAGTCCACCAAAAATTGGACCACATACTGGTCCTAAGAATGGTGCAGCTGAAAAAATAGCCATTGCAACACCTCTTTGTGGACCTTCCCACATATCTGCTAATGAACCTCCAATTAAACACATTGGTGCACTGAATGAAATTCCATCAATTAAACGACATACTAATAATGTACCAATATTTCTTGCTGCACCACATGGTATAATAAAAATAACTCCAACGAATAATGTAACAGCATAAATGGGTTTTCTACCTATTTCTTCCGATATTGGAGCAAAGACTAATGGACCAACACCAAATCCAATAACAAAAACAGTAACAGTAGATAAAATAATAACTTCTTCCGAAACTTTGAAATGTTTTGCTTGACCTCCTATGTCACCAGTTACTATAGCTGAACCCAAAGCAACAACGAAACAAATAGCACCCAACAACCCAGTGTATACCCATTTTATAGTATTACTCCAATTCTTTGGATTATTTACATCATGATCAACCCATTCAACAATTCTTAAACCAGTACCTTCATCAACTGGGTATCTCCAAGGATCCATGTCATTGAAAGTAGAATTTGGATCAGGATGAGTTTCTATTTTTTTAATATCATAAGGTTCTTCTAATGGACCCAATACACCAGCACCTTCTTGTAAATCAGTAACTATTCTTGATAAATTTTCTTTACGGGTTTGTATTCTTTTTAATTCTTGTTCATTTGGATCTGTACGTTGATGTTGTTGATTTTCGAAAGCATCACCATAAGATGTTACTTTTTCTGAATCAACACTTCCATTATCTATTGTATTAGATTCTTCTGAATGTGACATTGTCATGTAGTATATTAATTTTGATTGATTAACAAGAAGAAGTTTTGAAAAATTTCATTCAATTTGGAATTGGACAGAGGGTTGTATATATATAGTTGCTAAATAAAATTCGGTATCTATGGTTGTTGATCTAAATAAGTTAATATTTTGCAACCGTTCCTTTTTAATACGTTTTGGCAAGTACGTACTAATAGTTAAAATTCAATGTAACATTTACTAAAATTATACACCAATACACTAATATAATTAACGCATATCAACTTTGATTGTGTAATTAATTTAACCCATTAAACATGGGAAATAAGAATCATCTAAAGTATGAATGTATTATGTACAATATGGTAATTAATTTTAAATATATTTGTATAATATTAATTATTTACTTATTACCTCAAGTCGGTTAATAAAAAATAAAAATATTGAAATTAAAAATAAAAAAATTACTAAAAAAAAAAATAAAAAAGTTTAATATTCAGATCGGCAATAAAATTGATAAGTTTTAGTTCCTTTAATTTTTAGTTCCTTTTTCTTTATAAAAATTTCACCCTTTTTAGGTTCTTGTCGTGTATTTCGGTTAGTAAAACCTAACTAAATAAATGATCCAGCCTTTCCATCGGTTTAATAATTTATTTATAAATTTATAGGTGATCTCATTAAATTACCAAACTGAGTGATTATATTATTATTTCTCATGCAGATTTAATGTATTAGTGCTATTAATTTATTAATTAGTCTATTTATCAGGTTTTATTTAGATATTAAATCCCGGTTTCCCAGATAAAATTTATTTTAGTATTAAGCTTTATCTGAATTTATCACTATTTGCATTCTGCGCTGACCTTTATTTAATTAAGCAGACCCCAAAATATTTCTTGTATTGCTTTTATAATTGATCACTCTAAATGAAAATCTCCTCTTCAGTTAGCAATAAATCAGTAGTAGAGGTATTTGCAAAATTTGAAGAAGTTAAATCTATTCGTAAATGTGATAAAATATTTGAAATATGTTTGAAATATTCATAACCTGAATAATCTTGAGTCAATTTTATCGATTTTATCAAGGCTTTAGCTATCGTAATTAATTTAAAACTAACCCCTGATCCATTGAATTGGAAAGAATTTAATGGCAAGTTTTTTGATACCTGACAAAACTCTTTCGACATTGTTATTGGAAATTCATTTGATAAACAACCTATTCCATTAAGCATGTTATTTTCATTTGCTATATTCCAGGTTAAAATCGACATCCAGTATTTGCTTAGAAGAATATTGGCTTTCTGTATATCTGGAGCGGCTTTTAATATTTCAATTTGTTTGAGTTGATTTTGAATTGTACATATCAACCTTAACGATTCTTCATTATTTTTTATACTTCTGAACTGTTCAAATATTGATTTGTTGGGAATAGCAAATATTTTAATTAATTCTCTAAATCCACTTAATAAAACTGAATATTCTTCATGATTTAATGAAGGAAATGGAATTGAGGGCTCTAATAATACTGGAATTGATTGTTCTAAACACAAGAATCTTTCAGTAACTAACAATAAATAATATATCTTTCTCATTCTATGTACTTCAGCAGTTGATACAACATAATTCTCAGGTTTATCCAATCCCATCATTTGAGCTAAAGTTATAGCTTCTCTTAAATAACATATCGCCTCGGGTCCTCTATGTTTACATGTTATTGCAATATGTAAAAAAAATGAAGTTAAAATTGATTCTAATGTTGGTTGCAATTTCTTGACTCTTATAGCTTCTGATGCAAAATCTATATTGATGATATCTTGTGGAATATATTTTTGATTTGTTATGAAACTTACTTGATTAGTTATAGTTGCACATACAGCACATGATAATGCGTAAGCATCTGGATCTGATCTTGAAATTAATTCAGCAACTGATATAACGGGCCATATACCATAATACCAAACTTGATAAACATTCAAACAAGGTAATAGTTTTTCTAGTGGTATTAAGGGAACAAATTCATCATTAGCTAAAGCAGTAGTTACAGCTAGTTGATTTATAGCATCTCTTGTTTTTTCATGAATCTTTTTAGGACCACATTTCTTTTTAATTCTATTATTTGTACATTTTAAGGAATGGGTTAAACATCTATTGCAAGGAACTTTTAAATCGCATTTGACTTTTCTGACAGAACACGAATCACAAGCTCTTGCAAAAGTTTTTTTTTTTGGTTGTTGTTGCTGTTGAGGTTGAGGTAGACTTTGTGAAGATGTATTTGTGATTGTTTCTGTCGAGAGTGGAGTAGATCTCGATGATTCTGATGATGGTTGAGTTAATGATGGTTGAGTTGGTGCTAAGAATGCTTCAAGATCAAAATTGTAGCCTTCTATAGTGTAATTGATGTCACTTTCCATTATTGTTCTTCATTCCCCACTTTTCATAATATTTGGCAACCCCGAAATGGAATTATAAAATTTGGTAAGGACTTTTTCTAAAAATTTTGGTTGATTCTATGACTAAATGCACAATTTAAATATAGCTAAGTACTATTAATGTTGAATAAGTCTAATTTGACTTAATATAACTGTCTCTCGTAGTAAATGGAGTAATTCTATATTTGAAGCCCTCTGTTGTTGATCTTTAAATATTGCAAATTTATGATTTTTGTGTAATTTATATCTAAAGTACTATGTTTCGAAAAAAAAAATAATATAATATGTAAAATCCGCGTATGTTTCATAATAATAACAACATCATCGAAACCAGTGGATAAAACTCATCATTAACTAAAATTCAACATGGAGAAGAATGAAGAACAGCAAGAATTGTCAATAAAAGAAGAATACCAATTATGGAGAAAGAATTGTAGATATATGTATGAATTTGTTAGTGAAACAGCATTAACATGGCCATCACTAACTATACAATGGCTTCCAAATCATACTATTGAAAATGGCATAATAAATACAAAATTATTACTAGGTACTCATACTTCTGGGAATGATTCAAATTATTTAAAAATAGCAGAAACTCAAATATCAGCGGGTGAAAAAGCCAACTCAAGAATAAAAATAGTTAAAAAATTTGAAAATCAAGAAGAAATATGTAGAGCAAGATATATGCCACAAGATTTAAATATAGTGGGGACTATAAATGGAGCAGGTGGTGTTGATTTATATAATATAAAAGATAATAGTCCAACTAGTTATTCACATTTCCAACCACATACAGAAAATGGGTATGGATTATCATGGAATCCTAATGAAAAAGGATTGTTAGTGACTGCATCTGACGATAAAACTGTTTGCGTGAGTGATACAAATAAAAATAATGAAACTATATATAAGAAAGAAGGTGATGATATTTTTAATGATGCAAAATGGCATTTTTTTGATAAACATTTATTTGCATCAGCTTCAGAAGATGAATATTTATACATATATGATACAAGATCTACCGATATTGTATCAAAATTCCATTCTAAAATTTCAAAGGGAATAAATTCAGTTGCATTTTCACCTTTCTCACATAATTTATTAGCTATAGGAAATACAAATTCAAATATTGGTCTTTTAGATTTAAGAAATTTGAAACTATTACATACAATGATGGGTCATACTGAAGGTATAACAGCACTTGAATTTTCACCACATAAAGATGGTATATTAGCTTCTGGAAGTCAAGATAGAAGAATTATTGTATGGGATTTATTTAAAATTGGAGAAGAACAACAACAAGAAGATGCAGAAGATGGATGTCCTGAATTATTTATGATGCATGCTGGTCATACTGCTGGAGTTACTGATTTATCTTGGTGTCCTTTCAAAGAATGGACTATTGGATCAGTTGCTGATGATAATATCGTACATTTATGGGAAATTAATAAGACTTTGATTAATACTGAAGAAGTTGACGTTGACTCGGACTTTTTAGAGTAATTTTAATAAATATAAATGTATATATATACTTCTTGGTAAATAATTACTCATTATATATATAATTCAAGACATTTCGTAAATCTTAATGATGTAAGATAAATCACGGTTAAATAAAATTAAGTCGTGTGAGAAAATTGGTATTTGGTACTAAGACAGTACTTAAGTTTTTTGCTGATAGAAAATCAAAATTAAGAGTGAATAAAAATCAGAAGTAAACCAAATTATATAATCAGTGACATCAATTCAGTTCATACAACAAAAAATTGTTATGTCGGACTTTCCACCAAACTTATCTATAAGACCATTGACTATAGAAGATATAGATAAATGTGTACAACTAGAAAATAAAGGATTCCCGAAAGAAGAAAGGTGTAGTGAACAAAAATTTAAATATAGATTAACTGTTGCCCCCGAACTATGTTCAGGATTATTCATAAGAGATTATGATTATAAATATAATTTCATAAATTTACCAGAAGTTGCTGAAGAATTAGAGAAAGCACATGACGAAGAAGATGATTTAAGAGAAGATGAAGATTTCCCCGCTAAATCATCAGTTTTAAAAGAGACATTAATAGGTCATATTATTGCAACAAAAATTCCTGGAGAAAAAATTACTGAAGAATCAATGGAATTGGGTACACATACTGAAAAATCAAGGCACATAGGTATACATTCAGTAGTTATTGATCCGACATGGAGAGGTAAAAATTTAGGTCCTTTATTATTACATGATTATATTCAAAAATTATCAAATCAAGATGTTGGTGATCAAGTTGTTATAATAGCCCACAAGGAATTGATACCATTTTATGAAAAAATTGGATTTAATGATAATGGTGAAAGTAGATGTAAATTTGCAGATACAACTTGGTACGATTTATCAATCGATTTGGTAGCAAAAGATGATAATTATTAAACAAAAGGAAATAGGTCGAAGTTGGTACTAGCTAGAGAGAGAAAAAAAATATTCACACTATTGTAACAATAATAATATAAAACTACAGTCTATACATTTTTTACATTTCTTATATATAAAATCACTTAATATAACGAAACTAATTATAATTGTATACTAAATGAAGATACCTGAACCATTGACTAGATTGTTTAATTCAGTACCTTTAAAAATCATTAAAGATGAAAACACAATCTCAAAATTTGATAATCCTATACCATTATCAGATTCAGTTCCATTAGTACTTGGAGTTTACAACACATTTCAATACAATGAATTAATACTACCTACAGATCCAATTTCATTAGCCACTTACCTAAGATTAATTCAAAGGAACAATTTACAATTATCATCATCGTCGACAGGTCTTACAAAAATTCCATTTCGTGGATCACCTTATAATTCATTACCTATATTAATTGGAGACTCAATTGAAAGTATTGAAAAAATTCAACAAAATATTTCAAAACATTTCGAAAAAGAAGAATATTTTATTAATGATTTTTTGGATACAAAGCTTTACGATTTATGGATTACTTGTTTATTAGTTGAAGATATTGATAATGAAACATATTATAGAATTTTTGGAGTTAAGGATTTTGAAGTTTATGATTTGAAGAGTGAAATACCCAAATGGAATAATTACAAAGTACGTTTCCCAACATTGAACTTGAAAAAATTCTACGAAATACAACTAGAAGAATTTAAAGATTACGTGGAGTTAGATAATTTAAAATTAGCTTCTTTCATTATAATCATCAATGAGTTTCTTCCATTCACTAAAATTGCAAAATTGATACCAACAGAAGTCATAGAGAAAAGCTACGAAATACTAAATCAAACTAATTAATCATCATCAATCAACTTTTTTTCATTAAATAGTCTATCTAATTGCTAAAGAATCTACTCCACTAGTTACTAAAGTTTTTATATTATTATCAATCAATTTCTCAGCAGTGTCAGATAAATGCTTCTTTGGATCCTGTTTACCCACGTATCTAGTTTTCAATTGATCTTCAGTTAATTCTTTTTCTTCACTAACTCTTTGATTATATAATTTTGCTATATTTACCATTTTTTCCGTACTTTCTAGATTTTCAATTTCTTTATGATTATAATCCCCCAAATTCAATCCAGATTGCCAATTCTTTTTATGCAAGTTAAGTAACATATTGGTTTCATTTGATGTCTTGTGATAATCAATATTTAATGAATAATAATGACGATTTAATCCGTGAATTAATGCTTGTATTGAAGGTTTATTCAAATGTCCAACATTTGAGGTAGATTGACGAGGTTCTTGACCCATCATTAATGTGGTTGTATCAATTGTTCTAAAAGCATCTATAACAACTTTCCCCTTTACTGATTGTATTGGATCTATAACTACTGCAACTGCTCTTTTATTTAACTGTTCAAAACTTTGTTGAGTATTTACATCAACCGATGATAACCAACATCCGAACCCAGGATGTGAATGATACCAACCAACAACCATTTGATCTCTACCGGTTTGTCTTAACATATCCATCATTTTAGTTTGGAAAACATCATCAACTGCTTCAACTGAAACTCCAGTACCTGATTGCGGCATGGCAAATACATCATGTACATGTATCGTAAAATCATCAACGAATTCCCCCAACATTAATCCCATAACCTCCATAGGTACACCTGCTCTTCCATGTTTTAACATTTTTAATAATGCTAAAGATGATATATATACAGTTTCTGAGTTATCAATTGCTGGTCCATCTGATTGTGGTGGTACACCACCTCCTAAACCTGCACCTTGACCTAATAAACGTTGTAATCTTTCCATTGTGTTGTTGTTTTAGCTGTCTTAATTGATTACTAGTGGCAACAAGAATGTTTCAAATCTGAAATATTGAAAGAGAGAAAAAAATCAACTTTATCAATTTTAATCACGTGTAAGGTCACATGACTAGATAGATTACGTTTCAACCTTGTTAATGAAGATAAGTATTTGACAACTAGTCTTCTCCCAAACCATTTAAATATTAAAAAAGGACTTGATCCTATTTGTTGTAAAGATATTAGTTCTAGTACCTGTTTCTTTTTATAGTTATGATTATTGACTATAAATACGATGTTGCAAAATTTCAAAGTTTATACGGCATTAAAAAAAAATCTAAATTTTCACTTACAACTTCACTCAAATATCTACAACCATGTCAGAACCAACGTCACTCAAAGGCAAGAAATACCCTGCAAAGCAACATGCAAGAAATGTTTTAAGTCAATTGCAAAATAAAAACTCATCAAAGGCACAAGATGCTAAATTTTTCATTAGTGGAGAAGTTCTAGAAGGATATAAGTATTGTGATCAAACCAAACCATTTAGACAAGATAGATATTTCTTTTACTTATCCGGGTGTAATATTCCAGGATCTCATGTATTATATGATAGTGAAAAAGATCATTTAACTTTGTATTTACCAGATGTTGATAAGGAAGATATAATGTGGTCTGGGTTACCACTTTCATTAAAAGATGCTGCAAAAAAATATGATGCTGATGAAATTAAATATGCTGCTGAAATAAACTTGGATTCAAAAGCTTTCACTACTGATAACAACCTCAAGAATCAATATTTAATTGAACAAGATCAAGATTTTTTTTGGGCATTAGATGAAGCTCGTGCTTTCAAAGATGAATATGAAATTGAATTAATGAAACATGCTGCAAAAATTACAGATAATTGTCATTATGCAGTTATGTCAGCCTTACCAATAGAAACTAATGAAACTCATATACATGCAGAATTTATGTATCATGCTTTACGTCAAGGTTCAAAAAGTCAATCATATGATCCAATATGTTGTAGTGGAGAATCATGTTCCACTTTACATTACATTAAAAATGATGATGAAATAACACCAGAAAAAAGATCTGTGTTAATCGATGCTGGAGCAGAATGGGATTGTTATGCTAGTGACGTAACTAGATGTTTTCCTATAAATGGAGAGTGGACAAAAGAACATTTAGAAATTTATAATTTAGTTTTAAAAATGCAAGAAGAAGCTTATAAGTTAATGAAACCGGGAGCAAATTGGGAAGATTTACATTTAAAAGCTCATAAAGTATTAATAGAGGGATTCTTGGAGTTGGGGATTTTTAAAAAGGAATACTCAATTGATGAATTATTTAATGCAAAAGCTAGTGCAAGATTTTTCCCACATGGATTAGGTCATATGTTAGGTATGAACACTCATGATACAGCAGGTTATGCTAATTATTCAGATCCTGACGAATTATTATGTTACTTAAGAATAAGAAGAGAATTACAACCAAATATGGTTGTTACAAATGAACCAGGATGTTATTTTTCACCATTCTTGTTGGAAGAAACTTTACAAAATCCAGAAAAAAATAAGTTTATTAATAAAGATGTACTTGATAAATATTGGTATGTTGGTGGTGTTAGAATTGAAGATGATGTATTGATTACAAAAGATGGATATGAGATTTTTACAAAGATTACTAAAGATCCTGAAGAAATTAGTAAAGTTGTTAAAGCCGGTTTGGAAAAGGGTGAAAAAGGATTTCATAATGTTGTATAGATTACATTTATATCTTTAATGAATATTAATGTGATACATAATAGTAATATAATAGTTATAATCTTGTAACAATGTGTAGATATCTAATCTAATCTCTCACTTCTTACACAGCAAATATAATAATTTATTTCTAATGCATGAGGTTCAAAATTAAATTTTGTCTTTGTGATTTCTGAGTACACTAAAATACAAATTGACATAATTCCAAAATCACTCAACATATTACAACCACATATCCTAATCAATTGACTTACCAAAAATGGACGAAAACTACGACGTCATAGTCTTAGGTACTGGATTAACAGAATGTGTATTATCAGGTATACTTTCAGTTGAAGGTAAAAAAGTTTTACATATAGATAGACAAGATTTTTATGGAGGAGAATCGGCTTCATTAAACTTATCACAATTATATGGAAAATTTAAACCTTCTGCACAAAAACCTGAATTAAAGGGAAGAGATAGAGATTGGTGTGTTGATTTAATTCCTAAATTTTTAATGGCAAATGGAGAATTATCAAATATTTTAGTTCATACAGAAGTAACTCGTTATATTGAATTTAAACAAATTGCAGCAAGTTATGTTTATAGAAATGGTAGAATTGCAAAAGTTCCATCTAATGCGAAGGAGGCTTTGGCATCTTCTCTTATGGGGATATTTGAAAAAAGAAGAATGAAACGATTTTTGGAGTATATTCAAAATTATGATGAAGATGTAGCATCAACTCATCAGGGATTTGATTTAGATAAAAATACAATGAATGAAATATATAATTATTTTGGATTAGAAAATGGTACAAAAGATTTTATTGGTCATGCAATGGCTTTATGGTCAACAGATGATTATTTAAATGAAGTTGCAAGACCAACTTATGAAAGAATTCTTTTATATGCACAATCAGTTGCAAAATATGGAAAATCTCCATATATTTATCCATTATATGGATTAGGTGAATTACCACAAGGTTTTGCAAGATTGTCAGCAATCTATGGTGGTACTTATATGTTAGATACTCCAATTGATGAAGTATTATATGATAATGATAAATTCGCTGGTGTTAAAACAAAAGAAGGTACAGCAAAAGCTCCAATTGTTGTTGCTGATCCAACATATTTTCCAGAGCTTGTTAAAAAAACAGGTTCAAAAGTAATTAGAGCAATATGTATATTAGATCATCCAGTACCAGGAGTTGATTTAGACTCATTACAAATTATAATACCACAAAATCAAGTTGGTAGAAAACATGATATTTATATTGCTGTTTTAAGTGATGTTCATTGTGTTGTACCAAAGGGACACTTTTTAGCCATTGTTTCAACAATAATTGAAACTGAAACTCCTCATGTTGAATTAGAACCTGCTTTCAAATTATTAGGACCAAGAATTGATACTCTTATGGGAATTGCTGAATTATACGAACCAACTGATGATGGAACTAAAAATGGTATATATCTTTCCAAGAGTTATGATGCTTCTTCACATTTTGAATCAACTACGGATGATGTTAAAGATATATATTTCCGTATAACTGGTAAAAATTTACAAGTTAAAAAAAGAGAGGAAGGTGTTGTAGCAGAAGAATAGGTTTTAAAGTCAATAATAATCATTAAATAAATATAAAGTAATAAATTAAATGCACTATACTCTTTTTAAGATTCTCTTGAGAAAATGTTTCCACCTAATGAATTTCTAGGCATTTCAGATTCAGTCAAAAATTTTGCTTCAATATGACCACCAATCATTAATGTGTCTTTAGTTAAATCTATAACACAACGATGTCTTCTTAACATATCTAATCCAAATAATATACCAACAGAAGTATCAACAATATAAAATGAACAAGGTAATTCAACACCTGCAATTTCAATAGGTACACTATGAATTTTACCACCAATATTTTGAGTACCAACTCCAACAGCTTGACCTTTAAATCTTGTATCAATTAATCTTGATATCCCACATTTTTCAGCAATTTCAGAACTAATAGTAGTCATAGCAGCGCCAGAATCAACCATTGCAATTTGTTCAACTCCATTTATTTTTAATTTTAAATGAAGCATATTTACACTTGTGAAACTTTCAGGACTTATATCCAAAGCTAGTTTCATATTTTCTTCAATTGCTTCTTGTTGAATTAACTCCAAAATACGTTTTTGATTTTCTGGATTATCTGGATCTTGTTGTAATCTCAAAAGTTCTTGTTGATTTGATGATGTTTCTCTTTGTTCTTCTCTAACTTGTTCAACCATTAAGTTTCTAAATTGTACTGGATCATTTACCGCATTATAAAGACTAGGTTGAGCCATTCTCATATTGTTTAAGGCTTGTGGATCTGATAATACTTGTTGTCTTACCATTTCAATACGTTCATGAATTTGATTTGATTGTTGTTGTTGTGGTGGTTGTTGTTGCTGAGGCCTTGGTTGTGATTTTTTACTTAATACGATTAAATCATTATTCACTATTCCCAATTCTTGTAAAGTCTTGTCTGAATCTAAAGTTTTACTATTTAATTTTAAATGTTGATCTTTTGGTTCAATGTTTGTTTCTGCTTGTAAATAAGCTTTAAAATCGGATAATGATAATGATTCTGGTACGTCAATTGATAAAATATCTCCACTAAATTCTAGCGATATCGTTAATTGCATTTTGGTTTGTTAGTTAGGTTGGTAAGAATAATAGCAAAATTGAATAGGTTGAATAAATTGTGTAATTTTCTATTATATAATTTTCAGTTTTTTGCAACAAGATTATATGTATAAATAGAGATTAATAATACGAAGGCAAAATTGAAACAGATTTAAAAATTTATATCACTAATACATTTTAAATTATTTGCTTATATACTCATTTAATCATTATAAACAACTTCTACATGTCACCTTATTCATTCAATATTCTACTCTACAAATTATTGTTTTCCAGAATGTACATCAGGTACAATCATTGCAATATGACCACCATTTAGCAACATTTTTTTAACAATTTGTTTATCATCATCATTATTACTTATTACTTCAACATCTTCTAATACCATATTTACATAATCATCGAATCCAATTAATGTACCATAAAATTCTTTATCACTTGTCATTAAAACTCGAAGTTTTTTACCAATGGATCTATCTATTACTTCTAATGGTAATACTTGTTGTGGTATGGAATCTGTTGTTCCTTCTACTGGTTCTGACATGTCTCGTTGTAGTGTATTATTATTGATCTAATGTAGAAATTGAACAATAAATAATAGACTTTAATACTCAATTGATCCTTTGATATATTATTTATACGCCTTTTAATAATTTGATACAAAAAAAATTCTGAATATTAATTTGCATAAAATTTAATCTACATACTATATTATTAAATCTAAACAAGAAAACATATAGACATGAATTCGCAAGATTTTTCATCTTATCAAATGAAGTCGCCTTCAATAGCTTTACCTCGGCATTCAATAAGCTCACCATCGACAACAATGAATATTCCACAACATAAATTTCCCAAACCAGAATCAAACGGTTTACAAATTGAAACTTCTTCATATAACTCAAATAGACCTAGAAGGTTATGGGTTAAACGAGGTATTCAAGGGAATCCAACTACTGTATTAGCAGAAAAGGATAGTATAATAGATGATTTAAAATCGCTAATAATAAATAAATACCCAAATACAATTGGAAGATTTGATGATGCTGCAAATTTAATACTAAAAATTCATTTTAATAATTCAACATTGGCTTCCACTTCTCCCAGTACGAAATTAATAGATTCAAAAGATTTGATTTTGGAGCCTGATCAAAATGTATGGGAATTATTAGATCAATATTTTCCTCAAGGAATGCAAATGAAAGATGCTTTAATAATAGATAGTGATGGAACAGATCAATTAGAAACTTATGCAAAACCATCACCACAAACAGAAACCACTACATTCAAGAATTTCCCATTGGCAAAGACTTACACTGCTGGCAGTAAAGATAGATCTATGTCACCATCATCAGTAACTAATCAAAAAATTTTACAACGTTCAAATTCTCAAAATAATGTTCCTACAAGTAACTCAAATCCTCAAGCTGTTTTATTACTACCTAAAAATTTTTCAATCAATAATAATAAAAAATCATTAAATGAATCAACAGAATTAGAAACTAAAACTGATGATCAAACACAATCGACAGAAAAAGCTTCATCTCCACCACCTGACCTAAAGACTATAACAAAAGAAACCAAGCCTGAAAAAACAGTAGATCCAGCATTAGATAAAGTACTACCATCAATTTCGGTACTTGTAGTAGAAGATAATGCAATTAATCAAGCAATTTTAGGAGCATTTTTAAGAAAAAGGAAAATAAAATATCAAATTGCTAAAAATGGACAAGAAGCAATAGATAAATGGAAAAAAGGTGGATTTCATTTGGTATTGATGGATATTCAATTACCAGTAAAATCAGGTATAGAAGCAACAAAAGAAATTAGACAGTTGGAAAAAATAAATAAAATTGGAGTATTTGATGATAACGAATTAAATAAATTAGCAATAGATGAACTTAATGTTGAAGATAAATTAGATTCTTCTACATTTAGATCACCAGTTATAATTGTTGCATTAACTGCGTCATCTAATTCTTCAGTTGATAGAAAAAATGCTTTAACTGCTGGTTGTAATGATTATTTAACAAAACCAGTTAATTTAGTTTGGTTACAAAATAAAATTACTGAATGGGGGTGTATGCAAGCTTTAATTGATTTTGATGGTTGGAAAAGTAAAAATAATTGGAATAAAACTAATTCATAGAGTATAGTTAGGTTTTTAGGTTAGACTGGTAAATTCATAACAGTTTTTATTTCGTTACTATAGTGTGATCTATCATAGATATTTCTAATCTAAATGTACTTTATCGTTAATCTACTTTATAAATTTCATAATTTCTATCTTCATCACCAACTAATTTAATCATATAATCATATTTAGGTAATTCCCAATCAATATGACCAATAGATAAAATAGTTAAGTCTTTAAATTTATCATCTAACAATAATTTATGACATCTTTCCATTACATCTGAATCTTCCATACAAGAAAATGCTTCATCTAGTATTAAAATTTCAGGATTTTTGATTAATGCCCTTAAAAATAATGCTAGTTTTTGATCTGTCATGTTTAAATTTACAAATTCTGTATTACCATTTGCTAATATTCTATCTTTAAATTTATCAAGTATGCCCAACTTATCAATTTTCTCATTCGGTTTAAAAATATAATTTGAATTCCCAATATTAGGAACTAATCCATTATATATAATATCCAACATTGTTTTATTATGTTGAGGAACTAACGCATGTAATTCAGGTGAAGACATACCGATTTGATTATTTACATCGAAAAATGTAATACCTGACCCTGTTTTTCTAACTTTATCGTTAATTTTAAGTACTGATTTCCAACTTTGTGGATGATCTGCTGTTATTAATGATAATAAAGTTGTCTTTCCTGTTCCATTATCTCCCACAATTCTCCATTTAGTTCCTTTGGGTATTTTCCAATCAAAATCATGGAATATCACCAAATCCTTGTATGCTACTCTTGCGTTTGTAAATTCAATATGTATTGGTTTTTTATGGCTGTTATTATCGATTGGTGATAATTTTGTGGGTTTGTTCGTGGTGATTTCTTTTTTACCCTTATAGTCCTTTAATCCTTCCTCGTCAACATAAGCTACATTCTTGATCCATTTGGGTACATCATCTTGTACTCTTAGTCCCAAAACAATTGCAATATTCAAATGATCATTCACCTTACTGAGAGCATCACTAACTTTATCTGTATTAGATGGATCTAGTCCTAAAAATGGATCATCAATAACCAACATTTTTGGTTTCGACATTAATGACTTGGCAATTCTGGCTCTTCTTAATTGTCCATTACTTAATGAATTAATCCATTTTTTCAGTAAATGATTTAAATTGAATAAAGTTAATAGCTTCTCAATGTACCCAGAATCAATATCTTTGTTTGTAGTATTGTAATTGTTTAAACCAGTAATATAATTGAAAACAGAATTAGTATCATCATTAACCTCTAGAATTCCCTTATATGAATAAGATTCATACCTAGCTGATAAATGAACAGTATCTAAACCAGATTTATCTTTAAAATTCAAAAACGACAATTGACTTGAAAGCTCAGTGATTGTAGGGTAAGATCTTGATAATGGTGGAAATGATATGAATTCACCAGATATTGTTTTTAACATCAATGTCTTGGAAGGACCTGTTAACATAAATGAATCACCTTGATTAATTTGGAAATTTTTTATGGGATTCTTAAAAATGAATGGTGCATTTTTTAACGTATTTGATTTGAAGTTAGCATTTTTGATTAGCAATAGACAATTTTTTAGACTAGATGACATTAAATTCTCCTTTCTACTTGTTCAATGGTTTAATGAATCATAATTTTTCAAAATATTTAAGCACAAACGGAATTATTTAACTAAAATGGAATTATTATTTTTAAAATAAAACTTTAATAATACCCCTTAAGCATTTAAATCTTAAAATACCCCTTAAAGGACAAAAATAAATAAAATTATTTTCATGTTCACGTCATATGTAAATTTAAGAAATGTCTCATGTTGTAAAGTCGATCAACTGAAACCATTATTAAACCAACTCAACTCAATTTAAAACTAATTATCACCTAATTCACAATGGATGTTGTAGAACCAGTTCCTGAATCAACTACGATCACGTCTGAAGTACCTAAGCCAGAATCTGATATAAATAAAAAGACAGAACAAACTATGGAAAATTTAGAAAATGAAATAGACAAAGCATATGGTGTAGTAGAATCTAAATTTCAACAATTTTGGTCAAAAAATTCTCATTTATTACAAAATCAATCAATTGATGAACACAAGCAGCAATTTGTGAAACAATTAAATTCAATGAAAGAAAATCTTAGTCACAACAAGAATATTCAATTAGTTACTGAAAATTTTAATAATTTTGAGAATCAATTAAAAGATTTAAATCTCGAAGGGAAGCTAAATATCAAAGATATATCAACAAAAGCAAATCATGCATTAGATGTATTAGATTCAAAATTAGAAATTGTTGAAAAAGAAGCTAGTAAATATGTTAATTCTTTTACTTCCTTTTTTTCACAAATTATATCAGTTGCACCAGAAGAATCGAAACCAGAACCTGAAAAGGAAGTAATCTTCAATTCATCATTAAATCAATATACAAATTATGGGACAACTCGTTACGATAGTGACTTATTAAAACTTCATACTGATAAAAGTTATTATATAACGAAGGATGAAGATGATACTTCTCCAGATACAAATTTCAATGCTGATGATAAAACAAAAGAAATAGAAGAATTATTAAAAAAATATCCAACAACATTAACTAAACTAATGAATGAAATAGTACCAATACAAGTAAGTTATAATAAATTTTGGTATTTATATTTTCAAAATGAATTAAAATTACAAGAATTAGATAAACAAAGGAAAGAATTACAAACTAAAAAAGAAGATGAAGAATTTGATTGGGATGATGATGATGAAGATGAAATGGAAACTCCAGAAAAAGTATTATCACTGAAAGAAACCAAACCTGAAATAAACTCTGAAAAAACAGATAAAAAAGATAAAACTCTCGAAAAAGATGAAGATGAAGAAGAAGAAGACGAAGAAGATGATTGGGAGTAAATAAATAAAGCCTTAATTCTACTACTTGTTCTAATCTATTAATACTATATAATTATTAATGTATAAACACAAGAATGAATTATTCAATTTTCATGTAGTATCATATAAATATCTCGTATATAAAAACTGTTTAGACAGAAAAAAAAAAACGTCAAAAAAAAAAAAACTCGAAAATTTAAATACATACAAAAGAAAATAAAAAATATATATATACTTTACTCCTATATTATTATTATCATTATTTAATATATTCATATAATCATATATACATCACCACCATAAACCATTATCAGTAAATCATCTATATTCAGATATTGATTAATCATCAATAATAATATGAAATATTCAAAATATATACCCAATGCTCCAGAAGATAATAGATCTATTGAAGTAAGAAGTAATTTAGAATATGGAAAATTAACTTCAAAAAAATATTTACATATATCAAAACATCCAATTGGTGAACCATTACCTATTCCAATAGATGATGATCCTCCTTATGCAATTTTATTATCAACTTATTTGAATTTTTTAATTTTAATTATTATTGGACATATTAGAGATTTTTTTGGTAAAATTTTTAAACCACAAGAATATGAACATTTAGTTGAAAAAGATGGATTTGCTCCATGGTATGATGGATTTGAAAGTTTTTATGTTAGAAGATTGAAAACAAGAATTGATGATTGTTTTGCAAGACCAATTCATGGAGCTCCTGGTAGATATATAAAATGTTTTAATAGAACTGGTGATGGGAAAATTGGTTATTTATATGATGGTACTTCAAAAGAATGTTTAAATTTATCATCTTATAATTATTTGGGTTTTGCTCAATCAAGTGGTGTTTGTACTAATTTTGCTTTAAAATGTGTTGATGATTATGGAACTTCTGGTTGTTCACCAAGAACTTATTCTGGTACTACTGATTTACATCGTGAATGTGAAAGAGTTGTTGCTGATTTTGTTGGTAAAGAAGATGCTATTATTGTAAGTCAAGGTTATGGTACTAATGCTAATTTCTTTGCTTCAATAGCTGATTCAAAAACTTTAGTTATATCAGATGAATTAAATCATGCATCAATAAGATTTGGAATAAGATTATCAGGAGCAAGTGTTAAAGTTTATAAACATAATGATATGAAAGATTTGGAAAATCTTATAAGAAATCAAATTGCTCAAGGACAACCAAAAACTCATAGACCATGGAAAAAAATCATTATTGCAGTTGAAGGTTTATATTCTATGGAAGGTAATATGTGTAATTTACCAGAATTAGTTGAATTAAAAGATAAATATAAATGTTATTTGTTTGTTGATGAAGCTCATTCAATTGGTGCTTTAGGTCCAGAAGGTAGAGGTATATGTGATTATTTTTCATTAGATCCTTCAAAAGTTGATGTTTTAATGGGGACTTTTACAAAATCTTTTGGAGCAACTGGTGGATATATTGCAGCTGATAAAAAAATAATAGATAAACTAAGGATAAATTATATAACTCAATCATATAGTGAAGTCGTACCGCCTCCTGTATTAGGTCAAATAATATCATCATTAAAAGTTATAAAAGGTGAATTAAATCCTGGTGAAGGACAAGAAAGATTACAAAGAATTGCTTTTAATTCAAGATATTTAAGATTAGGGTTGAAAAGATTAGGTTTTATAGTATATGGAGCTGATGATTCACCAGTTATACCATTACTTTTATTCCTACCAGCCAAAATGCCAGCAATGTCAAGAATGTTATATGATTTAGGTATAGCAGTTGTTATTGTAAGTTATCCAGCTACACCATTAACTCGTGCAAGAGCTAGATTATGTGTATCATCAGCATTAACAAAAGAAGATCTTGATCTAGTACTTTTGAGAATAAGTCAAATTGGTGATTTAATATATTTAAAATTTAGTAGTGGTATAGCTGGTGGTTCAAGTATAAAAGGTCAACCCCCACGTTGTTCAATTGAAGAAGTTTTGGCAACTAATGTAGAAGAATGTAAAAGGCCAAAGTTAATATAGAAATAAAAAGTAAATAGACAATAATAATATAATTTTTAATTTAATTTTACAAAAGAATAATAATCTTTTGATATTTGTATTGATAATAAGAAGTATGTACTCCAATTTTTGAGCTACCAACTCCCACGAAATCTGGAACATAGAATATACTTACAACCAAATCTATACTTATCCTCATCTACCTTTCATATCAACACCGTCCACATCTACCATCAACTATAATTATCACTTTTTTGATGATACCCGACACATATATACCACCACTACGATTTAACTCAATCCAACCAAATCTATATAGAGGAGCATATCCAAGAGAACCAAATTTCAAATTCCTAGAAACACTAAAGTTAAAAACAATAATATCATTAACTCCAGAACCAATTACTTTAGAAAATGATCCACAATTATACGAATGGGCTCAAACCCAAGGAATTAAACTCGTATATATAGAATGTGCATCTGGAGGTAAAGGTAAAAAAAGATCAACACCATTAGATTATGAAAATGCTATAAGAGCATTAAATATAATAATTCATAATAAAAATCAACCAATTTTTATACATTGTTTAAATGGTGGACAAATTACAAGTTTATTAGTTGCATGTTTAAGAAAATTACAATTTTGGTCATCTATTTCAATTTTTAATGAATTTATAAATTTTACTACAAATATAACTGTAAATGATCGATTATTTGTTGAAAATTTTCATGGAACTGTTGATATTGATTATGATGATAAAGTTAATTGGTTATGGGTTGGTGTTAGTAAACATTTAGTTACTAGTCATCCTAAATTAAAATTACATTCTTTGAAAGAATAAACAATATGCATTTTTGTTTAATACTTGATTTGATGAAACTTTTGTAAATTTTGTATCATCAAAGTAATACCAATTAGATTGTTTCTTGACGTATGATGTATAATGACCAGTTGTTAAAGAACCAAAATGATTAGCAACTCCAAATAATTTATATTTAAAAGGTGGGATTTGATTTCTTATAGGTAAAGAACCTAATTCATTCATTCCATCTGTTGGCCAATAATTAGTTAAATCTAAAACTTCATCTACTGGATAAGTTACATAAGTTTCTAATTTTTTGATAGAATTTAATTGAATTTTAAATCTTTTAAAATTTATTATAAGTACTTGAGGTAATCTTGTAATTTCAATTTTTTTGGTAGATTTTCTATGAGTTTTACATTCTGGACAAAACCATTTATTATTATCATCTAATAATTCAGTTGTTAAAAATTCATCAATACAATTTTGTAAATTTACTTTTTCTTTATTGGGGACAGGTATAGATAATATTGAAAAAGCATTATATGAAGTTGATGTAAATTTACACGTTAAACATTTCAATCTTGATAAATATTGACCTTGGAATTGATCAACTACAATTGAAAAATTTAATTTAAGGTATCTTTCCCATTCAATTGTTGATGCTTGTCTTATTGGTAATATTTCTCTACTTTTCTCTTGTTCTGGTGTTAATTCAGTAATTTTTTGTTTTTCTTTAGCATCTAGTATAGCCATTTGATTTAAATCTTCATGAATTCCATCAAGTAAAAAATTTAAAAATTCAATACAATCTTGTTGATCACAACTTTTAAATTGTTGTGAAAATTGTCCCATTGTTTTTTTAAACCTTGTGGGATTATAAACCCCATTCTTGTTTTTTAACATGTTGAGCATAAGATCAGCAAATGCTTCTGTAACTTGACCTTTTGTTCCTAATATATTCTTGTAGTTTATATGTTGTTTATATGATGTAAAAAAAAATGGTGTTAATGGTGTTGACACAAGACATTGAATCATACAATTCATATAACAAGAATTACCTAAATTGACCAACCCAGTTTTGAAATCAATTTGCGATGGATTTGAACCGTTTGAATTGGTGGATGATTTATTAGTTGATATTGTGGAAGATGAAGGTGGTGGTTGAATTAAAGATCGTAGTTGTGGTTTATGTTGAGCTTGAGTGTTGGCGGGAGTTATGGAATTAATTTTATTTGGTAAAAGCGGAGGTTGGGAAATTGGTGGTTGAGATTGTGGAGATTGATATAATGAATTTGATGAAATCGTCGTAAGTGAATGATTTCCATTGCCTAATTTGCCATTTGAATAAGAACCATTGAGCAGGTTTGTCAGTAGTGAACTTAAAGAACTTGTTCTGGAATTTACTAAATATTCATCTTCTACTCCACTTATAGTTTTGCCTCCACATTTGACCCAATCGTCAATCCCACCTGATAAATAACTTGGTACAGTTTTTAATCGTGAACTAAGATATTTATTTTGAAACATTAAAATATCTATCAATTTTTTAAATGGATTTTTACCAGGTATATCATTAAATCTCCCACTTCCTGAATTCTGATCATAAATCACTATATTATCAAATTTATGTCTTTCTTGAAACATTTGAAATTGTTTATGAGGGGTTCTGGGAAATTTATCCTCTAATTCTTCATCATTCGTTACATTCTCCATTATAACTGGATCTATATTTATTGAATTCTTTAGATGCTGTCTCTGGTATAATTCTCTGGGTCTATAATCTATAACTAATACATTATTTAATTTTTGCAACTCTTGTGGCGTAACTTGAATTTTATATCCTTTTATTGAATTTTTCAATTTGAAACCATTTTCAACTTTTTCAATTATAGTTTTTTGAAAATTGTTATATAGATCAACATCTCGACTCTTTATTTTTGACTTGATTTGATTAAAATAATTTAGTATTAGTGTTGATATAACGTATGAAACGTCATAATCGCAATATCCAAGTTTGTCAAATAATGTTATTTGATAATCTAGCTGTTCTAATAATGTAACTAAAATATCAATTTTTGACTTGTTCAGATTTAGTAGTCTATTAAGAAGCCTTTGTTGGATCACTTCCAATTCTGATTTTAACATTTGATGATTGTTATATAGTAGGTTGTAAATTGTAATTGATATTTACAAAATGATTTGAAATCTAATCTATTTTATCACTCAACTACCAAGTGATTTTTGATATTGATGTACGGGTGTCATTTCTTGTAGTCAAATCTTTAGATCAGTTAAAGTAAAATAACTTGTAAATTCACCTTGAATCCCCAAGTAAGACATTTTTGGATCTTTATTTAATAGTAATTAAAGATTTAGATATGTTTGCATTACTTTTTTGCATTTTTTGCTAATTTTTATATGTGTAATTTTACGTCATTATTTTTTCGAATTGTTGCAAAAAAAAAACAAATTTAAAACATAACAATTTTATAAAAATTATAGTATACATAAATTTAATGAATGAAAAATGGCATCATTGAGAGGAAGAAATGGTTATTTTGAGTCTTGTTCAACATATACAGATAAAGAAAATTACTTTCTAGTTGATTCAAGATATGAAATTGTTAGAATTTTAGGAAAGGGTTCTTATGGGGTTGTTTGTTCTGCAATTGATACTAAAAGTTTGAGTACTGGATTGGAACATAAGATTGCAATAAAGAAAGTGACGAAAATCTTTACAAAAGATATATTGTTGGTAAGAGCTATAAGAGAATTGAAGTTTATGAAGTTCTTTAAAGGACATAGAAATGTATGTTTTATTTTCTCATTTGTTTATTTATCGATTTGTTTACTAACATAGAACACTTTGTTAGATTGCAACATTACTTGATTCAGATGTTGTTTATGTAAAACCATATGATGGACTTTATTGTTTTCAAGAATTAGCAGATTTAGATTTAGCAAGAGTTTTATATTCAAATGTTCAATTATCTGAATTTCATATTCAAAATTTTATGTATCAAATTTTATGTGGTCTTAAATATATTCATTCAGCTGATGTTGTACATAGAGATTTAAAACCTGGTAATATTTTAGTAACAACTCAAGGAATATTAAAAATTTGTGATTTTGGTTTAGCAAGAGGTATACATCCAAAATTCTTTAAAAATAGAGTTGCAACAATAACAAATTATGTAGCAACAAGATGGTATAGAGCCCCTGAATTAATATTATCATCAAAAAATTATTCAAAAGCAGTTGATATATGGGCAATTGGTTGTATATTAGGAGAATTATTTGGTAGAAGACCAATATTTCCAGGTAAAAATCTGAATGAACAAATATTTGAAGTTGTTAAAGTATTAGGTAGTCCATCACCAGAAACAGTTAAAAAATATAATTGGAAAATTGAAGGAATATTATGGTGTAAATATAAACAAGTTAAATGGCCAACAATATATCCTTTTGCACCAATTGAAGCAATAAAATTATTAGATAATTTATTACAATGGGATTATAAAAAAAGATGGGATGTTGATATTATTTTGGAACAAGAATTTTTTAAATTTGTTAGAAATGGTGAAGAACCTGATTCAAAATCAGTATTTGATTTTAGTTTTGAAGAACCAACAAAAATTCCAAGATTAAAAGAAATTTTAGAAGAAGAAGTTAAAGATTTTAGTGAATTATGTCATAAAGTTGAAGATTAAATAAAATAAACATATGAAAAAGATTGAAGTAAAGGATAAATAAATTATACTAATAATTATATAATTTATCCGTAATATTATTGTATTTGTTTCAGAATAATTAATATTCCCCACATTTCGAAAAAAAAAATAAATTGTAAAAAGTTGTATAGATTCATAATTTTCAAAAAAAATATACGAAATTAAAAAATTAGGCTAATTTAATTACAATTAATTCGTACATCATTATCAATCACTTTTGAAAAAAAAAGAAACTATTACAACTTACGAAATTGTAATTATTGTAGTCTAATAAAGAAATTATAAATTAATAAAAATTTGATAAAATAAGGAAATTCAATTAAAATAATACTTTTACTTACTACTACATAAAATGTAATATTATAAAAAAGTCCGAGCCGAGGAATACGAAAATTTAAAATTTATTAGGGCCAGATAAAACGATTTGCAGCAATTAAATTCGTAAATTAATAATAATAATATAAATTAATAATAATAAACAATACTATGGAGATTAAAAAAAGGACTACTAATTAACAAGTGTTACAATATATATATTAATCAATTTGTCAGCAATTTTTTCCTATCTTCTTTTTTCAAAAATTGTCTAATTTGAATTTGTATTAAGAATCAACTACCATTTAACATCAATAAGTTTAATAAAGCTCAAAATGGCCACTTCACATCCAGATTTTATTCCAATTAAAATGGAAACCTTTATTGAAGGTGAAAGTGAACCAAGAATAGTTCAAGTTGCAGGTAATGATAAAATTGAATTTAAAATTCCAGGAGGAGTTAAATATTATACAAAATTTTATTTTCAAGTTAAAAATAGAAAATTAGAAAATTTATTATATAAACAAATTGTTAAAAAAGGTGGTGTTACTATAAGATCAAGAGAAATTCCTTTAGGAAGTTATGAACCAAGTGATGAAATTCATACTATTGATTTTCCAGAAGATGAAACTCCAGGTGGTTGGTTAATGAGAGCAACTTATTATGCTACTTCTACTTATTCTGCTGGTGATGAAATATTAATTGTAAATGATTGGACTTTAGAGATTACTAAATAAACTTAGTTAGACATTAGATTATCATGTGTGTATTAAAAGAAACTATCTATATTTTATAGTAAATTTAAAGTATGTTCATTAGTTTTCTGTTTTCTGTTTATTATAATTTAACATATCCTGAAGCATAAGAAACACTACTATCTCTTGAATATTTGGCTTGATTACTTTGTGAATATCCAATCCAGTTGAATCCTTCTTCACTACCATATTTTTCTAAAAGTTGTAAAATAATTGAAACTGGTTTTTGCCCGCAAATTGTATTACCAGTTGTATTTATATATTCAATCCATTTTTGTGAAGATCCTTCAGATGCTATACTTAAAGCCAATTTATCTAATAATTCAATCGATTTATAAATTTCTATATCTTTTGGTTTATACTTGAGTGATGTTAAATTCTGATCAATATTATCAAATGTAACATCTTTATTTGAAATTACTTTAGTATAACCAAATCTTGAACCCCAATGACAAAAATCAGAACTTATAACAAAATGATTTTCTTCATTTGATAAATACGGATATAACGCTTCAACTAAATTTTTTTGTAAATTTAAATCTAAACCACTAATTAAAATTGGTATAATTTTTGGTAAATTACCTGATTTATGACCTTGATGATATATGAAAGGTGCATGCATTTCAAATGAATGTTCATCTTCATCTACTTCTTCTGACATTAATTTAAATGTTTTATTCTTTAATAATTCTTTAATGGTGGCGGTGTCAACTGGTAAATCTCCAAATGGTGTTTGATAAGCGTCAAATGGTGAAAGTAACACATTGTTTTTAAAATAAACATGATGTGATGGTCCTAATAAGAATATTCTTTTAGCTGAAGTTGAATCCCAAACTCCAAACGTTTCTGCTAATCTTTCTCCAGAATAAGTGTATCCAGCATGTGGTCCAATTAATATTCTTGCCCCCTTAATTGGATTGGGAGTGGCATAATTTTGTATTTGATTTTTGAGGACTCTTGGATCATTGCTGTACCATGAACCAGCATGAGTAGCTGGTCGTACATTCATTAAAGAGATAAGAAAAGCTGTCAATAAATTTGTAATAATTAAAATTTGGTTGTACAAAAATGTAAATATTTACAACCGAATTCTCCAAATCTAGATCAAAATTATATTGAAATTTTATAATACTAACAACCAAATGATCAATTGAAACTAGGAAATATGAGTGCTAAATTATTTACAAAATCAAAGAGTAATGAATTACAAGTTGAAATAGAACAAGCATTTAAAAAATCAAAACCAGTAGGTAGAATAAAAATTGTACTTAGGAAATTATTAGCAAATATTATATTGAATAACAATGAAATGATTAATTTAATGAAAGATATCATACCATTAATGAAAATAGATGATCTAGAAGTAAGAAAATTGTGTTGCGAATATCTAGTCACATATGCATTAAATACAAGAGATTCAATGGAAGCATTACCATACCTAAGGCGATTTAAAGATGAATCTTCACCAATGTTAAGAGCATTAGCAATTAAAACAATGACATCAATAAATATACCGGATTTTGTAGAGTTAAGTTTAAGTTCAATTCTGAGACTGTTACAAGATAAAGATCCATATGTACGAAGAACAGCTGCTTTTTCAGTTGCAAGATTATTTCAATACACGGGAGAAAAAACTAATTTAGTGGAAGATTTAAATTCATTATTATATGATAATGATTCAATGGTTGTTTCAGAAGCATTAGCTGCATTAAGTTATATAACAGAAAGAAGTAAAAAATTAAATTTAACAATAGATAAAAATCATTCAATAAAATTAATATCATTATTGAAAAATGCAAATGAATGGCAACAAGTATATATTTTGAATTCATTAATGTCATATGTCCCTCAAAGTGAAAATGAAGCATTAGATTTAATTGAGAATGTATTACCATCATTACAACATGAAAATTCATCAGTTGTGCTAAACACTATAAAAGTTATAATATACTATAGTAATTATGCAAAAAATCCTGAACTTCATTTACCAATACTACCAAAAAGAATAGGATCTTCATTAAATTCATTACTTACAAAACCTTCAGAAACTCAATTTTTAGTATTGAGAAATGTAATATTATTATTATTGGGTAAAAAATTTGCACAATTTGATATTGAAACTTTTTATTGTCGATTTGATGATCCAATATATGTTAAAGATACAAAGTTAGAAATCATTTATTTATTAGCAAATGAAGATAATATAGAATCAGTGTTGGATGAACTTGAAGAATATGCCACTGAAGTTGATGTATCAATGGCTAGAAAAGCAATAAGAGCATTTGGTAATTTAGCTGTAAAATTAGAAAATGCAGCTGATAGATGTGTTGAAGTATTGTGTGATTTAATATCTACCGGAGTTACATATATTGTACAAGAAGCTGCTATAGTTATTAAAAATGTATTAAGAAGATATCCTGGAAAATATAGTCATGCAATTGATGAGTTAACTAATTATTGTCATTTATTTGATGAACCAGACGCTAAAGCAGCTATGATATGGATGATTGGACAATATGGTACTAACCCCAAAACTTGCTTAAAACAATTTACATATAAAGAAGATCCAGTTGAAGTTCAATTAGCTATGTTAACAGCAACAGTTAAATATTATTTGAATTTTCCTTTAGAAGGTGAAGAAATGTTATTAGATATATTGAAATGGGCAACTGAAACCACTGGAAATCCAGATGTTAGAGATCGTGGGTTTATATATTGGAGATTATTATCATCAGAATTTAGTAGTTCACAAGATGAATTTCAAAAAAATACAAAAGATATTATATTCAATATTGATCCAAGTATTACTTCAGAAAATGATAATGTTAACCCGAAAATATTAGAAGAATTAGAATTAAATTTTGGATCCTTAGCTTCAATATATTTAAAACCTGTATCTAGTGTATTTAGAACTGCAAAACCAAAAGAATTACCTTGGGGTCCAACATTACAAAAAAACAGTTCACTTGGCTAAATTTAAAATTTTAACATTGGGTGAAAATCTAACTGTTTGTGCATCTTTAGTTATTGTATCATGTAAAATACGTGGTAAACCTGGTTCTGGTCCATCTGGTAATTCATTTGCTAATTCCAATAAATCAATTCCTAATAATGATGCTATAACTATTAATGATGCCGGTCTTGATATTACAATCAGTTGTTCACGACATGTATTACCTACAACACATAATGGACAACCCCATTGACATTGACAATGTTTAATTCTATCGAAAGTAGTTTGTAATAATTCATCAATACATTCAAATGTCTTGTAAGAAAAACCTGAACCACTTCTATTTCCCTTTGTATCATAAAATATAAGTCTTGCTGGTCTTTTCCTTGTAGATTCAGTTGATTTAAATTCTTTTGTAGGTGCTTTACATTCTGTTCCCATTTCAAAATCACCCATATTTGTATTACTTTTTGATGTATTTATATGTATTGGTAACATATTCATAATTGCATGTTCAGCTGCATGAATACCCCCAGCTGCAGATAATTTTTTAGCAATAATTATATCAATAGCTAAACGAGGAATATTTAACCAACAACCTTTTGCATATGATATAACTGGTGGATTATCAACTTCAACCACTTCAAGAATTTCTTCTTTTCTATTTACTTTAAAGAATCCAAATACTCTCATTGTTACTTTAATAATTCCAAAAAATACAGGTAAATCAATTGCTTTTGTAGCTAATGGTTTTACTAATTCTACTTCTTCTGGATCTACATCAGAATAATCTCTTTGTGATGTAGTCCAATCAACATTAACTCTTTCTACTTTTGCGTATTTTTGATCAGAATTAAATTCTTTAACTAAATATGATTGACCTTGATGTAAGAATATACCTCCTTCATAGATTGTAAAAGTAGTTCTTTGCCATTCAACTTCTTCAATAACAATATTTCTTCCGTTAGTGATATCAACAACTGCAACTGTAGTATCATCAATAGCTCTTATTGGAACTAATTTACTAGGCTTTGGTAAATATTTGGTGTTTGTAACATATTTCTCACCAATATCTTTTAACAAATGTTCATTCAAGATTTTTTCAAACTCTTTAAAACTTCGTCCATGAGAAAACCATCGATAATCATCATTAACATCTATGGGATCTTCATAAGCTGCACATTGTAAGTGTCTTTCCAATATCAACAGTCCATGTTCCATATCTCTTAAACTATCAACACACAAGTCTTCATAAGTATTATGAACCAATTCTTCTGAATTTTCCAAATAATATTGATCTACTGGAGATCTACCTACAACAAATATAGCTAAACTACCTTTAGCATTTTTCGCTCTACCTGCTCTACCAAATTGTTGATGTAAATTCAGTTTCAGCATTGGGAAACCACATGTAATTACAACATCCAAGTCAGATAAATCAATCCCCAATTCCAACGCATTAGTAGCAACAATAGCTCTTAATTGACCTTCGAACATTTTCTTCTCTATTATACGTCTATCAGACTTACTATACCCACCTCTATAAGACATTATTTCACTTTGATCAATACCACATTTCGAGTATGAATTTTGTAATAGATATCTGATTTCTCTCATTACCGATTCAACCACAACTCTAATGGGGCAAAATATAATAACTTTGATTCCTTTTAATTCAGTCAACAACGTAAGTAATAATCTAGCCAGTTCTGAAACCATACTTACTCGTGGAATTAAATTACTACTTGAATCAGCTGGGCCCTTTTCACCACGTTGATTCATTAATACAGGTGGATTCCAAATCAATAATTTTTTTTCACACCTAGCACTTCCATCATCTGAAACATGGATAACATTATCACTATCTGGAATTGCACAAACTGTTTTAAAATGATTTGTAGGATTGTTTATTGTTGCTGAACATGAAATAAATTTAAAACTCGAATCAAATTTATGTTTAATTCGTTGTAATCTTGCCATGACATATCCAACATTGATACCAAAAGTACCCTTGTAGATATGTAGTTCATCAACAACAACATATTTCAATGCCCTCATGAAATCTGCCCAATTATCAAATTTATTATTTGGTAAAATTGAAGCATGAATTGTATCAGGATTCGTAAACAAAATATCAGATTCTTTCAGAATTCTATTTCTTTCAGCAAAAGGTGTATCACCATCATAAGTATTAATTATTATTGGACGTCGACTATTACTAGGTAACTGATTCAAAAATTCTTGAAAATGCCGTATTTGATCTTGTGCTAATGCTTTTGTAGGGAAAATGAATAAAGCTGTTGTCTTTCTCCCTTTCAATCCATTTGTTATATCCCATAATATTGAATTAAGTACTGGTAATTGATATATGAATGATTTACCAGATGCTGTCGATGTACTAACGATTACATGTGAATTAGTACTTTCATCTAATAATGCATGTAAAGCTTCTGCTTGATGTGTATAAAGCGAATCAACATTGCTAAATATAAGTTCTTCTAATTCAGGGTGAAATTGTGGTGGATCCTTATACCTTGCAGGAGATTCATAATTTAGTTGATGAATAGCTGTAATTTGATCACCATATGATTTTGAATTTTTCAAAGCTGCTATCATATCATCAGATGTCATCAAATTTTTTTCCTCAATAACATTTTCTCTACCTTCTAATATCTCAACTATATCATTTAAATTAGGTTCTTCAGGTATTAATGGTAATGCTCTTTTGATTAATTTATCTTCTGCATCTTCTCCATACAATTGTATATAACTTTCTAAATATTTTTTAAACCTACTATCTCTACCTTGAATCATTTTCGTAAGATTCACTTGTTCTAATGGTACTATAGCTGACTTGGTATCATTTAAGAAAAAACTTTGACGACGCGTCTCTTCAAATCCTTTTGGTTTATGACCTTTTAATTTCTTCCTACCTTTAACCATCTTACCAATTCCATGAATCTTAACATCTTGAAAATCAAATATTAATAATTGTTTACTATTTGTTGGTTTATCTTCATCATATCTATCAGCAACTGGTTTTTGATCATAACCTTTTTTACCAACTTTAACTTCTTCCATAAATGAAACCATTATTTGATTTTCATCAACATAATCAAAAAATACTTCATCTTCTGGAAATAAAAATTTAATAATTGCTAAATCAGTTTCTGTTATAGTATTATTTAATTTTTGAATTAATTGTATTGAAGGTATAATACTACGTGAATGTGAAGATAAAAATGTTAAATGAGTATTTATTTCATGAAATATTTTAACTAATCTTTGAAAAAAAGGAGACCAATCGTCTGTAATAGGACTTGGACTCTTTGATGTATTAGCTGAATCTTGTAATGGGCTTGATGCTCTTCTTTTCATACAGAATAAATTTGGTTGCAAAAAACTACATTTCATAAATCATAGATAATAATTTATCATAGTAATTAATATTTGTGTAATAGAAATTTACGGTTATAAAATATTATAAATCTGTACCTTAATTTTAACAAGGAATTTGTAGCAATTTTATGTTTAATAATGAGGATAAATTTTAATATGAGTGACTTAAGTTTAAGAACGTTTTTAGTTATTGATCTAAACTCCTTTTGTTTATAAATAAAAGAATATTACTTTAATTGAAACATTAATTATTTTTGGTAATTGATTTGATCTGATCTTCAATTTAAATTAAATACAAATTAATTATGCAACAAGCATTTTCAAAATTAAAATTAAAAAGTAAAGGTAATGATGTACCTCAAGCTGATCCAGCTTTAACTCCTGGTCAACCACCAAATACAAAACAAATTTATCAATCAAGATTAAATTATGGAGTTAATTTTGGATCAAGTTTTGTTTTAGAAAAATGGATATTTTCAGATTTATTTTCGGAAACTCAAGGTGATACTGAATTAGATGCTGTTTCATCATTAGTTCAAAAAAATGGAATTGATGATACAAGATCAAAATTTGAAAATCATTGGAATAGTTATGTTAATGATGATGATTGGAAATGGTTAGTTGATAATCAAGTTACTTCAATTAGATTACCAATTGGTTATTGGGAAGTGGATGGTGGTAGTTTTACTTCAGGTTTCAAATTTGAAAAATATAAAGGAGTATATACAAATGCATGGTCAATTATTAAATCAAAATATATTGAACCAGCTTTAAATAATAAAATTTCAATTATAATTGATATTCATGGATTACCAGGCGGAGCTAATAATTCAGGTCATTCAGGAGAATCTGGATCAGGAGGTGATTTTTGGAGTGATAATAAAGCCCAAGTTGCAATGGCTAAAATGCTGGCTTGGATTGCAAATGATTTAAAAAATTATGAAAATATTGCAGGTATTCAATTAGATAATGAAGCTGAATTTGCTGATCCTGCAAAGAAACAATCTACTTATTATGCAGCAGCAGCTACTGAAATTAGAAAAAATGACAAATCAATTCCAATTATTATTTCAGATGGTTGGTGGCCAGATCAATGGGTTAAATGGATTCAAGGAGAACAAGGTGATGATGGCTATATTGGATTTGTTGTTGATGAACACGTTTATAGATGTTTTTCAGATTCTGATAAATCAAAATCAGCTGAACAAATTATAGATGATTTAAATAAAGATGTCTTAACTAATTTAACTGATAATGGTAAAGGAGTTGATTTTATTATTGGTGAATGGTCATGCGTTTTAGATCAACAAACTTGGGATAAAACTAAAGGTAATAGAGATGAGTTAGTTGTCAAATATGGTCAAACACAATTACAAATATTTGATCAACGTTCATCAGGTTCTTATTTTTGGACTTTTAAATTTCAATCAGGTAATGGAGGTGAATGGGATTTCAAAACTATGACAAATAAAGGAGCTTTAAAACCACCACCAAAACCTCAAAATCCACCATCAAATGATCAATTAAATCAAGCATTAGATAATGCTTATAATAATCATGTCAATTATTGGAAACAACAAGATCCAAATGGTAAATATGAACCAGAATTATTTAAAGACGGTTTTAGTATTGCTTGGAAAGATGCTGATGCATTTGCAAAATTTAATGGTTCAAGAATTGGTAGAAAAGAAGCTTTAAAAAGATCAAGATTATTAGAAACTATAAATTCAAAAGGATCTTCTAAATTTTTTTGGGAATGGGAACAAGGTTATGATGAAGGTATAAAAGAATTTTATAATAATACTTTATAGATTTACATTTCGGCCCTCTATAGAATAAGGTAGAACTGGAAGATTTAAATACAATTAACTCAGATTTGATTTTATTGTTTAAAAATATAAGATTTACATTCTCTTTATATCTTAGTATTTAAAGCTGTATTTACTAAGATAGTAATTATTGCGTAGATTAACAGCACATATGTTGAGCTGGTAGGTGTTCTTGATAAGTTCAACCATTGTTTATTTGAAGGAGATATCAAAGTTTTGATGTAAATATTCTTTTACTGGACTTTACAAAGAGACAACAACTGAAGATCAAATTGAAAGCAATTTGAATTGTTTTGTCTGATTTCATAGTCATATCTGCAACAAAGAATTCGATCACTTGTAGTATTAAGAACTTGAAGTAAGAGTCAAAAATTTACACATACTGATATAAAAGTTTAGGCTGAATAAATAAATGCTATGATATATTAAAAATTGCTCTATACACAAGACAATGAGTTATTATAAAGAAATGAATAAAATGAGTAAGCAAAATTAATGCAAAGAATCTGATCGTTTATTGGAAGTTGAAGTCAAAAACGAGAAGCGTGGAAATGCAACTCAAAGAATGACCAAAACAATAGCACTAAACCCAGCAATAACGGTTGACACTTTCAAAATAGAACCTGAACCTTCATATATAGTACCAATTGAAGGTTGAAAATTCGTTGAATGTAAATTTGGTGATGTGGAGGTTGAATCCATCATTGATGTGGCACTTGAAATTGAGACAAGCTCTGAATTGATTTCAGTTAATTCATTTGAATTAGTCAAAGTTAACGTAGCGTTTTCTGCAATGACCTCTGGTGCAAATGATGATGAGTCAGTTGTTGAGTTTGACAAAGCTCTGAATGATGAAGCTGAGTTTGAATTTATTGAAGAACTTGAAAAGGACTCAAGTGTTGGTATAGTTGTCTCTATTGATGATGAATGTGGCGGAAATGTGAAGTCTGTAGTTGCTGATAATGAACTTTTGAAAACCACTGTTTTTTTTAGTGATGCCTTCTGCGTTGGTCTAAATTTTTTATCAGATTCCGCTTTAATAAAGTCCTTCAATAATGTCCTAAGCTCAGGGTCTATTGGTGATGAATCTAATACTGAGTCCCATGAAAAATTTGATGAGGTCGGATCTAATGATTCTAATTGATCTTCCTCAAGTAACGATAAAAATGGTAGATTTGTTGTAGTAGTATTTGAAGAAGATGACTCACTTTGAGAAGTGATTGACTTTGACTCAACATTTTCTTCTGTTACCTTCACAGTCTCTTCTGCTTCAACATCTTCGGTTAATACAATAAAATTTTCTGATGTCTTAATTTGTGATTGATTTTTAGTTGCATTAGTTGATTGTTCAACTTCGTTTTCAAATAAAGACTTGTAGAAATCTTTTACTGTTTTCTTTGAACTTAACTCAAAAGCTCTACCCAATACTGATCTAACAGCCTGTTTCACATCATATTCATAAGGAGAGTCGATAAAGTCTTCCAATAACGATCTATTAGTCTGATCATCTTCAGCTATTGTTCCAATATTTAACAATTCTCCAACAGCTTGTTTAATTTCTTGTTCTAATGGTGATGCCACATAACTTTCTAATAAAGATTTCAATTCTGATTGATCCTCAAAGGTCTCAGTAGTTCCATCTAATAAAGTTCTAACAGCTTGTTGTACATCAGATTTTTGAGGAGATTCAACAAAATCTTCCAAAACTTTGTTATCCATTTGATCTTCATCACTAGAATTTGCTTTGGTGGTACCATCCAATAAAGTTTCAACAGCCACTTTGACTTCAGCAGTTTCTGGAGACTCAACATAATTTTCTAATAATGATCTGGTAGTTTGATAGTTTTCAGCAATTGGTTTAACATCCAACAAACTTCTCACAGCTTGCTTTGTTTCAAATTCTGATGGAGTTTTGACAAAACTTTGTAATAATGATTTCATTTGTGAATGTTGTTCAATCAATATTTCATTAAAACCACCTAATAATGCTCTAACAGCCTCTTTTACATCTGATTCTTGTGGAGATTGTACAAAATTTTCTAACAATGAAATTGTTGCATCTTTGTAGAAACCTTTAACTGTTTCCTTTGAACTTAACTCAAAAGCTCCACCCAACACTGCTCTAACAGCCTGTTTCACATCATATTCATAAGGAGAGTCGATAAAGTCTTCCAATAACGATCTGGTTGTCTGATCATTTTCAGCAATTGTTCCAATATTTAACAAATCTTCAACAGCTTGTTTCATTTCATTTTCTAATGGTGATACAATATAATTTTCTAATAATGATTTCAATTCTGGTTGATCTTCCAAGGTCTCAGTAGTTTCATCTAATAAAGTTCTAACAGCTTGTTGTACATCAGATTTTTGAGGAGATTCAACAAAATCTTCCAAAACTTTGTTATCCATTTGATCTTCATCACTAGAATTTGCTTTGGTGGTACCATCCAATAAAGTTTCAACAGCCACTTTGACTTCAGCAGTTTCTGGAGACTCAACATAATTCTCTAATAATGATCTAGCAGTCCGATCCTTATTAGCTATTGGTCCAACATTCAATAAACTTCTAACGGCTTGCTTTGTTTCAAATTCTGATGGAGTTTTGACATAACTTTTTAAAAGTGATTTCATTTGTGATTGTTGTTCAGTCAATATTTCATTAATACCACCTAATACTGATCTGACAACCTCTTTTACATCAGATTCTTGTGGAGAATGTACAAAATTTTCTAACAATGAAATTGGTGCATCTAATTCTGTTTCAAGATAATCAAGTAATGATTTGGCCTTCGGGAAAACTTCAAAATCTAATTCAGTTTTCGACTCTTCCATAATTTTTATATCAACTTCATTTTCCCTATTTGATTCTCCATCATCTATTATTGCCACAGCTGTTGCTTCAACTTCGATGTTCAATCTTGTTTCAAAAATTTGTGTTTTCAAAGTCTCAACTGATATTGTTGTAATTGTTGTTTCAGCTTCAACATCCAGTACTGTTTCTGTTTTATTTGCAGATTCCTTGATTGTTTTCTCTTCAGTATTCAACACTGTTTCATTTGGATCATCCAATATTGCAACGGTTACTGTTTCTACCTCAAAATCTAGCTCAGTTTTTATAGACTGTATTCCTGAATATTGCGTCTTTAAAAGTGCATCCGAGTTCGTATTAATTGTTGCTCCAACTTCAATCTTACTTTCAGTTTCCAAAAATTGTTCTGCTACCCTTGTTGTATCGACTTTAATGTCCGACTGTTTTCCTGAGTACTGTGTTATTGAAGACTCGTCCAAAGTTGCTGTAAAGGTTATTTTGGTTTCAATTTCCCTCTCAGTTTCATTAGAATCATCCAGTTTAGACTCGACAGTTGATCTAGTCTCCGAGACCAAATTTGTTTCTGAAAAATCTTCTAGTACTGCCATAACTGTTGTTATAGCTTTAATATCCGATTCTGTTTTCAAAGACTGTGTTTTCAGATACTCATCTATCATTACCACACCTGTCGTTTCAACTTGATATGTACTCTCAGATTCAATTAATTCACTCTTTTTGGAACTGGTAGTTGGTATAATTTCAAAATTCAAATCTGTCTTTATTGATTCATTCACTATGACTTTTGTTTCAGCCTCAACATCTCTTTCAGTTTCAATAGCATTGGTTGTCTCATCGGAACTAATTGTTCCAATGTGATCGTCTAATGCACTGAAATCTAGGGTAGTGGAATCTAATGATGAAGTAACTAACAGTTCAGGTAATGCGGAAACACTTATTGATGATGATGGAGCAATTGTAGTTTCTGGAGAAGTTGTTGAAAAAGTTGTAACAGTACTTACTAAATCTCCCGATTGCGATATAATACCTGAATATATTTTTCTACTACCATCAGAATTATCTGTCCAAGTAGTGGTGAATGATGTCGGTGTTGGAAAAAAACTAGTACTGCTAACAAATAAACCTTGACTATTAATGCTGATTTGAACTACACCAGTTTGTGTTACTAATCCATTTGAATTCTTTGTAGTTATTGTTGTTGTATATTCAGTTGGTTCAGAACCTGGAATTGATGGTAACTCTTTACAAGGTCTGCATTGAGCTGGTTGTCCTGGGTTTGGTGGAGGTCCATTATATTGAACTGAGCCCAAAATAGTTGAAGGTAAACCTGCACCATCGTCAGTTACAACTTCAAATTTTGAACTATCATATCCTAAACCAATATTAAATTTTTGCGATAATACTGCTGTACACAAGATTGTTAGTAGAAAATTTGCAAAACCAAATAGATATTTGTTACATACCTGCATCTTTCAAAGTTAAAATACCAGTTTTGGTGTCATATTCAAAAGCACTCCTAACTAATGATTTAGCAGCTAGTGGAACAGTTAAACCCACTTTATTAGCAACTCCATTCACTATTCCAAAGTTCCTGACATAAAAAGTTTGAGTTAGTGATATACCCTCAACAATCAATGAGGATTGACCATCTGCTAAATAAATTGTTTGACCACTAGATATAGGGTAAAGTGAATTGGCAATATATATCGAGGAAGAAGCTTCTGCTGTGATACAGCCAGTACCTTGAATTGATGTAGTTTGCAAATAAACTTGATTGTGGAAACAAATTTGACCATTATTATGAATTGTTCCGTAAGTTGTACCTAATATAACTTCACCAGCAACTCTTTGATTTTGAGGAAATACTAATAACCCATTATTATTCCATTTTGCAGCAGTTAGTTTAACTTCACTAGGAAACATTCCAGAAGCTGCTAGATACATTTCTCCATTGTTCGTAAAAGATGATCCAATTAATTTATAAGATGATGAAATAAATGATGCAACTGAATTGAATGAAATTATACCATCATTTGTAATTGTTCTAATCAAACTTGTCATTTCAACTTTCAATGAGATAAATGGTGTAAAACTTGATATATATAATCCTGCATTAGGTTGTACATGAATATCTGCAGCAAAATTCGAAACTGCATTGTTTATAACAGACCAATAAGCACCTGAATGTATAGTAACTTCTCCAAAAGTGTAGTCCATGAAACTACTACTAATTGTATTTTCTTTAATTTCTAATGCAAAAATGGATGCGAAAACGAACAAAAGTAAGAAGTATATCTGATTTGAGTACATTGGTTAGTGATTTGTTCGACTTAGTGAAATTAAAAACATGGGGCATATTAAACATATATACCAAAAAGTTCAAGATCAGGAAATGAAAAAAAGAAATTTGTGAATACTCAAACTACAAGTTGTTTCCCTTGAAATTGCTGCAAAAACCGAAAAAAAAAGAAAATAATTATTTTTTAAATTTTGTTGCATTATAGAATATATCATAATTTCGTTTTGTACATCAAAAAATAACCATTACTCGTTAAGACCAATACCCAAAACTGAGCTATGGTAAAGAGTATTGGTAAGTTATTAGACTCTCAATATGACGATTGGAGTGCTATTGATCCAGAGTCTTGCAAACTAGGAAAAATCGAGAAACAATTTCATAAAAGACAGTTTCTGAAATCTGAACATAGATCTTTGTAGTTTTTCCCCAGATAAGGCCAAGATGAGATTTCAAAACATAGTTGTACGGGGATTTAGGATCACAAACCGAATGAATTTCTGGATGTGGTAGATCAAGTTGAGATAATACACAAAACAATTGACTCATCTTGTTTTTGTGCTGTAAAATCTGTAACACCTTACAAAAATCTATAAACAATGATTTCTTGTGTTCCTCGGTGCTAAAAATACAATTCCTTTTGAAATCTGAGATTTATTCAAGACTTCGGGAAGCTATCAACCGCTAAACGACTGTCTGTACCAAGCTCTTACTCAAATTACTTGAATATAATTTAAAGGTCAAAATGTTTTTGACTGATACCGGCAAAATTCGTGAAGTATGATCTCCATTTCAAATTGAAAGTACTTCAATATATTGGGGAATGTCTAGTTTTTGTTTTTTGTTGCAAAAACTGAGGATCTGCAATAGATGAACATGGGTTTTTTAAGCTTGCAAAAGTCCTACAACTAAAAAGAATATTTGAAGCGTTGTGAAAATTTGAAGGCAATTTTTACATCAAATGGTTGAGTTAACGATTCGTTTTTAACTCACTCGTTATACAAAATTTATCTCAAGAATAATTTAGACCATAGAACAGTGTACAATAACAAAATTTTTTTTAGTTAAACTCCAAATACTTAATCTATACACTATATCAATATCTATTTGACTTTTACCTAAACACTTTAAAGTTACGTATTCTACAAGCGCAATTTGATTTCTTAGACGTAAATTTTTGTAAAATAATATGGGATAAAATCAAGACTGAACATGAGTTGACCCAAATATTTGTAATCGTGGCAATTTTTCAATCCTCTATGAAACTGAAGTAATGCCATATTAAATACGACTTATTGGATTGAGAACTTAAATTGCTCAACACAATGCAAAATTCTAAAAAGTCTCGTGCTTTATGCACTAGTATATGGACTCATAGTGTTTGAAGAAATTTATTGATACTCCTCTCTTTGAAAAAGACTCTAAAGATAGTTGACAACGATCCATTTTGCATAACAGTAACTAATTCTTTCAACAGAGCCATCTGCTCTGGTAACTACCCACGAAGTAGTGTATTCAGTTGTTTGTGGTTTTGTAAATGTAGTAAAAGTGGTTGTTAATGAACCGTGCTGTGAAACAATCCCTGATTCAGTTTCAAAAGATCCATCTTCTTTAGTAACAGTCCATGTGCCCGTAAATTGACTATTAACTTCTGATTCAATTTTTGGCTCAGCTGTTATTACCGAACTTATTAAATCCTTTGAGTTCAAAATAATACCTGATCTCACTTCATTACCGTCTTTCATTAAAGCTCTGCCAAATGGACTGAATTGATCATCAGATCTTGAACCTTCCGAGTCGTTCGATAGTGCCCTACCAAATGGATTGACCTCTTCATCCAATGCTGGTTCAAGTTCTTCATCTGATGCTGGTCCAACTTCCCTGTCTATTACTGGTTCCATAAAGTCTTGCAATAATGCACTGACCGTTGATTTAATAGATGATAAATTTGAGGATAATTCCAAAGATGAAGTTGTTGATTCTGACAAGTCTGATGATGGAACTGCCTCAATGAACGATGACCTTGATTGGGATGTAGTAGTATCGGACAATAATGACGAGTTTTGAGATACAATTGAATTTTGTTCTTTTGGATTTTCAGTTTTTGGATTGTCATCTGGTATATCGCTAGTGCTAACTTTTGTTTCTACAAAGGCTTTCATTGTTGATGATAAATTTTTAGTGACAACAACATCTTCAACTTTTGGCTTGACAACATTTGCTTCAACTTCAATGTTAGATTTTGATTCAACAGAATGTATTGACGTTGATGTTAAACCTGTTATTATGTCCGCAGATTTTTCTGATTTTAAAGACAAATCTGTAGTTGCTATTGTATCTTCGCTATCTGGTGTGATACTTGATACAGCTTCAGCACTTGTTTTTGTTATTGTGGAACTTTTCGATATTGATGTACTAACTAAATTTGTTGAAGATGTACTTTGGGATACAATTGTACTCAGTACTACTGGAACTTCAACTTTAGGCATGGTTGTTGATGAAACTTGACTAGCTGCAATAATTTCCACGGAACTTTGAGATTTTGATGGTAAACTTGTTGTCGATTCTGGAGAATTTTTTGAGGTTGATGATGAGCTTGTTGTTGGTTTTGCAGAACTTTTTGATGTTGATGAAATACTTGTTGATTCAATTTGACCCCCAATTTTGAGCACGACGTTTGGTAAAACTTGATTAGCTGCTATAATTTCAACGGAACTTTTCGATGTTGATGATGAAGTTGTGGAAAAAGTTGTGACAGTGCTAACATAATCTCCAGATTGAGATACAATACCTGAGTGAGTGTTTGTAATACCACCTGAAATAGCAGTCCAAGTTTTGTTGAATATTGTTGGAGTAGGAAAAAAAATTGTTTTACTAACAAATGAACCTAAACTATCAGTATCAAATTCAATAATACCAGTTTTTAATAGTGGTTTTCCATCAAAATCTGTAGCAGTAAATGTTGCTGTAATATTCGGTGGTTGAATCCCTGGAATTAATGGTGGTGCTTTACAAGTTATGCACTGATCTGGCTGTCCTGGATTTGGTGGAGGTCCATTATACTGAATAGATCCAAAATAAGTTGATGGTAAACCTGCACCATCATCTGTTACAATCTCAAATTTTGATTCGTCATATCCCAAACCAATATTAAAATATTGTGATAATAAACCTGTATATAAGTTTGTTAGTAAAAATGAACTTTAGTTGGAAAAAATTAGTTTCATGAAATTTGCAACCATTATAAAATTGTTTAAATTTGTCACGTGTTTGTTTTTCCTTAGAATAAAATGAATTAACATACCTGCACCTCTTAATGTTAAGATACCAGTAGTTGAACTGTAATCCCAAGCATTACTAATAAAGGAAGCAAATAATGGAATTGACAACCCAATCTTATTTGCAACCCCATTAATTTGACCAAAGTTATGAATATTGTAAGTTTTAGGTGATGATAAAGCTTGTACTATTACTGATGATTCACCATCAGCTAAATAAATTGTTTGACCTGTGGAAACAGGATAGAGTGAATTGGCAATATATATTGATGAAGAACCTTCTGCTGTAATACAACCAGTGCCTTGAATTGAAGTTGTTTGTATATAAACTTGATTATGAAAACAAATTTGACCATTATTATGAATTGTTCCATAAGTTGTACCTAATTTAACCTCCCCTGCAGTTCTTTGATTTTGATAAAAAACCAATAACCCGTTGTTATACCATTTTGCAGCAGTAAGTTTCACTTCACTTGGAAACAAACCAGAAGCTGCTAAATACATTTCTCCATTGTTAGTAAAAGAAGAACCAGCCAAATTATAAGAAGATGCAGTGTATGATGCTGCTGAATTAAATGCTATTATTCCATTATTTGTGATTGTTTTAATTAAACTTGACATGCTAATTCTTAATGAAGTAAAAGGTAATGTACTTGATATATACATGGCTGCATTCTCTTCAACATAAATATCTGCTGCAAAATCAGACAAAAAATTATCAATGACAGACCAGTAAGCTCCTGAATGAATTCTCACCTCTCCAAAACTAAATGCCATGGCACCGCTTGCAACCGTATTATCTTTAACATCAAATGCTATAACTGATGAAATGAACCAAAATGATAAAAACCATTGTTTGTGAAACAACATTTGCATATGAATCAAAACTATATTTAGTAAATTTCACAATTGTGTAATTGAAGCTATTATATTATGAGAAAATTAGAGCAAACCATATATATATGAGAACTTTTGTGTTCAGCTTTTCGTATTTTATAATTAAGAAAATTTGCTAGATTCGAAATACTAGAAGAATTATAATATTTGACGGGTTTAAAATCGAGTGAGTTATTTGTTGATTAATAATCAACCATAAACTGACTCGTTTAGCTGCAAACCACTGAAAAACTATCAATTTGAAGATAAGGCGTTAAAAATAATTTCTTTCATAACAAAATGCCCATGAGCTAAGGAAATATGGCATTCCTGTGTCAAAATTAGCGGTTTTTCTTAATTAATCGTCAAAAGAAGAATCATGTCAGACCAAATTTGTTTATTTTGCATAAGAAAAAATTCGCGAGCTAATGTAGTATAAATTTGTAACGTTACAACACATAATAAAATACATCTTGTATTATTTTATTTCTTTGATGGATCTAATTTTGACAGTTGTTTAAATAATAGAATAAAAATTTTTTATTTAATCCCAGCCCTTCTTTAGAGGAGCAGGTTTTGATTTCAAGTTATATTTGTTGTCGTTGTTGAATTTGTAGAAAATTAAAAGTATTAATGATGCTGTAGGTTATTTAGGAGTTTCAACGGCTATTACTGTTGCCGCTTAATATTACTTAAGGAAATAATTACTCTTCTGAAATTTACTCTAGATGAGACTTGAAAAATCTTGTCTATCATGTAAAGAAAATGCGAATTAGAAATGATTTAAAAGTTGACATATTTCAAATTGGAGTATTTACACAAAATTAATGTCAAGAAATTACTAAGAATTTATTTGAGTGATGTTTTATAATAAAGATTATTTAAAAAAAAACTTGGAAGACCTCGTAAAGACTACATCTGCCCCATAGAATTTTGTTAGCCAAAGATCTTATTTACGAAAATGGATACGATACTGTACAATGTAAGTAGCAGTCTTCGCCTAGTAAAGTATTTGTGAAAAGCTTACTAGGTTCAGTTATTCATAGTTATATATCTGACACACAAGGTAATTAATCTTCTGTCATATCCAAATAAATAAGAATGACGAGATATGACTATTTTTCTTGAAACCGAAAATTGGAATGAACTACATCATGCATAAAAGATTATCCGGGCGTATACATTCAAAATTCGAATACTACCTAATTCAACAAACCAAGAAGGATTATTTACGTTACAATTCAAATTTTTTATCTTATTATATCATTTAAAAGAAACAACAACAATTCTTAAATATTTTCAAGTTAATACTAACATCCGAGCACTTCCCATGTCATTATAATTTTTGAATGTTGATAAATTTTTTTATTCTATATCAAATCCAAATGAAAACCCAGTATTTTCAGTTAAATTTTCCCATTTCTTACTTTTACCAGAATCATTGCAATGTTGTTTTGCTTCTAATTTTGTAACTTTTAACAAAGCATCATTTAATAATTCATTTTGACCATTATCGACCAATAACTTTTGTAAAATTTCAAATATTGGTAAATTTACAGTTAGTTCTCCACAATCTTCATTCAAATCAACTTCATAATTTAAACTAATATCTAATTTTACTTGGCTAATTAAATTTTTAACATCATTTAAAGTAAATCCAGAAATTTGATTTGGTTTATTTTTTAAGAAATTTAAAACTTGTGATAATTTTATTGGTGGAACAAAATTTTGAGTAATTGCTATAGAATCATCAATATTTATCACACTATGCCACCAACCCAGTGGTACATACATACATTCACCTGGGAAAGAAATACCAATTTTCACATCATCTAGTCTTGTTGAATCGTTATAAAACCCCGAAATGACCCACTCTGCTATACTTATTGGTGATGTAACTTCACTTTCATCATCATCTGTTGAAACTCCTGGTGGGGTCGTGGTTGGTGGTAACATAATCCATAATTTTCTTCCCTGGATTGAAACATTCCATGCAGATGTTGAATTTGGATCCTTATGGAACGTTGAGCCTGATCTTTTAGAACCCATGATTAACCAAGCATGATCTGGTCTATAATCTTGAAACAACTTGAAGATATCAGTATCAAATATTTTGGGGGTAGTATATTCTTTACGTAATGTTTTCATTGCTTCACTACTACAATCAAAAAGGTATAAGGGACATTCATCTTTATTTGATTTCAAGTATTGTGAATATTTAGTTAAATCCCATAAACAAGATTCTTGTCGAAATTTTACATCAGGAAATCTTTTTAGGAGAGATTCAAACGTCCAATTTGGCCACCTCTTTGAATCTTTGCTTTTTAGTATAAATGGTGTATCAACATATTTCTCAAATTCTTCTACCCCAAAATTGTCTTCATAAAATCTTGGAATTCCTCCACTTGCAACAGAACTATTACAATCCAAACTATTTAATTCCTCTTCTTTTAGTACGTTTATGAAAATTTCTTCATAATTTATTTGTGAGCACTGATAAGGTCTATATATCTCATCACAACATAACAAATTGTTAGGTAATTTCAAATTTGCAGGATTGGTAATTCTTGTAACTGTTTGTTTCCATGAACCTAGCCATGATAAATTATCAAATTTTTCTGCATTTTTTATATATATTTGTTTCCATTTCTCTTCATCGTATAGCAATGCATAAAATATTCTACTAGTTTGTGATAAATTAATCAACGTCTGTATATCATCAATGTAAGAAATAATTTTCAAAATTAAATCGTTAGGTAGAACCCAAAATGAACCTAATAAGTTTTTTCTTTTTAGTATCAACTCATTATCATCAACTATATATTGATTCCCACTTGGCTTAACATTTAATGGATGTGGATTATTAGCAATAGTTAAAGTTGAGATTAATCTATTAAATTTTTGCTTCTTTGTTGGCGGTTCCATGTAGTTGCAAAAAAAAAAAAAACGGTCAGATGATATAAACTTGAAAAATTTCTTAAGTTTGTGTTTTAAAATATTTAAAATATCACTCCACAAAATTATTTCAATTTATTTTTTTAAAAAAAATGATTAAGCAATGTTACTTAAACAACTAACGAAAACAACAACCACAACAAGAATAATACGTAGATTAATGACTAGTCCAGCAGAAACAGAAACTCAAAAACCAATTATATTTGCACCTGAAACATACCAATATACAAAAGGTCATTTACAAGAATCGGATTTATTATCAAATCCATTAGATCAATTTAATAAATGGTTTAAAGAAGCTCAAGAAAAATTACCAACAGATTCAGACATTATTATAGAAGCTGTAAATTTTTCAACAGCTAATTTACCAAGTGGTAGAGTATCAAGTAGAATTGTATTATTAAAAGAATTAGATAAATATGGGTTTTTAGTGTATTCTAATTGGCAAACTAGTAAAAAATCAAAAGATTTTAATTCAAATAAATATGCTGCATTAACATTTTTTTGGCCTCATATACAAAGACAAGTTAGAGTTGAAGGTATAATGGAACATGTCACTAGAGAAACAAGTGAAAGATATTACCAAACACGACCAAGAGGTTCAAAAATTGGAGCATGGGCAAGTCCTCAAAGTACTAAAATAAATTCAAGAGATGAATTGAATGATTTAAATGAAAAATATGAAGAACAATTTAAAGATTTAAAAGATGAAGAAATTCCATGTCCTGAATTTTGGGGAGGTATTAGAATTGAACCATTAGAAATTGAATTCTGGCAAGGTGGATTAAGTAGATTACATGATAGAATTAGTTTTAGAAGAGAAGATTTAACCAAAGATTGGGAAATTTTTAGATTAGCACCATAAATTAAAATTTATAGAACATTATATATATATATACAAGTTTAGTTTTTCTTCAAGTGACCTCTTTCATACAAAAGAGCCGATTCTCTTTTTGGTATCCATTCTTTTTTTCTTAATTCTCTTTGATGATCATTTTCATGTTTACCAGGATAAATAATTCTTTCATCAATTGGATTTAAATCAGATTGAGGATTTTCAACATCCTTAATAAGTCCATCTTGTCTTTTTAATTTCTTTAAGAAAGTTCTAATTTCTCCAAAACAATTCATACACATAAAATGAGATCTTTTTACTGCTCCACAAGCTGGACATCTAACTATATTATTTAATGGTTGAATTTGTTTATTTCCAGGTGTATATAATTTTACTCTTTTTCTTCTATATGACATTTTCTTTTTTGGTGCTGCTTTTAAAATGGTTCCATTATCTATCATAAAAGGTGGTTCTTCTGAATTTTCTAATTGGTCTTGTAATTCTGATAATCTTGGATCTGTTTGGTTATTAGGTACTAATCGTATACTAATTTGTGGTAGTATTCTTGGTAAAGCACCCCATATTGATTGTGGAGACGTCACAGAGCCAAATCTTAGTGCAAGGGACATTTTTAGGGTTAGTTTTGGTCAGTAATTGATAAAGTGGATATTTGAAAATTTTTTAATACTGCAACACTTTTTCTTAGTAGTGTGTGTCATGTCGTAAGATATAAAATGTGACACTAAAATTTGCATCCCAGAAACAGATCCAAGGTTGAGGAAAATCTATTGACTAGTATTAAAGGCTGGTTGTAAAAATCGTCTTTGACAAAAGCTTTAAAACGAGCTGATGATTAACTGAATGCTACGTAGCAGAATGGTGATGTTAACAAGATTTAACACTGTAGTGTTTTCCTATTAGAACATCCTAGCTACACTTCAATCAACTAGATTTTAACTTAGGGCAAAGACTTTAGTAGAACAAGTGCTACTCATTTCAAGTCAAATTATATCACAATAAGCACATAACTTAGTTTTGTTCAATATCTATCTTCTATCTTGTATCATATCTAAATGTTGAGCGTGTAAATACCAAATAATAAAAATTCCCATTTATTATCTTAATTAAATTTAACGCGTACATAATGAAACAATTTGTTATTTTTTTTTCTTTTATAAATTTCTTTGATTTCAAACTTATATTACAATTAAATTATACAATCTCCACCAACCACCACCAAGATGTCATATGAAGATAGATCAACACAACCTAAGAAATATGTTGGTTTTGATACCATCACCACTCAAATAGAAAATAGATTATTAAAAAGAGGATTTCAATTCAATATTATGGTTGTTGGTAGATCAGGATTAGGTAAATCAACACTTGTTAATACACTTTTTTCATCAAAATTAATTCAAAGTAATGGTAGAAAATCAGTTTATGAACCAATTGAAAAAACAACAGAAATAAAAGTTACTCAACATACATTATTAGAAAATAATGTTCGATTAAATATAAATGTTATTGATACACCTGGATTTGGAGATCAAATAAATAATGAAAAATGTTGGGAACCATTAGTTAAATATGTTAAAGAACAACATTCACAATATTTAAGAAAAGAATTAACTGCACAAAGAGATAAATTTTTATTGGATACAAGAGTTCATTGTATATTATATTTTATACCACCAAATGGTCAAAAATTAAAACAATTAGATATTCAAGCTTTAAAAAAATTAAGTGAAATTGCTAATGTTGTACCAATTATTGCAAAATCAGATTCTTTAACTTTGGAAGAAAGAGATGAATTTAAAAAATTATTACAACAAGAATTTATGAAATATAATTTTAATATTTATCCTTATGATTCAGAAGAATTATATGATGAAGAAAGACAATTAAATGAAGATATAAAATCTTTAATTCCATTTGCAGTAGTTGGATCAGAAAATGAAGTTGAAATTAATGGTAAAAATGGTCAAGAATTTATAAGATGTAGAAAAACAAAATGGGGATTAATTAATATTGAAGATGTTAGTCAATGTGAATTTGTATTTTTAAGAGATTTTTTAACAAGAACTCATTTACAAGATTTAATTGAAACAACAAATTTAACACATTATGAAACTTTTAGATCAAAACAATTAATTGCTTTGAAAGAAAATGCAAGTAATCCAAATAGGCAATCACAAATTAATCAACAAGCAGTACACTAAAAAGGAAAATTCTTTTTTTTTTACATTCATACATATTTTACTCTCTACTTACTTACTTTTCCATTTTAATATATACACCGTCATAAAGACACATTGTTAAATGACTTAATTTTTTTGGTGGATATTCACTATTTGGTTTCAAACTTAAAGTAGAATAATTTTGAGCTAATCTTGCAATTACATAACTTGCCTCAGTTAATGCAAATTGTTGACCTAAACAAATACGAGGACCTCCATTAAATGGTAAATAAGCCCATCCCAATTTTCTTGTACTTTCTTCATACCATCTTTCAGGTCTAAATTCTTTTGAATCTTTACCATAATATTTTGGATCAACTTGTGTAGCAGAAATATTATAAACAATTGTAGATCCTTTTGGTATAAAAATTTTAGATTGACCATCTTTACCACCTCCAAAAGGTAATGTAGTATTTTTTGTAGCAACTCTTGCATTTCTTGGAACTGATGGATATAATCTTAAAGTTTCATTTAATATAGCTTTTAAATATTCACATTTTTTTAAATTTTCAAATGTTATATCTTCAACTTCTGTACCAAAATGGTTTAGGATTTCTTCACGTAATGTTAACCAAAATGGTGGATTTTTAGCTAATTCAAATATCGCAAATGATAATAAACCCGCAGTAGTATCTCTTCCAGCTAATAATATATTTAATGCTTGATCTCTTAATACAATTGGATCTCTTGTTTGTTTTGCTAATTCATATAAAAAGGTATAATTATCAGATTTTTCTAATTCTTCTTGTGGTAAACTTAATACTTTATTAACATAATGATCACTAAAATCATGAACAATCTTATTACATTCTTTAAATTCTTTATTGTTTAGCATCCAATAAAATCCTTGTAATAATGATCTACTTGATAAATACAATTGTGAAGTATTAAATGCTTTTGGAAATAACTTTCTACTTTCGAAATCAAGATTAGTTTGATCACATCCAATACTTTCATCTTGTAATGAAGAAACACTTGATCCAAATAAAAATTCAGTTGCTGAATCAACAGTAAATCTAAAAAATAATTCTTGAATTTCAAAAAAGTCCCCCTTATGATTATTTATATGTTTCATTAAATATTTGAAATGAGGTTCTAATGATTTAACATGAGCAATTTGTTCTCTTGCAAATTGTGGTCTTAACATAGCTCTTGAATCTTTCCAACCTTCAAAATCTAATGTAAAAATACCTTTACCTAATAAAGGTTCAAAATACCATAATCTTTTACCTAAACAAAAATCATTAAATTGAGTTGCTAATATTGATTTAATATTTTCAGGATCTTTTGTAAAAACTAAAGGAGTACCAAATACTCTTTCATGATAAGTTGGAACATCTGGATTTGAAACTTTTATAAAATTTTCATGACCCATTTCTAAAGAAGTACCATTGTTTTTTCTTCTTAATGCTTCTAAACCATTTTTAAATCCCAAAAAACCATCTGATCTATAATTTGTAAATGGTTTTGCTCCTAATTGTTTTATAAGTAATTGAGTATGAATATATTTAATAATATAATATACTAGTATTAAACCAATTGGTAAATACCAATGATTGATTAATTCATTACTCATTATTAATTGATAGTAAGTTGATTAAATGAATGTATAATTTAGAAAAAAGAAAAAAAGAAAAAGTAGTAAGATTGTAAAAATATCTACAATTATATAATTTGGTGGTAAAAAAGTATAATTTATTAAATTGGAAGTAATAAATATTACACAGTACATATTATTATTTACATAGTTGAAATAATAGTTCGTAATTACTGTAAAAAGGCTTTAAGGTATTAAGATCTAGACTAAAAATTTTAATTTATTTTGTGATTGTTTGTTAATTCTAATCACCTTAAATCCGATTAATAAAAAATTCATTTTTTTTACCCCTTGAAATAAAAAATAAAATTATTGTTTTAGATATTTGAAATGGATTGCAAGTAAAATATTATAATCATTGATTCAAGGCTTTTTTTATTTGATACTACAACTCAATCAGCAAAAATGAGAGATCTATCTTCAACTGCTCATAATTTTTCTTATTCTTTATAACTAATTTAAGTAGAACAAAGGGACTATTTTACACTAAAATTTTAGGGAACAATAGAATAAAATCTCCCCCTGTTTAAACTTTGACCAATTATCAATCTTTCTTTTCTAATACAATTATTCTTTGTAAAAATGTATACTTTAAGTACTTCACTTTACAATAGACTCCCAATTTTGCTTTCTCATGTTTGTCTTTATTTCGTGAATGTATCGATAAATCTTCTCATTTATTATTGTAGATCATCTCTGAGATTTTCGATGTAACTTATACACCAATTTAATGCAAAACATTTCATTTTCTTTGCAAATTTTTATTTCGGATTGCAACAATTTTAAACTCATTATTCGCTGAGTTATCGTGGAGATGTGCCATCACTGTAATCGATAATTAAAAGAAGTTCATTTCTCGTACCTTAAGGTTGGGGTAATTTTTGGATTTACAAAGGATTGTTCAGGTGCTTGTGTATATTCATCATTTATGAAAATTCGTGTAACACTTTTAAAACTCGATATTACTAATGTGCTTAAATTTTCAAAAAGAATATCAGTTAATGAGCTAAAGCAAAAAAACGAGAACTTTTGAGAGCATAGATCTGTGGAAAAGAAATAAATAAAGCACAAATTTGAGAAAATGATGGCAAAGTAGATCCCAGACACTTATAAAATTTTTTTTTGTAATTTTGAATTTTGTATTAATGATTCAAATTATATGTCAAAGTCCCTGTTCTTAGTCGAATGAGTAGTAGATTTGATGCTTTCTCGAAGACGTAGGGATCTATTTCTTCTCTCTTGTACAAAACGCTCAGTCATGAAAAAGTCGGGGACTAGAGAGAAAATCTTTTTGCATAAAATTATAAACTCTCACGGTATGTTAGTTCAGCTCCTTAACCAGTGACAGACTTGCAACACGATTTTTGTTCGGTTCCTGATTCCTCGAAATAATATTTAAAAGCAAAGTTGCTACCAAATGACGTTTCAGATTGGTTTAACAATAGCTTTTCTAGTTCTTAAAATAGTCATACATCACAAAAATGTAGCGTTTGGAGCAAAACTAATATGTGAATTATCCAACAAGTTTTTTTCTTCTTTATAGGAAACTTATAACTTTGAGAGTTACTGTTAGATCAAATTACAGTTGAAATTACTTTAAAAATTTAGCATCGCTACCAATTAGTTTAGACGCGTCTAGATTTTTAAATCCTTTACAACCAAAAATGAAGTTACACAAAACATATAAATTTTTATAATTATATATCATTTATTTTACTATATCATCATCAACTAACCAAAAAATTTACAACCAAATCAATCAATATGGGAGTCAAAGGTCTAAACCAATTAATTAAAGAGCATTCACCCTCTGCATTCAAAGAATTCCAATTAAAAAATTTATTTGGTAGAAAAGTTGCCATTGATGCATCAATGTGTTTATATCAATTTCTTATAGCAGTTAGACAATCAGATGGTCAACAATTAACAAATGAAGACGGAGAAACAACATCACATTTATCAGGTATATTTTATAGAACTATTAGATTAGTTGAAAATAATATAAAACCAGTTTATGTATTTGATGGTAAACCACCAGTTTTAAAAGGAGGAGAATTAGAAAAAAGATTATTACGTAGAGAAGAAGCTCAAAAACAAATGGATCAAATTAAAGATGATGGTACAGTTGCAGAAGTTATGAAATTTGAAAAAAGATTAGTCAGAGTAAGTAAAGATCAAAATGATGAAGCAAGAAAATTATTGGAACTTATGGGTATTCCTATTGTTGATGCACCATGTGAAGCAGAAGCTCAATGTGCAGAATTAGCTCGTGGTGGGAAAGTTTTTGCTGCAGCTTCTGAAGATATGGATACTTTATGCTATGAACCACCATATTTATTAAGACATTTAACGTTTTCAGAAGCAAGAAAAATGCCAATTGATCAAATCACTTATAAAGAAGCAATAGAAGGATTAGATATGACAAAAGATCAATTTATTGATTTATGTATATTATTAGGTTGTGATTATTGTGAAACTATAAAAGGTGTTGGTCCAGTTACTGCTTATAAATTAATAAAAGAACATGGGTCCTTAGATAATATCGTTAAATTTATAAATGAAAATCCAGATAAAACAAAATATAAAGTACCAGAAAATTGGCCATATGATGAAGCAAGACAACTATTTTTAAAACCAGAAGTAACAGAAGCTAGTGAAGTTGAATTAAAATGGAAAGAACCAGATGTAGATGGATTGATTGAGTATATGGTTAAACAAAAGGGTTTCAGTGAAGATAGAATTAAAAGTGGAGCAGAAAAATTGAAAAAAGGTTTAAAAGCAGGAGTTCAAGGTAGATTGGATGGGTTTTTTACAGTTGTTTCAAAACCAAAACCAAAAGAAGATCCAAAAGATAAAAAAAGAAAAGCAAATGACAAAAAGGGTGGAGCTTCAAAAAAGAAAAAAAAATAAAAACTTCTTTAATTCTCTATATATACTAATATAATAATATAATATAATACTTAATTAATTAATTAATTAATCTTTTGATTTTGGTTTTTTCTTTTCAGCTTCAGCTTCTTTTTCAGCTTCAATCTCATCAACATATTTTTTAATTTCATCAATTGTTAATTTTTCTATTATTGCATTTGGTTTCATTATGGAAATTTCGATATTTTTTGCTCCAGTTTGTACAACCTCTAATAAAGATTTTACAGTTAATTTTATAGTTTCATCATCACTTAAATCTTCTTTATATTGTTTTTCCAAAAATTCTTTTACTGTTTTGGAAGATCTTCCAATTGCATGAGCTTTCCATGCATTAAATACTCCAGAAGGTTCAGTTTGATATAATTTAGGTACATTATCATAAACATCAAATCCAGCAATTAAAGTAGCAATTCCAAACGGTCTTGTACCACCAGATTGTGTATATTTTTGTTGAACTCCAGCAACATATTTAGTTAAATATTCAACACTTACAGGATCTTCTAAATTTAATTTATGTGATTGAGCTTCAACTCTTGCTTTATCTATTAAAATTCTTGCATCAGCATTTAAACCAGCAAATGCTAATAATATATGATGATCTATTTTACATATTTTGGAAGGTGTTGTTCTTGGATCTTGTAATTTTAATGTTGTTCTTCTTTCACAACCTAAAACTACTATATTTTTACCTTTTACTCCAACTGCACAAGTACCTCTTTTAACAGCTTCTGATGCATATTCAACTTGAAAAACATGTCCGTCAGGTCTTAAATTGAAGTTAGTATGTTACTTAGTAAGTCAATTGAGTAATTTATACATACGAGAAAATCGATAATGCACTATCGTAACCACTCATTTCTTAGTTGTGTTTGTTGATAAAAGTAATTGATATTTTTTTGCCTCTTGAAAAAAAAAAAAATATGATACGCTTCAGAATCAATATGGCTAAAAAAAATAATACACCAAAACAAATTCCAAATAAAGACGTTTTTTCAAGAATATCATATTTGTATAATCTTAGTACTACCTACGACGCTTTAAACCCAATTTTATCAAGAGCTTACAGTAGGAATTTGATTGCAATTTCCAAAAAAACAACTTCAAGAGTATCACCAAGTGTAAAAAGAACGCTATGTAAGAATTGTAATGCAGTATTAATACCAGGTCTAACAATGTCAATGAGAATAGAGAACAAAAGCAAAAATCAAACACCTCATAATGATGTGTTTATAAAGAAATGTTTATATTGTGACACAGCCAAAAGATATCCAATTGGAAAAGACCTAGAGTATATACCCAATCATCAAAGAGTAGAAGAAGATACAAATATGTCATAAATATACATGAATTTTACTTTAATTGTCTAAATTATTTATTCTGCTGTTGCGGCACATAAAGCAGCACCAACACCTGAACCATCTTTTGCAATTTTTAAATATATTTTCTTGTGAGAACCTTTTAAAGGATTTATAACTTCAATTGATTCCATTATAGCATCTCTAAAACCTGGATAGAATTCAACAACTGAACCATCACAACCAACTTCAAAATCTCTATCATCATCTTTATATTGATCCTTAACACTTTTTACAATTGTGGCTAAAGGAATTGCAGATAATTGAGCAGCTCTTCTTGATATAGCTCTTGTTAATCTTTGTATAACTATTCTTTCATCTTTTGTAGTTGGTAATCTCAAAGCGTTTTTCAAAATTAATTCAGACATTTTTAGGTCTGTTGAATCATCAATTTGAATATATGATAGAACTTCAGAATCTAATAACCATGGTTCAGTTATTCTATGTGGTAAACTTCCACCTCTTTCCTTGTATAATTCTTGGAAAATTAAACCTCTTTCAAAAAGATTTAACAATGCTACTCTTAAAATTTCCCCTAAAAACATACCACTAATTCTTTTTTCAAATAAATGATAACCTTTATTAGCAGTTTCTTTGTCTACAATTTCATCAAATATAGTATTTGGTAATATTTGTAAAGTATTATCAAATGATCCCCATTCAGTATTTATTACCATACCTTTACAATTTTTTGGTGGATTTTTTAATTTTGGAATATCATCTATGGCAGCATAATAAGCACCATTTGTACCAGTTCCAAATATACAACCAATAACTGTATTTGCATTTGTCTTCGTTGGATCATTTTCATAAGCTCTTGATAATAATGTTCCAACAGTATCATTAGCTAATGCAACAACTTTGACATTAACTTCTAAAACAGTTAAATTAGCTTGTAATAATTCAACAATATCTCTATTAACAGTATCTGGAATATCAAACCCCTTTGTCCATCTAATTAAAGTACCTTTATCCAAAGCAGTTTGTTCAACAGGAAATGAAAAAGTGAAACCTAATTTTAATGGTTCTTTACCTTTAGTGTTTGCATCATCATGATGTTCATCCAAAAAACTTTGAATTTTGGTTGCTAAAAATTGAAATAATTCATCAGCTTTTTGACCTTTCATTAATTCTAAGGGAATTCTATATTTATTTTGTTTTAATTCAAAAGTATGATCACCTTTTAAATCAATTGAACAAACTCTAAAATTTGTACCACCTAAATCTGCTGCTAAATATATACCAGTTTCTTTACCATTTGGAATTTTTGTTACAAATGTTGGAATCATTGGCATATGTTCTCTACTTTGTTTTGGAGCTTTCAATCCATCTTTCATTGATTTTTCAAAATATTCTGAAGCTTTAATTAAATAATCATTATCTAAATAGAATTGATTTTCAACTTCTCTAACTGCTAATTCAACTTTTTCTGGTAAAGTCATATTAATATAACGACTTGACATTATAATAAATAAAATGAATAAATTTGTGAATAATAAATAGGCTGTAAAATAGTAAATATATATGAATTTCTTTTTTTCAATAGGTTAAAAAATAAATAAAAGAAATAATTGAATAGTACTAAGCAAGATATTATTCTGGTTATGAAAGTTTTAAAGATATTAATTGATGATTTTTTTTAATTTTTTTCTTCGGATAGTTTTTGAATAAACAGCAATTTTAGTTAAGAGATTTAATAAATAATTACAACTTTAAAAATTTCTTGAATTTAGGTACTTTCAACTTCAGGTCTGTGATTTATTACAGTTTCTTTCTATTGATTACTTATTTATTTATAGTTAACTAGAGTAAGTTGAATCAATTCTCGAGAATTATATAAAAAAACTGGGGAAAATTTCAAATTGTATCTTAAAATAAATTTTGTATTATCATCCATTTTTGTGTAAGTATCGGACTTCTGTTTTACTTTCTATGATTATGATATATTTGAAATTAATTTGGTCTTTATTAGTTAATTGATTGGGGTAAGAAGTTAAATAAAAATCAACTGAATAAGCGTTATTTAATTATCTTATTAGTGTAATTCCAAATTCTAATTTAATCAAATATATTTATATTTTTAAATCTTGAATGAATTTACATGAAACAAAAGGATTATAGATGTCATTCTGCAGGATTATGCTTGTGTCAAATCAATATTTATAAAAATAATCTCAATTGGATCAGATCAAATGAAGTTATTGAGAATGTAATTCATCTTATAATGAGATATGGTGGTTATAGCAGAGGTTATGGAGGTAGTTCAAGTTATGGTTATGGTAGTTCTTCAAGTTATGGAAATTATAGTTCCAATAGACAACAATATAATCGTCCAGTAGCTTCAAATAAACAAGGAACTTTATATACTAGTGATTATTATAGAAATCCTTCAAATCAAAGACAATCTCAATATAAGCAAAATACCAATAGCTATGGTAATACATCAAATTATAATAATCAAAATTATAGAAATCAGCAGAATTCTTCGTATAAACAAAATCAACCAACTAATGTTAATCAGAATGTTACTGTAAATAAACAAGGAAAAGGTAGGTTTGGTATGGGTAGAGTAGGTGGATTTTTTAAATGGCCATTTATGTTTATGATGTTTAATAGAATGGGTAAACGTCATCATGAACCACCACCACCACCACCTCAACAACCAGTGGTTGTGAATGTTCATGGTCCACCACCTCAAGATGAGCAACTACAAACAGATCTACCAAAAGAAAGACAATTAAAATCAAGAACATTGATTAGTAAAAATAATCAATATGCAAAAGATACAAGTCCAATATCAGAACATTCACAATCAAGTAATTATGAAACAAGAACTTTTGGACATTTGGCATCAGATAATAATTCTTTGGAAGTTAATTCAACTTCTTCATTTAGAGGTGAAAATTTAGTTTCTTCTAAAACTCCATCTAATGATAATAAAGAACTAAAAAAACCTTATTCTCAACAAACAATTGATATGAAGAGACTTTTACAACTGACACCACCTGCTGATTTTAATAATGGTGTTGAATTTGAAGAACAATGTCAAACATCTTTTCAACCATAGCTGATAGTTTTAAATAGTTACACAAAAGTTAATGAACAGTGCTACCAAAAGGATTGTCTAAGATTCTTTTCTCTCGTAAATTTTTAACTCTATAATATTCTTAATATAGATGAAATGTAAACATCATGTTAAAAATTATCTCCACCATTTATACATCACAATTCTACACTCAAAACCTTATTATAACAGTAATGCATAATGAGTATACCACCATTTAGACCATATGGAGGAGAAGATTATCGGGTAGTAAGTGATTTATCAAGATTTGATCATGAAAATAATATACCAAAACTACGATCAAGAAATACTACACCAACAAATACAGAAATTACACAATCATCAAAATTAACTTTAGATACTATTATACCATTATATTCAAGTAAAATTGATGAAGGTCCAAAATATAAATTTTTAAATGAATCACAACCAGAAAAAAGAGTTAGAATACGACCTAGACAATTTTCAATTGCAATTCAAGTACCTCAAGATCATTTTAAACCTAAACCAAAACCACCACCAAAAGATTTTGTAAGTAGATCAAAATCAGAAAAAGAATTTTTACCATATCCAGCATCAATAAATGAACCAATAAATGAATTACCACAATTACCTCAACCACAACAGAAATTAAAACTAGACCCAAATCAATTTGATAATAATGATTCTGCAAGTATATTGTCAAGACAAAAACAATTAGAACATGAATTAGTTAAAACTGTAATGAATAGACCTTTATTATCATTTAAAGCAGATCGATTTGGTGAACAATATCATGGGAAATATATTACTATTACAGTTAATTTCTTGTTGTATTTATTTGAAATTTGTTGTAGTATAATTGAAATCGTATTATCTTCAGTTTTATTAGATCATGATCATAATATATCTGTGGGGATTTATAGATATTTTGTTGCTGATGGAATTATATCATTAATTATTGCATTATTATTTACATTACAAGCAGTTAATTACGAAAAAAGGAATGGGAATTTCTATTGTTTAGCTGCAACTATTATTAAATTGGTTTCATTTATTTTAGTTATTTCATATGTATTTCCTTCGGATAATGCTGCTACTGATAAAATATGGCTGATTAGGAGAGCAATCGGTTCGTTTATTATAATATCTACATTCTTATGGATAATAAACTTAATCATGTTTTTAACTACATTATATATATCAAGATTAAATTTATTAGAAGAGTTGAATTTTGATTATGGTCATAGAGGATTAAATGATGAATTCAATAGAAGTAGAATTGGAGAAAAAAATTATCATGAACAATTACCACCACAACAACAACCATTAAAAGAATTTTATTTAAACGAGAATGGAGAAATGTATGAATTAAATGAACATGAAAGAGAGTCTTATAAAAATAAAAATAAGATCTTGGTTTATACATTTTAGATCTATCACATAACAAATCAAATTTTTGCAACCAAGTATAAAAATCTAAATCTAACGCATTCCTATCTTCACATTTCTAATTTTGCCATTAATCAAAAGATGAAGCTTCAAATTTTCAGACTAGTTATCTATTTACAATTAATCAATGCATTATTACTCCCACATCATTGGCCTATAGTAAGACCAAAGTTATTTTCATTAAAGACTACAAAATCAAGATTACATGGTCATTTACACCCTTTAGTCCCAATAAGACAGCACAATCGAGAATTTACATTTAGAAATTTAGGTTATAATGATTCTTCATCGTCTCAAAATTTATTGTTTATACCAAGAGAATTAATTAATCCTGAAATGTTTTCTGCCTTGGGATTATCTAATTTGTTTACAAATTTTACAAATTTACAATGGATTAATTTTACATCAAAAGATCAAATATTAATACCACAAGAATTTAAAACTTTTTTCATATTCAATACGAGTTTAATTAAAGATTCATCATTTTCTGGATTTGAAAAAATTCAAAATTTAAAAGATCATAAGAATTTTCTTTCTTCAAATAATCTATCAAAGATGTTAAATAGAGTTATACCTTTTGATATGCCTGAATTACTTGATTTAATAGATTATTATATGGTTTTACCAAATTTACCCCACTTGACAAATTTAACATCATCAGTATATAACGAAGGATTATTAAGTTACCCATTAGATCAATTACCTACTTTCAGACCACAATTAAGTGATGGAAAACCAATGATTGTTTTTATGTTTAATGAAACTGAACCACAACCACCAACGACTGAATCAGCTACGTCACAAAGGGAAAAATTATCACCACATCATATCATGTCAATTAAAAATTATTTAAAACCAACTAGTATATCTAGCTTTTTTGATAAATTTGCAAGTTCTTGGATAAATCAAGTTGGTTATGATTCATTAATAAAATCAGTATTTTGTAATATTAACCCTCAAGATGAAGATCATTCATATTGTCTTAAAATAAGAAATTCAATGGTTGATTTCGTACCTGCTTTTAAAAAATTTATTGCTAAAACTGATCCAAATATTATTTCAAATTTCCAATATCATCAAAATAATCCACAAGTTGAATCATTAGCGGTTAAACAAGTTCATGATAGATTAAAATCCAAAAAGAATGCATTGGAAATGACAAGTTATCATTTAGTTAAATATCCAAAAGAAACAATTGAAGTTTTAGATGAAGCATTTGATTCTAAAATTGATGATAAATTTACAAAAATTGAATCAAAAAAGGAAGATTGGTTAGATAAATATGAAGAACATAAATTAAATTTTTTAAATGAATTAGATGATAAAATTTATTCATTAGATGATAAAAAGGATTTAATTACTGATAAAATTAAACGTAAAAAGAATTATCTTGCAAATTGGAAGTTTAAACCTCAATTATTTGATAAATCAGAAGCTAGAGATTTAGAAGATGAGGATCAATCCGATAATGATGAATTTTTAAATGATGAAGAAGCATTAGAACAACCTAGTGATTCAGAAATGGACAAGTATGCAAATGATCATAGTTATATTAGTAAAAGAAGTGATTATTTACATCATATAACCACCAATAAAAAACAAGATGATGCTATTGGAAATTATATAGAAGATGGTGGATTTTCATTACCACTAAGTCTTTTAAAAAATGTATACAAAGATCAATCATCAGTTTTAACTCCACCACCAAGAAGAACAACTTATAGTCAAGTTATAAATTTAGAAACTTTAAAACCACTCAAAAAGAGATTCGAGTTAGTTGAAAAAGATACTGATGAATTTACAAAAGATTGTAAACCAATTACTTGGTATAATATTTTCCATTATAGTATATTTGGAGAACCAAAATTTTGTAAACCAAGAGAAGAAGAAGAGTAAATTGATAAAAAAATGAAATTTTTTATATTTTTGTTTTAGTCTTTAAATACATGAAACTAAATAAATAAAAAAATGTAACTAATAATCGTGCAATTGAAATGAATAAATGAACTTAAAAATAGTAATAAAATGAAATGAAATTTTGTAAAAACATATTTTTTTCTTTTTAGTTGTTCACCTAAAATTTGTTCTTTGATTTGGATTTCTTGCTTGATATTGATTTGTATTACTATATGAAGTTTGCTGGAAATAAGGATTATGAGGACTTGATACTGATCCTTGATAAGCATCAGTTTTACCATAACTGAATCCATTATTGTTTTGATTATTTATATTTGATTGTGACGCACTTTGTGGTAATGCATTATATGGATTCCCCACTATTGTTGAGCCTGGTTGAGTTGGTTCCATAAAACTTATTGAATCTCTTTTTGATTCATAATTTGATCCACTTCCTGAAGTTGATGATATTCCTGGACCACTTAAATTTCTTGTTCTTTGATAAACTGAATCTTCTTCATAAGAATCTTCATCATCAAACATTGTTGATCCATTTTTGTTTTTATGTTGACTATGTTCATGACCTTTCATTGCTGTTGCTCCTAATGCCATTAATTCCATATCATCATCTCCTCCTTTACCTTGTCCTCCGTTTGGTAAGAATGAAACACGATCATCTTTCATTGGTTGATATCTTGTATCTGGATTTTTATAAATTAATGCTAATACACAAGTAATGATGGTGAATAATAACAAAAACAAAGCAAATACTGCATTTAATATAAAATAAACAACCGCCATAACTGATGAAACAACATTTGGTTGACCAAAAATAGCTGAGAAAAACATGAAAAATAATGCATTTATAAAATTTATAACACTGATTGTGATATTAAAAGCATTTGTTCTTTTATCCATAAACGGACGAATCCAACATAATACAACCAAATAAATTAATTCAATGGCCCATATAATTACTGATTGTGGTTTACCATGTTTTTGTAATACTGCAACCAATAATGATTTAATAAAAATATAAAACAATGAAACTAAAATAAACCAATAACAATCAGCTTTAAATTGAACATACAAAAATCCAAATCTATTTAAAAATTTAGAATCTCCAAATAATAAATATGCTGGATTTTTAAATTGTCTTACTGATTTTTTACCTTTAAGGAAAACTCTTATTGCACCTTGGAATAATAATACAACTGATAAAACTAATAAAAATACTGCAACAACAGTTGTACCTGCAGAATCTCTAACAGTTAATTCCCAAATACATAATAAACTAATCTGTGGTAATGCAATAATTAATAAACGATATATAGAACCTTTGATAATTGATGACCATTGTTGACGATATTCATTGAATTTACCTTCATTCATTAATTTGGATCTTATTAATATTTCAATAATTGCTTTAAATAACATAAGACAAACAATCATAACAAATGCGAAAAAAAATACAAAAATAATACCAGTCATAAAAATATTTGTAATTTCAATACTTAATAAATAAGCAGCTCTTTGAATACCTCTTAAAACCAAAATTTTCCCAGATAAACTATCGGATTTTTCATCTGTTGAATATAATGCAGGATCTAAATTATCTGAAGTTCCAAAAGTATCTGAATCCAATAAAACACTAGCTCTTTTTTGGATTCTATCATTTCTTGTTTGTTGACTAAAAATAATTTGATCAAAAATTGAAGAAATAGCTCTTTTAACAAATTTTTTTTGTACTGAAATAGATAAATATTGTGATCCAATAATATCAGTTGGTGTACCACCAGTAGATTGAACATACCAATTAGCAATATTTTGAACAAATCCAACTCTAACTAAACCTAAAGACCACATGAAATTTTGAGCCCAAGCAGCAGCAATTGGTGGAACTCTTGCAACAGCCATCATTGCGGTAATAGCTAAAGATTGGAAGTAAATAAATAATGACATTGAATTAGAAGCAATATGAGCAGCAGTATTTGAATGACCAATAACTGATATAACACCAGAAGTAATAACACCCAAACCAGCAACTGCAGCAATTGGCCATGCAGCATATTTAGTTTGAACAGTTTTACCATTTGATAAAGTTGCTTCAACACAAGCTAATTGATCATAAGTTTCAATATCATAAACTAAAACTTTAACTCTTGCATCTAAATCTGGTATAGTATAAGCAACTCCAGGAATTTGTTTCGTAACAGATTCTCCTAAAGTATAAGAAGAATCTAAATCTAAATGACCAGAAGTTAAAGGACAAAGTGGATTATTATTTGGATTATTATTTTGAGTATAATCTAAATCACATAATGATATATTTCTTTGTAAAACATTTAAACCATATGCAATAACATTAACATAAGCACCAACTTTCTTATTATCAATTGATGATATAGCAGTAACATCAAAATATATAGTTCTATTATTTGGATAAAATATAATATTAAAATATGAAGCAGTAAATTGTGAATTATCCATACATGTTAATAATGAATTTGATTTTATAAAACTTGTTGCTGATATAAGTGAAGTAAGAAATACTATAAAGGTAAATGCTATTTTATAAAACAACATTATTTGTTAGTTGATATAATATATGAAGTTGTTAGTTTATAAGATGTTTTGTATAAAATGAGTTAAGATTCAAATGGAAAAATGAAAGTTGGTTGTAAAAAATTATGTATGTATAATATATATTATGTGGATTAAATTTAATATTATAGTTAATTTAAAAGTTAATTATCTCCTCATGAAAATCTATAAATTGATATTAGACTTGATTAATTCTATAAATAAATCGTATAAAATATTAGTTTGATGAAATAGATATTTGATTAAAAAGTGATTGAATAATGATTAAATAAATCTGTTGTAAGATTTCTATATTAAAATTAAAAATCTAAAAAAATTAAAGATCAAAAGAATTTTTTTTATTTCTACTTTTTTTTTATTTTTTGGTTGTAAAAAAAAAAAATAGATTTTTAATTTTTTTATTTTTAGAAATATAAATGAATAAATTTACTTCCCATAGTTTACAACAAATCATTTAATCATCATGTACTATACAAACAAGTAATAAAAATAATGTATTATATCAACATAATATGATGACGTTTTTCTGAATATTTAAATAAATTTATATAAATAATTGTTTTCGTGTTTATTATAACTTTCAAGCTTTTATTTTATTTTAATTGATTGTTAGAATAATAATAATTTTCTCGATATTCTTATACATAATATTTTCTTCTTTTTCTTAATATATGTAAAGTATGTAACACGTGACACGGATATATAATTCCAGATGGCACAGTTTCTTAAATTTTTATATTGTGCTACACTAATATATTAAAATTGATAACCTATTACATTAATTAAATTCGTAAATCTTTAATAAAATTAAAAATAATACTTAAATACAATCAAGGGGGTTAGAGATCCAAAATTTCATGTTGAGAATCTTCGATTTATACGACTTGATGATATCTATCTTCTTTTATTATCTTTTTTCTACAAGATTGAGTACTTTATTAACTAAATTAATTAATATCGGTAGTTTCAAAAAATTCCAATACTTTGTAAATTAAGAAAATTATTTTAGCAATAAGGGGCGCAATCAACTTCTGAATATTTTTTATTTTTTTCTTCAATTTTACATCAGCCTTGATAATTCATTACTTTTTGAAGTTTAAGTTGAGAATTCTTAGCTAAATTTTTAGAAACGGTAAAATTATAATGATTCTTGGATCCAATTACTTTAATTCTCGATGATTAAAGTTTTAAACAAATTCTAGTTCAATGATGTCATAAGATTTTTAAAAAGAGTAGATTTCTAAACCAATTTGATCTGAATTATATCACAAAATTAACAATTTTTAGTAATTAGTACATTTTATAATTTGAATTTAATACAATAAAAATTATAGATCTAATTGTTTTGAGTGGAAATGCAAGGTTTAACCAAACATTTTTAATAAAATGAAATAATAATGTTGTTTCACGCATAAATTTTAAATATCTTAAGTTAAAATGTACTAAATAAAATTTATAAACGAATATCTAATATGGAATACCATTAGTAAGTCTTTGAAATTCATCATAACCTTTAGTATAAAAACTTTCCATTGATTTTTTAATTAATTTTTTAAAATATAAAGCAGCTTCTTTATCAGTTTTTGTTGGTACAAATCTTGATCTTAAATTTTTTATTGTTGTATCTTTAAAACATGGTAAACCAGATTCTAACATTGGTGTTATTGTTCTAACAATAGTTTCCAAATATGGACGACAAGCTAAATAACCTTTTATACATAATTCTTCAAACCATTTAAATGATTGAGTTTCATCATTCCCACCTAATACCATAATCATTTCATGAGTTAATTTAAAAGGAGCAGCTTCAAATTTAACACCACCTGGTACAATATCAAAACAAAATCCAAAATCAATATGTAAAATATGACCTTGATCATCATACATAATATTACCATTATGTCTATCTTTAAATTGTAAAAGATAAGAAATTATAGAATATGCAGCTAATGATTTAATTAAATTATTTCTTGCTTTTTGAAATTCAATTGAATTTTCTGGTCCAAATTTTGTTATAAAATATTCATATAATCCATTAACTGCTTCTCTACCTAACATATCTCTTGATGTTGAATTTGGTAAAACATCAATAACACCACAACCAGGTGCTGTAGCAGTAACTCTATAGGGAAATACATAAAGATCTAAACCTGAATCATTCCAAATAGTTCTAAAAATTGAAATTAATTGTAATGCTAAAACATCTTGTCTACAATCATCACCAACTTTAAAAATTGCACTTTGCCATTTTTCAATTTCAATAGTTTGTTCTTTTCCTTTTTCATCATAATCAATTAAATCTTTTTTAATTTTAAAAGTTGCCATAAATGGAGCTTTTGCATGAGATTGTAAAGGTCTACCACTTTTACGATTAATATCAACTAAAACACCATCTGGATTAGAAGGTAAATAAACACCTGGCTCTACTTTAATTAATGCCATTTCTTCATCAATTTTGGCCTTTTTTTCAGCTTTTGTCTTTTTAATATATGGTTTTAATTTACCTGAAATATCAGTAACTTCATTAAAAAATCCAAATTCTTTATGATAAAATTGTAAATCTTCTTTACTAAAAGTTTTTAACATAGTTTCTTGAATTCTATCTAATACAGGTTTTAAATCATCTGGTTCAGTTGAATCTTCATCTTTAAAACTATTTGCTAACATATTCCAAATAATTTGATGAGCAAATAATTGTGAGACTTTTGCAGTTTCAATAATAAATCTTTCAACATATCCCTTTGCATCAAATCTTAAAGATTGAACAATTTGTGGAACATAAAAAAATGTTAAATTAACATCGTGACTTTCTAATGATCTCATAGTATATTGTAATATGAATGAATTTGCACCAAATGGTGGTAAAAATAAAGTGATTGCATCAATTGGTGATAAAGGAGCCCAAAATAATAATTGATATGATGGCATATGAGTACCAGCATTAATACCAATGAAAAATTGAACAGCATCTGGATAATAAACAGCAGGTAATGGATTTTTGATAATTAGTTGTTGTAATAAATCATCATGATTTTTATGTTTATATCTTAATGCAAGATTTATAGCTAAAATAGGATCAAGTTCATATGCTCTAGTAATCAAAGAATTATTAATAGCTGTACTAATAACTGAACCTGAAGAATCATTTGGATTACTACTAGTTAACCAAACATTAAATTTATAAATCTCATCATCAAGAAAATGTAAAAATAAATTTTTTTTCATTTCAATTTCACCAGATTTAAATGATGATACAGCACTTGCCATTTTAGAAACTTCTCTCATAACAATAGCTTCACTTTTAAATTTTAATTTATCACCACCAAATGGATAAGTACTTCTTTGTCTAAACCAAGTTAAAGCACCATCAAATATTAAATTAGTTAATTTTCTACTTGATCTTGAACCTAATCTAATATGAACATGTAAAACTTCAAATGAAAATTTTATTAATTCAAATCTAACCAATCTTGATAATGGATGATAACTTGCAATTTTTAAATTTTCTAAACCAACTTCAACAAATCTTGTAAATAATTTTAATAAATGATCACTTTGATTTAAAGTTGCCTCAAAATTACTTGAAAATAATTTAATTATTTCTAAATGAGGTCCGAAACTTCTTTGAGCTTTTTCAGCTAATTTATTAACAATAGTTCTATTACTTGGTGCATATTCCATCTTATCAAATTCTGCATGATTTAAATCATGTTCTTGTGAAAATAAACCTTTTCTCAATTCAATAGATTCTTCCCATTTTTTAGCTAATTCACTTATTAATAACATACTTAATTTTGGTTTATCTTTCATAACTGCAAACCAAACACCAGCTGCACTAATCATTACTGTTGGTTCAAACATCATAAATGGAATTTCAACCATATATCTAACTAATTCTGCATTGTTTACATCACTTAATAAAGTTAATCCTGCAATTTCTGATAATAATTTTAATACATCATCATCAGTAGCTGATTTTATATCTAATTTGATCTTGTAAACTTTGTCTCTAATTGCTTTGAAAGCTAAATCAATATCTTCATCAGTTCTTAATGGCAATTGATTCATAATTCTGGTTACAAAATTTGATCTCCAATTTAATTGAGCAACAATAGTAGGTAAACTATCTAAAGCTGATATATTTGCATAAGTAATAGCATTCAATTCTCTATCGTGAGATGAAATATTACCAGACATTTGTAATGCAAATGATAATCCAAATTGAATTGGTGTATCATAATTTAATTCTTCATTTGATGATACATAAGATTGAATTAAACTCTTGACATCGACATTTGATTTATACAAAAGAAGGTTAATCCAATGTTTTGATTTTTCATGAAATCTATTGAATGTTGAACATCTCCAACCATAATCATCTGACATTTGAATTTTTATTCCAGTACATCTAGCTCTAAAAGAAGTTGTAGGTTCATATTCATGAACATCAGCATCAGCAATACTTTGAAATAATAAAGTTAAAATATCAAATAATGCAAATAATGATTTTTTATGACATAATGAAGCAGGTACTTTATTAATTAATAAATCACAGCATTGCATGGCTGCATCTTGCATATCTTCAACTGGATAAGTACAATAAGTTAACATGGTTGTTAATTGTGCAGCAATATGATCAGCTGTAAATTGTTTATTAGCACCTGAAATTACTAAAGTAATATAATCTCTAACAACTTTGAATGCAATTGGACCTAAATATTTTTCAATACCTGATGATTTAATTGAAGGATCAGTGAAATATAATAAAATTTTGGAACAATTGCCACTTTTAACTCTTAAACTTTCACAAAATACAGTAGCTGATAAGAACATTAATTTTGGATATGACAAAGTACGATGAACTTCAAAAATATCACCTAAAAATGATCTATGATCTTTGATATTATGGTTTGATGAACCTCTTCTCAAAACAGTGTTTAATTCAATTGAAGTTTCGGTTCTATCCCAAGATAATTCTGAAGCTAATGGTGGTGAATTATATGCAATTCTTTCTAATTCTGTTTTAAAAATTTGACTATTTTTGGAATTAACATTATAACCATGAACAACCATATTAAACCAAATATTTCTAAATAAATTAATAGTTTCTGTCTTTTTAATGTCTAATGGTTCTTGACCTAAATTAACATCTGGTAATAAAGCAGCTAATGGTTTTAAATATATTGCAATTTGATCACCAACTTCACTAATTTCAGTATGTGGTCTATGATGTTCTAATTGTTGAACATCACCTTTACTAATTATAGCTTGTAATAATTCATGTAAATAAACAAAATATAATGGATTTGCTTGTTTCAATTTAGTTGATAAAATACATTTAGCTTCAGTTAAATTTCCTAATAATACCATATTTTTCTTTTCTAATGCATCAAATGATAATTTATTTAATAATCTAACTAAAATAATAAATTCACGTTCTGGTAAAAATGGTGCACATGAACTTAAACCTTTCAAAATTAATGGACCAATTGCTGAATCAATCTTGGCTACTTTTTGAGATAAAATAGTACATGCTAATGCTGGAACAGATTCATCATCACATGCTTCTGAAACTTCAATAATTGCAGTAACTGCATTTTCACAAACTTTTTTATAATCATTTTCATCAAATTCATGTGAATTCCCACCTTTACTAAAAACTTGAGAAATTGAAGAAATTGAAGTTCTTCTTGATGAAATTGGTGATCCATAATCTCTTGCAAATCCATTTTCACCAGAAATATTTTTAACTGCTCTTCTAGCACTTTTAGAAGGTAATTGTAATCCTTCATTACTAACAAATAATAAATTAGTTAATGAATAAATAGTAGTAACAACAGCATCTTGTGGTAATTTTTTACTACCTAAACCAACACTTTTTGAAGCTTCTAAACAATAATGTTGTGGTAATTTTGGATTAGCAACAACTGATGTAAAGACTCTAGTTAATAATGGACCAACAGTTTCATCTTTATAAACTAATAAAGCACCAAATTGGAAAATAGTTAAACCTAAATCTGAATCTAACATAACTTCTTTAATTTCAACACAAGATTTAAATAAATTTCTTGAAGTTTTAATATCTAAATTATCAGTAAACATACCACAACTTAAAACTTGTAAATCAAAAGATTTTGATAAATAACCTAATTTTAAACGATTATAAGTTGAATAAACAATAAAAGTTTCTCCACGATCTAAAAACTCTAATTTTCTTAAAGCTAAATCAGTTAAAATTTTAATAATTTCCATATTAGCTCTTGAAAATTCTAATTTTTTATGATCATTATTAGCAACTTTATTTAATAAAAATTGAATTAAACTTTCATCAGTATTACCAATAATTGAATTAATAATTGAAGTCATTAATCTTGATAATTTTTCTAAATATAAAATTGGTGAAAAATCAATACAAAAATCACGATCTAATAATCCTTTATATTCATTTGGTTCATCATATAGAAAATCTGAATAATTTTCAACATCACTTAAAAAATCAAAATTATCAATACAAGCATCTAAACTTGTAAAAATTTTAAAAGTTCTTGAACTAAAAGTTAAAAATTTTGCATTTCTATTTAATCCATCAATAACTCCAATTAATGTTAAAAAATTTGATAAATCTGGTTCAACATTATCAAAGAATTTTTCAATAAATTGATGGAAAATTTCAACAACTTCATCAAAATATTGTTTATTGGCTTGAAAACATAAATTAATTAATGCAACAGTTAATTTTTCACCTAATAAAGTCCAAGGAGAAATTGCAACTGAATTTGAAACAATATTATAACTAAATTTTTGATCAGGTAATTCAAATAAATAGATCTTAAATTTATCAATTAATATCTTGATTTGACTTTGTAACTTAATTTGTTTCTTTGTTGAATCACATAATGCAATTAAAACTTCATATTCTTTTGGAGCTATTGCAACATTTGATAATTTATCAGTATTTTTTCTATTATTATTAAAAAATTTAGGAGTTGAAGTTAATAATTTTGAAAAATCATCTTTTTGAATTCCAGTATTAATTTCTTTTAAATTTGAAGGTACATTTTCAACAGTTAGATCTGCTAATTTTTTTAAAGCTTCAGCACGAATTGAACCTCTATTAATACCGTAATAATCCATAATGAATTAAAGTAGGTAGTGAAAAAAAGATGGAAAGGAATGTAAGGTTGTTTGTTGAAGTTGTAAAAAAATTGAAATTAAAGATTAAGTTATAAATTAATTTAAATTAAAATTTAAATACGTTTCTGTCTTTCTTGTTGTTGCAAATAAATATAAAATAAATTTGCATGTGCCCGATCTTTATTCAATTTAATTAGTGGTGGAGATAAAAGAAATTAAGGAGAATAAAGAGAAGTTACCGACCGAAAAAAATTAATATCTGAATGCTACCAATTAGATCAATTCATTTACCATTTATAGTAATTTTTTATTAACTAGTAGTACAAAATATCTATTATGAATATGTTTCAATTAATGTATCTCTTAAATTACCACCAATAGCATCTGGTTGAGCATCTTGTAATCTGAATATTGATTCAATAACTGATAATTCTGGTGCTGTTGTATCTGATCCTGCAACACTTAACCAATCATTTACAACCATACCTGCACCAACAACACTTGAACCTCTATTTACTGTACCTGCAACTAATGGAACTTGTAATAAACTACTTAATTCTTCTTGATCCTGTATTGAAGTTTGTGGATGTACTAAACCACCTTGATTACTTAAGGAACAATATGATCCAACTAATACATTACCTGCAATAGTTTGTCTAAATACTTCAACTCCTAATACATCTGCTATTAATTCTTCAGTTTCTCTTTCTATATCTGGATGTACTAAAGCAACATAATCATTACAACATATTACATTACCTAAAGCTGATAATCTTTCTTCAACTCTTTGTATTTTTACAGTATCAGGTAATGAATTTCTTAAATGCATTAATTCTTGATCTGTTGTTTGTGTTGGGACTAATAATCCTCTTCTATTCCCAGCTGTCATTCTCCCCACTATACGAGTACCTGCTATAGTTGTATGTACAATTGGTATAACATCACCTAATTCTGCTTCAAATGCTGAATAAAAATTTTCTGATCCTCCTACTGCTACTAAACAATATGAATTTGTTAATTTTGCAAATACTCCTACTTCATTTGAATTTTCAAATTGTGTTCTTGTAGCCATTGTATATTTATTGATATGTTAAATGTAAATTGATATAATCTGTTAAAATTATTATGATATTTAAGAATGTATTTAGTAAATATCTCTTCTCTGAAATTTTAAAAGCAAATCTTAAAGTAGTGGCAAATAGCACAAAAACAAAATTTGTATTGGTTTTGTGTTTCAAATTTCAAGATATGTTTATTTTTGTTTTTGTTATACCTTGAGTCACAACAATTTTAACTAGTTTGTTGGGTGTGATAATGGAATAAAGATTAAAGGCTTCAGTTATAAACTTTTCCAGAAACATTTAATTTTGTAAGCTCAGTGATAGTCATGTAGACTTTAAATTCGAACAAATTGTAGAACCAGCAATAAGTATGGAAAACTTAAAGTTTACATTAGGTGGATGTTATTAACTTAGAATTGGTATAGGAGTATCAACTTATTCTTTCCTAATTGTGTATTTGTCATCTTTTGAATTCTAATTCCGTAGAGTATGATTGTTTCAAATTTTGCAACAATTTCAAAATTCCTGCAGGTAGAGTATCAAAAAAAATATCTTTGTTAACAAATTATTAATTTATAATTAAACTTTATTATTTATTTTACTTTTTTCTATTTAATTTTTTTAATCAAGACCAGGGCTTGCTAAATAATCATCATCGTCATCTTCTTCTTCATTCCATTGATTTTCACCATCCATATCAATATCATCAGCTTCATGATTTGGTAAAACTTCTAAACCTTTTTCACCAACAACAACTTTTGCAATTTCTTTATCTTTAATTTGACCTCTTAATAAATAAATTGCTAATTTATTTAAAATTTCACTTTGAATTAATCTATTTAATGGTCTTGCACCTAAATCTGGTGACCAACCATTTTTACATAAATAATCTATTGCTGATTGATCTAATTCTAATTTTATATCTTTTCCATTATCTGCAAATCTTTTTTGAATTTCTGCTAATCTAATATAAACTATTTTGGCAATTCCCTTTCTACTTAATTTATTGAATATTACTATGTTTGTGATTCTATTAAGGAATTCTGGTCTGAAATGTGATTTAACTGCTGTCATAACCATTTCTTTTGTGGTTTCATTAATTTTACTTCCTTTATTTGCTTCAATATATTGTGCACCCAAATTTGAAGTTAATATAAAGATGGCATTTGAACAATTAATGACTTTACCTTGACCACTAGTTATTCTACCATCATCTAATACTTGTAATAATATAGTTAAAACATCTGGTGATGCTTTTTCCACTTCATCAAATAAAACAACTGAATATGGTTTTCTCAATAATCCTTCAGTTAATATACCTCCTTCTTCGTACCCTACGTATCCAGCCGTTGTACCAATTAATTTTGAACCAGAATGTTTTTCTGATAACTCACTACAATCAATTCTTAAAACTGCTTTTGGATCATGAAATAAGAAATTTGAAATTTGTTTTGCTAATTCAGTTTTACCAGTACCTGATTGACCCAAGAATAAAAATGATGGTGGTTGATTAGGATTAGCTAAACCAGACCTTCTTAATCTAATAGCATTTGATATAGCTCTTATAGCTTCAGGTTGACCAACAACTTCTTTTGATAATTCAACTTCCATATTGACTAATTTTGCATTTTCAGTTTGTGATAATTTTGCAACTGGAATACCACTTAATCTTGCAGCAGTTTCACAAATTTGTTCTGGACCAACTGCATTTTTAGTAAGACTTTCCAAATTTGAAGTTTCTTCTTCTGCAACTCTAACTTCTAATTCTTCAATTTGTTTTTCAACATCTGGTATAGCAAAATATCTTAAATCAGCAGCTGTAGCAGTATCATGTCTTCTTTCTGCGTCACTAGCTTTAATTTCTAAATCATCTAATTTTCTTTTTGCAGCAATTAATAAATCATGACCAGCACGTTCTTGTCTAAATCTTTCTCTTAAAGGACCTAATTGTTCTTCTATTTCAGCTTGTTTTTTTCTAGCTCCAACTAATCTATCTTTTGAAGCAGCATCTGCATCTTTATCTCTTTCTAGGGCATTAATTTCAACTTCTATTAAATGTAATTGTCTTTCCAAATTATCCAATTCTTCTGGTTTAGAATCACGAGCAACGGCCACTTGAGCAGCAGATTCATCAACTAAGTCAACGGCACTGTCAGGAAGTGCTCTATACGTCAAATATCTCAGCGCAAGTTGTGCGGCAACAACTAAAGCTGAATCTAAAATTCTTACTCCATGATGAATTTCATATCTTGGTTGAAGCCCTCTTAAAATTGCAATAGTTTCAGGTACAGTAGCAGCAGGTACATCAATACTTTGAAACCTTCTTTCAAAAGCAGCATCTTTAGAAATATATTTTCTATATTCAGCAAAAGTAGTTGCACCAATACAATGTAATTCTCCACGAGCTAAAGCAGGTTTTAATAAATTAGCAGCATCATTTTTACCATCACCCATTAACATATGAATTTCATCAATGAATAAAATAATAAATTCCTTTGACTTGGCTATATCTCCTAAAACACCTTTTAATCTTTCTTCAAATTCTCCTTTATATTTTGCACCAGCAGTTAATGCACCAAGATCTAATGAAAATAATCTTGCATTTGCTAAGATATTTGGAACATCTCCATCAACAATACGTTGAGCTACTCCCTCAGCAATAGTGGTTTTACCAACACCTGGATTTCCCACCAACACTGCGTTTGATTTTGATCTTCTTGCTAAAACTCTAATAACTCTTCTAATTTCTTCTTCTCTACCAATAACAGGATCAATTTTACCTTCCCTTGCCTTTTCAGTAAAATCTTCACAATATTTAGCTAAAAATTCATAATTTGATGAAGAATCAGCTTGTCTTGAATCAATTCTTTGATCACCTCTTAATTCAATTGCTTGAGTTTTAATTGCATCTGGTTTAACACCAGCTTCTTTAAAAATATCTTTTATTGATGAATCTTCCAATAATGCTAAAAGTATATGATCTTGTGCAATATAATAATCCTTTTGTTGAGTTTTAATCTTTGCAGCATTTTGTAAAACTTGTCCAGTTTGATAACTTGGTCTAACTTCTTCTGGTGGTGGATTTTGACTTGGTAATCTAACTAAATGTTTATTTACAACTCTTTCAAATTGTGGCCATTCAAATCTTGCTTTTTGAATCAAAGTCTTTAAATAAGCTGTTGAACCTTCTACATCATCAGTTGGTATAAAAGCAGCTAATAAATGAATTGGCATCAATTGACTATTTTGATGATCTTTACATATAGCAACAGCATTATTAATAATATTTAATGCATTATCTGTGTATCCTCCAGTATCTTCCATTTTTATATATAATAGAGGAAAAATTAAATGAAATTAAAAAGTAATTGAGTTGATCAGGTTATATTTATAATTCATTGAATTTGAGAAGGATTGCTTCAACTTTCGGAAAAAATGCGTGATGTACTAAAGTTCAAAAGAATAAATTAAAACTTAAAATTTCCATTAATTTCTCGCAGGTTCTAGCTAAATCTTAGCCATTTGTTCAACTCGTAAATTTGAATGCAAGGCGATATCAAAATTGGTCTGATAGTGATTTGATACAGTTTTTTTTCCTTTGCCATTTGAACCTGCTAATGCCTTGGACCAAATCATAAATGGCGTTATTTATTGTATTTTAATTTGGAATAACCAAAAAAGTTATGGATTTCTCGGAAAAATGTTATGACACAAAATTGAAGTTACAAAAAAATATGAAACTCTAACAAAGTTTAATAATTATTGAACTCTTATAGTATAGTTTTTAAACAAAGTATAATAACTAAAATTCCCAATTACTATACTTGGAATCAAAATTATTTATTAAAAATGATAGATCCAAATATTTAGGACTCTCAAGGTGTTTATGCTCACAAGATCATTAAAAATCTTACGACCTGCATATCACTATCTAATTATTCTCAACCCATAGATCTACTCATTTGGTATGCAATTTGAAACCCATTTACACACATTGAGATATATCCAGGCTAACGACTGGCCCCTTAGGTTAAAAAAAAAAGTAAATGAGATTAAGGTTAATCATAATAGCATTTATCTCTGATTTTCATAGCATTTTTGCAACAATATTTACTGAATTCATCAACCTAGATATATTACATTCATCATCATCTCAACAAACCCCACCAAAATTCAAAAAAGAACAGCCAAAAACTTACTCAATTGAATCACTTGATAAATTAGTATCACAACATTCAGACCTATTAAAAAACAAACAAAATGTATTTTTTCTAAAATCAACAAATAGTTCATTACAATATGACAAGAAAGAAAAAAATTGGATAGAATTTATTAAAGTAGATGCTCAATATGTACCAACATTACACAATATGAATTGGATTCCTATAACATCATGTCTAGAATCCATTCATGGAAGTGGTGGTTATTTAAGTAGATTCACAATCTTATATTTAGATACAACAATAGAAAACTATTTAGATTTATCAATTGGAATACCTACATATTTTGCATCAGGTATAAGTTTAGCAATTGGAGTAAGAGTAGGTTATGGTAAGTTATTAACTTTATTATTCAGTTGTTCAATAAATCCAGGAGAAATTGGTCAATTATTTATTAAACCTAAATATATAATTACACCGAATTTGAAAACCGTATTGTGGAAATTTAAAAATAAAAAAATGAATTCTTTGAAAATAAGATTTATAAAGCCGTTTAAGATGCTTGTTTTGGAGACTCCAGAGCATCAATGTTGGGTTAGTCGTGATATTGAAGATTTACAATGTTCTAAGATCATTGGTGATAAAATCGACATAAATTTATAAGGTAAAACGTAAAATGAGATTTTTAAAACAAGTCAACTGGCAAGATTAGAGTGGAATATCGGGAAAAGAATATCAGACTTTGTATCAATGACTTTAATTTAATTGAACTGTTATAAAACGTTTATAGAATGATTGAAAGTCAAAAAGAAAAGAAAAGTATACATTATAAACTAGCCCTTCCAAATCCTTACGACAGTATTAAAGTTTTAGATGTTACAGAAATTTTCAAAAACCGAACAAAACAAAAATTTTAGAATAAATTGAAATGACTGAGGACTTTACTTCACAAATTTGCGGAGTATTTACAAAATTGAAAGATGAGATTAAGTAGTTATGATTAAAATAATAATAATGTCTCTTTTTTTAATTTAGTACATTTTTATCTCTCGATCATGTACTGATATGTTAAAGGGCTTTACATTATTATACTGAGACCTGCATTTTTAAACCCGATCAAATTTGGTTTCTGTGGTACGACAAAGTCCTATCTATGATTCTCAACGATACTCTCTATTAATTGGAACTCTATGTTTTAAATCAGAATTCAAAGATTTTCGTAATAAAAGATTGACAAAATAAAGATAAAGCAGCATGTAATAAATTGGTGATAAGTCGTAGATAAAAAAAGACATTTTCTAAAGGTAACAATAAGAATGATATCATTGAAAAAAAAAGTAGAAGATTTGTTACATACCAAACGTTTAATTTTAGAATTATAATGTCAAATATTTTTAAAATATGTGGAGAAATTTTAATAATTAAATTTTTGATTGATTGATTGTAATTAAGCTCAAGAAATATTATCTTGACATTTGTCTAAATTACTTAAGAATAGGAGTACTTTGAGCTGATCTTAATATTAATACTTCATTTATTATTTGAAATATTTTGAAAAGATAAGAAATTTATTTATTTATTATTTTTTGCAAGTAGACAAAATTATTTAAACTTCATAAACAATAAAAAAAATATAATAATAAATTAAATAATAATAAAAAAAATAAAACCGAGAATCTCAACGGTTTTATTGAACCTGATTGCACTACTTTGTGCTACAGTAATTAAATTTTAATTATTATAAAAAAAGGGGGGATTTTTAATATACAGTACTTTTTTCTTTCATAAAAACAATAAATGCGGAGTAAAAAAAAAATAGTGTAGATTTCTTTTATAACATTTTTTTACATTATATAAAATTAAATTATTTTTATCAGCAAGATGAGGTTGTAAAAAAGGGAGTAATTGAGTTAAATTATTTTGAATTTGTATCATTTGTATCATTTTTTACTGTAGAAAGGGACAAATAGAATTAACATAAAGATTCTATAGTTTTATTAAAGAATTGTGTTAGTCTTGTAGGAAGTAATCTCCAATAGCAAATGGATAGCTGAGTAAAAGTATAATCTACATATCTTTTTTTTTAAATAATTCTTAATCTATTAAACCCTAACAGTTAAAATAAAAAATATATACAATATACAATATATACGTATATGTAATGTAAATTAATATCTATAATAAATCCCAAATAAAAATAAAAAACATAATAAATGAACTGAATTAAAAAAATGAACACCAAAAAAATTAATCATAACATCAAAAATAAATTTGTAAAACCATCATTAAAACTCTCATTAAAAATTCATGAAACACCTCTTTACTATTCATTACTAAATCTTCTAAATTTAAATTTTTTCATTTTACTTAAATAAGTTATTGAATTATCCATTATATTATTTATTGAAGAACCAATTGAAGAAGTATTTGAAGAAGTTGAATTATTTCTTGTAGTTCTTGGACTATTATTTAAATCTTCTAAAATTGAACTAGATGAATTATTTGAATTTATTTGATCTAATTGATCTAATTGAGTTAAGTTTGAAGTAGTTGATGAATTTGAAGGGATTGTATAATAATCATAACCCATTTTGGTTGTGGTGGTTGTTGTTGAAGTGGTGGTAGTAGTAGTATAGTGTGATGATTGTTGTAATGGTGGTGGTGAAATTGGTGGAGTTATTGGAGTTTTTATATTTTTTGTTGGTAGTGTTGTATTTGATCTTTTCACAGTTGGATTTTTAAAGTTTGAATTATTAGTTATTGTATTGTTGTTTCTACTAGTAATTGATGAAGTTTGTTCTGAGTTTCTTCTTATTAAAAGTGAATTTTGATAATCAATATTATTATGATTATTATTACAAAATTTATTATGATGATGATTTTTAACATATTTATGATATAGATTTGATAATATTTCATTTATAATATGAGTTTTACAAATTTTTAAAATTTGAAGAGTTGGAATTTCATTTTCATTTAGTTTACTAGTTATCTTATGTGGTAAATTAATTTCATAATCTGAATTTGAATTAAAATATTTATAATATAATATTGACCATTTTTCAATTATTAAAGAATTTGTTGATGTTGATGCATTTGTTATAATTGATAAAAATTGATTAATCTCCAAAATAAAATGTAAATTTTCTTGACAATGTATTGATTTTAAATAATTTGAAAAATTAGTTATACTAATTTCATTTTCTTCTTCATTAATATTATGTGGTTGATGTATTAATTCATATAATGTTGGTATATTTTTTATATTTTGTTGGTAATTAGTTATTGGTGAATAATAAAGTGGTATATCATCTTTATTATCGATAATATTATTATTATTATTATCATAATTACATGAATTACATAATATTGAAGAATCTATTGAATTATGTCTTGTATTTAAAATTGTATTTGGTTTTAGATGATAATCAGTCATGAATTATATAATATAAGATTATATAAAATGGTAAGGTAGTTAGTTGAAAGTAATCGATAATATAATGAATATAAATAAAAATTAGAGATTATAAATTTAATTAAAAAAGGATATAGATTATTATATATAACAAAAATTAGAATAATATCAAGAACAATAATAATGATATGATAAAAAAATAAAAACCGTTATTTTATTAAATAAAAATAAAAATTAAGAAAATTAACTTTAAACTTTAAACTTTAAAAATTATATTTTTATACATAACCATTGTGCAGGAAATTTGTTTTTTGTGGTTAAGCTAAATGTCGTATTGGATTAATTCTTTATTGTCTCAATATTTTTTTCTAATATATTTTATTTATTATGCATGATTGTGTACTTAATTAACAATTATAACTTCACTAAGGTTAATAACTTCACTTCAAAAAACTTTGGCCAGCTACAATTTTGTAATTCAGTATCAATCAAGTAAACTCCACGTCAATATATCGGGTATCAAGAATAAATATGAAATGAGAACGTGTTTCAAAAGTTAAGATTTAAATTATAGTAAAATCAAGATTTGAAAACTAAAACCTAATTATAATCTGAACTATATTAAACATCAAATAACCAATTTTAGTAATTAATCAACTTTATTTTACTTCAAAATAATAACTATTTAAACTTTTATTGTTCAGTTTAAAGTTATTGGATTTTTATTATTAAGGTACTTTTATTGTTAGATCGATAAAATTTATTAGTCTTTGCATTAAATAACTTCTATATTATAAAATTCAATACTCCTCATTTTTCAAACGTTTTTTTATTAAATTATCAATTCAAATACATAAATGATATATTAATTGAATTTTGCATTGAAGAACGTTCTTTATAATGTGAGAATCAATTTTATAACCATCTCTCAAATGTTCTATCATGGGTCTCATAATTATAACCGAATTATTACTGAAAGTATACTAACCGGTGATAATTTTTTATAATCATTTTCTTTTATTTTGAGTCTACTGATTATTTAAATCTAGAAGAAACAAAATATTAATAATAATAATCTATCATATTAATCAAAAAATCAATGATACTAAATTTATTATAATAATTTAATCAAATACTTCAATTTGAAGAGTTAAGAAAATATTTATTATTATATTTTTATAATAACAGTTGGGTTCAAGAAAATTTCTTTACGAATTTTATTATAACTCTCTTATAATTATTACTACAATAATGTTATCTTCAGTATCTTCAGTTTATTTTGCTTTTCTCTATAATTCTAATAGGAGGATTACCTTTGAAATAAGAAAAATTAATAAACTAGAAAATCTTTAACTTTAATAAATTATTCTTTGCAAGCTGGAAAAAGAAATAGTATATAAAAAATATTTGAAAGTCTATATTCAATAGCTAGTAAAATTGTGTTTACTACACAAGTTTTTAGTAAGTAAGTAATATAAGTTGGAGCAATTAAGTATCTCTAACTTAAAAATTATAGAACACAAGATTATTTTATGTAGAATATCTTTACATCATGTCATAGATGTAAAAAATATTATTTTACTTATTATTATTAATTTAAAGTTTATGAAGACATTTTGATTTAGTTAAATAAAAATCGCGTTCTACTTTAAAGTTTCAAAAAAGTATAAAAAATAAAAGTCGTCAAACTTTAAACATTAAAACAATTCAAATGCCACAAACAAAAAAATTTGATAAACTCTATTTGAAAGAGAATAAGCCATAATCAAATAATCAATAAATGTGTGGTTAGAGGTTATGTCAATGTTTAATAGATTAGAAAATAACGGTTGCTCTGGTTTGTATCCTTACATAATATTTAGTTTAACTCCATTCGTTTGTTTTATGAAAGTTAACGGTTAATTTGATAACAATTGTAACGAGTTCATAACTAGTGAAGAAATCAGACTTTTTATTTTATACTTTCTAATACTAAAATTTAAGTTAATAAATATTTCATAAATTGAGAGATTTATTTTTTTTATTTTTTAATTCTTATTTAAAAACGTTTTTCGTAAAACTTTAAAAACGTTATTTTAAAACTTATGAAATGCGGAGTTTTTTTATTATACAACAGAAATAAAATTTCTTTTATAACAAATTTCTATTTTTATTATTCAAAATCAGTTCAAATTCATTTCTTTCTAATGTGTTGATTTAATTATAATTAAATTTGTAAATTAATTATTTTACCCTACTTGAAAAAACCTTAAATTTTATCGATATAAACAATAAATAAACCACATTACTTTGTGTTTAAATCACTTAAAAAATGTCTCTTTTGTTACAAAGATATGATAACATAACCTGATAATTTTATAATTGCTACATTTTCTTTATATTCTCTTTATGTCTCTATTCTTTGTTTTATTTTCAACGGTTTTCAGGAGTTACTTAACCCTCTAAACATGTAATTTGACTGGAATTAGAGACTAAAATGTTCGGTTATGGATATTTTTTTTTATTGATCTGATTAATAACAAGCATTTATAGTACTTAGGAATTTGAAATACATTCAAGAAACTTATGTATTCATGATCTTGTAGTTTCACATTTAGACCACTGTAGAATGAGTCAATTTTTAAGTAACAATTAGAGCAGATCATCAAAAGTATCTACGAAAATTTAATGTCTCGAGAAATTTAATATTGTAGATCTTTAATCTTTTTCTCTTTTAACGTTATTGATCTCCAATCATAAAGATATTAATTTACGAATAGGAATAGAGATCAGTGAGTATTTCTGTTATTGGATGAAATTTTGAATCTAGTATTTTTTTCTTGAACATGAGTTTCAGATTACTGGTTTAATTTTAATTAGCCAAAACAAAACGCAAAATCTCGGAAACTAAGAAATTTAAAATACTCCAGTTATTTTTTTAATTTTTTTAGTCAGGAGATTTAAAAATGTCAAAAGTTAATATTTAGTTTTATATTTATTTTGTGTGTTTTTTTCCGGAAAGTGGTTGCAAAAAAATAAATCTTAGACTCTTCGTGAAGGTATGAGACATTGATTTAATTTGTAATTTATTAAGTCAAAAGTAATGACTTCATGAAGAGTCATGAGGTGAGCCAAGTTATAGTTCTAAAGAATTCAAGTAACACAGCTTACAATTTTTAAAACAATATTGAGTAAATTCAGCACTGAATAGATTTTGTTTGTTTTATTATTTTTTTTTCAATACTTTGTATGTTTAATCAACGCCCATTTGGCTTGCTCAATAAGAGGGAATAAACTAAATTTGAGAGGGTTAAGTCTGTTTCTTGCTTTATTTGAGTTAATGAAGTATTTTCATTACGTGCTTGTGTGCATTATTCTGAGCACCACTTTTTTTAAATTGTTCAGCGGAAAGTTCTTCATTTTTCGGACCCGATTGTCGAAAGGGCAGATACTTTATATAAAATTTTAGGTACTTGTTTGACTCAATCATTCGACTTGGTGTTAAGTCAGAGTTGCATATTAGAGAATCAGTCTGATTCGATGTTCTTGTGTCCCTTTGTTAATCTATATAGATTTTGTTGATTTAGCTCGAGACTGTATGTTTAGAGCTTTAAAGCAATATGTAGTTAGCTTGGGTTTATTAGTAAAAGAACATCATTAATAAATTCCGCAATAATTTACGAATGTTGAGAGAAATTTTAATTGGAAAAAGTAATCGTATAAAGAATTTAATTTACAAGTCACACTTAATTAGATTCGATTCTTCTATCTGATCACTTCAATAAACGTGGAGTTATTTTCGTGTTTGAAACCTTCACCATAATAATTTTCAGATTTGCAATCTTGGTAGAAATATTCTTTTAGGGAAAGAAGAACCAACCGTTTTTAACCTCAGACCTATTTATCCTCCTAAGTTTAGACCAAAGGATGGAATTTCGTTCGTGTTTATGTTCTTGCTTCACTAGTCTCGAGCTGCTACATACGCTGGTTGATGATTTAATGATTGATATAAATATATGAGCGGACTTTCATTTGTATGAACAAAACGTTATAAACACCGTCGCTATTTGAAAAAACACCGTTGTATAAACCCAATTTGGAGCATTATTTCGGTACCGTAAATTATAATGCCGCTTTTTGAGCCATTCCTACGAAATTTAAACAAGGTCACTAGCGCTTGGTTAAAAGATATAATTTTACAGCTTATTATGTTTTTACCCATGACTAACTAATGTTGAAGCTATTTAGTTAAAGTTTGGTCGAGGTCATACATGTAGCTCAAAAAAGCCATTTACATTGAAGGGTTCAGTCATTAGATGAAACTCCGAGAACTTCATAAATTATATGATTACATCACGTTAAGCGGTAAAAGTTCTATTATTCCGTCCTTGTGGTGTACACAGTTATTTACAAACTTAAGCTACTGAGTTGAACTGGATGATTTTATCTCCATCAGTTTGATTCGATGGACTTAGGACCCATTACTTCTTGATTGAGATCATTAAGTCCCTCACTATTCAACCCGAAAACGGTGATCAATTTGATACAAAATTTGACGTGAAAAGTTTAATCTAAAACCAAAAAGAAATTTTATGTTAACAGCGGAATTATCTGAAAAAACAAAATAATATATCAAAATTTCAAAACAATACGAAGATTAATTATTAAAGATAAAAAAATGATTCAAATTGATACAGAGATTTACTCAAATAAACTTTTCGTGATCAACAACTTGTAGTAATTACTTTAATCATTTATTAAGTTAGACTTTTGTATATATATTCAATCAAATCCACTATCATTTTCAATTCAAGTTTGATAATTATTTTTCATTTAATTTTTGATACCTAAATTTAATCAATGCCTATAACATTAAATATCCAGGTTGATAAAATTTACAATAGCTATCAACTCATAAAAATCATATAACATCAAAAAGACATAAATTTTAGATATTATCAATTACTTATGGAAGATATAGAAGAAGAAAGTAAGCTTGGTAATCAAGTGGAAAAATTAACTGGAGATAACGAAGATATAGAAAATCAAAACCATTTGAGAAAATCGGAATCAATTAAACTGAAACTGTTATATCCATACACAATATTTGAAAAAAATGAGAAAATCATATTAATTTTAATTTTAAGTTCAGTTGGATTTTGGAGTACTTGTAGTTCTCCAATTTATTTCCCTGCTTTACCCACGTTAACTTCATATTTCCATACGTCAGAATCAATAATGAATATTTCGGTAGTTTGTTATCTATTATTTCAAGGTATTACCCCCACAATATCTTCAAATCTAGCTGATACGTTTGGTAGACGACCAGTTATACTAGCTAGTTTATTAATTTTTGTTGCTTCATGTATTGCCTTATCTCAAACTAACGTCTATTGGTTATTAGCCGTACTTAGGTGTATTCAAGCCGCTGGAATAGCTCCAGTTATTGCAATTAGTTCAGGAGTAAGTGGTGATGTATGTACACCAGCAAATAGAGGATCAATGGTTGGTGCAACTGCTGGTTTACAATTACTTGGCAATGGTATTGGTGGATTATTTGGAGCTGCTTTGATCTCGGGTTTCGGTACTTGGAGAGCTATATTTGTATTTTTAGCTATTGGTGGTGGTGTTACTTTTGTTGGTGCTTTTTTCTTTTTAGCTGAAACTTCAAGACAGATCGTAGGTAATGGGACTGTTATGCCTAAGAACTTATTGAATAAAGCCGTTTTAATTTATTTACCTTTTTTTAAAAAGAAAATGACTAATGATGTTGCTACTATTGAACCAAAAAAAAAATTTGATATTTTAGGACCATTCAAGATTTTCATCAAGAAGGAAGTCTTCCTCATTTTGCTCCCGCTGGGAATCCAATTTGCGGTATGGTCCATGGTATTGACTTCATTATCTACTGAATTAGAAGGTCCAAAGTATGATTATAGTGTTATGCATGTTGGTTTAATTTATTTACCTCAGGGTCTTTCTTGTTTTGTTGCTTCTATGACTGCTGGTAAGGCTATGAACTGGTATTATAAATACAGAAAGAATTTATTTGACAAAAGAATGGAGAATGTACCAAAAGATCAAATTCCAGCTTTTAATATTGTTGCTACGAGAATCACACTTACTGTTGTACCTGCTTCTTTAATGATCATAGGTTTGATAATCTTTGGTTGGTGTATTCAATATCGAAGACATATCATATCAATAATAATATCAACTATCCTTATAGCATTTTCATCATCAGTAATGATTGCCATTTGTACAACATTATTAGTAGATTTGTACCCAAATCAAGGAAGTGCATCAGCAAGTTGTTTAAACTTAATGAGATGTTGGCTAGCTGCTCTTGGAGTTGGTGTACTAGACAAGATGATAGCAAAATTAGATCTTGGTGGAACATATACATTAATTGCTGGAATATGTTTGATTTTAGATTTATGCTTGGTTTATGTACTTTATTGTACAAATAAGGAATTAAGAGATTTTTCATCAAATCAAAGTACAAGAGTTAGTAGTACTGAATCTTCTATAATAGAGTAGATCAGACATTTATTTATTTGATATATTCATTTTACTAAATTTTTTGTTTGTAGATTTGTTTTTTTTTGCAGCATTATGTGTTTCATATTTTAGTTCTGAAACACTACGTTTTCCGAATATAAAATTAATTCCGGTAAAAAAAATAAAATATTATATATACAAGAAATTGTTATAAACAAATTGCAACATCAAAAGCTTGTCCAAATGAATATGCCAGTGAGAACGAATACCTTGAAGTGATATTAGGGCTAGATAATGCTAAAGTTGTTGTTATTGTTCAAAGATGGAAGATGAGGACATAAGATCGCCAAATTTAACTGCTCAAGATGGAAGTAAAAAAGAACCAAGAATCGATTCAATCTTACTAGATTCAGTTGCTCAACCGGCACCATACACAATCTTAAATCGAGATGAAAAAATCATTATTGTCATCATAACAAGTCTTTCAGCGTATGGTCAACTTTATCAACATCGATCTATTTCCCAGCATTACCTCAATTATCAACAACATTTAATTTATCTCCACAAATCATCAATATTTCAATAGTTTCATACTTAATTTTTCAAGGTATAACACCAACAATTATAGGTACAATATCAGATTCTTATGGAAGAAGACCAAGTCTTCTAGTTTGCTTATTGAGTTATTGCATAGTTTGCGTAGCTATAAGTTTCATAGACGTTTATTGGGCATTAGCTGTTTTGAGATGTTTCCAAGCAGCTGCTATAGCTCCAATAATTTCAATAAGTTCAGCAATAATGTCAGATATAACAGAGACCAAAGATAGGGGTAAATATATTGGAGCTAATATTGGATTACAATTGGTTGGTCAGGCTTTTGGATCATTGGTTGGTTCTTTATTAATTGCCAGATTTGATACTTGGAGAAGTTTGTTTGTCTTTTTGGCGATTGGAAGTGGGAGTGTTATGGTTATTGTTATGATTGTTTTGCCTGAGACTAATAGGAAATTAGTTGGGAATTTATCTGTTACACCAATTAATATATTAAATAGAGCACCTATACTTCATTTATCATCTTTTCAAAGAAGGCTCAATAATGCTACTGAAACAATTTTAAAAGGTGAACCAATCAATTATTTAGATCCTTTCAAGATTTTATTCCAACCTATGATATTTATGGCGATGTTAGCTAGTGGGTTTCAATTCACTGCTTTTACAATGTGTTTAACATCAATGTCAACTTTGCTAGAGGTGGATTATGGTTTTACGATAATTCAAGTTGGTTTATGTTATTTGGCACCTGGGTTAGGAACACTAATGGGTTCATATATAACTGGTAGAATTATTGATTTTTTATATGCAAAACAAAAGAATAAACATACTGCCGAGTATAGTCATTTGCAGGTTGATGAGAGACCAAAGTTCAATTTGGTTGAAAGTAGATTCCAAACTTCGGGTTATACCACCACCATAATAGCTTTATTCTTGGAAGTGTTTGGTTGGTGTTTACAATACCAGATTCACATTGCACCTATGTTAATATCAACTTTTTTCATATCAATTGGAACCGTCTCATTTATAAGTAGTATGAATACTTTATTACTAGATTTATTTCCTGACAAAGGTTCATCAGCTACTGCTTGTCTAAATATCGTCAGATGTTTACTTGCTGCTTGTGGAATTGGTGTTTTACAAAATATGGTTGATGCAATAGGTCTTGGAGGTACCTATACCATAATGTCAGGTTTCGTATTGACATCATTTTTAGTTCTACTATTTATCAAAAAACGTGTATCACACCAACTTAAAGATTAAATGTATATATTTACAATCATAAATAGAATGTCATGTATATAAGAACTGTATCTATATATAGCTTTCATTATTAGCAAAACAAAGATCTATAAATTTGTATATGGGTTAGAAAAAGTGTAGATGTAAAATGTTTGAAAGTTGTTTATTGTGAAGCACATTGAACTCCTGGACCAGCACCTTGTCCATCTTCGTCATCATCATCATAAGCAGTTCTTCTTTGTTGATGTCTTGCAGGATCGTACTTACTCATATGTTCTTCATCAACTTCTGCACCTTCTGGAATCTTAATTTCTTGTCTTGGTGGTAAAATTGTTGCTAATTCTTTCAATTTATCTTCATCAGCAAAATGATTTGGTGGGAATTTAACTGAAAATTTGAGGATTAAATTACCTTTACCACCATGTCTATAAATTGGCATACCTTGACCTTCAATAATTTTTAATTCACCTGGTGCTATAACTTCACCTGGTACAACATGAATTTTAATCCAATCACCGGATATGTGTTTAAATGCAATTTCTCCACCTGCTAAAGCAGTTAATAAATCAATTTCATATTCCTTATATAAATCATTACCTTTTCTTTGAAATTCAGCATTTGGTCTTTCATCAATAACAAATATGACATCACCTGGAGTAATACCTGGTTCTTGATCACCTTCACCACTAAAAACAATTCTTTGACCGTCTTTCATACCTGGATCAACGTGAACTTGTAAAATTTTTCTTTCAGTTGTTGTTTTTTTACCTTTACATGATGTACATCTATCTTTTGGATCACATAAATCTCCCGTACCTTGACATTTATCACAAACAGTTTGAAATCTTTGAATCATTGGTCCCATTTGTCTAGTAACAAATTTCATACCAGTACCATGACAATCTGGACATTCTTTAACTTTACCTTCTGCTCCACCTCTACCATCACAATCTTTACATAATACTGTTTTATTTAAAGCTAATTTGGTAGTTTTACCCTTATATAAATCTTCTAATGTACATCCAATACTATGTTTAATATCTTTACCTCTTGTAGGTCTTTGAGCTTGACCACCAAATCCTCCACCAAAAAATTGTGAAAAAATGTCTTCAGCATTCATTCCTCCTGGACCTCCTTGTCCAGATAATCCTTCTTCACCATATGAATCATAAACTTCTCTTTTTTGATCATCTGATAATACTTCATATGCATGGCTAATTTCTTTGAATTTTTCAGCTGCTTCTGGTGTTGGATTTTTATCTGGATGATATTTTAATGCGGCTTTCCTATAAGCTTTTTTCAATTCTGATTCACTTGCAGTTGGTGAAACCCCCAAGGTATCATAAAATTTAGTATCTTTAACCATTTTTGTAATTATATTATTTTACTTAAAATTATTTAAACAATTGAATTTAGCTTGTTTTACTTAATAAATAATGAAAATGACTGCTTCTTTTAATGAAGTTATTAATATTTAAAATTGATCTATAAAATCTAATTTGAGAAATTTGATCAGTAAATCCTAATTAAATAATATGATTAAATGAGATGAAGGCAATATCAATTTAGGATGCAACTTTCTAAATATCTTTGTTTTAAAATTTTTTTTTTTGTTCTGTTTAAAAAAAAATTTGGAAAGGTATTTTTGTGTAATTTTCTACTTACTAATACTAATTATTAACTCGTGATTTGATTGTCTTGTCGTTAAAGTGTATATTATGACTTTAATGTTGATGATTATTTTAATGAATCTAATTTATCAAATGATTAAAGGTCCTAGGCAATATACATGAATATATATATATTTATCATAACTGATCAAATGAACTTAAGCAATAGTTTCTTTTTTTTGCTTTTTCTTCTACTTTTTTACTCTTTTTGCAACCAAAATAAGAGAAAATTAAAGAGAAAAAAAATAAATCTCAAATTTTAAAGAAACTTCTAGAATAGTTGAGTTCTAAACAAATTTCACCAAACTATCTTTTACATTAACCAGCATGTTCAACAATTTGACTTACTAATTTACCATTTTGAATAGTTGAAACAAATTGTTCAGGTACCGCTAATTCTTTAAAATCATTATTTGCTTCTGGTACATTAATATTTAATGCAGTTGTAGAACTTGTAAATACTTGACATTGATTTTGGATACTTTCATTTGATAAATATATTGTACCTTCATCTGATTTATCAATACTTATCATTGGTACTAAACCAAGTACTTGAACACCATATTTAAAAGATTTTATAATATCAACTCCTGATATTAATGAATCTACAACAATTCCAATATTTTTAGTTTCGGAAATTGATACTGCATTGGCTTTACCTTTTAATTGTAAAGTTATATCAGAACAATTACCAATAAACACAGATTGATGCATTTCAACTTCAATAACAATAGGACCAGATACATCTGTTTGAGTAAAATTTTGAATAATCCATTTAGTTCCATCAACTAATTCTTTCTTCGCAGGTTTTTTGACTGGTGATGGAGAAGATTCAATAATCGAACTTGAAGTAGTACTTGCTAAATTTTTTGGTTTCTTTGGTGCAACTGGTGGTTGTTTTCTTAATTCTGGATTTTTATGGGTCATTTCTGATTTATCAACTTTTTTCAAACCTGAAGTTACATTTGAGCCTTGATTTAATTGAGCAAATACAGCATTCATACCACCTTCTGATGGTGTTGTAGATGAAGTGTTATTTGAAGAAGTTTCTTCAAAAAATGAGGCTGGAGGTGGTGGAGGTGGGGCTGGGGCTGATGAAGATACTGGCGCTGAAGATGATGAGCTAGTAGTTGATTTATCGCTTGAGCTTTCAAAATCTTCAATAGCTTGAGCAAATGGTTTACCTTTTGGATTCCAAGAAGGTCCTTGAGTATGATACTCTTTGACATAACCTTTTAAATTATCAAATAATTTAGCAAGTTGATTTACCCAATCAACATTAGAACTATCTTTATCTTTGTACTCTTTTAAAACTCTGTCAGACCAAAATTTTGCACTATCTTTAATATCTGAAACGTATGAAACTGGTGTAGGTACACCAAACCAAAAAAGTACAGCTGCACTTTCACTTAAACTATTTAAATGGTTAAAAAAATTTGATCTTCGATTATCATCTTTTATAGTATTAATTTTTGTAATTTTTTCATTTAATGGAGTCAAGAGTTTAGTGAATGAAGGATCAGTAAAATCTGGTTTTTGTGATTGGGCAACAATTGATAAAAATTTGATTTGATCTTGAAATGCTTGCTGGAAAATTTCAGCTGATTCACCAACTAATGGATCAATTGACTTGGAATTTGAAACAAAAGGCGAAACATTCTCTTCAATAAATTGTCTAAATGCAGTGACTGATTTATGTTCTGGGGCACTTTCTTCTGAAGTGGAGGTGGTGGTAGTTGTTGTTGAATCTTTCAATGCAAGTGCTGTTTTATCATCAGATTGTGATTGTGAAGCAATTAGATTATTCGAAGACGAATCAGTACTGTTTTTATGTTTGTTTGCTTCTTCTTGAAAAACAGTTATATCTTCAAGACGTGAAGTGGCAGCTTCTAATCTTTTCAAGATAGTTACAATATTGTAACCTTGAACATTGAATTGATTTTCTTCACCAGACATTGTCGTTGAATATGTAATTAAGAATGAATTGTTTGCAACTAAAAAAGTCGATTCAACGATAATTCTAAATATGAAATTGAATTGAAATGGTTCGCGAAATTTGAAACTCTTACAAAATCAATTTTTCAAGAAGTATTACAACCTAATTAAATTATCATACAGAGTACAACTGCCAAAAAGTAGTAATCATTAAATTTACAAATAACAGCCTCATACAATGGCCCCATCAAAGCTAAAGCCTGAAGAAGAAACATACCCACCTCAAGAAATCCATTACCTCAAAGACATTAAAATAGGATCAAATAAACCAGAACCATTTTATCAAAATTATCAACCAAATGTACCTATTGCAATTGATCTCGGAACTTCAACCTGGCGAATTGGTTTAACAAACAATCCAGAACCAAATAATGTATTCCCGGGTATAATATCACGTCATAGAGATCGTAAAGCATTAAAAACTTTAACAATAATAGGAAATGATATATTTGGAGATTCTGCATTAAAATCAACCTTGAAAACTCCATATGATGGACCATTAATTACAAACTGGGATTATATTGAATTTATGTTGGACTACTCATTTGAACATTTGGGAGTTACGAGCAACAATGGGAGATTAAATAATCCTATAATAATGACTGAACCAATAACTTGTCCATATAATCAGAGAAAAACGATGTATGAATTATTATTTGAAGCTTACCAAGTGCCTAAAGTCTCTTTTGGATTAGATTCATTATTTTCATTTTACGCAAATACAAATGGTAAATCTACAGGATTAGTTATTGGCAGTGGAAATCAACTGACTTCAATCATTCCAGTGATTGATGGTAAAGGTTTAATGACACAAGCTAAAAGAATAGATTGGGGTGGTGATCAATCACAGCTGTATTTATCAAGATTACTAAGTTTAAAGTATCCATATTTCCCAAACAAATTGAATCAAAATCATACAACCAATTTATTTCAAGACTTTTGTTATATATCCCAAGATTATGATGAAGAATTAAAACATATACTAGATATGGATGTACTAGAGACTAAAGATGTAGTGGTACAAGCACCAGTAGAGATAAACGTATCTACTGAACCTAAAAAGAGCGATGAAGAGTTAGCCAAGCAAGCTGAAAAAAGAAAAGAACAAGGTAAAAGATTACAGAAACAAGCTCAACAAAAGAGAATTGAAAAATTAGTGCAAAAACAAGAAGAGTGGGACTATTATACTAAGTACAAAGAAGATAATGCAAATTTGAGTCCTGAAGAATTTGAAGAATTATTGATAAGAGATGGATTTGAAGATTTAGAAGATTTTAAAAAGTATATGGCTTCATTAGATAGATCTTTGAAAAGAGCGGCAAGTCTAAATGATGATGGTGAAGATGATGACGAAGAAGAAGAAGTAAATACATCTAGAACGTGGCCATTGGTGGATATACCAGATGATCAATTAACAGAGGATCAAATTAAAGAAAAAAGAAAACAAAAATTACATAAAGCAAATGTTGAAGCAAGAGAAAGAAATAGAGAATTGAAAAAACAAGAAGAAGAAGCAAAATTGAAATTTGAACAAGAACAACAAGAATGGAGAGAACGAGATTTAGATGATTGGAGTAGTGCTAAAAAAGTCAAAGTAGCTGAATTAATTAGCAGGTTCAAAGATAGACAAAAATTATTAGATTCAATGAAAGATCGAAAGTCAGCTGCTGCTCAACAAAGAATGAAAAATATAGCAGATTTAGCTAATGATGACAATGGTTCAACTTCAGCAGCATCCAGAAAAAGACGTCGTAATGCTAATGCTACAATTGACAATGATCCAAATGATAATTTTGGAGCTAACGATGATGATTGGAATGCCTATAGAGAAATTTCAAACAAAAGTGTGGAAGAAGAATTAGATAAAATTAATCAAGAAATTATGGCAGTTGAAGATGAATTATTAAAATATGATCCAAATTTCCATCATGAAGATACTTTTGCAGCTGCTAATTCATTTGATTGGAAAAATTCAGTACTTCATAAATTTATACATGGACCAAGATCAAATATAACAATAGCAATGCAAGCAGAAGGATTAAGTCCTGAAGAAATTGCAAATCATCCTGAAATAATAAGGAAAAACCATCAAATTCATTTAAATATAGAAAGACTAAGAGTACCAGAAGTTTTATTTCAACCAACAATGGGTGGTTTAGATCAAGCAGGTATAAGTGAAATTGCAAATGATTTGTTGGTGAGAAGATTAGGAGGAGATTTTGCAACTTCTGGCGTATCTTATAAAATGGCTCAAAATATATTTTTGACTGGTGGCTTAGCTTTAATTCCCGGTTTTAGTAGTAGAATTGAGAGAGATTTCAGAGGTTTCCTACCAACAGGTGTTCCATTGCATGTGAAAAAAGCAAAAGATCCTTTATTAGATCCATGGCATGGGATGTATAAATGGGCGAATAATGAAGAAGATTCAGGAAATGCTTATGTCACTCAAGCTGAATATGAAGAGCTTGGACCGGAATATATAAAAGAACATGGTTTAGGAAATGCATGCATTTTATAAGTATTCTATAGGAATTTTTCAAATATATTCTATTTAGTAGCATTTGGATTGATACCTTTCTTTCTCAAACTTACTTTTTTGGACTTTTCCATTATGACATTATCTTCTTCGTTATCAAAAGTAGCGAAATCATCATGAATGATACCTTCTTCTTCAGCTTCAGCTCTAGCAGCATTTTCTTTTTCTCTTGCACCAGCTTTTGAAACATCATGAGGTGATGGTGCTATCTTTTTGAATTTAGCAACATAAAATCCATCAACATTATAAGTATGTGGATAATATCTTCTTGTTAATTTTAAACTTGGATTGAAATGTTTACCTCTATATGACATAAAACCTTCTTTACCAATAGCTAAACCAGTTTCAACTAATTTCACATTTGGTCTTTTTCTTAATGCATAGTCAACAACTGATTCATTCTCATCAACTGCTATAGAACATGTAGAATATACAATCACACCACCAGTTGGAGAGTTGGCATCAACAGAATCAATAGCAGATAATAATAATTGTTTTTGTAAATGAGGAATTTGCATAAAATCTTTTTCAGTTCTACTCACTTTAACACTTTCATCTTTTGCAATAACACCAGTACCAGAACATGGAGCATCTAATAGTATTCTATCAAATCCTCCTATAACTTTTGGAAATTCTCTTGCATCGTAATTACATACTATTGTATTTTTACATCCTAAACGATGTATATTTGCAATTAATGACTTGGTTCTTGCTTTATTTGCATCATTTGCAAATACACAACCTGTGTTTTTCATAAGGGCTGATATGTATGTTGTTTTACCACCTGGTGCTGCTGCCATATCTAAAATACGTTCATTTTCTTGTGGATCTAAAGCCATTACCGGTAAAAATGATGAAGCAGCTTGTAAAATATAATGACCAGCCAAATATTCTGGAGTTGCACCAATTGGAACTTGGGAATCAAAAATTTGTAAACCAACTTTTGTCCAGGACCCAATAGGTTGTAAATTTACACCACGGTTTACTAAAGCTTGTGCTAAATCTCTTCTTCTTGTTTTTAAAGTATTTGTTCTTATCGTTATAGGTCTTGCAATTTCATTAGCTTCGAAAAACTCAATAGCCTCTGCTGGTGAAAATAAATTAAATAATTTATCTGCTAAAAATTCAGAATATCCAAAATACTCACATATATCTTTGATCAATCTTGTAACATATTCAGCTCTTGATTTCCCTTCTTCTGCTAATGTCTTGAAATTTTCTAATACTTTTACAATTTCTAGCATTCTTGTTCTTACCATCGTAACATCTTGTGGTCCTTGAGACATTATTTCTTCTTCTTCTGTTGTTGGTAAAACTTTGGCTCTTGGTTGTACTAAACCTTCCTCTAATAATTCCTTTTCTGCATCTTCTGCTTCTTCTGCTTCTTCTTCGTCTAATTGTTTAGAATATAATTCCATATTTTGTGCATTTAAACCTTCCAAATCTTCATCATCTTCATCATCATCTGAAAACATATGTTTTACACGATCTTCTTCGTCTGAATCAAGATCTTCTCCACCTTCGTAGTCACCATTTTCTATATCAAATTCGTCGTTTAATTCTTCTTCTTGATCTCCTTCTTCATCAGATTCATCAAATAAGGATTTTCTGGCTGAAGCTAATTCTTCAAGATCAACTTCTGGTAAGTTTTCATCTTCTTCTACTTCTTCTTCCTCTCTTTCTCTACTTGGTTTCTTTGATTGCTTGGTCTTTTTGTCGTCCTTACTGGATTTGGTTGATTTTGGAGTTGTGCTTTTTTCATTCTTCTGTTTTTTATTCAGTATTGGTTTTATTTCATCTGTAGTCTTTCTTTTCTTATTTACTTTATTTTCTTTCGAAGCTTGAAACTCGTCATAAGTCGGTGGTAACCCTTGTTTATTCTTAGCTCTTCTTCCCATTATATATATGCTGTGACGATCTCGTTAATGTAATTGTTTATTAATTTATTGAAGTGTTTCAAATATTAATTCTGAAAAATAAACCCCGATGAGATGAGAAATCAAAAAAATAAATTTACGAGTTATAAATCTTGAAACAAGCCAAAATTAACTATTAAATCAATTGGTTTCAACGACTAAATATAGATACACACATTTAATTGTTCAAGCAAATATAGCCAATGAGTAATAATATAAGTCTTGGTCAACATGTCTTAATAAGATTACCATCAGAAGGTTTGAGAGTAATACAAATACAAGAATCAGGTATTATTAAATTAGGTAAATTTGGTTCATTTCAAGTTTCAAATATAATTGGACATCCTTTGGGTACGTCATTCGAGATTACAGATGACAATGGTGTCAAAGTTATTAAAAGTTTAACAGAACAAAGTACCACCGCCGAAGAAATTGAAGATAGTGAAGAAGTTCAAAAGGATGTCTTAACCAAAATGTTCAGTAATAGTGCAGAAAATAATCAAAATATTATAGATATTGGTTCAAAAGTTCAAAACTTAACAAAAGAAAATATTGATGAATTAAAAAAATCAGGAGCTTCTTCACAAATTGGTCAATTAATTATTGAAAAAATGATTGCAGGTCATGAAGGATTCGATAAAAAGACCATATTTTCACAACAAAAGTATTTAAAAAGAAAACAACAAAAATTTTTAAGAAGATTTACCGTGGAGCCATTGACATCGTCAAATTTTTTGGAGTATTACATCGATAAAGACCCTTCAAGAATATTGAATATAAGTGTTGAGACTTTGGGGTTAATGATGACTTATAGTAATGTAAAACCAGGTGGAAAATATTTAGTAATTGACGAAACTGGTGGTTTACTAGTTTATGCCATGCTTGAAAGAATGGGAAATGAAGGAACGATTGTCTTATTACATGAGAATGAACATGCCAACACAGTTGCATTAAGATACTCAAGTATGCCAGAAGAACAACTAAATAAGATAGTAAAACCTGTCAATTGGTTACAATTTGTAGAACCAGAAACTGAAAAGATAGACTGGAAAGATGAAGACCCAGTACCGACCAAACCGAAACATAGAGAACACTATTTGAAGAAGAAAGAAAGAGCTACAAATGTTAATGATGTAATAAACTTAGTGCTAGAGGGAAATTTTGATGGATTTGTATCAATGACAACCTTACACATGCCAGATGTATTGGAATATATAATACCAAAAATAGGTGGTTCAAGACCAGTTGTCATTTATAATCAATACAAAGAGCTCTTAGCAGAAGTTCAGCAACAATTTACAAACGATCGTAGAATACTAGCGTCGTCGATATTCGAAACAAGAGTCAGACCCTATCAAACAATACCTGGCAGGATGCATCCATTAATGACAATGAAAAGTTTAGGTGGTTATGTATTATGGGGAACAAAAGTTATACCTGATGATTCTGTTCAAGCGATTGGTAAAGGTGTGAAAAGAAAAAGAGAAACTTCCGAACAACCAATAGATTCAACTGCCGAAAACACCCCAGCGCCAATATCAAATCAAGAAATAGAAGAAAATGTAGATATAGATGTTTCATAATTTAATATATACATGTTCATTAACTTGTCATAAAAATTCGTTTACTCATTTATTTCCTCATCACACAATGATTTAAGCGTGTTCAATTTTCGATCTCTTTTCCATCCAATAACACATCTTATACTGTCAGCTGAATCTTTACGTAAACCAAGTCCCCATTCCTCATTATCCAAAATTTCTCTTACAAATTGAACTTGACTAGCATATCCAACTTCAAAAACAAAACCCAAAGCTCGAGAAGGTAAAACCATATTATTTATTAATTGATCATAAAATTCATTATCACCTAAAAGAGCTAAAGATGGCTCGTGTAATTTAACTGATTTTTCAACTCCAAATCTTAGTACTGATTTATTGTAATCCTTAGCTAAAACATATGGTGGATTTGATGTAATTAAGTCTACGGGATTTTCTTTCAGTTCATGTAGTTCAACACCTAATCTAGGGTCAAATAAATCTGCTATTTCATAATTTAAATTGAAATTTTCAATTTGTGAGCTAGTAAGACTTTTCATATATTTTTCCATGTTTTCTTCTGATAATTTAATAGCCTTTGGTGAAATATCAAATCCAGTGATATTAATGTTTGATCCATGTTGTAGGAATTTATGGTACATTAATAAAGGAATACAACCAGAACCAGTGCAAGCATCAATTACTCTTAAATTATTCAAACCATAATCAATTAATAAATCAGTTAATTTATTAGTCCATTCGGCTGTCTCCCATCGAGGTATCAATACTCCTTTTCGACACAAAATATTCAATTCACCAAAAGGTTGTGTTTTTAAAATATATTGTAATGGAACTAATTTTGATCTTTGATTTATAGCTTCAGCCCAATCTTCTTTTGGTAATTCTTCTTTAATCCATTTTAATTCTAATTGAGCTTTTTCAATACTTCTGTTTGCCTTGAGTAATGGTGGAAGATATTGTGACAAATTTCTAGCTTTTCTGAATAATCTATGAGTTATTCTTGACATAAAATATAAATACCATAATTATCAATGGTCAATTAAAGTAAGTTTAAAACTAAATGAATATTCAACATAGAAACTGCAAAAAAAAGTATACGAGAGAATTGATTTGGCATATTTTTTAGGTGCAAAAAAAAATTGAATCATTTTACCAAAAGAAATATCATTATTATTTATCTATATACAAACTATATCTATGACATACCTTTCTTTATATAATACATATAAGCTCTTTCGTGAACATTTTCCGCAAATGGTGAAAGAACTTCTGAATGACCAGGTCTTGCAATTGGGTCTCTTAAATAAACTGCATGACAGGTATCAAATGAAATTTCTATATGAGATGGTAATATAGCGAAGGCACCTAAGAATGGTCTTGGAGTCCATGGTGTGAAATATGATTTTGATGGATCTTTACGTCCATGTAAATGTTTTTGCCAAGGTAGATTTACATTTGCTTTTGATTCGTCTTCTAATATTTCTTCTTTATTTAATGATTTGGCTGATGTTAATTTCTCGGCATATGATGAATCATAAAAGTTGGTTCCAGCACTTGAATTCTCAAAATTTAATCGTATTCTTTCCCATTCACTTTTTTCTAATTCTCTTAATATATTATTGATTTTTCTGAATTCTATTTTTTCATCTGCAGATTTTTCAATTTCTTTTGAGAAATAATTATCTAATTCTGCATCAGTTAAATTTTTAATGATTGAACTGTTGTTGTTCTTTAAAGTCTCATAAATTTGTATACATTTACCTTGTGCTATTTTATTTCCATATGCTTCGAATGTTGTTTCAGTAACTTCTGATGATGTATTACCTAATTCGATTATGTCCTTTAATATTGAGTTTCTACTAATTCTCTTTTGTTGGGTTTTCATAATTGACTCACTATCTTGTTCTTTATTTTGATTTTTTTCTTTAATTTCAAGATTAGCTATTGAGTTTAATGATTCTGGTTTATTTTGTTGCATTTCCCAAACTTTTTGTGGGTTCTTTTTAGCCATATTGACATAATGATTCCAATATCTTATTTGCTTATTATCAATACCAATTGATTTAGTTAAACTTGGTTTTGATTTTCCTAATGCATATAATACTCTTTCTGGATCAACTGAAAATACATCACCACTTTTTAACGGGAATGAAGGATGTTTGATAGTCACTCCATTTACTTTTACATAACCTCCCAAAATAAATTGTCTTGCTTGTCTTACGGATGATGCAAACATACTCCTAAATAATGCAAATTCTAATCTTTTTTCTAAAGTAGCATAAGTTTGTAAAGTAATTGGTGTTGGTGCAATATCTTGACCACCTTTTAAAGATGCATCTAATTGCGAAAATGTCTTTAGTTCTGGTTCAAATAATACTTTCTTAAATCTTTTCTCTTTTAAATGTTCACCATGATATGATCTTGTTTCTGATTTAGCAGCCCATTTTTGTTGATATAAAGTTTTACCCAAATAATTTATCGGTTGTTTCCTATACAAGTTGAATAGGTTTAGTCTATTCATGGACATACCAACTTGACCCCTAACCATTCGTGAGACATTATCCAACTTCCTAGGCATGTTTGAATATGTTGAACTGAAATCCTTAGTTGAAAGATCAAGCTGAAAAAAAATTATCACATAAAAAAAATTTCAAATATTATCAAAGTATAGAACGAGAATCAAATACAGAACAAACTATTATTACAGTTATGGTAAACAAACTATAGACCAAATACAACAATTAATATAATTCACTCAGAACTTCAATGCTGGTCGTTGAAAAGCCACTTAGGCAACGATCATCGAACTCAATACCTTCATCAAGAAAATGGTCGATCGAGGAAGAAATTAAATTATTTAGTCTACTTTGTGAATTTAAACCGGCAGGTAAACAAAAACACGAGAACATTAAGATCATACTAAGTAACATAAATGAAGGCATTGAAGATCCAACAATAGATCCACCATTCACAGAATTAGATATAATAGATAAACTAGCTCAATTATATGATCTACCTAAAATTGATATACTAGAAGATGGTAGTGAAGAAAGTAGTACATTTAATGACAATAGAACTGATCTAGAAGATGAAAAAGAGCAGGTAGAAGATGATGATGTGGTAGAAAATGAGAACGAAGAAACAAATGAAGACAAAGAAGATGACAAAGCAATTGAAAATGAAGAGGAACAAGAAGAAGAGCTAGAAGAAGAACAGAATAAAACGAAAGAACGAGTTAAGAAGAAAGAGCCAAAGAAAGAAATTGAAAAAAGTAAAAAGAAAGAATTGATAGATACTAAAAGGAAAAATAAAGTCGAAGACGTCAAACCAAAAGAGAGTAAGACGAAAATAGAAGAGAATGAAAAGAAATTAGATGCAAAAGCTAAAGAAGAATTTTCAAATAACACCAAAGAAGAACTAAAATCTGAAAATGAAGAACCAGAATTGTCAACAAATAACCAACAATCACGTAAACGTAGAACAAGAAGTACGAAAGAAAAAGAGAAAGAAATTCCCAGCAAAAGAAGAAGGTTACGTTCAACAGATTTGGATGAGGTCTCGCCGGAAAGTGAAGTCGTAGATAAACTGAAAGGAGAGGCTGCAGAAGAATCTGATGAAAATGTGGAAGAAAAGGAAAATGAGAAAAAAGATGAATCAGAGAATGACCAAACAGAAAACGAGGATAAAATAGTGAAAGAAAATGAAGGTATAGAAGCAAATAAGGAAGAGGAAGACGAGGAAGAAGAACAAGAAGAAGAAGCAAAAGAAGAAGAAGAAAGAGAAGAGGAAAAAGAAGAAGAAGAAAGAGAAGAGGAAAAAGAAGAAGAAGAAGAGGAAGAAGAAGAAAAAGAAGAACTGGCTCCTGCAAGAAGAACAAGAAAAAGAACGATGGAACAAGAACCACCCACTACACCAGTACCTTCCAAAAGAACAAGACAAACTACTAGGCTTGAAGAAGCAAATGAAAAAGAATCAGTTGAAACCCCTGTATCCAAGAAGAAAGCCAAAACAATAAATCCAGCTTCACTGCCTGCAATTGAACAACCTACTCGACTATTACCTAGAAGAAGAACTAGATCGATGAGAGGATCGAAATAATCTATTTAATCAAGCTATAATGTTATATATGTGATATATTTGTATTATTAAGTAATTCATTTTCATTCTTTTTAAATTTTTCAAAATACCTCTAAGCATTATTACTGCAGTCATCAAAGGTACAGGTTGATGTAATGCCCGAAACCAACGTCAATCTTGAAAATGTAAACTTAACGCCTTTGTTTTTACCCCATATTTCGAAACTTATATGTTTCAAAGTCGCATCTCAAAAAAGGTTACGCGTCTCGACTGATTAATTTTCAGGTCAGAATTGTCATGAGATCATAAGTTTAAGAACCATTAAAACAGAACCATTGTATCAAATAGACGGACTCGATGTTCAATGTTACTTGTTTCAAGTTCAAAAAAGTACGGTAGAATCTTTATAAAAAATATAACGAAAACAAGATGTCAAAGATTAGCAACAGTTGCAGCAAATTCCAATACTACATCCAAGGTGTCAGGAGAATTAGAAAGCTGGGATAGAGGTGGACGCATAGATAAAATTAATAGTAAGAAACCAAAAGGAGAAGATATAAATTTTACACCATTATATGCATCAATGAAACGTCTAATAGATCTGAATCCAGGATGTGTTAGTTTTATTCAAGTTGGAAGTTTTTATGAAATGCATTTTGATCAAGCAGAAGAATATGGACCAAAATTGGGTTTGAAAGTTGCATATAAAAAGACAAGTAATCATGTTATACCAATGGCTGGATTCCCATTATCACAAATTAAAAAATTTATGGAAATGTTAATTCATGATCATGGTGTTAGTGTTGCAATTATTGATCAATATAATAATCTAAGTAAAACAAATCAAAATCTTATACATAGAAAAGTTTCAAGGATTGTTTCACCTGGAACTTTAGTTGATGAGTCTTTTTTAAATTTTAGTCAGAATAATTATTTGGTTTCAATATCGTTCCCACCAAATATGATGAAATTGCCTGCTGACCCAGATATGATTGTTGGATTAGCTTGGGTTGATGTTTCTGTTGGTGATACGTTTGTTCAACAAACAACTTTGGGAAATTTAATATCAGACTTGTCTAGAATCAATCCAAGTGAAATATTAATATCCAAAGAATATATGGAATCTTCAAAATCTTTCATTCAATGGTTTCCACCTTTACAAGAACTTAGGAGATACTTTATACGGTTTCATAATACTCAATACTCGGACTTAAAACTACAATTTAAAGCTACAGCACCAGCTGTTAGAAAAGCATTAGAAGATTTAAGTGTGAGGGAACAAGCTGCTTTAAATTTAGCTTTATCATATGTCAATGTTAATTTACCAGACGCGGAATCATTACTTGATCTACCCGTAAGATACTACAGTAAAGAAAGTCTACAAATGGATTCAAGAACAAGAGAAGCATTGGAGTTGACAGAAAGAGGATCAGGAAGGAAGATTTCTGCTAGTGGTACATTATTGTCGACAATAAGAAGAACTTGTACATCATCAGGAGCCAGACTATTAACTCAATGGTTGAAATCACCTTTAGTTGATGTTAAAAAGATACAAGAAAGACAACAATACGTTGAATTATTTCTTTCAGAAACTCATTTGCGAACTGGGATTAGACATCGATTACAAAAAATAGCTGACTTCATTCGTGTAATTCAAAAATTATCCGCTGGTGCAGGTGATGATATGACAAACTTAAATCAAATTGCTGATACATTAGTTGATTTAAACGATTTAAAATTTTATTTAAAAGAATTTAATGACAATAATGCTGAAAAATCTCTGGTTTTAATTAACTTTTTAAAAGATTTTGATATACCAATGCATGTAGCTGATACAATTCAAGATGCTATTATACAAGAAGATTTTGGCTTTGCTGAATCTCGGAATGAGATTGCTAATGAAGAGTCGGCAAACGATGACTTGGTAGAAGATGATGAAGAAGCTAATACTTTCACGAATAATTTTATGAAGCAATATAGAATTAATCACGAAGAGTCAACTTCACAATTATACCTTAGTATTAGAAAAGATTACAACGAAGAATTGAGAAAATTGCATTTAGAGTTAGATAGCATAGTTGAAAAAGAGAATGAATTTTTGCAGAACTTGTCAACCAATCTTCAGCAGTATGATCCAAAAGTCACCATATCTAAAAAGGATCAATTGGGGAAATTATACAATGTCTTACTTATCTCAGGTAAACTGTCGTCAACGAAAAAGATATCAGAAGTTTTGCATCACGATATTATTCTGCAAAAGAAAACATCACTAATATATAGACCCTCAACTTGGAATAAAATACAACAAGAGTTACATACAAAACAAAATTCGATAAAAGAAATTGAAAATGAAATAGTTCAAAATTTGCGTAATGTTGTATTGAATGAAATTTCAAAGATCAGATCATTAGCTAAAGCAGTTGATTTTCTAGATGTTACTTCTTCATTTGCAATAATTGCAGAAGAAAACGATTGGGTACGACCAAATATAGTCAAAAATTCAAAATTACAAATTTTAAAAGGTCGGCACGTTGTAGTTGAATCAAGTTTGAAAAGTTCTGGTAGTATGTTTACATCAAATGATTTATTATTCAACTCCACTAAAGCAAAATTATGGGTTGTTACTGGTCCAAATATGGGTGGTAAGAGTACATTTTTGAGGCAAAATGCATTAATTGTTATTTTAGCTCAAGTTGGTTCATTTGTACCTGCTGAAAAGGCAACTATTGGTATAGTTGATAAAATCTTTACCAGAATTGGAGCTTCAGATGATTTATATAATGATTTAAGTACTTTCATGGTTGAAATGATTGAGACCAGTAATATTTTAGCTCATGCTACCCCCAAGCTGTTAGCTATAGTTGATGAAATAGGAAGAGGCACAAGTGGTAAAGAAGGATTGGCTATAGCTTATGCTACTTTAACTACATTATTGAAAAAGTCAAAATGTAGAACATTATTTGCGACTCATTTTGGAAAAGAGTTAGATAATTTATTGAAAGTACAAAACGAAGATCAATCACAATTAAAGTTTTATAGAACTAGAGTGTTGCAAGCTAATAATGAAAAAGAAGGTGGTATACCTATAATAGATCATTCATTGGAACCAGGTATTAGTGAACGATCTTATGCTTTTGATGTTGCTAAAAAGGCAGGATTTCCGGAATTTGCATTGAAAGAAGCTGAAACTATATATAAAAAATTATCTAAATACCAATTTAGTAGTAAATAGTTTACCCGAATAGTAACTTTGAGCTTTTTATTTATTAAATGCTTTATTGATGTGGAGGATTCTGTTGGTGATTTTGATTTTGGGTTTGAAATTGCTGCAATAATAATTCTTGTAATCTAGCTAATTGAGCCGGATCAACATTTTGATTTGATTGTTGTACTCCGTATTCTTGTTGTGGCAATTGTTGATATGGATATTGTTGTGGTTGTTGCTGTGGTTGATTATATTGTGGTTGTTGTGGTTGATAATACTGATTCTGAGGTAATGAGTACTGACCATATGGCGATTGTTGTTGAGGCATACTGTATTGTTGAGGATATTGTTGGTTTTGATGTTGCTGAGGGTATTGTTGTTGCTGTTGATGTTGATAAGGCATAGCATGTCCATATGGTAATTGTTGTTGAGATGTATTTGCAAAGTTTTGATTTGGATTGAATGGCATACCATATGAAGAAGGTTGAGGAATATTATATGACTGTACTGGAGGTTGAGTGTGTTGAGTATAATTTTGATTTCTTTGTTGGTACGATTTTTGATTATTGTTTTGTCTCTGATTAATTGGAGAATATGAAGGTATATGAGCTCTTTGAGCACTAACATGATTATCATTCTTTTTATGCATTGATTTATTTTGGTTGTTATTGTCTTTTGAAACTTTACCTTTATTGTTTTTCTTTTTCTTTTTAGCTTGTTTAGCAGCTTGTTCTTCTTCATCATCACTGAATTCTTGTTCTTCTTCGGGAATCTCTTCATCATGACAATTACTTGCATCCGTTCCCTTTAAATGTTTGATTGAATCTGTGTACAAGAATTGAGAATCTGAAACAACGTAAAATACCATCTTACCTTTTAAATCTTTAAATTTTGCAAATTCTTCTGGTGTGTTGAATTTTACACTGTATATTGGCTGTTGAACTCTTCCGAATATTTCAAATAATGGTCCGATTACTGTACGATCTTCAAAACAGAAAATAGATTCTTCTTTTAAAATTCTGAATTCTCCAGATGTTTTGGCAGTTATTAATATGGAATTATCTACTAATCCTGTTATGGTACCTATTTCTTCTATTGGTGCATTTTCTGGAATTTTGTAATCTTCCGGAAGTGATGGTGCTTTTTCTGTTATTTCGTTAATAGATTTGATTGGACCATCATTTGTTTCACCTTCATCGTCATCTCCAACATCTTCGTTTGCATTATTTGCGTCGTTATCTGACATTTCTTCGTCACTTGAGGTGTCTGATTCTTCTGATTCGTCATCATCTTCTCCGTTATCTTTACTTTCCTCAGATGAAATATCATCAACATCAATCTCGTCATCAGAAAAAGCCTCTACTTTTACATCTTCTTCAATCTTATTATGATCATCTACTTCCTTGCTCTCTGACTGTTCGATCTCAATTTCTTGTTTATCTGCATCCTCTTCCTTGTTGCTGTCTTCGATAATTTCATTCTCCACTACTTCATCAGTTTTAATTGCATTGCTATCCTCTTGTATCTCTGGAATAGTTGAACTTGCCTGACCAGTTTCTGTGCTTTCGTCCGCTAATATTGCTCGATCGATTTGTTCAATAGGTTCGGAAGACAAACTATTCTCAATTTCGTGTGTATTAGTGCTTTCTTTCGTGGGTTCTTTAGTTTCTGATTCTGTTGATTGTTGTGGAGTATGCTCATTTGATTCAATATCAGTAGCTGAGTTTTGTTGTTTTGGTTCATTTGTTTCAGTTTCATTACTTGATTTTTGTTGTGATGACTTATTGGTCTCATGTTCAGCAATTGAATTCGGCTCATTCTTCTTGGTCTCCTGATCGCTATCTGATTGAAATTCTGACGATAGTATATTGACCTCTACTTCATTTGCATTTAAATTTGGATCAGATTCCTTTACATCATCTTTCTTGCTGCTTACTTCTGGTTCAGATTTGTCTATCTGTAATTTCTCGTCTGCCACTACTTGTGGTGCATCAGTGTTTGTATTCTCAGACATTTGTTGAATTAATGTGACGTTTGATAGTTAAGCACTGAGACGATGATCATCTCACTATATTTTTATGTATTGTGATATTCTCGTTTCAGATCCATTACACAAAATTAAGATTTATGTCAAAATGGAAAGACTAAGAATAAGTGTGTTTTTTTAATACTCTACTCATGTGATGATAATCAGTGAATTTGAAGTCAAGTACAATCAGCTTTAATACAAAAGTCCATTTCGTAAAACATAATTAAATCTTCTTGTCCTGAACGTGCGAGCTATTTGTCTAAGAGCGAAGTTTTAACTGTTTAAGCATGACTGTTCAATGACAATTCAGTAAGTTGATTCTGGTAAAATCTTTAACGAGAATCCTTGAAAATACTGCTTCGTATTGTAATTTTTTGCGTCAACGTAGGTTTTTTGTGATTAGTATGGGTACTACATACGTAAATTGAAATAATTTGGTTGCAAATCATGCAAGAAAATAACAAATCTTTGACTGAAAATTGACCGCTTCTATTAAGAACCACAGATGCATTTGATTAATCAGTAACAGCTTCAGAACTCAACGAGTAGTATAGGCTCATCAGACATTTCACCACCATTCTTTAATGAATAGTTCCCATCACCGATGTTAAGAAAATCATATCACATGGTAGCAATTTATGTACTTGTTAGGGTTTAAACCCTGATCAGGATTGCAAATTATTCAACTATTTTATCAATCATGACCTCTAGAGGGTGCCGGCTAAAGCAAAGTGGCAATTCTTACTTAGATCATTCAGTTTGCTTCTACCTCCTACTTTTCGTTTATTCAATTCAATATGATATATAGTAGTATGTATTAAAATGGTCTCGACTTGTCGTAACTTTGATTTTGATTTTTTTTATACGACAAACGCATCAAAGTGAAAAAAATGTATTTTTTGTATTTTGTGTGTACTGAAATTTTTCACTTTAAATTTTTTTCACTTCATTTTTAAAACTCATTAATCAAATCCTTCCCTTAAGTCAATCAACCAACCAAGGTTTAAACCAAATTATCAACAATGGGTGCCTACAAATATTTAGAAGAATTACAAAGAAAAAAACAATCTGATGTTATGAGATTCTTATATAGAGTCAGATGTTGGGAATACAGACAAAAAAATGTTATCCACAGAGCATCAAGACCATCAAGACCAGATAAAGCTAGAAGATTAGGTTACAAAGCTAAACAAGGTTTTGTTATTTACAGAATTAGAGTCAGAAGAGGTGGTAGAAAAAGACCAGTTCCAAAAGGTGCTACTTACGGTAAACCAACTAACCAAGGTGTTAATCATTTGAAATACCAAAGATCATTAAGATCAACTGCTGAAGAAAGAGTTGGTAGAAGAGCTGCTAATTTAAGAGTTTTGAACTCATACTGGATTAATCAAGATTCAACTTATAAATATTATGAAGTCATTTTAGTTGACCCACAACATAAAGCTATTAGAAGAGATCCAAGATATAACTGGATTGCTAATGCTGTTCATAAACATAGAGAATCAAGAGGATTAACTTCAGCTGGTAAAAAATCAAGAGGTATTAACAAAGGTCACTTATACAACAAAACTAAAGCTGGTAGAAGACACACTTGGAAAAAACACAATACTTTATCTTTATGGAGATACAGAAAATAAACTGCTTAAACAAGTATTGTTTGTTTATGAATTTGTTAAGGCTGTTTTTTATTTGAGGAATTACAATAGTTTATATTTAGTATAAAGTTCATAGTAAGGATAATAAAATTTCGAGTCTTTATGAAAACTTGAAAAATTAACATTGTTCTAAAGAGCTCTCTGTGTAATCCATGCTTGATCAATTGAAGAGTGTTATGATCTAAATGACCTACACTATGTATTTTAAGCATCAATAAATATTATAAAGATGGTATTATCTTAATAAGAGTCAATTATTTAATAATAAGAATCTATTAATGATTATAATACAAATATAATTTTTATATGCAATACCAATTAAATTTCTTTATTAATTTTTATTATTTGAAATTTTCCTCTTCCCTTTAACAAAGTGATTATTAATATCATATAATCTATCAGTTGATTCAATTCATTCTACCATATTATCAGAAATATCATTAAATTGATTCTTAGTAAGGACAATTGATATCATTTATTTGAAAAATTATATTACGTTTCATTTAACTTCCAAATTTTTGTTCACAATTTAATTTCGATTCATAATCATTTGATTTCGCAACATTAAAAGAATTTTTAAATAATAGTCATAATTACTTTCAAATCAATTAAATTATCTATAAATGACCGAACATAAACAAACTGCCATTTTATCAGTTTATGACAAAACTGGTTTGTTAGATCTTGCAAAGGGTTTAGTTGACGCAAATGTTCGTATTTTAGCTTCAGGAGGTACTGCAAAATTAGTAAGAGAAGCTGGTTTTCCTGTCGAAGATGTTTCATCAATTACTCATGCACCAGAAATGTTAGGTGGTAGAGTTAAAACTTTACATCCAGCTGTTCATGGAGGTATTTTAGCAAGAAACTTAGATAGTGATGAAAAAGATTTAGAAGCTCAGGGAATTGAGAAAGTTGATTATGTTGTCTGTAATTTATACCCTTTCAAAGAAACAGTATCAAAAATCGCAGTTACAGTTGACGAAGCAATTGAAGAAATTGATATTGGTGGAGTTACATTATTAAGAGCCGCTGCTAAAAATCATCAAAGAGTTACTATTTTATCTGATCCTAAAGATTATTCAAATTTTTTAAAAGAATTAAAACAAGGTAAAATTAGTACTGAAACTAGAAATAGATTAGCATTAAAAGCTTTTGAACATACTGCTGATTATGATGTTGCTATTTCAGATTTTTTCAGAAAACAATATGCTGAAGATGTTTCACAATTACCATTAAGATATGGTGCTAATCCGCATCAAAAACCAGCTCAAGCCTTTGTTTCACAAGGTGATTTACCATTCAAAGTTTTAAATGGATCTCCAGGGTATATTAATTTATTAGATGCTTTAAATTCATGGCCATTAGTTAAAGAATTGTCAGCTTCGTTAAATTTGCCTGCTGCAGCATCTTTCAAACATGTTTCACCAGCCGGAGCTGCTGTTGGTTTACCTTTATCAGATGTTGAGAAGAAAATTTATTTTGTTGAAGATATCGAAAATTTATCACCATTAGCTAATGCTTATGCAAGAGCTAGAGGTGCTGATAGAATGTCTTCATTTGGTGACTTCATTGCATTGTCAAATATTGTTGATAAACCAACTGCACAAATCATTTCAAAAGAAGTTTCTGACGGTGTTATTGCTCCAGGTTATTCAGATGAAGCTTTGGAGCTTTTGAAGAAAAAGAAAGGTGGTAAATATTGTATATTGCAAATTGATCCAAATTTCACACCAGAAAATTTGGAGAATAGACAAGTTTATGGTGTTACTTTACAACAAAAAAGAAATGATGCTATCATAAAAGGATCATCATTTAAAGAAGTGGTTTCCAAAAATAAAGATTTAACTGAGCAAGGTGTTATCGATTTGACAATTGCTACAATTGCATTAAAATATACACAATCAAATTCAGTTTGTTACGCCAAGAATGGTATGGTCATTGGTTTAGGTGCTGGACAGCAATCAAGAATTCATTGTACAAGACTTGCAGGTGACAAAGCTGATAATTGGTGGTTAAGACAACATCCAAGAGTTTTAGGTTTTAAATGGGCAAAAGGAGTCAAAAGACCAGAAAAGTCAAATGCAATTGATTTATATGTATCAAATCAAATCCCAACTGATGAACCAGAAAAATCAGAATATGAATCAAAATTTGAAGAAGTTCCAAAACCTTTAACTGCAGAAGAAAGAAAAGAATGGATAAATAAATTAAATAATGTTGCTTTATCATCCGATGCATTTTTCCCATTCCCAGATAATGTTTATAGAGCAGCAAGATCTGGTGTCAAATTTATTGCTGCTCCAAGTGGTTCAGTAATGGATAAAGCAGTATTTAATGCTGCTGATGCTAATGACATTGTTTATGTTGAAAACCCAATTCGTTTATTCCATCATTAATTATAATTTAATATAACGCTTTTATTATATGTGAATTGATTACTTTACTCCGAAAATACTCTACCTTTAATAGCACTTCTACGGTTGAACTGAATCAATTTTTTACATTTTGTTAATACTGTTTCAAATTTTATTTATGCAACACGTCAATCAAAAGATTAACGTTTTTTTTCACTGAGAAAAAGTCTTGAAAAAAAAAATATAAAGTCAAATAGATAGATCAATTCTTCAATCCTTTACATTCCTTTGTACTAAATCATCTTAATCATTTGGATCACAATATACAATGGCTTCATCAGAATATAATTATGATGAAGAGGGTGAAACCTGGCCATTTTTCATATTGGCTTTGTTAACATTTATATTAATACCAGTTACAATAAGTTATTTCGCAAAATTAATAAGTACAACTGATCCGACCAAAATTAACTCCACTATTACTGGATCTATTAAAGAAAATGCAGATAGCTTGGAAATTGATAATTTAGAAACCTTGAAAGAATTTAAAAGTAAACAAAAATCATCAAAAATTTTCAATACATCATTACTTTTTATAATTATTGGTTGGATAACTGTAATATATGTTGGAAAATATTTAACAAAAGAAACAAATATGAGTGGATTGTTTGATCCTTACACAATTTTGGATGTTTCATTTAGTGCTAGTGAAAGAGAAATCAAAAGTCATTATAGAAAATTATCATTAAAATATCATCCTGATAAGTTACCAAGAGACCTAACTGAAGAAGCTCGTCAAAAAATGGAACAAGAATACATTAGGTTAACAAGTGCTTATAAGGCATTAACTGATGAAGTCACTAGAGAAAATTTTATAAGATATGGACATCCAGATGGTGAACAACCAATAACTCATGGAATTGCATTACCTCAATTTTTAGTTGAAGGAAAATATAGTTCAATTGTTGTTTTAATATATTTTATTTTGATTGGTATTTTATTACCTGTGATTGTTGGAAAATGGTGGAATAATGTTAAAAGTCACACCAAGAAAGGTTTACATATTAATACTGCTGGCAAATTTGTTAGAAAATTTGCTGATAAAGATCCTGCTAAAATTTTTACTCCGGATGTTATATTAGATTATATTTTAGAAAGTGAAGAAATTAATGAAATTTTACCAAATTTGACCACTAAAGAAAGAAAACAATTAGTTCAAGATCATTTTGACAGGAAACAAAGTTCTCAAGAAAAACAAAAAATTGAATTAATCGCCAAAATTCCTTTTTTAATTGATGGATTTATAGATATTGCAACCGTATTCAGATTACAAGACGCTATATTCGCAGCAGAAGATTTGAAAAAAGCAGTTATTCAAGCAGTTTCACCAAACGGGAAATATCAAGAACTTTTACAATTACCTTATGTTGATAAAGAAGTAGTAACAAAACAACCAATTAAAAAATTAGGTAAATTATTTTCAGTATCAAAAGAAGAAGCTCAAAAGGCATTAGGTATTAAAGATAATGCAAAATTTGAAACTGCATTATCAGTTGCATCACAAATTGCTTCATTAAGAATAATTGAAGCAGAATTCAAAGTACCAGGAGAAGAAGAAGTAAATCCTCATTCAAGTTGTCATATATCACTCAAATTTTTAGTAAAGTCACCAAAATTAAAATCATGTCCAGAAATTGATGAAGAAAGATTAAAAGATGAAGAAACTTTGGAATATATGAAAAATCCTTTCGTTGTAAATGAACAACAACCAAAATTACCATTTGCATATGCACCACGTTTTCCTTTACCAATTCGTCAAAATTGGTCTTGTTTCGTCATACAACAAAAAGAAAATAAAATATTGGAAGACACAAAACCTTCTATATTAGAAAATATAGATTTATCAAATTTGAATTTAACACAAGAAGAATGGGAGTATGGTTCAAAATGTACTATAGGTACTTTTAAAATCCCAATACCTGCACCATCTGGAAATGTTGGTACCTATTACTATAGAGTGGTATTAAAAAGTAATTCATATTATGGAGTTGATGTTGATATTCCAGTAGATTTAGATGTTGTACCATTACCAAAAGAAAAATCATTAGCAGGAATCAAGAAATTAATGGAAAAAAGACAAAAAGAAGAAAATGATGAACTGGAATCTGAAGAAAGTGATAGTGATAGTGATATCTCAGATCCTGAAGAAGATAGTTTAGCTGGTGCATTAGCTGCTTTAAGAGGTGAAATTACTAAAACTAAAAAGAAAGGTAAAGATGATGAAGATGAAGATGAAGAAGAAGATGAAGATGTGTTTACAGATATAGATACAGAAACAGAAGATGAAAGTTGATGAATATAAATATATATATATTTGAAGTTTAAATTATTTACAATTGTAGTTTTTGTCTCATACCGAAAGTTTTAAAATATATGCATCAGGATTCTCCAAACCTTGATCTTTATAATAATCCTTCACTATATTTTCGTCTTTAACAAATTCCTTTCTTTTATACCACTCCAAAGCATATTCATTAGTGACATGTACATGTATTAAAATCTCATGAATAAATCTCTTTTTAGTTTCTTCAATTATCCAGTTCAATAATTCAGTTCCAAGTTTTAAACTTCTATATTTTTCCAAAACTGCAAAACTTTCAATATATACGCAATTAGGAGTTTTCAGTAAAATTGAAGAATTTATAGATTCTTGATATAAAGATTTGATGGAATTGTTATTAAATGTTTTAGCTCTTATTGCTCCAACAGGTAATTCTGCATAAAATGCTAATTGTACCATAATTTCATTTGATTCTAAACTTAATTTATACCATGATTCTGGATATGTTGTAGGTAATGATACTTCGTTGATTTTTTTGAATACCCCTATGTTATTTATCGTTAGATCATCCAATGCGATTATGTTTCTGCTCATTGTGAATTGATAATTGTGATAATTGAAAGTGGTTGTTTAAAAGTCCTCTGGCTGTAAGTATATCAATTTTTTTTCAGATCAAATTTCGCAGTCAAAACTTATTTTAATATTTCAATACAAAAAATGTTGCAAATGTTATCAAGATTTTTCACGCATTGGCTATGAAGTCATATAGATGATACTTGTCTCTAAATTAAAGAAAACCCGCTCAAACTTTGAAGTTGAATCTCCTTTGAAAGTACCCAAACCTTGGAATCAACATTGAATAAGATTTTGATCAGTTCAAAACTTCTAAACAACCTACTTGATCCAATGAATCAAAGCTTCTAATTGGAATTGTTTTACTATGAGCTGATTCATCAAATTTTTTACTAAAAATTACAAGATTAAAAGATAGACTCAATTGTTAAATTTTTCATATGATAATTAATTATATGAAATAATAAGACCAAAAAAAAGATTATTATGTTAGGACTATTAAAAAAACTCCGCATTTGAAATATTATTTAACAATAATTATTTTTAGTAATCTTTTAAAAGACACAACCACATTTTAATCAATAGTCGTCATTATTCACTTTCAACTACTTGCATTATCAATTGACTCAAGACTCCTAATGATTACTGAAATTATCATCTTTCTTATAATTATATATTTTGCTAAAACAATTTATACAGAATTTTTAGCAAGTGGTAATCCTTTTTCATCATCAAATCAACAAGAAGAATCAATAATAGAAGGTAAATTTACTCCTAAAACATTATATAAATATAATGGAAAAGATCATCCAAAGATTTTTATGGCTGTAAAAAGTAGAGTATACGATGTAAGTCAAGGTTCACAATTTTATGGACCAGGTGGTCCTTATGAAAATTTTGCTGGTAGAGATGCAAGTAGAGGATTGGCTTTAAATTCATTTGATCCTGCAGTATTAACTCCCTTGGATGAACCAATTGATGATTTAAAAGATTTAAAGGAATTGGAAAAGGAATCTTTGGAACTGTGGGATGAACATTTTGAAAATAGATATAAAATTGTTGGTACTTTACATGAAAATGGAACAGTAAATGAAGAAATTAAAGGTCTCTAACTAGATATGAAACAAATGATGAACACAAGTATTAGAGAAATAACTTATTTATATAAAACACCTATTTATTAGTACATAACTTAAATTATAGTAAGAGTAGTATAACATTCATTGTCTCTACATTTTATTTCATGACTTTATAGATATTCTGAGACACGCTTCAATATAATTTTATATTGAGAGATGAAAAAAAAAAAAATGTAAAAGTATTCTAAAGTAAGCGTTCAAATCACTAAAGCCTAGGGCCAAAATAAAGAGGTTCAATTTATTTTGAAATCTTTTCATTTATTTAATTTCAATATAGAATTGAGAATTCTGAAAAAATGAGTTATCGAGGAAGAGGAAGAGGAGGATATTCTCATAATAATACTTTTCAAAATAGAAATTCATTTGCAAATCAACAACAAAATGTTGATTCATATGTAGCAGCCAATGCTTATCCAATACAGATAATGGGATGGAATGGAGCAAGTTCTCAAGATTGTGTGAATTTCATATCAAGAAAATGTCGAGTTGTCGTTAGTAATTATAGTGTGGATCAAAATACTGGAGTTTTAAAAGGTTATGTAAAAAATGAATCTCAAGCTAATGATTTATTAAGTTGGTCAGGTGTAAAATTTGCTGGTCAAACATTAAAATTTTCAAAAGGTCCTTCAACTTTATCTAATCAAATGGGTGGAAATAGTAGTCCGAATGGATCAAGTACAATTGAAACAATAACTGCATTTTTAAAATCAAGATATCAACCAGAGCTTAAGATGCTAAATTTAAGTAATGTGAAACAAGATCCTACATTGAATGCATTAGGATTTTTTGGCTCCGTTTCAGTATCATCTAAATTTTTCCCAGCATTAATGAAAATTGCAAATGATTTAAAAATAGAAGTTGATAGTGTTGATTTATCAAATAATGAATTAAACGATTTACAAGCACTTTCATCAATGGCTCAAACTTTTCCCAAATTGAAAAATTTATCACTTCAAAATAATCATTTCTCAAAATTGAAAGTATTTGAAACATGGAGACATAAACTAAATTTTTTAAGAGAATTAATATTATTTAATAATCCCATAGTTCAAACATCGAATCCAAACGAAATCCAAACCATAAAATTAGAATTAATGAAAGGTTTCCCAAGACTCGTGGTACTAAATGGTGAACCATTAAGAAATGAACAAATATTAATAACTAATACAACTTTCCCATTTGAAAATTCTCAACCAATGTTTTTCCAAGATGGAGATTTACAAAATTTATCAACTAATTTCATTACTAATTATTTAAATTTATGGGATAATAATAGAGCAGATTTAATGATTTTATATCAAAATGAATCTCAATTTTCAATGCAATTAGATACTGGTCATCCTTATTTAATTGAAGATTCAACAAATCATGCAAATACAGATTTTGGGAATTATATACTGAATTCAAGAAATTTGACTCGTATATCTGCAGCTAAGATAAGGTCAAGTAAAGTTTCAATAGGTCAAGAACAAATTTTTAAAAGTTTTCAACAACTACCTAAAACCAAACATGATTTAGCAAGTAAACCAGAAAGTTTTAGTATGGAAGTATACAAGTTTGCACCATTAAATGGAGCAATAATCACATTACATGGATCATTTGATGAAATTGCACAACCAGAGTTACATGAAACACAACCACCGTCAGGTCCAAGAAGTACTTCAAGATTTCATTCATCAAATAATGGAAACAGAGGTAAAAAAGTTGCCTTAAATAAGAAATCATTTGATAGAACTTTTTTAGTCTTACCAGGTCCAAATGGAAGTATGATAGTAGCAAGTGATTTATTATTAATTAGACCATTTTCAAATGAATTACCATGGATTAAAACACACTCACAAGATCAACAACAAAGTCAACAACAAGCATCAATACAACCACAAATAGTTCAAGCTCAACAACCAGGAATATCACAACTAACTACATCAGCAACTCCTCCAGCTTCATCCCCAGCCCCACCAACATCACAACCCTCATCACAACCAACAGCAACAATAGCAGATTTACCTCAGGAAGTAAAAACTAAATACACTCAACCACAACAACAAGAATTAATCATTAGAATTTTAAATGAGACAAGATTAAATTTTGAATATAGTATAATGTTATGTGAAAGTTCTGGTTGGAATTATGAAATTAGTTTAAATAATTTTAAAAATTCTGTTTCTACTTTACCAAGAGAAGCATTTATATAGACTATATATTAAGATACTATATATTAAAATAAGTAATAAAAAGTTCGTCATTCTAGTATAGATTAACAAGTATTTGTAAAATAATTTTGAACGGGAAAAAGTTTCGAAATTTAATAACGGATTGCTACCATCCTGCTTCAGAATTTCAAATGTAAAAAGGGATAAAAGGAAACTAAATATTTCATTAAAATTTATTAATTTTATAAAGTTTTTCATTGATAAATCTATATATAAACTACCTAAACCTAACTTAAATAAATTTATTCAAATCTTTTTTCTAATTGAGATAATAAAGTAGCAGCATCTTTACCAAAATTTCTAATACCTTGAGATAATTTTTCAGTAGCCATAGCATCTTCATTTAATTGTAATCTAAAATTAGCTTCATCATCAACAAATGTAACTTTTTTAATATCTTCAGCTTTAGCTTCAGAAGCATCTAATACTTTTGGAACTTTATCATCTGAATTATATAATTCTTCTAATAATTTAGGTGCAATAGTTAAGAAATCACAACCTGCTAATGCTTTAATTTCTCCAACATTTCTAAATGATGCACCCATAACAATAGTTTCATAACCAAATTTTTTGTAGTAGTTGTAAATGTCTTTAACTGATTTAACACCTGGATCAGTTTCAGCAGTATAATTTTCACCAGTTGAAGCTTTATACCAATCTAAAATTCTACCAACAAAAGGTGAAATTAAAGTGACTTTAGCTTCAGCACAAGCAACAGCTTGAGTAAAAGAAAATAATAAAGTTAAATTACAATGAACACCATGTTTTGATTCTAATTCTCTTGCTGCTTGAATACCTTCCCAAGTTGAAGCAATTTTAATTAAAATTCTATCTTTATCAATACCTTCTTTTTTATATAAATCAATTAGATGTAAAGCTTTTTCAATTGTTTTTTTAGTATCAAATGATAATCTTGCATCAACTTCAGTTGAAACTCTACCTGGTACAATTTCTAAGATTCTTTTACCAAATTCAATTAATAATCTATCTAAAGCAATATCAGCTTTTTCTTTTGGATTTGAACCTTTATCTTCAGCATATTTAATAGCAACATCAATAACATCTGCATAATCTGGATTTTTTGTAGCAGCTAAAATTAATGATGGATTTGTTGTAGCATCTTGTGGTTTATATTTAGCAATTTGTTCAAATTCACCAGTATCGGTAACAATTGTTGTACCGGTTGCTTTTAATTGTTCTAATGAGTTTGAAGACATTTTTGTTAAATTATTTGTGTATGTTAATTAAAATTAATTGATCGATTAAAATGTTTATAAAATGAATTGAGTAGTTTAAAAAAGGAATTGATTTAAAATTGAAAAATTTAACAATAGTTAGCGAAAAAGAAAATGAATGATATTTATAATAATATTATTATAATTTATAATTATTTATAATTGTTGAAATTTTTTAGTGATTATTTTCCGGAGAGACCATCAATTATTTATTTATTTATTAAATTATTACTAAAGAAAAGAGTTCATATATAAATAAATTTGACGTAAATCAACTTATTCGATTAATCAATCAATTTCTAAAGCATTGAGGTCAGATATGAACTTCATTAATACTCAATTGATTGTCCATTTCACTCTGTAAAAGTTGAATAGTTTAGGATCCTCCAATTTTAAACTATTGTGTATTTAATAACTTATATTTTTTTTTTCCTTTGATTCATACCGGACTTTTTTTTAAATAGAATTGCTATTTAATTAATAATAAAAATTTAAAACCTGGCAAGTTAAATAATTTAATAATAACACCCTAAAAGTGAGACATTATGATTAATTATTTGACTTATGATGATGCAATATTTCATCAATTCTGTTTCTTCATCTCAAACGAAATACAATTTTTAAAGTCTGAGTGAAGATTCTGGTAATACATTTCCGATGTAGGGACTAGTAAAAATGGTAGTGCGAAATTTCTTAGAAAAATTCATTTCATTTCCCACGATGTTTCAAATTGTTATTGAGCACTTTTTCAAAATAGATGACTATTCAACAGAATCCAATTTTATAGTTAAGAAAAGTGATTGACAAGTTTGACATGGCGATATGGCTAAACTTTTAATTATCTTATGAATCGTTATTTTCATTCTATTCATATTTCGTCACAGAACTTAAAAGACCCAATCAAAGTACTAAATTGAGCTCTATAACAGCATAAACTTAAATGAAATATTAATTAATAAAATGGGGTTTCATCTATAAAGTATCAATCACGTGTTTCGGAGATCAAACTACGAAAACTTTTCTTTAAATTTATTAATATTTTTTTTTTTGTTGGTACCTCATTAGCATGTGATAACACAAATTCATAAAAATCTCCAAAAAAAGTCATTTTAATTTCATTGAAAGGTTAATTAATTAATATATCTAATTGATACGTTTCGTTTACCTAGTTACTTGTTACTTTTTATACTGTGATAATGTAATCATTTCTTAACAACTTCTCATACGTATAGATTAATAATATAATTTTGTCAAGTTAAAAAATTTAATTAAATATTTTCTTTTTTAATTTCTTTTTGACAACCATATTTAATCATATTATATATACAATAGAATATAAAATTCATATAAATTATAACTCAGATCTTGAGATTTTGTTTCATTTAATTTATTTATATCTTTCTCCTGGATTTACGAATTTAAAAATTTATAAGAGAAATCAAAACAAATAGAAGTTTTCTCAAGGACCCTTTGTTTTTTATTATACTTAATCATTTTGTCATATTAAGCAAAAAGGAAAATAAACTTCATTTTTAAAATTACATCATTTGAATTTATCCGCTTATTATTGTAATATTGTTTAAAATTCTAAAACACAACAAAAAAATACAATATACTTATTTAATAATAGAAAATACCACGCTTATTTTTTAATTCAAATTCGTTTAATTTTAATTCAGTTATCTAATCATTATAAAAACTAATTTCCATTTTTATTTATGTTTCAAAGTTGTTTCTTCGTCTAATTTAATTTAAATTATTACATTATATTCATTAAGAAAAATATATAATGGTTGTTAGATATATAATTTCTGGAGTATTAAATAGAGTTCCAATAGTTAATCATTTTACAAGACAAACAAATACAAGTAATCCAAGTACTCCAAAACATCTAGTGACTTCATCATCAAGTTCAGACGAAGAATTTTATGATTACGAAGATCAAGAAGAAGACGAATTTGAAGACGAAGACGAAATTAAACCAATAAATATTCAAACTTTATCACCAAAAGATAAAATCCATTCGAAATTAATTAATAATAGAACTACTTCATCACCTATTCCTGAAATGTCGTTACAGCAACCTTCATCAACAATTTCACAAGATGAAACTGAAATAATATTTGACTCACCAACAAGAAAAAGAGTAAGTGCAATAGATAAAAGTAATATATTACCAGTATCATCAAGATTAAATAAAAGAAAAAACAATAAAACAACAAAATTTGAAACTCCATTTGATTCAACAACAACAACAACAACATCAATTGGAGGAGATTCAATTTATGCATCGGCAGTTCAAACATCCTCGGAAACAGAAGAAGATTTAGAAGATTCAAAAGTTCAACAATATTTAGATGATCAAAATTCAAAATTTAATGATTTAATTTCAAATAATATTGATGTTGTTTTAAATGAAGAATCAATAAATAATCAATCACAATCACCATCTACACCAACTCAAGTATTACTTAAAATGGCATATGATAATAGAGGAGCTATTGCAAATTCATTATTCCAATATGGCAAACAAAGAATATCTTCAAAATTACCATATATTCCATACTTTAATCCCAAAACCAATACACAAGATGATCAAGACAATACTCCAAGACTTGAAGAACTCAATTCATTTACAACTCCGAAATTAGGTAGTCCATTATTAGATTCAAATAGTGAATTAATTAGATATGCAGGAGATTTAGAAGAAGGACAAAAATTAACAGAACAAAATTTAATGGATCAACAACATTTTGATCATTTAATGTCAAATTTAGATGATGAAGTTAAGATTGATATTTTTTTAGATTCATTAGATAGAGAAACAAAATTAAATTTATATCAACTGTTACGTAAAGATTTAAATATTTTGGGTGATGATTCAACTCCAGGAGAAAATATTAGATCTATATATTATGATTCAAATATGTCAACTTTAGATAAAATACAAATGTTCATTATAGTGTCAATTAAATTATTTATGACAGGTATTAAATTATTTATACCAATTACCAAATACATGATATACAAATTTCAAAAAAATGATTTTTTCATATTCAATTCCAAAAATTGTAATAAATTTATTGATTTTATATTAAAATTTATGAATTATATTGATTTGAAATTAAATTCAAATGAACAAATTATAGATAAAATTTCAAATCATGATTATATACAAACTGAAGAACATTTTGAAGAAATGATTAATGATTTTACTATAAGAACCAAACAAATGTTTAAACCAACATATATAAAGGATAGATTGATATCAAAAGATGATTATTTCAAAAGAGGATTATATGACTATCTTATATCAAGTAGTGGATATTCAAATTCAAATTTTGATACGACAAGTTCAAAAAATTATGAAAATGATCCAAGATATGCAATTTATTATAAACAAAATCAAAAAGATGATTATAGTAATAATGGAAATTTAAATTCAAATATAGAAATGAAAAAAATCATTAAGACCAAAAAATCAAATCCAAATTTATACAGGTCAAATTCTCCAGTTAAAAATAAATCTCAATCAGTTAATAGTAATGATGAAAATATTTCATTCATGGAAGTTGCTGATAAATTTATTGAACAATTAGAAACTGGAGTTTAAATTTTGGTAGTTTTGATTATTGGAAATGGTGGAACATTATATTTAATTCATTAACAATTTGCTTTTTTTTGCTTTTACTCGTTTTATCTACATATTCATTCATTCATTCAACTCGTCTAATTCATTCATTTAATGGAATATATCGGTGTTATATTCCTCATTTTCTTTCTTTCATATTACACTTTATTAGATTTTAGAATCTAGATTGTTTTTACTATTACATTGTTTTAGAATTACTAAATTAGAGATTGGTAATGTTAGAATTTTTTAACTATTATATTATTTCTTACTAGACTTCAATACACATTTCTTATTTTGCATTTAACAAATTTACTAGTAGCCACTCATTACACCTCTTTGCACTATTTGGTTGGGACTTGATTAGACTAATTGAAATGGTTATCTTTTTGTCATAAATTTATGCACACTATTTAATCAAGTGTAAATCATAATTACGATATTGTTGCTCTTCAACACTAAACAATGAATCAGTAACTGGGGTGTTCAAATACACTTTCTTATCGTACATCACTACTCTACTAACTACACTAGTACTTATGCAGTATTTGCTAATTGTTATAAGCAAACAATAATTTCTAGTTCTGAAACCTGGGGTTTGCATATCCTCATAATATGGCAACAGAGCAACTTTTAATAATGTAAAAGGTATGAAGTTTTTGTAGCCGTATATCTTTTAAATTTTATTGAGTAGGTCTACTCCGTTTAAAGATTCAGAGAACAGAGCAATTTTAAGTTAGGAATTGATCATTTTATAGGGTAATTTCACTATACGTGGTGTAAATTAGATTAAATTGGTTGCAAAATTTGATAAAAATTCAAGATCAATTAGTTTTACACATTACATCTAGAAGAGCTTAGAGCTTTTCATCATACCACATTTCTAGACAAATAAGTATGAATAGACGCCCCATTTGATGTTCATTTACTTAGACTTACATACTTCAAGCTCTATTAGTTGATTTATTGATTATAAAAGTAATAAAGATGTAAAAGATTATAATTAGATGTCAGAGATCCATTAATATTGAAGTAGGGATGTTAAGCTATTGTAATTATACTTCTTTTTTTTTAATTTGTGATAGTTCTAACAATTAACTAACTAATACATTTTGACACTAAAACTTAGAGATCTATTGTTTGCATTGTTCAATTTAGTGTTTTGAAATTTAATCTTTACATAAAAAATAAAAACGTTTTCAATCGAAATTAGAATTCCATTTCACAAATTCTAACTAAACTCAATTCACTTGACAATTAATCTATCTTTTCTGTTTAAAGCAATACGAAATCCTGAATTTATTGCTTAATTTAGATATTCCATAGATTATTAGTAAGATAAATTGATAGACATAAAATGCAGTAATTGTAAAAAGATAAGTATTCAAAGTAGAATGCACAAAGAGTCTTTTGTCTAAATTGATAGTGAAATTTTGATCAAGATTCAAAAAAAAATTAAACAAAAAACAATAGAAAAAAAGATAAAGAAATCTCAAAAATTAATGCAATATTTACTAAAAACAGTTAAATTCTAAATTTTATAATTCTACACTTTTTTACAATTTTTCTTAAGGGGGTGGTGGTGATTATTCAAACTATTAAAGTATTTACGAAATTAAGCTTTATATTTATCAAACGCGATTGATCAAACCGATATAAACTTTTTTAAACGATCAACACGTTCAACTTGGACTGTTGCAACTTAAAAGAGTTAAATTAAATATTCAACAGTATTGATGTTAAAAGATTGACGTTAAAATTTTATTTTTATAGTAATTTATGTAAAATAATTTTTGTGTATTTATTACTATTAGTTAGGTAGTGTAATTTACAATAATTAATCAATTAATTAAATAATTGAACAGACAAATAAACAAAAATTAATTAAATAGGGGTAAAATTAAATTTATTATATTTTTATGCTTGCTATCTTTTAATATTAATTTACTATATAAAAATTTTAGCCAATCAAATTATTTAGGGTTTTTTTATAGTCTTTTATGGTAAATTCGTTTTACTGTACACCCGAATATTAATAGACCAACTCATTTATATAATTATAACAATAATAATCTAAGCAATGAAGTACAAACTTTTGTAGTTATATTGAAGAAGTGTCATTACCAATGTTAAAAGAAATTATTAATAGTACTAATAATTACAAATAATGTAACAATAAATGAAAAAGTACGTGCGCTTTTTCAAATATTTTCTGTCTATTGTCTAATTTTTTTTAAAATGTCAAATTTATTGTAAATAGTATAAATAGAAAATTAAATTCTTCCTCAATAAAAAATAATAAAAATATAAAAAATTAAATTTTTAAAAAAAAGGTCATTCTTTTTTTTTTTCATTCATTAAGAAAAAATTTTTTTCAACAACTTTATTTTTTTTTTTTGTTAGGCTTTTTATTATTAAAGTAACAACAAATCAAATTTTGTTAAATTTTAAACAACAAAAAAACATCAACAACATCTTATATATCACATATAGTTGTTAATAATCAATATACTATCAGTTCATATATTCATAGATATATATTTCAATAGGAGTTTTGAACCAAGTTATTGAGTTGATTTTATTGAAGTTTTTATTCATTATTCAAGTTTAGACTCTTTCATTAGTAGTTTAATAAGAACAACAAACTTCGAAGGCGAAACTTTTTTTCCCAACATCGCTACCACATTTTCATTTTTGTCATATTCACACTACCAGACATAATTTTAATTATGGCATTGTGTCCAAAACCATATTCATTTGAAAAAAATATTAATGCTGCTACCAGTTCACATCTATTAACAAGAACCAATAAAGGTAGTAACACTAATAATAATAATAATAATAACATCACCATCAATAAATTAAATAATAACAAACGTGGTTGTGAATATTCATTTCCATCATCATCATCATCAAACAAAAGAATATGTTTACAACAATTGAGAAATAATAACAATATACCGAATAATTATTATTCATCTTCATCTGAAGATGATGATTCAGAAGATGAACAATCTTGTTATTATGCTGATCAGATCAGAGCAAAAAGAAGAGCATCATCAAGAGTTTCATTCTCATTAAATTCTGAATTGTCAAAAGCGATTTTTCAATATAGTGATGATGAAGATGAAGAAAGTGATAGACAACAACAACAACAACAACAACAGCCACCACAACAACAGCAAAACAAAAGGTCAACTATTTGTCCTAGAAGATCATCAGATTCATCAATTAAAATCATGAGATCAGATGAGGAACATGAAAATTTAGATTGTAAATTCACCTCAAGTCCTGTTGGATCAAATTTATCATTAAAAAAAATGCTTGTACATAATAGTGATGAAGAACAGTTTGATGAAGAAGAAGAATTATTTGAAAGTGATGCTAGTAATCAATCTGTTGCTATTGCTGATAAAAATGCAAGATCAAGATGCTTTGAGTATTTAATTGGTGCAATTGATGAAGCATGGGCAAAGTATTGTGATGCAACAACTTATGTTGAAGATGAAGTACATGGTTATATAACACCAGCATCATTAGCATCAGAAGATGATGATGATGATAAAGAGTTAATGAATTTAAAACAAAGATTAGTAAATTCTAAAAATTTTTTACAAGATCATATAGAATCTTTTGATTTAAATGATATTAAAAAATTTTGGAATCGTTGGGATATATCTAAATATCAAATGTTAGATGTAATGGAAGATGAAGATGATATTTTAGAGGAACTTGAATCAGGAAGGTATTATTTTTAGTTCAATATGTATTAGTATATAGTTTAGGTCACTTGTAATAGTTTAATTATATTTATTTTCTTGCTAAAGCGAAAGAATTCATGTACTCTTACTTCAATTTATAATTGGTAAATGGATCTTATCTAAATTATTTCTTATCAAAACGATCTAAATCAGCTACCATTCACTGGATCAAAATTTCAGACAAAATTTCAGACTCCGATTTTTTTCAACACGTCAAAATTTATTATTTTTCAATTTGCAATTCTTTTTCATTATCGATCAATCACATAAAATGAAATTCTCACTTATCGCTGTTGCACTAACTGCATCAATTGGATCAGTATTAGCGTCACCACCAACAGCAGATCAATTAAAAATAGGTATGTTCAATCTTTAACAACAACAATCTCATAATTGAATACTAACTTTTTCAATCTTAGATATCACAAAAGAAGTAAAGTGTTCACGTAAAACCCAACCAGGAGATAAAGTCTCAGTTCACTACAAGGGAACATTAGAAGATGGTACAAAATTCGATTCATCTTATGATAGAGGATCACCATTAGGGTTTTCATTGGGATCAGGTCAAGTTATAAAATGTTGGGATGAAGGATTATTAGATATGTGTATTGGTGAAAAAAGAACATTATGGTGTGATTCTTCAATATGTTATGGTGAAAGAGGTATTGGTCCAATTCCTGGTGGGGCTAATTTAATTTTTGAAACTGAGTTAGTTGGAATTGCTGGTGTTAAAGAAGAAAGTGAAGAAGTTGAAGATTTAGAAAATGATGAAGAAATTAGTAAAGATGAATTATAGTAGTTTTCAAGAATAAATCGTTACTTGTTCATGTATCAGCAAAATGATCTCTAAATTGTACGAATTATACGAACACTGTATATGTACATTACATATTTTTACTTTTTTGGTTGTAAAAATAAATCTGATGATAATTCCAAAAAAATTTGGCAACCAAAAAAAAAAATACTTCAAAAATACCCCAGATTTCAAAATTATGTCAAGATTTTTAAAGCCATTACAAGAATTTCTAGCATCAAAAAAGGACTTTTCAATTCTTTACTCATCCAATTCCGTAAATCCATTTGTTACAAGTTCAACAGAACGAGTTTACGTCTTAGATTCATCTTTTAATCCACCACATTTAGCTCATTATGCATTAATTGAAGAACTGTTAAAAACTAATCATGACGATATACCAATTGAGAATGAACTGCTTTTATTATTGCTATCTGTTAAAAATGTGGATAAAGTTCATCCACAACCTGAATCATTTGATAAAAGACTAGAAATGATGTATTATATGGCAAATCATATTTCGAAAAATCATCCAATAAATGTATCAATTGGAGTAACAAATCATGCAAAATTTGTAGATAAATCATTATCAATATTAAATTACTTGGAATCACAAAATATAACAATCCATCAAGGTTTTAAACTTACATTTTTAATTGGATTTGATACTTTAATTCGTATATTTGATCCAAAATATTATTTACCTGATAAATTATCAAATTCATTAGATCATTTTATGAAAATGACAGATTTATTTTGTTTAACTAGACAAAATGAACATATAAGTATAATACAACAACTGGGATATGTTAAAGATATCTCAAAAGGAAAACATGATGAAATTCCAAAAAGTTGGTCAAATAATATCTTTTTATTAAAAAATTTGAATGAAGATATTGCTCAGATTAGTAGTTCTAGTATTAGAAAAGAAATTAAAGAAGGTAAATCGAATTGGAAATTACAAGTTCTACCTGAAATTGAGAAATATATCACTGAGAATAATCTTTATAAAGAAGACTAACTAAAATTACAAAAAAAGACTAATATTCATACACCTATTCATTTGTTTATACCTAATTTATGTACATTGAAAGAATTAAAAAATTAATAGCAACAGCTAATTTCAAAGTATTATCACAAGTTGATTTAAAATTGTAAGAATTTGAGGTATTTTGTTTTTGAATTTTTCCTCCAAGTTTGGAAGTGGTTGGTGATGATTTAATTTTTTCAAAAGTCTTGTCAACGACAGTAACTGGTTTTGTTGCATCATTTGAAACATTACTTTCTTCTCCACCATCGATCACAGTTTTATCTTCTTTTGTTCTCGATGTAATTTTTTCATTATCTGAATTTGTACATTCTATTTTACCACCTCTTACCACAAGTAAAATATTAGATTTTGACCATTTATTACAATCAAAATTTGGTGAAGTAGAAGTTACTATTGCACTCCCCTTGACTAATTTCAAACTTTTAAAATGCATATCAATTATACAACCTTTCATTTCTAATGCACCACCAATAATTTTCAAATTTGGAAAGAAATTGATTTTTTCAATTAAACTATTATTCACAATTACTAATCCGCCTTCAATTTCTTCCAATATTGGAAATTCAATAAATTCTAAATCCTTATGCTTGGATAAATTTAAAGTACCGCCAACTCTAGTTAATTTTAGAAATTTAATAGAACTAAAATAATTATTACTTAAAATTAATGAATTTTCAACAATTTCTAAATTATCTAATTGTAATTGTTTAACATTATTAATACTCAATTCTTTAACTTTTTTCAAATTTGGTAAATTAATTTTAATCTCATTTGAATTTGCACTTAAATGTAATAATTCAGTAATTTTTTCAACATTACATTCAATAGTATCCAAAAATCTATTATTATTAATATCCAAAATCTTTAATTCGTTTGTTAAAAACCCACTAAATCCAGTTAAAGAAGTATCTGATATTGTAATACTTTCAATTCCTTGAATTTCATTATTAAATTGTACATTACTTAAAATTGGTAATATTTCCCAGCATAATACACTTACTTTTTTCAAATTGGGAAAACTTATTAAAGCTAATGAAGTTAGTTCATATAATTCAAACCATCCAGTTATAATATTTAATTGTGGACTTTCTACTCTAACTAATTCTGGTGATTTGTATATTGTTAGATTCCCATCAATTTTATTTAAATTAGTTAATGTTATTATAGGGTAATTAAACTCAGATATAAAAATATTCCCAATAATGGTTTCACATTCAATTATGGAATTTAAATCATCTAATGAATGAACCACAAATTCTTTTCTTTTACAATGTAATGGAATATTATCTTCTTGATCTTGATTATCATCACTATGATCACCTAATGCAGCGGCAGCATTAAATTCTTCTTCTTCCTCTAGTTTTAATTCTTCAAATTCTTTAAAATTGGAATTGAATTCTGGCAAGTGATCTGGTACTTGTAAAGCTTTGAGTATAGACAGATTTGATTGTGTGATGTTTGAGGGAACTAAATCATTTGTATTGACTATTCCTTGTTCAGGGTTTGTTAGTATGCATTCAACAAAATTGGGGAAGCAAATATTTACTTACGTGGGTGATCGTCCGTATTACCTACTGTGAAAGCTAACGTATTAATAAAAATTGATAAAAAGAATGTTCTCATGCTTATACAATTTTTGAAAAAAATCATTTGTTTTTTGTTTTATAAATATGGGGTACTTATATCTTTCATTTATATCATTGTTGGTTTAGTGTGTATCAAAGATTTTTTTTTTGCAGCCATTTCGCATAACAAATTATTATCAAAACAATCTAGATGAACCGCAAGATCAGAGTCTTAGCACTCTAATATTTTGAGATCTAAGATTTGATGGCGTTTTTAAATACTTTTATGATGAAGACGAGGAAAATTATTGTTTCTAATTGTTCAGTCAACTTTGCTTTTAAACTATGGAATATATCAAACTAATTTCAAACATCATCAGGAATAAGAAGTTGAGAAACTATTTAATATCTTCCTAAACCCAATTCAAAATTATTGGCAAGTTCTCACAAATGGCCATTGAGCGAAATTGATTGAAACATTAAACTATGGTAGATTTTAAATACTATTTATGTAATAAATATATTAAGTATTGAAAAAAAAAAGTGTTTCAGATTTTATGTTACGCAAAAAAAGAAACGACGACATGGTAATTTCTCCGACAATCACCAAAAATTTCAATTATCTTAAGCAAACCAAATTATCGAAAATTTATAATAGTCAAATAGGTCACATATTTTAAAGAACTTTATCAAATAATTGCATTCGCATATACCACCATACCCAATCATTAGCCATGTCATATATAACATCATCAATAGTAATAACATCACTGTTAACAGTAGGTGGATATATGTTATTTACAGGAGCTGGTGAATCATTTAATATTGGAGAATTTTTAGAAAGTACATCACCTTATATGTGGGCATCTTTAGGAATTGCATCATGTATTGGATTTTCAGTAGTTGGAGCAGCATGGGGGATTTTCATAACTGGTACTTCTATAATTGGAGCAGGTGTAAAAGCTCCAAGAATCACTACAAAGAATTTAATTTCAATTATTTTTTGTGAAGTTGTTGCCATTTATGGATTAATTATGGCAATTGTATTTAGTGCAAAATTAACAAGTGTAAGTTCTGAAATATTATATACAAAGGAAAATTTATATACTGGTTATGCATTATTTTGGGCTGGATTAACCGTTGGTATATCAAATTTGATTTGTGGTATAGCAGTTGGTATTACAGGTTCTACTGCTGCTGTTTCAGATGCGGCTGATAGTTCATTATTTGTTAAAATATTGGTGGTAGAGATTTTTGGATCTGTCTTGGGATTATTTGGATTAATTGTTGGTTTGTTAATGACTGGTAAAGCACAAGAATTTAGTTAATTTAAATCAATATAGACAGAGTTAGTTGTATAACAGATTAAAAAAGAAAATGAATTTACTACAATTCAGTCACTTCCATCCTCTTCAGTTGTTCTATTCACTAACTATCTATGTATCTACCTCCATAAATTCTGGATTTTTCTTCAATATTACAATACCTTCTAATGAATTACTTAAACTTATCCACTCTTCTGTATTTTCCAATTCTGCACGTTCACCATAATTTAATAGCACCGGGGTTGATTGTGTGACCCAACCTGTGATTGTTTTGGGTTTACCTGCTTGACCAACAACATCAACTGCTTGACCAACTCTTACATTTACTTTCAATGGTTCTAAGTTTTCATCAACTGTAATTAACATCCTTGGTTTAACTGCTGGTGTTAAATAATATAATAATTCATGAGTGGTTTCAGTAGTAGAATCATTCAATATAAATGCTCTTGGATCTAACAAAGCAATTGCAATTGTTAATAATGAAGCTAATGATGTATTTGATAAAACAGTTCTTTCTAAATTGTATGGGGATAATGTTAATGTTCCTTTACCTAAGTGTAATATACCTTGAGCAATTCTCACCATGAATAATGATTCTGGAGATTTTATATAGTATGAAGCTAATTGTCTTAGTAACTGAGCTAATCTTGCATTATTTGTACCAGCACCAACTAAACCCATAGAATATATAGCATTTTGAGCAACTTCTAAATCTGGATCATGTGAATATCTTGATAATGTTTCAAATACTTTCATTTGTGGATTAGAGACTGATACTAATCCCATGGCTAAAGGAACAGCTCTACGTATTAATGAGTTTCCATAATGCATCAAATGACTGAAATGACGTAATGACATATCTTGACCAATATCTTCACCCATTGCAATACATGCTAATCCAAGAACCGCAATACCTTGATATAATTCTTCATCTTCTTCAACTTCATCACTATCATCGTCTTCTTCTTCTTCTTCAGTTTCTTTCTTTTCTGATTTTGATGACGACGATGCTTCAGCGTCTTCTTTCTTACTCTCCGGTTGTTCTTCTGCATCTTCCATTTCTACGTCCCCATCAGCTTCTGGTTTAACTCCTTCAGCCTTTTGTTGATCTTCTTCTGATTGTTCTAATTTCTTTTCTTCATCCAATTGACTCTTTGGTTTACCTGTACACATTTGCAATAAAGCTTGAATTTGTAACACATTACCCGTACCTGCATATGCACATATATTTACCAAAACTTTCAAAGTTTTACTTATTGGATGTTCGATAGCATCAATAGTTTCTAAAACATCTTCAACTTGTTCAGTTTTACCCATGTATAATAAACCCAAACCTAATGCCATAAACTTTATAAATTTATTGGTCAATTGTGTAAAATCTCTTTCTAATAAAGTTTGTAAAATAGTTGAGGTAATATCTCCATGACATGTTCCAACGAAAGTATGACCTAAAGCTAAAGCTGCTAAACATGATACTTCTAATGGAGCATCTAAATCAGATACTAAAGGTAATAATAAGTTCAACACTTCTTCATTGGCTGATCCAGCAAATGCTATACCCAAACCATTAATAGCGGAAGTTCGATATAATTTATTTGAATCATGAACATATTCTTGTAATAAAGCAAGAGCGGCATCAACATCATCATGAACATTAGCAGACACTATACCTGTACCTAATAAAGCACCAGCTTTGACTTCTGGATCATCGGAATATGTATATTTATCTAAAACTTGTAAACCTTCATTCACATTCCATTGATGAAGTGAACCTAAAGAAGCTGTAGTTGAAACCATACCTTTTCCTTTTGTTCTATATATCCATGACTTATTATCCTCTTCTGTTTGCACTAATTTATCTTTACCAAATCCAAGATTGATGAAAGAATTTACAAATGCTGCTGCAAGATTTTGTTTAGCAGAATCTATTGAACCTGATGTACCTAAACCAAATTTTGAATTTTCTAAATGTGATTTATAAATGTCTTCTGGTACTTTCGGTTCTAATAAGTTTAACTCTTTTATAAGATGTTGGAAATATTCTGCCAATTTTGTATTACTTATTGTTTCTTGAACTTCTTGATTATCTTCAGGTAATTTGAAGCTACTATTTTGTTGTGATAAGATGAAACCTAATTGTTTATGTACTAAGTCATCTTTAGTAGAGTCAAAAACTTGCTGTATTAATTCATCATCATCTAATTTGATGGCTATAGTTAATGCTTGCGTTAATTGGCCATGAGCTAAATATATGGCAAATGCAGTATTTAAAAATGAAATATCATCTGGTGGTGCTAAATATGGAACAACACTTGTAACATAAAGACAAGCTCTTGCATATGTACTATCATCAACAAATTCCGGTAATTTATCAATTGATTCTATTTCTAATAATAAATCAACAGCATCAGCTTCAGCATAATGATTTAAAAAGAATGGAACTATCTTTAATGCTAATTTAGTCAATTTTGATATTAATTCTTCATCAACTCCTAAGTTTTCTTGATATGATTCTCCTATTTCTAATGCTAAATGACGTAAATACTCATGACCCCAATCTGCAATAGTATCATCATTTGACAATATTCTATATTTTAATGATTCTTTTTTACCTTCATTTGAATAAGTCATTGCTAAAACAGATAAAATATCCGCTAATTTTGCAACAATTTGATTACTTTTACCAAATTTTTCAGTCCATTGTTCATATAATTCTGTTAATGATGGATAACTTGGCCTTAAAAATTTCAAAGGTTTTGGAACTGCAGTCATTGACGTTGTGGATTCTTGAATAAATTTTTTTAATGATTCTAAATATCCATCGTATTGTTTTTCATCGTGATTTGTTTCATTTAGTCTTTCAACTAATAATTCTAATTCATCTTTTAATTGTTGATCTTCTTCACTAAGTTCCTCTTCTTTCTCTATTGGTTTTTTGATTGTAGATACATCTTTATTTGGTTGTTGATTTGATTGAGTGGTACTATCTTTTGATGTATCTTGAACAGGTGCCATTGTAAACAATTAAATGATTTTAACTGTAGATCTCAATGATATATTTTAGATGATCAAAATGTTGGTTGTAAATTCTTGATAATTCAAATCTGAAAAGTTAGCGACCATTTTAGATTTTTCTTTTATTAGTGGCAAAACCTGCATATATAATTTAAAACGTCAAACACAGGTGGTAACTACCAAATGTACTGAAGTTGTGGAAGCTTTTAAGACCCAGTAATTACATCTGATTAGAATTAAGTTTGCACGTTAAGCAATTGATGATCTTTCATATACACTACAGCTATACATTTGATTTTTTTTGGCTCCAAAATCAAGTCATTTGATTGAAATGAAAATATTTTCTCAATCATGAGTCAAAAAATCGCCAACTCTGCTCCATCGAATAGTTGTTAGAGAATTTTTTGGATAGATAAGTATTTGAAAGACCATTCATACTAATCAACATACAAATGAGCCCATTTGGCTTGTTGGAAGGTTGCAAATAAGAAGCATCTAAGCTACCAGTTTAGCTACATCTATATACAGGCTCAATATTTACTTTCTCGTAAATCAAAAAAGTCTAAAAACAAAAAAATAATATTGTAAATACAATAAATTATTATTGCTTGAAAGGGTATTTTTTTCAATAAGACAGCGTGAGATCCGAATCAAAATCAATTACAACTTCTAAACTTCAAACAGGACTCATCAATAATGGATAGGATATTCTACAATTCAAACATACGAGATCCAATTACAAATTTTCCAATTTATATCTTTGATACTTCATATTTACCATCAACTGAGTTAATAAATTATAATGAATTTATACCAACATTAATGCAAATTTTACCAACAAAACCTTATGTATTGGTGATGTTTTCAAGTGGATTAAACAAAGTAAGTTGGGTTTGGGGTTTGAAATTTATCAAAAATTTTATGAATAATAATAATAATTTACAGAATTTAATTAAAATTTTCACGGTTCATGAATCCTGGTTCATCAAATCTATTACTTCAGTTATTCATAATTTTCAATCTACTAAACAAAATATTGAACATATAAATAATTTATTAGATTCTTTTACAATTGAGTCAAAAAAGCTGTCAAAAACATTTCAAACTGTTGTTATACCGTGTTCAAATTTAAGCGAATTAAGTAAATTTTTGAATATTACAAATTTAAAAATATCATTGAATATATACAAATATGATCTACAACTAGAAAATGAAATTAACTTAAAAATCAAATTCAATCCAACAATTAATCCTCATGTCACCTTAAATTCAAATAATCATCCTATATTATATCATCACATATATCAATTACTAAACATTATTGAATTAAACTGTTGCAAAACTGAACTCATTTTTTATAAACCTGGGAAAAAGGTAAATATTGATATTCTATATCAGTGCATACTAAGAAATCAATTAATATCTATAAATGACTGGGACTTATTTTGTATCTCAGGCACTTTTAAAAGAATATTATCAGAAATACCACATGCATTAATTTCAGTCAATTCTATTCCATTACCTATACAAGATGATTTTGAGTATACTCAATCAACATTTAACATAATAATATCATCACATAGACAATCACAAGAGACGGAAAATTACGATCAACTTTTGCTACAACTATTTGACATATTCAACAAATTGATCGTTAATGAAAGTAAAACAAAACACAATATAACATCGATAACGAAATGCATGAGCCATTGCATATCACAAGAAGTAGTATCAACAGATAAAAGCTCAATTTTAATAATACAAAGATTTATGAAAAACGTTCTACAATACTGGGATAAATTACATACAAATCACTCATACAAATCTATTCAAGAAATAATCAAAGTAGAAAGATCCAATCAAACCGATTTTGAAAAATCTTATGATATAAGTTATGACATAACGTACGAAGATGGAAGTGATAGTAATGACGATGATTCAAGAATTAGTTTCAATACTCATTCAATTTTAAATTCAAATTCAAATTTAGCTCCAGATGAAGGATCAGAAGGAACTAACAGCACTGACACAGAGTGCGAAGAATCAAATCCAAAATTACCTCCAAGACCACAAACATTAGAAGAAGAACAACCACCGAAGACACCAAAAAGACCAAAATCGTCAAAAGAATTACCTAGTACCCCAATTAGTCTACCAAAAGAATCATCTAAAACTCCTAGTAGACTACCTAAAGAATTACCTACATTACCACAACGAAGCAAACTTTCAGTACAAGAAAAAGAGGTTACGAAATCACAACCAATATTGGTACAATCTAAGGAAACAAATCAACCTAGTTTAACTACATCCAAGTCACTCACCACAAACATTAATAATTCATCACAAGAAGACAAAGAAAACATAGAAGAATCTCACTCATCAACAACAATTCTTAACCAAACAAATTTAAAACGTCAAAATGAAAAACCTTTAAATAACGTATCAAATTTACAATTTTTACAATATCCACCACAAAAATATCATTTCACTCCAACAATTCCGAAAAGCAAAAATGTAGTACTTGAAGAAGAAGTTGAAGTAGCCGTTAATAAGAAGCCAGTTATACGTGGACGTAAAGTTGGTCAATTGGCTAAATTATTTGAAGAAAGGAATGAAGGGTTTAAGATTTTGAATAATTTATAGAGGCTTGGAACATTATATAGTCTTGAATAATTTAAATAATATAATTATTATATTAAGTCATAGCTATAGAGTGAAAGTAATCATTATTAGATAAAACACCAAAAATATAAATAAGCACCAAAATATAAATAAGCACCATTAAATACTCTCTCTCTTATTCTCTCTTTCATTTTTTATGTTTTTAATTATTCTCCAACTAATCTTGAATCAATATTATCCATTGATAAATCTCCATTATCTTGATAATGATTTGCATGACGACCAACATTAGTAACAGCAGCAATAGCAGCAGCGGCAGATCCATCATCATTTAAATTATGATGATGATGTAATTGTTGTTGATATTGTTGATATTGTTGTTCATCTAATTGATGTTGTTGAGCTTGAGTTGCAGCAACAAATTGACGTTGAAATTCTTCTTGTTGTTGTTGCTGTTGTTGCTGTTGGGTTTGTTGTGGTAATTGTTGGGATTGATGTTGTTGTTGAACTTGTTGTTGTTGCTGTTGTAATTGATGATGATTTTGTTGCTGCTGTTGTTGTTGATGATGGTGTTGTTGATGATTTTGATAATTATCATATTGTTGTAAGTCTTGACCATCATTTAAAAATGCATTTGCACTTGCAGCAGCAGCAACAGCAGCAACAGCATCCGAATCATTGTTTTGGTTGCCTGAATTATTGTTTACATTCGCTCCATTGTTTTCATTAGTTGTAACACCATTAGTAGCAGAACTAGCAGCAGCAGCGGCGGCGGCAGCGGCAGCAGCTTGTTGTTCAGCTTTTTTCCTATATTGAGCATTTGCAATTCTTGAAGGATTATTGAATCCAAATCTTGAGGATTGTTTTTTTAATTTGCGTTTATAACCTCTAATTTCATTATAAATATCTTCTCTTTTAATTAAAACATCAGGATATTGTTCTTTAATTTTGGATTCAATATGAGATGGTTTTGTACCTAATTTATATAAATCTAAGATCAAAAGATTTAATTCATCACTTCTTTTACGAAGCATTGGATGATTACTTAATGGATCTAATTGTGGATGATTATGTTCATTACATGTAGTTCTTAAAGTCCACATACCAGTAACTTTTCTAAATGATGCAGTCATTGCAAATGGACATTTTAATTTTTTGGTTTTAGTATCAGGATCTAACATATAACCATCACCAACATCGATTTGTTTTGAAACATCAATTTTTTTTGATTTTTTGTGACGATAACGACCACCTAATTCACAAGTATAATAAATTGCTTTTCTATTTGAATGAGCAATAACAACACCAAATCCATTATCTCTTGCAAATTCAGCAATGAATTCATTTAAATCTTCACGATTACTGAAAACTTGTTCAGGATAAGGACGTGTAATTAAATATCCTTCAGCAGTAATGGTATTTTCAGTGACTGGATAAATTTTCAGTTTTGCATCAATGATTGGATCTGGAATTTGAATATTATATTCTGATAATTCTTCAGCAGTTGGACCTGTTAATTCCAATTGTTGTTGCTGTTGTTGTTGAGGTTGTTGTTGATGATGAGGATGAGTGTAGTTATTTATACCAGCAGCAGTCGCTTGTTGTTGTGCGTGTTGTTGTGCTTGTTCATGTTGTCTCGCATATTGATCTGGATCTTGTTGCAATTGTGGAGGGATTTGAAATTTTCTATAGTCATCAGGATTTTGATGAATTTGAGAATGTTGTTGTTGATGATGATTAACTCTTCTACTTCTACTTGTACTTTCTTGAGGATTTGAAGATGTTTGATAAGGATTTGTTAATTGTGATTGATTATTATGTTGATGTTTTGAATCATTTAAATGAGATGTATTATCAATTTCCTCTAATTTTAATCTTGTTGAATGATGGGGATCAACACTATTTAATAGTTGTTCATCGATATTACTTGGAAAATCATCATCTGCAGCTGACATTGTACTTGAAACAAACTAAATTTTAGACCTATAATATTATTTTGCAACAGTTTGGTTTAACACTACTTTGTTTTGACTTGATACAAGGGGCGTGTAGTTGATGATAGATTTTTTTTTTTTTCAATTAATTTTTTTTTATTTTAGTTGTTCGTGTAAATTCGGAGAAAAATAATTTTGACGACTATGTCATAACTTTAATCTAAATGACAAGACAAAGACTAGCACATATTTGAACTTCAACTACAAAAAACTAACATTCATTATATTTATCACATTATTATTATCATTAATAAATCTTATATACACCTAAACTTTCTTTAACTAACTACTTGAACCAAAAACCTGAAAAAACCAGCCCAATATAATTTTCTAATAACATTAATAAAACTTTTTGTTTAATAAATAATTTAACTTTCATCACAACTATCTAAATAATTTTGAGCCCAAGTAGGTAAGATAAAAGAACTCGAATGAATAAATTGATTGTAATATCTAAACAATCTACTTTCTTTTTCCCTACTAAACGTTTTCAAAGGCTTCGTCAAATTCAATGTTTCATCCATTGTTGCAATCAATAAACCTAATTGACCAGAAGTATAACTTGGCATATAACATTGACAATAGTTGACATTTTTGAATACCATTTTAGATTTTTTAATTAAATTTTTCAAATACTTCAAATTAAGCCAAATATTTTCAGATGATTGCATTATTACTATACCTCCAGAATTTAATGAATTTTTCAATAATTTGAAATAATTAATTTGAAAAAATTCTTCTGCTGGACCTTCTGGATCTGATGAATCTGTTATAATAATATCGAATTTTTCTTTGGTTTCTCTCAAGAATTTGAATCCGTCATCAATTATTAATTTCAAATTGGGATGATTATGATACTTTGCCATTTCTGGTAAATATTTTGTCAGTAATTTTATAACCATATCATCAATTTCAACCATTGTTATTGATTCAACTGTTCCATCTTCAACATGTTTAATTAATTCTCTAATGACTCCACAATCCCCTCCACCTATTACTAAAACTTTTTTAGGATTTGGATGTGACATTATTGGTACATGAGTAATTAATTCTTGATAAGCAAATTCATCTTTTTCTGTACATTGAATAATACCATTAAGTATCAAAACATTACCAAAAAATTTGGATTTAAAAATTAAAATATCTTGATATTCTGTTTTAGTATGATATAAAACCTCTGATATTTCTAAACCAAATGCTTGACCAGGAAATGATTCTTTAGATTTTTCGTAAAACCAATATGATTTATCTTTTGGATGATAAGTTATGGTATCATGCTTAAAAGCTGATAGATCTATTGACTGAGCCTTTAAAGATATTGGATCATTTTCAAAGGATGTAGTGGTTTTAGTTGATGTGGAAGTAGCTGACATATTTAAATTAAATTTTATCTAATTTCATGAGTCACAGGATATGTAAAGTATAGATTATTTATTGGCGGATCTCTTTAACACGGCATGCGGGATCTATATTTCAATACTAGAATTCAAGGTAAATTAGATTAAATAATGAACATAAACTAATTTATAAATCAGATGATCTTGGTAACAAAGTGGTTGTAAAAAATTTAGAGATAAATAAAAAATTATAAGAAAAATTTTTGTATTTTGTGTTAGATAAATTATTTTTATCACACGACAATTACGCACATTATATTTAGTATATTAATATCGTCTATTTGAAGTTATTGAAAAGTGTGGGGATCTATTTTTTCATTCATGTACAAATGAACAGTAGAGTGGTCAGTTCGAATGGACCTCTACAAACACATAGAAAGCAGTAAATGAAAATTATAATTCAAAAAGTGAAGAACTTCCCGATGAAGAATTTCGTAAAGTGGTACTTGAAATAATGCATACAAGCACGTAATGATTTTACATCATTATCAAAATAGAACAAAAAACAGAACAAAAACAAGAACAATCAAAATTGGGTTTTAGTCATAAACAGCTATGAAAATCTAAGTGAATTACATAAATAACTTTTCTCCCTCTCAATTTTAGTTTGTTTCTTCATATTTAGCGAGCTAGATGGACAATTAAAATGAACATATAGAGTATTAAAAAACTATTAAAGCATGGGAGTAACTTAATCCTAACTATATACTGAGTTTAAATAGCGGTATATAGGATCTTTAATGCAATAACTATGATATTATACTTGATTTTTTCAACAACTTGAGTGAGGATGTAGAAAATTAAGATCTTGACCTTGCGTGAATATAAGTTCAATATTTCGAATTGAACCAAGCTTTTTTCATTAAAAAACCCTTTTTTTTAATAAGTCCGATTTGAAAAAAGAAATTAATACGAATTCATCAACATCTTTAAGTTTGTGAATTCATTACCGCATCGATAACTCTATGTTTGTAGAAAAATTGTACGAATACATTATAATCGTAAGTACTGTACTAAACTCGAGTAAAGATTATGTATAACTCCACAATTCAATAAAGTGTGTATATACACACAAACTTAGCAAATCAATTTAAAACCAAATTTATAACAAATTCTTTAAAATCAACGGCACTTAATTACAGTTTGTAGATCATGGAAAAATTCTTAAATTTTGTTCACTTGCTTTTAAAATACGATACAACCATAAGTGATTAACTAAAAAATAAATTGCCGTTCATCTTTTCCACTGTGTAACGGATAGAAATTTATTTGATTTATTTCAACAATTAAGTTCAGAAGATTACTGTGTTGATATCAATGTAACATATGATCTTGAAGAACAAATTGAACTAAATATGAAGATCTTTGGTAAATTACAAGGGTCAATTTAAGACCTTGAGCGCAAAAAACTAGAGACTGTAGATAGTTTTGTTTGGACAAAGTTCTTGTTATGGCTGAATTGAGACAAAATTTCCCTCGAATTTTCAAAATTGATAAAATCAATTTGGAACTTGTGCATTGTTTTACTATTATTTTTAAAGATTTGTTCGCTACATTAGCGATCGTGGGAAAAATTATATAAGGTTGTCTAATTTTGTTTCTGTCTCACTTCAATTCTCTCGAACTACACTAATAATGTATGAACCAAAGAATGAAACCTGTTCAATCAATTACAGATTAATAATTTTTCAATTGATCCCCAATCATTTTTAAAGATTGCTAAAAAAGTTTAAAAAGTTAAACGGCATATTAAAGCTTATTGTTGAGTTAAACTTAATCTACAAATTTAAAAATTTATTGAAATTACCATTGTTAACATAAGTAATATTGTTATCATTATGAGATTGAACTAAATTTGATATATTTGTTGTTGTTTAAAAGTTCTTTTTCATAAATCTTATTGTTTTGTTTTTTTAGATTAATTTAAAAATATTCTTCTTTTTTCTCGTAAATTTAATAAAATATTAATCTTTAAATCTATCAAAATTTGATAATTTATAATACAAAACCAATACAATAATAATATTAGTATTATTATTATCATTAAAAACAATATAATTTCAAATGAAGATCATTCCAGATAACCCAAAATTGTTCCGTTGTTCCTTTAATTTGAGTATACTTGATTAAATTAAAGTATATTGGTGAATGTGAACTACTTTTCTTTAAACATTAGTATTCAATGTATAAATATATGGCAATTTACCTTGTTTAAATTTCCCCTCTATCAAACGTATTTTAGAATCTATTATTATTATTATTATTATTATTACAGTACAAATTCAATAATAATAATATTTAAACATATCAATTTGTTGTATATTCAATTTTTTGTTTTACAAAAGTAATATCATTTTATTATTAACTCCGATTCAATTACTCATACTATTCATTGGGTCTTTACAACTATTGAAAAAGTTATTATTATACTCATAACTAATTCAATTAATTTATAGGTTGAGAATTGCAATTACTTTGTTTATTAATAGACACATAAAAAATTACATAATAAATTGCATAATCATACACTAAATAATTACATAATCATTACATAATTGACTATATAATATTCAAAATTTCACTAATTAAATTTACTATACAAAACAAACAATAATAATTTAATAAAGAACTAAAAAAGGAGTGAACAAAAAAATTTTATTTTTTATATTAATTTAGTTAATATTAATTTTGACAACCACTTTTATAAATCAAATATTTTCAACAAATTAAGTCATATACATTACTATAGTAATACTTTATATTCAACAGAAAAGTTAAGAACAATTCGGTATTATACACATCTTTGATATATTATTTAAAATTTAATTTTGACATATATTTATCAATATAGTATAAAGAAAAAAATAATTATTTCCCTCATTACTAATTATAATAAGATATAAATATTAAAACAAATTTTGACTACAAAGAATTATAATATAGAAGTATAGCGGATTGATTATTATCTATCAAAAATGAATGAAAAACATCATATGCTGTCGTTAAATTCAAAATCAAAAATTACTTCCTATACGTCAACTTCAAAAAGTTATACAAATAATAATCAAGAATTTTCATCATTAATTTCTTTTAAAAATATTTATGATTTTGCTATTTTATCATTATTTATAACGATTATTAAATTTATTTATGAATTTATTACATTTTTTATACCTTCATATACTTCGATTATAATTTTACAAGATCCTTTAAAAGATTCAAAAAATTCAGTATTAAAGCAACAACAACAACCTAAAAATCAACAACATCAAACCCAATTATTTCCAAGTATTAATCTTAAATATAACAATGAATCATCAAAAGAAGAAAAAACTGAAGATTCATTGGTTCCAACAACTTGTTCTATGGGATTAACTACAAGATTATTACCAGTTAAAAATTCAAAAGGAGAATTAGAATGGGTATTTACAGAAGATGATTCAAATAAAAATAATGAATTAGATGCTTTTAAAATGCCACAAAATTATGCACCATATGCTCCACCACCACCACCACCAGCACCAAATCAACAACTACAACAAGAGCAAGCCAACCCAAGCCCATTGAAATTTGATCATCATTTTAATAATAGTAGTAATGAATTATCACCAACAATTTCAAACTCATCAAATGAAACATCATTATCATCAAAATTAGAATCAAATACTAGTAGTCAAAAAGAACATTCTATTTCACCAAATAGTAGTTCATCTCCTTATGAAGGTGATGGTGAAAATGATGTAGATGAAGAAATAGATGATGAAAATAAGATATATCAATGTCCTCATTGTGATGCAAATTTCAAAATTAGAGGTTATTTAACAAGACATTTGAAAAAACATTCAACAAATAAAGCATATTCTTGTCCATTTTATGATCAAAGTATGTATGTTGATAAAAATAATATTACTCATAAATGTCATCCAAATGGTGGGTTTTCAAGAAGAGACACTTACAAAACTCATTTGAAATCTAGACATTTTGAATATCCAAAAGGTACAAAAACAAAAGATAGAGGAAACAGTTCAGGAAATTGTGGATTATGTGGAGAATTTTTTAATAGTTCAGAAATTTGGTGTGAAATTCATGTTGAAGGTGGAGAATGTAAATTTTTACCAATTGATTATAAGGGTAAATCAAGAATTAAAAATAGATTAAGAAAAAAATTACAAAAAAATGAAATTATAACTGATCCAGAATTATTACCATATGCTTCAAAAGTTTATGAAGAAGTTAAAGAACAAAAAAAATTAAAAAAATTAGCAAAACAAGAAAATAAGTTGAGACAATTACAAAATCAAGCTCATTTTCAGCATTTTAATAGTAAAGAACAACAAGTGAGTAATTCAGAACTACAACATCCACATCCAACACAATCTTCGACTAATAATCATATTGATACTCCAACTTCAATAAGTTCATCAAATTATGAGACTTCTTCGATCCATTCTCCTTATACTCCACAATCAAGTAAATCACCATTAAGTTTAATGACAAATCAATATGTAAGACATCAACCTACACCACCTCAACAACATTACACAAGCACAAATTCCACGACATCATTAACACCAGCTCCATATCAATTTGATCAAATAGCTACCGCACATCAAAAAACTCCTCATATTCAAAAAGAAGATTATGATGATGAATACTGTTTAGATATTGATCAATTAGATTCAAATATGTATTTAACAAATTCACAAAAAAATTTAAATTTAGAAGTTTTACAAGCTTTAAAATTACAACAACAATATCAAAGGAGAGTTTTCAATGATCAAAATTTAATGCAACGTGAACAACAATTATATCAACAACAACCAACTCAAGTTCAATCTGTTCATCCAAGTCAACAATCTTATCATCCTTATCAACCTCAACAAGTTTTCCAAACTACAGGTTAAATTGCAAAGCGAAAAACTGTTTCGGTCATTTCTTTTTTTTGATGATGAAATGAGGTTATGAATTTATGTTGTGATGTCTTACTTTTTGCTTTACTTTCAAATTCTGGTTTTATACTGGTTATATTTTTTCTTCTTCAGTTTATGTATTTTTATCATTATAGTTATTCAGAGTCAGATTTATAAAAATGTTTCGGTCAGTTCATATTTTTAAATGGTTTGATTTCGGTGCTTATTTTTTCAATTTTTTTAAAGAGTTTCTATATTTTCGTTTGATTTTTAGAGTGATTACAAAAATTTATATTGGTGTTTTTAAAATAATTCTAAATTTGTAGCTAGTAGATTTTTTCTCAATATTGTCTTTATTAAACTGTACATTCTGTTTGTGATTGACTATCTGAAATCGTTTATGATTTAAAAATATCATCAATTAAACTCTTTGGTTTTTTCTTTTTTTTATTCTTTGTATTAGTGGTTGTCAAATAAACAATTTTTTTCCTTTTAGTTGATTTATTTGAGCCAAAAATATCATCAATTGTTGAATCTGAAATTGCTTTTCGCTTTTTGGTTGTTGGTTTCAGAGTTTTTGATGATGACGGTGATGTAGTATTCGAAGATGGTATATCGGTATCACTTTCTTTAACTGGCTTGATTGGAGGTGTAGTTTCTTCAGCTACGTTTATGTCATTAATTTTATCATTCTTACCTGTACTGTCATTACTTGCTTCAATTTTCTCTAGTTCTTCTAAGTTAACTTCCTCACCCAAATCATCACCACCATTTTGTTCGAATAACTGATTCATTGTAACATTATTTAGTCCATTTTGTTCTTCAATAGTAGTAGGTATATAATGTTTTGATTTTTTAACACCAGGTATATCTAGCAATAAGCAATATATTTTAGATAAGTTCCCAATAAAAGCTAGTCCTAAAGTTATAAATTGTCCAAGCACGAGTATTGAATTATAATTCCAATACGCAGTTCTTGAAATTTTTATTATATAATTTGCAATTTTTAAAATTTCTTCAGATTTATATTTTATTTTTTTTTGATTTTTGATTCTATTGATGTCTATTTGTAACTTTAGTATCTTTCTCAAGTTTCTGTGGATTATATTTAGATATTTGAACCAGTTTTGTTGTGAATGTTGATTTTTTGATCTATAGTGAAGTAAATTTAGTAGTTCGTATTCGTTTGTTAGTTGTTTAAATGTATCATTGTCCATTATTGTTTCTGATAGTTCATGTGTATTAGCAAAATATAGCCGACTTTTAAATTTAATAGGTTAAGTTTGTTTTTAAAGCTTGGTGGCTAGTGTTGTAAATGTATAAAATGTTGTTAATAATTAATTAAAAGTAAATACCAATGTAAAAGAATACTTGATTTAACATTCTTTACACAAAGCTAAAATATTAAATTTTGTATGAGAGATGATTTAATACAAGAAGAGATTTTAATATTCAGTTTAATTAGAAACAAAACTCAATTCAGAACAATTATCAATATATCATCAAAATGACTGATCAAAATTCAATTATAGCAGAAGTAAGAGCACTTCTAGCAACTTCACAACCAGACAAAGCATTACAAATACTATCACCACACATTAACGAAAACCAAAATTCAATTGACTTTTTACAAATTCTAGGTGAAACATTACTAGAAAATAATGATTTAGAGCAAGCTTATAACGTATTGACAAAAGCTTGTGAATTGGACCCCACTGCTGAAAATGGGATAGAGAAGTTTTTATATTTAGGACAAATTATTGGTGGATTTGATGGATTAAATTATATAAATATTGGATTGAATAAATTACAAGATACAATGAATAAATTAGAAAATAACGAAATTACAAATGAAGAATTGCAATCAAAAAATTACAACAACAACGAGGAGTATATAAAATGGATAATAAACAAAATAAATTCAGGTATATTTGCAAGTATAGAGATATGGATGACAGATTTATGTATGGAACCAGAAGCAGAATCTAAATGTAATGAATTAATAGAAACAAGTTTAAAAATCGACCCTAAAAACCCGGAAACTTTCTCACAATTATCATCAATTAGAATATCACAACAATTAAAACCAGAAGCTATTGAAGCATTAATACATTCGTGGGATTTATTTAAATTAAAAAAAACAAAATTAGAAGATTTTGCTAATGAGAAAACAACACAAGGAGAAGATAATTTTGAAATTGGTATGGAATATGTTGAATTGATTCAACCTTTAATTACATTATCTAAATTTGCTATTGAATTGGAACAATATGATATAGCTACTGAAATCATTCAAAATATTTCTGATATAAATGATACTATATTGGATGCTTATTATATTGAATCATTATCTAGTATATTAAAAGCCAAACAACTCGCATTAAAAGAATTAAACCTATCAGAAGATCAAGATTATAGAGACATATCAATATCACAATTAAGTCAATCTCAAAATGAAGAAATCAAACAATTGTTGTCAGAAGCAAGAAGTACATTAACATCAGCATATAAAATCATAAATAGCGAACAAGTAGAAGAATGTGATCCATTAGTCGTTGAACAAATTAATGAAATGTTACAAGAATTAGGTGGACCAATAATTAGTGAGTTGATGCCGAAAAAGGATAAACATGATGAAATTGATGAAAATTGGGAAAATGAAATTGTTTCTGACGAAGAATAAAATATTTAGAAAAAGTACATCTATAGACTAGCTCTGGAATTTAATGTATATTAATGCTTTCAACAGTTTATTTTTTCAGTGACTGAAGAGTAATTCAAAATTTGTTTCATAGTAAAGTACAAAACAAAATAAGCCTCATCAAAAATCTCTTCGTACAAAGAAAAAGAGTAATCCAAATAGTATATGAAGTTTACGTAGTATTTACTCCATAATTTGCACACAACCAAACATCCTTTTATTTAACTCCCCTTAAGAACTAAATAAAAAAATGACAACGAATCATAGACCAACACTAATAAGTAAAAAAGGTAAAAACATTAAAATAAGAGATCTGATAAAACATGCAAGATCATTCCCACAACAACCTGGTTTAAAATTTAGAAAAAATTTACAAGGTATACCTATTGAAATTTTAAATAATGCTGTTAATGAATTGAAAGCTGAACAAGACAAATCAAAACTGGAGGATAATGATGATAAGAAAGTCGATGATGTTGTTGCTAAATTCATGGCCAATAAAAAAATTAATGATCAGAAGAATATTCAATCTAGGATACTACCCCCAGCTAAAATTATTACGAATGAAGTGCTAGATAATGGCGAGGATAAGACAAAGAGTAATAACAATGAAAACGAATATGATAACAACAATGACAATAACGACAAGACTGATAACGATAATAACGACGAAATACTCCCAAATAATGAAGATTCAAATATAGCAAAGCCTAGTAGACGACTAATAGAGTATGATTCATCAAGCTCAGAAGAAGAAGAAGAAGAAGAAGAAGAAGATAAAGATGAAGAGAGCTCAAAAGAAAAAAATAAGAACCTAATAGAAGTTGTAGACTTAGAAGCAGTCGAGGATACAATCAATAAGGAAGAAGAATCTCATTCAGTAAATGAGTCCAAAACTACAATTTCAAATAGTAATGCTAAAAATGATGAGGCAATATCAGAAGAGTCAACATCGGAAGAAGACGACGAAGAAGAAACAGCAGAATTATTAGCAGAATTAAACAGATTAAAACAACTAAAAAGTCAAAATCAACAACAACGACATCAACAACAACAACCAAATCAAAAACCGTTGCTCGATAATGTACTATCTGACTTACAAACTGCAACAACTAAGAAGAAAAATTGGAGATCATCACCTTTGAAAACTAATAAAGTGACTAATGCAAGACAAGTAGTTACTGATTCTAATTCTAATCAAAAATTCTTATCTGAATACATTAAATAAGATAAATAAACGAATATAGAATAAAGCAAAAATTTGTAATCTTGTAACGAAAATTTTAAAATTTGTATTATTTTAAGAAAAGTACATATTTCTAGCAATCAATATACAAGTATACCTATAATCTAGAATAGAAAAATAATCATTCTTATCAAGTTCAAGTCAAATCATCATCATCAACTTCATGATTTGCGGTATCACCTAATCTTGCGTGTAAATAAGCAATATCTTCTTTTAAACTTGATTCTTCAACAGTTTTAACCAATTCTTTTGTACATTTTGCAATGTCAAAACTTATACCAGCTAATCTTTGTTTAAAATTTTTATCAGCAAATTCCAGATCAATTTTATCTGAATTTTTACATAATATAATCATTCTATGATAACAATCTTCTAATGATTCAACTACCCATATACCATGTTCTTTTAATTGAGCATTTCTTGTTTGATTCATGGAGGTGTTTGTTGCTTCTGTCATTTGTGATATAACTGAAACTATAGCTTTTGATTTTTCTCTTAATTCTCCTCTGGTTGCTTTTGGTTTCTTGATAGCAGCTAATAAAGTTTGAATTGTATTAATAACTTCAACTGTTTGATGTTCTAAATATAATAAAACTTGAGTTAAAGTATTGTCTGGATCATCAATATCAAATAAATTTACATTAAAAGTTGCTGCTGCCATTGATCTTCTATATTCTTGTTTATGTCTTCTAGCTTGTTCTTCTTCGTCATCTTCATCATCATCTGGTTCTGCTATTCTAACTTTTGGATTTATTACTCTTATTGTTGCATTATCCTCTTCTTCTTCTTCTTGTGAGTTAGATCTTTGGTCTGATTTTATGGTATCTTCTCCAGATGTAATATTTTTATTTAATTGAGTATTTTGATGAGTAATTGTAGATATTGATTTATCTTGTACATTTCTAGGGGGTTGTTGTTCAACTTCAGGTTCTTCCTCCTTTTTACTTTCTGCATTAGCTGATGTTTGTTCTCCAGCAAATTTTTCTCTTAATGATTGGAAAATTCCTTTCCCTCTACCAGCAAACAATGAACCACCACCAGATTCAGCACTATCAGAAGAATTTGATCCTTTTTCCTCACCATCTTTTGCTTCCCTTTTACCATCATCTTTTGACAAAGAACGATTTACAGTAAATGGATCAGCAAGTTGTCTTGGTTCATCATTTTTGTTGTTGGCTGTCCTCCCTTGATCTGGTGAAGATTCAAATTGTTTAACTCTATCTAAAAGACTTAACTTTTTAGCTGGTGATGGGGATTTGGAAGTTGAATATTCTCCCGATGTATTTTCAATTTTTTGACCAATACTTCCAAAAGAATTATTTTCATTTAAATTTGGACTTCTTTCAACTTTAACTCTTGATATACTTTCATTAGTGTCATTAGTATTTTCATTTTGAGATCCAAAAGAATTATCATTATCACTTTCCTTTTGTAAAAATTTACTATTTAATGCATTTGGGATTTTTTGTTGTTTAGCCCTTTCTCTTGATTGATCTAAAAAAGGACTTTTATCATCTAGCTTTTTTATATTATGTTCTGGTGAGGATGTATTTGAGTTAGTTACTGATTTATTTTGAGGAAATTGATTGGTTGATCCACGATTAGGAGAATTACTATTGCTTTCCAAAACACTATTATTATTACTACCTGTGGCTTTTAATTTATTGGCCATTTTCAAAGGTCTTACACCAAAGTTCTCATGAATTATATTAGCTGATGGTTTTTTCTCAACTTCAAGTTTTCTTAAATTTGTTGATTTTTCATTTAATTTTGAAACTGATATTAATTCACACAAAATACAACTCATTTCACCTAATGCTTTCTCAACAATAAATTTTGGAAATAAAGTTTTGTAAGTTGCGTGATATCTTGCAGAAGTTAATGCATAAGCAGCAGCTTCACGCAATAATACTGATTGTTCATTACTATTTGGTACATGATTATCACCTTGAGTTGCAACTTCATTTAATACATGTGCTAATTTTGAAATTTTTTCAAACATTATATTAGGATCAACATTATCACCATTTATATATAACAAGAAAGATTCTAGTAAAGCTTGAGCATCACTTACTAATTTTATTGAAATTAATCCATGAAGTGAAATTAATGGTTTTAATTCAAATTTAGATAATGCTGATTTTTTAATATCATTTGCAATAGTTTTTGATCTTGAATCTTCATATCTTCTTTGCCAAAGTTTGACTTGATTTTTTAAATCAAGAGTTGATAAGTTAGTCGCAGGATTTGTTGGTTGAATATTTTCTAACTTATCTAAAAATTCATTAATATTATTATCAGAAACTTTTAATTTTGTTGCTGTTGGTGAATTACCAGATTTATTCATAATTTGTGATGATCTATTAACTGGTGATGCATTTTTCAAAGCTTGATTTTCTAATCTTAATTGTGCATTCATTGATTTAATCTTTTCAAATTCATCTTTGACTTTATTGTTATTATTTTTTGATTTACTTAATGCATCATGTTTTGAAATCCAATTTTCTTTTTCTTGACCTAATGATTCTAATTCTTCACTTAATGATTTATTTTGTTTTACTGAATAATCATAATCATCTTGTAATGAAGAAAGTTTTTCAGTTAAAGAATTTTTTTCATTTTGTAAATTGGTAAATTGAGTTTTATATTCTTCCAATTGATTTTCTAATTCTTTAAGTATGTCATTCTTTTCTTCAAGTTCTTTATTTACATTCAATCCATTACTATGATGACCATTTGTATGTGAAGGACTTGAATTATGTTTGTTATGTTCATCATCGTCATCTTCTTCTTCATCACTTGACCAAGTTAAATTGGCCTTTGTTGGAACAACAGTGGTTGGTTGAATACCAATTTGATTTGGAGTATCCGAATTAATATTTTTGCTTGAAGTCGTATTATCTTCTGGTTTTTTAAAGTCTTCTCCTTTTTGTTGTTGTTCTTCCATTAATGGTAAATGACTACTTAATTGACGTGAAGCTTGACGACTATGACGGATTCCATTGTTATTGTTATTGTTATTGTTGTTATTATTATTATCAGACAAACTATGATGTAATGAAGGTACTGAATTTTTTCTTTCATGATATGATCCTGTATTATTATAATTGTTATTATTGTTTTGATTACTATGACTTGAAGATATAGATGGACGCTGATTATGTGAGATATGTTGTTGTTGTTGGGGCTGTGGTTGATTATCAATATGTAGACCTCTTCTTTCAATTTCAAAAGATATATCAGCAACTAAATCTTTAAATCTTGTTTGAGGTAATGAAGCTAATTTTTGTCTTGCTTGATTTCTTTTTGGATGAAATGATTGTTTTGGTAAAAGATAATCAGGTTCTCCTCTACTTTCATCAATTCTTCTTTTTAATTCATCATAAACATCAGTACTTAATTCTTTAAATTGTGCAGATGATAATTTTAATAATTTTTCTCTTGCTCTTTGAGCTCTTGATGAAGTTGATTTTGATCTTGTTTGTTGATCATCTGATATATCAAGAAATTGTTTTAATACCTTGTAATGATGTACTAAATCTCGTTCACTCATGATAATTGTAACTTAATTTTTATGATATGTTATTGAAAATATATATTTGTAAAAACTTTAAGGAGTAATATATTCATATATATAATCAGTGTTTTTTTTGATCTTAAAAACTGAAAATTAGATGATGAAGATGATTAATAAATTGTTCAGTTAATATAATGATAAGATGGAGATGATTAAAGAATTGATTGATTGATTGATTGTTATATATATACAAAGATAAAAAAAAATGTGTCGTAAAAAAAGTTATACAAAATAAAAAAATTTGGTTGTAAACTTTGATTGTTGTTTTTTCTTCTCTCATACAAATTTTTTTATTTTTTTGATATTTTCAGAAAAAGGTTTTAAGTTAAAGATCGATCTTTTTATTACACAAATCTTAATCTAATAATTAATAATATCAAGCTACTCAGAGGTTTCTAATTGGTTGAGTGAGATTTTCGATAATTTGAGTACCTTAATTAATAAACCAACTTAAGATGATCAAATTCAATTAACTTATATAAATGATTATTATAAAATTTTAAAATTGATCAGCCACTATAAAAAAAAATAATTTTGTGTGTAAATTTTTGTTGATTTATATTTTTGATTTTGTGTAAATTAATTTTTTATTTTTAATCTTTAAAACAAGACGCGTCTTATTTCTTCAATAAATTTTAATATTTACTTAAAAGGGTCTACATCTAAACTAAAATTATATAACAATCTAATCTATTATCCAATGATTTAAACTACGCCTAAATAACTGTAATCTAACTAGAACAAGAACATTGTAACATACTATAATCATCACCTTTATTACCTTGTAAAATCCAATTTTTTTCTAATTCTTTTAATTCTGTCCCCCATTGTTCTGGATTAAATGGATTTGAACTCATTTTTTGTAATTTTTCCAAATATGTAATATTTGAACAACGAGAATCTTGAGCTTGTTCTATTACTTGATTAAGAATCCAATTTCTTGGTAAGAATAATGGATTATATTTTGTAGAATCAGGAGTATTTGTTGTTGTTGTTGATTTTTGTTTATAGTCTTGATAAATTTTTAACCATGATTGAAATTCTTTTATTAAGTCTTCTTTTGTATTTCTATTTTTATTTGAATCATAATCTTTTAAAAATTCTGTAGATATTTCTTCAAGCAGTTGTGAATCAAATTTAATATTTTGTAAATTTAAAAAAAATAAATTAAAATCAATTTGTAATTTATATAATATTTCCAACATTGGTTGAATTATATCAATATTTTGTAAATCTGGATTTTGTTTATCTATTAAATTTAAAGATAATCCTAATCTTTTGAAAAAAGTTTCAATATATTTTAAAGTATATGAATATTGATAAATTTCACCACCAATTTCTATAATTTTAGTTGCTCTTTCTATAATATCTTCTTCCCATTCTTCTCTTATACCTTGTTTAAATTCAGGATTTTTTAATAAATTAAAACCAGCACCAATTAATTCAGCTAAATCTTCACCAAATCTAGTTAAATTCCACCATATTGCAGTAGGAACATTTTTATATCCATATCTTGATTGATGATCTTCTGAATTTGGAGTATAATTTGGATCATATTTATCCATTATTGAAAATGGACCAAAATCTATTGTTAAACCTAATATTGAAGTATTATCAGTATTTAATACACCATTTAAAAATCCATAACATTGACATATTGCAGTTGTTTCTGCATTTCTTATTATTGATTCAAAATACATTTTATCATAATCTGTTAATTCACCAATAATTGAATTATTTTTAGGTAATTTTAATAAATCAGGTTTTAAATTTTTAATTCTTTCAAAATTTTGAAATTTTTTACCATTAATTGTAAATAATTCATTAATAACATAATCAGAAACTTCTCTAATACCATCTCTATCACCTCTATACCTATACAAATCAAAAGTCCCCAATCTAATCCAACTTTCTGCAAATCGAGCTACTATTGCACATCTTTCTGCTGCATGTCTTTGTGCTAATGTTGTAGGTAATGAAGTTAATGATAATGCTCTTGTTGTTGGTATACCTAAAGCATTTAAATGTTCTGATATTATATATTCTCTTATTGATGATCTCAAAACTGCTTTACCATCTGCAAATCTTGAATATGGAGTTTTACCTGCACCTTTTAATTGTAATTCATAAATTGGTCTATTTTTTAATTCTTCTTCTTCATTTGTTATAGTTTTGGGTAATTCAAATAAATTAACAACTCTACCATCACCCAATTGACCAGCAAATTGACCAAATTGCCAACCAGCATAAGCTTGTGCATAAGGAAAAGGTAAATTGTATTTTGTAATATTTTCTTTATCATTATAAAACTCACCACTTACGATTTTTTGAAATATTGGTTCTTCAACTTCTTCCACAGTTAAATTTAAATCTTTTAATGCTTTTGGATTTGCAATTAAAAATTCATAGTCATTTCTTTTTGTTGGTAATACCCATGAAAATCCACCACTTATTAAATTTCTTGGAGTATTTGTTATATTATTTTCATTTCGTAAAGCTATTTCCTTTGTGGTTATTCTATTATCTGGTGATACATTAGATGTGAATGATGATGAATTTTGTTTTATTGCTAAATTTAATAATTTTGACGGGGTTGATGGTTTTGTTGAATTACTTGACATTCTTTTTATAATTCTAAGCATATAATTTGTGAGATTTTAATAATAAGTATTGGTTTTTGTAAAGAATGTTGCAGATAAATTGTATATACAAGTTTCTAAATCTAAAAATTTGGCTTGAAAATGTGGAGAATTTGAATATTTATGAGTTTGATTCTAATTTATAATACTTGATAGTTTCAACAATCCTGAACTAGTTTATTAAATAAAGAGTAATCAGTTTCAATTATTATATTTATAATTCAATTGAATTATAAGACAGTGAACTTATATATGATTAATAATGTTTTATCATAATTACATCATAAATTATAAAACGTTTAAATCGTGTGAAAGCTTCAATTATTCACGTGATCTAGATATGATTTGTTTGTTAACAACTGTTAATATGCATAATATATTAAAAGGGTTTTGACAGATGATTTACCTTACTTAATTAGTACCTAATATTTGTTGTGTATTATTGTGTTGTCATTAAGTTAGTATATGTATAATTGATTGGCAAATATTTTGAAGTAATAACGGTATTTTTTGATTCCTGGGGGTTTTATACAATTCCAAATACTTTTCTGATTGATCAAATTTTCTAGCAATTTAAATCGAGTTCTTGAAATGGATTCTTGAACTTTTAATTTCATGAACTAAAATATAAGACTTAATTTATTCTTTTAATGAACTATTCTCTTGTTGCTCTTTTTTTTTTTCATTAATCTCAAATTTTTCATACTTTCATTCTCTTAGACAAAATAAAAACAAAAAAATTTGTTTGACAATTTTGAATACGAAGTCTTTTTATTATTCAAGTTTTAGATTCATGTCCATACGTGTTTCAACAACAAATTAAGAGCAAAGTCAAATATCAATTACATTTACCCAAAATAATCAGAGATATTTCACTCAACTATTATACATCATCATTTAAATTTAGCATTTTAATCAAATCAAATCAAATATAATTCATGACATTAAAATATAGATTAAGGCTACTATTAGTTGTCGTGATATTTCTAATAGGTATCCATCTTATATACACCAAAACCATCACAACTAATAATTTTCAAAATATACTAGATAATTCAATTATAAATAATTTATCACAACAACAACAATCATCACAACAACAAAATCAAAGAATAAAACCAATACCTGGACAACAAATAGATCCAACTAAAAAACCTCAACAACAAGAACAATTAAAATCTGACTTTAAAAAAAACCCAAAGATTCAAGATTTTACTATATTTTTTGACAATTTGGAGAAATACTCGATTGATCAACCATCAATTAAAGATAAATATAAAACAGTTCATGCAGAAGAATTATTTTCATCTAATGACGATTTCTTGTTTAACAAGGAATACTTGGAAAATGTATTAGATATACCCGAGGCAACTTATGATGAATTAAAATCCAAACATTCACAATATGTAAATAAAAGAATACCTGAATTATTAGAGAAAGGAATATCGACATTTGGTAATCAAGTACCACAAAATAAAGAAGAATGGGATAATTATCATGGATCATCAGGTTATGTTTTAGTGGGAGGTGGAAAATATAGTTGGTTATCCTTTTTGGTGATCAAGCAACTAAGAGAAGTTGGATCAAAATTACCAATTGAATTATTTTTATCGTCAAAAGATGAATATGAAGAAAAATTTTGTAAACATTTGGAAGCTAAATATAATGCAAAATGTAATGTATTTAATAAAAAATTATCAGATAACTTATTCAAAAGATTTAAAATTGGAGGGTACCAGTATAAAATGTTGGCATTATTAAGTTCAAAATTTGAAAATGTATTATATTTAGATTCTGACAATTTCCCAACTACAAATATGGATTACATATTTGATACAGATTTATATAAAAGAAATCAGTTATTATTATGGCCAGATGCATGGGCAAGAACTACTAATCCAAAATTTTATGATATTGCCAACGTTGAAATAAAAGAAAATAAATTAAGATATTCACAATATGATATAAAACAAGCTGGTGGTAAAGAAAAATTAAGACCCTTAACAAGCTATTCATTTGAAAATTCTTGGTTCCATGATTTCGAAGGTACATTACCTGATCCAACATCAGAAACAGGAGTATTTATAATAAACAAAACAACTCATTTAAGAACATTATTATTGGCATTGTACTATAATGTATTTGGACCAGATTTTTATTATCCATTATTAACTCAAGGTTCAGCAGGTGAAGGAGATAAAGAAACTTTTATAGCTGCTGCTCATGTGATGAAAGAACCTTGGCATCAAACTTTAAAACAATTTTTATGGACTGGATATGTATCAAAAACAGATAACAAATTCACTGCTAAAGCTTTAGGTCATTATGATCCTATAAAGGCAAAAGAAGTTTCTGAAAAATTAGAATCTGGGGGAGATGATTCATTAAGTGATGAAGAAAAAAAAGTAAATGTTGTATTTATGCATTTATCATACCCTAAATTTTATCCAAATTGGTTAGTAGATAATCATAATTTAATCTATAAAGATACTGCTGATCATATAAGAATGTACGAAATGGTAAATGAAAACATTGGATATGATTTTGATTTAAGAATGTTACAGTTTTTCACAGAAGCAATTTGTCCAAATTATTATGGTGATGATGGATTAGCTACTGATAATGATGTTATATTAGATAAACATAATACTTATATGGGAGATTATTTGAAGTATATTAAAGATGATGAGGAAAATAATATTAAAAGATGTAATGATGTATTTTTACCACATTTACGTTGGTTAAAAGAGACTAAAAAGAATTATGGACCTCAAGAAGTTTGGTGAGTATAGCATTGTATTAGATATTTAATTATTAATAAAACAACAAATTAATGAATCAATCAAAAATATATTGAACTACAAAGATTTCTATAACTTGTATAAATTATTCTATTCTAAGAATTCAATTTTTCAACAATATTTTCAACAACTTCATCAACACTATCTCTAGAATATTTACTAACCATCAATACATCAATTAAATTTTTAACTCCAATATTAATTTCATATCCAGATAATTGTTCCAAAATATTCGATCTATCTTGAGGTGTCATAAATCCTAATTTTTCCAAAACTTTACTTATTTCTTCAATTGTTTTAACTGGTGGGACTGCAATAACATCATTAAAACTATCTATAAGATTCATATGTTTTAAAACCGAATATTGTGAAGTAGTACCAATAATTAATAATTTTCTACCTTTTGGTGGTTGTTTAGTTAAATAAACCATCAATACTTGTAAAACATCATTTGAAAAACGAGGACCAATAGGATTATAATTTATAATATTTTCAATCTTATCTATAACCAATACATTAAGTGGGGATTTATGAACATCTCTGAAAATATTATCAATTTCTTGGATTTTACGTTGTTCTCCCATACCAACTAAAGTTTCAGCTGATAACATTTTTACAAATGGGAAATCACTATTTAATGCTAATGTAGTAGCTATAGCAGTTTTTCCAACTCCTGGAGGTCCATATAACAACACGCTTCTTAAATTTTCAGTCTCACTTGATTTAACAACATCGATTATAGATTGACCTTTTTCAAAAATATGTCTTATAGTTTGATTAAATTGAATTATTCCATGTTTTGCTTGTCTTGATAAATCTTCTTCATCAGTACCAAAAGCTGGTCTTATATCATTTAAAGCTAATAAAAAATCATTTCTTGTAATTTGCATATTTGCAATAGATTCTGCATCTATTTGTGCTAATGATCCCTTTTTGGTATGACGTGATATAGCATATGATTTTGCTGAATTACATAAACCTTCAATTTCTGCACCTGTAAAATTTTTAGTTAATGAACTTAATTCATCAAAATTAACATCTGAAGTTAATAATTTATTTTCTTTAAGTTTTTTAGTATGAATTAAAAATATATCTTTTCTACCTTTTTCATCAGGTAAAGCAATTTCAATTTGGATTTCAAATCTACCAGGTCTTAATAGTGCAGTATCAATTAAATCTAATCTATTAGTCATACCAATAATTAAAATATTATTTAATTGATCAACACCGTCCATCTTGGATAATAATTGATTAACTACATTATCACCAACCCCAGTACCATCACTTTTTCCCGACCCTCTTTGTTTGAAAACTGAATCTAATTCATCAAATATAATAACATGTAAATCTGAATCCTCACCTTTTAATTTATATTCTGCCTCTGCATCTTTAAATAAATTACGAATATTTTCTTCAGAAGCACCAACATATTTACTCAACATTTCTGGTCCATTAACAATTTTTGGTTCTTTACCATTTAACATCTTGGATAATTTACGAGCAATTAATGTCTTACCCGTGCCTGGCGGTCCATATAATAATAACCCTTTACAATGTTTATAATCTAATAATTCAGCTATATCAGGTGGTAATATTCTTGAATTAAAAGCTCTTCTGAAAATATCTTGAAATTCACTATCCAAACCACCAATTCCTAAATCTTCTAATTTGAAATCTGGATTTATGATTTGTTTCCTTGAACGTGATCTATGCTCTACTGCACCATTACCTCCAAATATTCTTGATTTTAAACTTTTGCTTTTAGAAATTTGAATCTTAGATCCTTCATATGGGTAAAAAACTATATCTGTTGATTTTATGAAAATCCCCTTTGTACTTATATCACTTGAATCTTTGAAACTTGGTAAATTATCTTTTGTATTCACATCAATAACTTGTACTTGTTCAATTTTTATAGAATAATATATCCCATTATAATCCATATAAATAACTTGAGTAGGTTGTAAAATTTGGTTATCATATTTTTGATGGAAAATATTTACTAAATCATCATGATTTAAATTTGCATTATTTGATTTTGCTTTTACAAAATCAATTGATAAATCTATAGCTCCTAAATATTGTTGTTGTTGACCACTTTGGAAAATATCATAGTTTTCAATATGAACTTTTTGATCAAAGGAGTATTTACCCCAAGTTCTTATGTTTCCAGATAATCCAATATAACCAGGTTTAACTCTATCATCTTTTGCAATTGCATAAACAAATACTCCATCTAATATAATTGGTGCTCTATCTGGTATATGTTGAAAATCTCCAGGATTTACTGCAACTCTATTTGATAAAACAACATCGTTACCTGGGGCATTACTTACTAATAAAACTTTTTTAATAGATTCAGTATATTTTGGTGGCGTTTGTGATAAATGAGGTTGTGGTATAGCTATATTATGATTTATTCTTGGTTGTGTTGGTGAAGTTGGATGATTTGATACTTTATGAAATCCAAATTTCTCCATCACAGACTTATATTTTTAATTTAGTATATTATCAAGGAAGTAAAAATGAATTGACTGAAAGATAATTGATATTAAAATAAATGAAATACTAATTATTTGAATATAACTTCGTTTCTAAATCAGTCTTTTTCTAAATACATACGTATTTTCCGTTGATTGTCATTTATGGAAAGACAGAAAATAGAAAATATCGACAAGCAAGGTTTTCGACACTAAATCGTTCTTTGTATTAGATTAGATAAGTAACAGACTCAATTTGAACCACAATTAATTTGTCAAATTATTCATTACAGATCAAGTCGATATATTGATTGAAAAGAAAGACAAACTGCAAGCTCCATTGCAGGCAACTAAATCAATTGGTCATCTACCTGACAAAGACTAAATCTAAAATACTCGAGTAAAAAGTATCAATTTCTTCAAACCAAATTGCAGTTTCAATTAATTCAACCGTAACAACCGATAATCAAAAACCATAAACCTTGCAAAAAAAATGTCATTAAGTAAAGTTCCAAAACAAAAAGGTATCTTACATACTTTTGGTTTTAATTTAACGGCATTTGAATTCACAGATAATCCAGATGAAGTATCAGAAAATATAATAATATTTATTGGAGGATTACAAAATGGTTTATTGAATGTTCCTTATTTACCACAATTAGCCAAGTCAGTTTCAAAAGTCAAAGGTAAAGATAAAGAAAGTTGGAGTTTAATTCAAATACTTTTATCATCAGCATATACTGGATATGGAATAACTAGTCTTTCAAAAGATTCACAATAAATTCAAAAAGCAGTAGAATATTTTAGAGCATCAGAAGGTGGTCAACGTAAAAAAATAATATTAATGGGTCATTCAACTGGGTGTCAAAATTCAATTCATTATTTAACTAAACATTTATTATCGGATAATTCTAAACTCACAGAAAATTCTAACATTGATGGAATTATATTACAAGCATCAGTATCAGATCAAGAAGCAATTTCATCAACTTTAGATCCAACAAAATATGAATCATTAATACAAGAAGTTCAAAATGAATATATAGCAAAGGGTAAATCAAATGATATATTACCTGAAAAATTTAGAAAGACAAATTGGGGAGTACCAATAACTGCATATAGATTCAATTCATTATTTTCTAAAAGAGGAGATGATGATTTTTTTTCATCTTATTTAACTGATGAAGAACTCGGGGAAAGTTTTGGTAAAATTTCTAAACCTTTATTGTTAGTATATTCTGGATCTGATCAATTTGTACCTGCATCAATTGACAAGAAAGAATTAGTTCTGAGGTTTCAGAAAGCTACACCCATTGAGCTTTGGAGTAAGTATAGTAAAATTATTGATGGTGGTAGTCATAACTTAGGCGATGATTCTGAAAATGATCAAGTTATTGATGAGTTGATTAATGCAGTTACGAGCTTTATTGAAAATGGTGTTTAGTACATACCATTATTTTTCCCTATAATAGTGGTTAACATATATCAAAGTGCTATTTATAGATCTAATTACGTAATCGAATTATTTATCTGATCTCTCGTAAATATTATTGCGCTACCAATTAATTGTTTAAAAATACCCCTTTTGTATCAGGAAATTGTTTTAAAAAAACAGAACCAGAAAAAAATAATTAAAAATTAAATTAAGGTTGCAAAATTAAAAAAATAAGAGTTTCGTAAATTTTAAATTTTAGTTTCTATTTTTTTTTTTTGCAGCCGAAAAAAAATAATTTTGAAACACAAAATCAATTTTAATAGTTGAGCAATAAAAGTAATTTCTTGATTAGGTTATGTAATTGAATTTGGATCTAAATACAAAATAACTTACTAGAACTTACCAGGTCTATTTAAACGATATCGTTTTATTTATATTTAAAATAAGACCATCCAAAGCGCATATAACTAATTGAATAAATTATAAACAAAAAATAACTAAAATATATTAATTATATAAAAGTACATTTCCTAAAATGAAAGATAAATATATATATAGACGATATTAAATCATTAATCTGTAATTAATATCAAAAGTAACTTAAAATATATTTGTTGAAGTAAAAGTGGGATATGAAATTTATGAAAAAAAAACTTTATGAAAATTTTATGGAAATTTTGGAAAAATAAAATTGTAGTTAATAATATCAATAAATATAGAATATAAAATATGAATATGATGATGGTATAAATATATTTTTTAATTTTTTTTAATTTTTAATTTTTAATTTTCTTTTTTTTTTAATTTTGTAGCTTTTGTGTTAAACTTTTATGGTTTTAAATATAGTATTACATGTTCATTTTATACTTCTTTTTTTACCAAGTTTGATTATTGAATGAACTGATGGTTGTGTTATTACCAGTTGTTGATGGGTTTAAGATTTGAGTATTTGATGATGATGCTGTAGTTGTAGTAGATGACCAAGATGGATTATGAGAATGATAAACATTTAAACCATTTGAATTTCCATTTGTTTTGTCAATACCTCCTGATCCAACAGTATTACTGTTATAAGTAATTCCATTGATTGGACCACCACCCACGTTATTATTCATCATTTGTTGTTGTGATTGAGGTGGTTGGAATTGATGATAATTGTTATAACCACTTGGTAAATAACCTGGATTTGGAGTAAATGATGGAGTTGAATTAACTGAGCTATTATGTTGCTGTTGTGGTTGAGGTAAGTTTAAAGAAGAAATTGATGAATTACGATTATGAGTTTGTTGTTGCTGTTGTTGTTGATGCTGTGGCTGAGGTGGTTGTGCAGGTTGATGAGCCATTGGGTATAAGTTTGAATAAGATGAATGCAGTTGATGATGATGATGATGATGTTGTTGTTGGAAAAATGGATGATACATTGGATGAGGACCATTGATATAAGGATATAAATTTTGACCAATACCACCAACACTATTACCATTTAAATTTGGAGTTGCTCTATTGCTGTATTCATCATTATTTTGTTGAGCTGGTGATGGAGCAACTGATCCATTTGAATGAATAGATGCAGTTGATGCATTTGGATTCATTATATTACTGACATTATTGACATTATTGACATTGTTTACATTGTTATTAGCATTATAGTTATTACTATTATTGACATTAGCTTGATTATTAGTATTATTTGTAATTGCTAAATCATTAATCTTGTTATTTGATGATGAATTTGAAGTTGATGAAGACAAATTATAAAGATTACTTGGTAATGAATTTGTTCTAATTGTTGAAGTTAAATTATTTTTTATTGGATAATTCAAATTATTGTGGTTCCCATAGTCAACTGAGTTGCCACCATTATGTTGATGGTTATTTGATAATTGATTTAAATAATTAAAAGATTGCAATTGTTGTAATTGAGGTTGATATTGTTGATTTGAATTATGATGTAAATTTTGCTTGTACATCGCACCATCACTTGCTACAAATTCACCGTTTGCATTCATTTGACTACCTCTTTTAAGTAATTTATTTATTGAACCATTAGATGAAGATGAAGATGAGGAAGATGATGTAGCTGATGATGAAACATTTGATCCATTATTATTCAAAATTATATTAATTTTAGATTGAATTCTTTTACCAAATGATGAGATAATTTTACAATTTTGAAACCAATATTTGATAATAACAATTAATAAAACATTTTGATATTGAGTTTGTGGTTGTTGTTGTTGTTCATCATTATTATATTCATTTGGTAAAATCAATGATAATTTAGAAACTTTTGAATAATCAATTTGTGGATTTATTAAAATATCAATCATTGTTTGAATTACATAATTACCATAAGGATCATTAATTAATAAATTTAAATCATCAATTAATATTTGATAAGTTAATTCAAATTTTAAATTTGCAAATTCATAATTTAAAATTTCATTATTATAACAATTTTTTAAAAATTTTTCAACAACATTTGAACTAAATTTTGAATTACATAAATTTTTAATACCATATTTTAAAAAGTTTTTAAAAACTTTATAGTTTATTTCTAAAGAATTTATTGATATAAGATATTGTAATACATAATTACCAAATTGATCATTAATTAATTTTGAAAAATTCTCAAAATTTAATATAGCATTTGAAAATTCAATTAATTGTGATGAAGTTACATGGTTTAAACATTTTTGTAATACACAACATCCATGTTTATGAGTTGCAACAATATATAAATCTTTTATAATAGACTCATAAATAAATTGACAATTTATTGGTTGATATTTATTTAAAATTTTTTGAATAACATGATTACCGTTTAAATCCTTGATTAAGTCAACAATATAAGGTTTTAAACCTTGAATCAATAAACTCAATTGTAAATTGTTGTTTAAGTTATCAATAATTTTTTGTAAAGCTCTTGTACCATGTTGATTTATTGAAATTTTGAATAAATTATCTTTTAAAATTTCTAAAATTAAATTTAAATTTGATTCATTACAATACAGGATCATCTTTTGAATTAAATAATTACCAAATGGATCAATAATCAACTCATACATATAAGGATATATTTCATTAAAAATAATTTCAAAATTATTTAACCTAACTTGATAATTTGAAATTAGTGTTTCATCAATTTTTTTTTGTAAAAATCGACATCCATATTGATCTTTTGATAATTTTAATATTTCCGTTTTTAATTGAATTAATGGTAATTTATTTATCGAAACAAGATATTCTTTATCAATTTTTGTTGGTACTCTAATAATTGGAGTATTTGAAGTTGTAGTTGATGAGTTTAAATTATTATTATTAAAATCACTGTTAGATCCAACAGCACCACTCAAAAAGTTGTTATTATTTGATGATGGTGGAGTTGATGAAGTTGAATTAGTTGAATTAATATCACCAACAAAATTTAACATAGTACCGCTACCAACACTAATAATACCTAAATTTGAGCCATTATTTGATTTTTTTAAAAAATTTTCTTTATTATCATTTGAATAAGTAATAATTGGAGGTGGTTGTTGTTGTATATTATGTTTTGTAGTTCCTCTATTATTATTTGAATCTAATGATAATTTTTGAAATGAAGATATTTGTGAAGAAGGACTAGATGTAGTTGAACTTATTGAATCATTATTTGATGAAGGAGGTATAATCAATGGAGTTGAAATTACTTCATTATTTAAACTCCCACCACCATTACCTCCATTATTAATACCAATTTGATTATCTATATTAAAATTTGGTAAATTTAAATTATTATTTAATTTATTTGAAGAATCCCATAAAATTGATTTTCCATTTAAATTATTTGTATTAAATTTTAAATATGAACCATTTGATGATAAACTACGATTATGAGTATTATTATAAGAAGTATTTGTAGTTGATGATGAAGAATTGGTATTGTTTGATGAAATACTATTAAAAGTTTGAGGAGTATTTGGATGTTGTTGCTGAATTTGAAAATTATTATTTGTATTAATATTATTATTAGTATTAGTATTAGTATTTGATAAATTATTATTTGGTGGAGTTGTAGGTTCAATAATTGAATTCATTGAATTTATAGATAGATTATGATTATGATTATAATGATTTTGTTGATAAGAAGACATTGATAAGATGATAATTGTCTTCTTTATTGAATATTGTTGTATATACTAAATATATATATTAAAAAAGGGAAAGTTTGTAATGGTTGAAATTTTATATTTATTATATATAATATTTAAAATTAATATTAATATAATAATAATAATTTAGTACAAAATTAATCTATCTAATTTTTTTTCTACTGTCTTTTGAAATCATTATTAGGATATATATATAGGAATTAATATATATATTTGAGAAATGTCTTGATTATTCAATAAAATGTTTATATATATAAGAATTTTTAAAAATTATTAACACTTGTATATCACATAAATTAGATAGATCAGTAATTTGTAGATCATTATATTCTATTATATCCAAAAAAGTTAGTTCTTCTTCAATAAATATATTTAGATATTTGAAAAGTATTTGAAAAATTATTTGAACATATTAAAATTTACACCTCTCAAAATTAGGATTCAAAAATATTTAATTAATTAATATTAAAATTGTAAGGAGACAAACTATAAAAAGTATAGTACTAATTGAAAGTCTAGACTATATAAATCTAATAATAATAATAATAATAAATATTAGATTCATACGTTTCCACACTAATTTATCTAATTTCTTAAATAAACACTGGATTAATTGATAAAATTTGTTGTTAATTAATATAGACTAATTAATTTCAAATTTATCTTACATTATTTTTAATAATCTTTATTAAGGTAAAACAATATTATTTGTTTCAAATCCTGTTTTAAATTATGGATAATTATAAATACAATAATTGAAAAAAAAAAAAAGACAAAAAAGAAAAAAGCAAAAATAAAATTATAGCCTTTATTATATACAGTACCATATTAACTATTTTATATGAATGTGAAAATTATATCAAATTACATTGAAAAAGTGTCAGATCAAATATGCCTTAGATTATTATATTTCAATTGTAATACGTTCAATTAAATTACTCTATTTTTGCTATATAATCACTAATATTACAATCAATAGTAGTTTAATAATGTATATACAAGTTATACATGCTAAATAGGTCGATGAGATAGCTGAGTTTATATAGTTCATATGATCAAATCTGTTAATTTCTGTATACGATAAGATTAAGTTAATACAATATTTACAATTGACTACCATTAAATGAATTTAAAAAGTTTAAGTCTATTTATTTTTTATTTTGATCAATATTATTTTTCTTATTTTACTTTTTTTTATTTTAATGTCTGATCTGATTTTGGAAATAAATAAAAGTAAATACAAATTAATTATTCATTTTTAAAAAGTAATTTTTACAAAGAATATTAAGGAAGGTCTGAGGTGATTTATATATAAGTTTATATAATTTTAATTAGACCAATTTAAATGTTTGATTTTATAGCTAATTTAATAATTACATTTGAGCATGAGTTAAAAGGACTTATTAGACTGTTCGTCTTTTTTTTATATCTTTTTTATATTATATTAAAACTGTTTCAATTCTAGTCCTTTCGAGTAACAAATCTATTATGTTGTACTGATTTTGAAAAGTCTAAACTAAGTCTCCGTTAATATCTCATTTTACAACTCTCTCTTTCTCCTAAATTGTTAACGATTAAATGAGAAATTTTTATTTCTTTTTCAATACTCGAATGACTGTGATTTTCAAATTTTGTGATATTTGATCAACGAGTTAAAAAAGTCTAAGAATCAATTTGATTATTAAATATAATAATATATTACGCTCGATCCAGGATGAAACGATTCACGACCATAGAAAAAAAAGGAGAATCATATCTTATTTGGATATAACCCCAACGAAAACATTTTTTATCCGTAAGATATAACCGTTCATAACATTTTTTAAAATATTATACATGACCTGATCATAAAAGGAGTTCTTCTACTCAACTAGTAAATGAATTTGATGCTATGGTTCTACTCAATTAGTAAAATAGATTGTATACTTTTTATTTCTCAGTTTTCTCTCTATCTATTATCAAAATACACATCATTTTACAACTTTTACTCATCGTCAATTATTTGGGTCCTATTTTAATATAACAAAAATAAACTTTTGAGAATTGAACTCTCGAAAATAGAAAATTTTAAGGGACATCTTTATAAATCAGGAAGTTACTATTATGGGAAATACGAGCGGCTCGTCTTTTTTTTACTTTTTTTTCACTTTTTTTTATTTTTAAAATTTTTTTTTTTTTTTTTTTTTNTTTTTTTTTTTAAAATTTTTTTTTTTTTTTTTTTTTCGAAATTAAAATTAAAATTAAAATTTTTAAAACCGACTCAGAAAAATTACGAGCGGAGTTAAAGGTCTTTTTAAGTTTTAATAGATTAATTATGTAAGTAATAGTAAATTCATTTTTGCAGCATTTTTTCAAATAAAGTAGTCACTTTATTTTTGAAGATGCTACTTAATTAGTCAATCAATAATAAATTAACTGCTATGTATTATGATGGAATAGAGCTGCTTTGCGATACAAAGACATTTAAAGTACTAACTCTCGAAAATTCACTAATAAAGAAATGTAATACTAAATAAGTAAACTGTTTTAAACCATAATTTAGTACTTCTTTAACAATAAACTTTGCACTTCTTGTTATTCAACAATGAAGCTGTGACTATAGTATTTGTGGTCGTATAGCCATCAATCAAGTTTTCGACACTTATTCGTATAAATTAATACTTGATTTTGAATTGATCTTGAAACTTCCTTTTAAGCAAACTCATTAATCAATACCCAAATTTTCCCCACAAATTAAATAAAAATTAAGCTTAGAATTTAAGTTTTTTTAAGATTTCTGAGACTTCCTATTTCATGAGTAAATAAAATATTTTCGAGATTAATTTAGCTTCAAATTGAGTATTTGAAACGTTTACAGAGATAAATTAAACTACTTTTTTATCTTTTGCAACCAAAGATTTTTTAAATATAGTTTATGTCAACTCTCAGCCATGTGTTCTCTACTCCATTGTAATATTCAATTTAGATTCATGAAAATGAGCCATGATATATTAGATGATTTATTTCAAGAAATGACAGCGACACTTATCTAAGAGCGATTCTAGTAAATTTGCTTTTGTACTAATTTCAAAGTTGCAAGCAAGTTTCAGGTCTAGAATTACATTTGCAAAGGGATTATCCAAATTGCATTGATCAAGTCAAATTAGCTCTACATTTAATAGTAGACAACGTATGCAAAAATTAAGTAAGTAAATACATCTATCTTAGAACTAAAATGGATAAATAACTATCACCAAAAACCCACTCAATACCCTAACTAATCCTACCTAATATACCAACGACCAGCAATAACATATTTATTTAAAATATCACTACTAAAAATATATTCACCAACTTGTAAATTTTTATCATTTAAAGTAATACAACTTTTAATTCTTCTACTAATTCTTCTTTTTTGTCTTTCATCAATAATTTGTTTCCTTTCTTCTAATTCTTGAGTTGTTGGGAAATCAGATTTCATAAATCCAGGAGGTGATTCAAATTTATCAAATATTTGCAGTAATTTATCTTCTAATTTCCAATTTTCATTCAAATTATAAAATTCTTTATATTGATTAAATTTTTTTGAATCTTTTATTTGATGCTTTTGTAAGAATTGACTAAATTCATTTGGTTTGTAGTTTAGGTTCTTGTTGAAATCTATGAAATCCCATGATATTTGTTTTATTGGATTTGAGTGTAGGTTGATTTTAAAATTTGAATCTTCTGTAAATTTTTTTGTATAATAATCTTGTAAAAATTTCCTACGTAGATTTATTGTTGTAATTGTAGGTGGAATTTCAATTATTGGAGAAGGTGGAAAAGATTTATCAGATAAATAATGAGTCGTAGGAGGTGGTGTTGAATATATGTTCATTTCATACTCATTTTGTGAATCGGCAATTACTTCCTCATCCTCTAACCCTGCTTTTTCCATAATATCGTCAACTTCCTTCTCGATTTGTGCAGATATACTAAGTTCTTGTTGACTCAATTTAATTGGTGATGTTGATTCTGCTAATGGTGGTGACAAATTAATAATAGGATTATTATAAAATGGATTATCTTCTTTAAGTTCAATACTTTTTTGACGTTTGAAGAATTTTGGAGCTCCCATTATTTCTTTCCGATCATTAGCTTTATTTTTGATTGGACTTAATTGACGTTTTGCGGTAGTTGTAGCTGGTTTCATATTCTTTTTAGGACTAATTATTAATTTTCCATCTGACGAATATTTCATTATTGGTTTATTGACGTCAAAACTAATATTTATGGGTGATGAATTTATATTTTCTTGGTTTGTTTCATCTTCAGAATCACTGTATTGAGTTGGTAAGATACGTAAATTTTCAATCATACTTTTAGCTTTTCTTGCTTTTGCTGGCTCTTCGTTGCTGATAGGTGGTTTCGATGTAATGTTTGGTTCATACACTGATTTTGATTTTAGTAAGTTACGTTTTGCTGGTGATGAGGAATTAACATTGCTTTTTTTTAATGATGGTGGTGAAGATTTATTATTGATCTTAGGTAATGATGCAGTTCTTGAAGATAACGAATTTGTATTTACTTTTTTGTCAATACTTTCTTTGTTTATTGACGATTCATCTTCCGTATCACTATATTGAGTAGGTAATAATCGAAGATTTTCAAACATTGATTTAGTTTTTCTTGCTTTTGTAGGATCTTCATTATCAGTACTTGAAACTGTTAATTTCTTTGGTTCATAAACTGATTTCGTTTGTAGTGATATTTTTGTAGGTGATGAAGAAGTAATACTAATGATACTATTATCTCTAGATTTCAAAGTTGGTCTTGAAGCTAATTTATTACTTTCTAATTTTTTTATTTCTTCATCTTTCAATTTTATTTGATCATCTTTCGACTTCAATTGAGACTCCAATAAACTTATTTTAGTAGCTCCAAGATCTAATTTCGACTCCAATACGCGTATATCATCTCTTAATTGACGAATTGTTGATTGATCTTCACTTCGAATATTCTTTAAGTCTTCAATAATTTTATCTTTTTGATTGAATAGTTTGAAAATATCACCAAATGAATTTGACAACTCGGCATTGAGTTGCTCTGGTTTTTTATCATTCATAACCCATTGGTAGTATCTTTTTGATAAGGTTTGTATCGTCAAGGGTTAGTGGTTGTGTTGTAAACTCCAGACACAAATAATAATAAAAATCAAAACATACAAAATAAATATTAGTGATGATTTAAAATATAACAAGATTTTATAGAATTACAAAAGTGCAATTGAATTAATTAAAATAAATGTTTGGACAAACGTCAAATACAACTCCATCATTTGGTGGATTTGGATCTAACAATGCCTCGTCATCTACCGGTGGATTATTTGGTGCCAAACCAGCAACAGCTACAGGTGGATTATTTGGCAACACATCAACATCAACATCACAACCACAACAAAATACTTCTGGTGGATTATTTGGGGGCTCATCTACTGGTACAAATACAGGGGGTGGATTGTTTGGGAGTAATCAATCAAATCAGCAACAACCACAACAACAATCTGGTGGATTGTTTGGTTCAAGTAATACAAACACTGGAGGTGGTTTATTTGGAAGTCTGAATCAACAACAGCAAAATCAACAACCTTCCACCGGAGGCTTATTTGGGGGTCAGCAAAATCAACAACAACAACCAGCAACTGGAGGACTTTTTGGTCAACAAAATCAACAGCAGCAACAACCGTCAACATCTACAACAGGAGGATTATTTGGATCATCATCTAATACATCAGGAGGTCTTTTTGGAAATAAACCAAGTACAACAACAGGAGGAGGATTATTTGGCTCCAGCAACAATACAACTACACAACCAAGTGGTGGCTTATTTGGGTCTAATAATAATACAAATACAGGAGGAGGACTCTTTGGAAATAGTAATACAAATACTCAACAAAGTGGAGGACTTTTTGGAAATACAGGTAGTCAGCAAAGTGGAGGATTATTTGGATCAAAACCAGCAACTACAGGTTTATTTGGTCAACCACAACAACAAAATCAATTTCAACAACAATCACAACAACAACAACAGCAACAACAGCCACAATTGACAGCAATGACAAGAGTAGGTGATTTGCCAGATAACGTGAAAAATGAATTGCAACAACTTGATAGATACATAAATACCCAGCATTTAATTGCAACCACCTTAAATTCAGATATGCAGAAACATAATGATCTTATATATTCAATACCTAAAGATATATTATATTTACAAAATAAATTACTATCAACCAAACAAGCATTAAAATTCGACACTAATCAGCTAGTAGAATTAAAAAAGATGAATAATGAAATAACAGACGATATAAATAATATCATGCAATTAATCATACAATTAAGTACTCCAGGTACAAAATTATCAAGTTCAAATCAATTAAATGAATTTTTCATCAAGAAGATTAAAAAATATTACGAAACTTTAAACATATATGAAGAAACAATAAATGAATTAGAAAATGTGTTAAATGGATTAGAGAAAAATTGTAAAGAAGGGTTTGGAAACTTAGAAAATATTGTTCAAGTTATAAAATCTCAATATGCTTTATTTATGGACCTTTGTGAAACAATGGCTCAATTAAATAATGAAATAAATAGACTAATTAAATAGATCACTAATATTAAAAAATGTACTATAACTTTATATTCATTAATCGTAAACTATTTCATAATCTTCATTAACTTTAGAACTAACTTTATCGTAGTTTTGTTCATTGATTTTTCTCATCATTAATTCTTCAAATCCATTTGATCGATCTATACCATCCCAAAAATATCCAGCTGGTATATCAAATCTATTAGGTAAATTCACACCTTTGTTGTATACATATTTTGATTTTGATTCATCTTCTACTTCTTTCTTTTCGTCCATGAATGCATATATTGGATCTTCAAAATTTGAATCTAGTTTTGACTTAAACTTTATCGATTCTTGCATCAATTGATCAGATTTTGACGTCTTGACTTCAGTTTTTAGTCTGGAGTCTTGTTGTTCTTGTTTTCTTTTATTAAATTCTTCCTCAGCTTCTTTGATATCTATTATTCTACCTGATGAGTCACGATATACTGTTTCTTGAGGTTTTTTTACTACAACTTGTTCCTTTACTTTTGATGACGATGATGATGATGATTTTGGTTTGGTAATTGTACCATTATCTATTCTTTTAAACCCTTTGTTCTCTTGTATATTCAGTACAGTTATTGGTTTGGACTCTTCGTCTAATTCTTCTTGAGGTAGTAGATCAACCGGGTCTTCTGATTGTTGTGATAGTATCGGTTCAATTGTCTCTGCTTTATTTATGATTATATTTGATGTTATTTGAGGAATTTTTTTCTTCTTTTTCTTAACTTTTTCAGGTTTTAATGAATTGCTACTCATATACTTTGATAAATAGTCCGCTCGTGACATTCTTTTTGGTGTGTGATTTCAGTTATTTATGGTATAAATTGCAAATTATATTTGATACCTAATATGATAAATTTATTTTAAAAAGAACACAAAAATATATTAGTTGAAACAGGTTAAATATATTTACTATTCTTATTTATAATACTAGTGTACTATTCCTTTAAAACCACAACTATTCATTATACCACTTCTCATTCTCCATTTAAATTATATATCCATTAAACTATCATATGACTGATGCCTCCAACTCCAGCTGAAATACCTGGTTATTATTTTGATACCACTAGAGGAAGATATTTTAAAGTAACGAATGGGGCAATACCGACAACTAATTCAACAACACCAACAGAAACAACAAATTTAACAAAGTATCATAACAACTCAATACAAGCTGAAAAAAGAAATCAAGATTTTGAGCAAGAAGAATTAGAAGAATTAAGGCTAGAGAATAAAGTGAAGAACAAAAATAAAAAACAACATTCTCAAGATATATACAAGAATCCAAAAGTACCCAAGCCTAATAAGAAGAAATTTGATTTCAATGACAGAAATCAGAAATTTACATTTGATAATCTAAGTTTACTAAATTTAAAAACTGGACAAATAAATTCTATTGGTTCATATTTAAATGATAATGTTATGAATAGAGCTAAATTTATTAGTCCTAAAAGATGTGTAGATGAAAATAAAATTATACTACCACAATGTCATATTTATGGTTATGAAGACTCAGAGTTTGTAATACTTCGATTAGGACCACTTGCTTACGATTTTGATGAACTCGAATCATTTAATGTTATAAATGGAAATATAGGTGCAGAAGTCTTTGACACCAAGAGAGAAAGAATTTATACTCAAAAACAACATTGGTATTGCAAAACTGTTACTGGTATAAACGAAATGACAACCAGAGCAGATTTTTATCCAATATTTGGATCTGGTATAAGTAACAATGACTCCGATTTTAGAATTATTTGTAGTTTTAATCCTCAGGTTCTCCAATTATTATCAGTTTTAAGGACTTCAAATTTTGATTCAGTATCTATTATAAGGTTCAACGTTTTTAATAGACATACCAATGATTTTACTGACTTAACATTTCCATTAATTAAGTTTTTAAAATTCAACTTTAAGAAATTGCACAAACGAGGTAAATCTTTAGAACATGCATTAGGTCTACATTATGTTGAATTTACAAATTACCAAAAAAAAAGTATTGATGAAATTAATAAATTGTTAACTTCCAAAAATGTCAATCACAGAAAGAGGACTAATGAGTTAAATGACTTTTTATCATACCATGATGGTATAAGACCTGAATTTATATATTCTAAACCTAAAGGTAAAAAGGTTGATATTGAAAACTCACTAGAAATTGGTAAAATATTTGACAATAAATTTTTCTTGGTGTTCAGCGCTGGAGAAATCATAAGTTGGGATTTTGACTACAAAACTAAAAAATTCACAAATTTTAGATTATATACAACATCATTGAAAATACCAGTTGGATCATCAATTGAAGTTTTAGGATCAACTTTATATATCAACACTAATTCTCAAGTTATTACGTTAGATTACGAAAATTCCAAAATTCAAACTTACAAATTTGGATTTATTAGAAAGATGTTTATTTTGAACTCTAAGAAATGGATAATTGTGGATAAAAAATCTATACAAATATTTTACCCAGCTACTAAAAAATCAATTAAAATTTTAAGTTATAATAATGGCAATGATGTAAATCAACAATTTGAAATTATAAATGATAAGAAAAGGGATAAGATATATCTAATTTTTAATGTTGCAGGTAAAACAACCGATGAAAATGGTAAAAATTACAAATTTTTAGATTTAAACTCATTTGATGATGCTGGTAATTATAATGGACATAATAAATCAGAAATTATTGATTTAAAAATTGATTTTCAATTCTTAAAATATGGATATTTTAAAGATTTTATTTTAAGTAAGATTATTGATTTGGGTGAAAAAGATGGTAGATTACATATTGGATTTCATCATGAAGATAAGAAAGCTAAAAACACAATATTTGAATCATTTTTAATATAAATCGAGAGGAGGGTTAATGTTCATTTAGATATAATGGTTCGTTTCAAGTCAGAATTATACCTGCATATAGCATTAATATAAATTTAATTTGCAACCAAAATTTCAATCACTACTCTAGATTTGAACAATCAATCACAGATCCCATAAATTTTTTGATATGATTCTTTGTTCATATAATATATTATGCATAACAAGTCAATAAAAAATTGATTCCATTAAAGTATCTTTATTCATTATCCAATGACAACAATAGCACCCAAAAACATTACATCTCGCAAACGATGATTATCGATACTCATCAAAAACATTACCATCCAAGTTAGTTCCTAAAGGTTCAGCTTCAAATAAATCTTTAATTGAATCAAATTTCCATACAATCAATCAACTACAACAAAAGAGATTTTATTCAACTAATCATAATTCCAAAAATGAATTAGATCAATTTATTTCCAAAAAAACAAATGATAACGGAACAATTGGTTCTAATGGTAAATTTCATGATTATGCTACTGTTATTTTAGATATTATTAATTTTTATTTCTTACCTGATTCACCACATTTGGATGAAAGATTAAATGAATTAGAAAGATTATGTAAAGATGAAATTTTTTCAACTGATGAAGATGAAAATGAAAATGGTAAAGAACTAGCTATGGTTAAAGTTAGAAAAAATAAATCAATTGCTAAAAGAGAAACAGGTAAAGAAGAATTATACTCAATTGAAGACAATGAAGATGATAAAAAATTAAATAGTAGAAAAAGTTCAAGAGCTAACTCATTCATCAACGGATTAAATAAAAAATATAATTCAATGTTCAATATGAATTCAAATTTAAACTCAAAATTAGATTTAAGTTTAAAAGAACAACAAGATCCTCAAGATGAACCAACTTATCATTTTGGAGATGATGATCAAGAAGATGCCAAAATTTTAGAAAATTATAAAATAGATGAAGAATTTGAAAATCAATTTCTTTTACCAAAATCTAAAAAATTAAATCCAAAAAGAAGACCAAAATTTTCAACAATGAGATCATTTACTCAAAAAATTAAAAATGAAGATGTTGGTTATAAATTAACTTCAATTTTTAGAGTTTCTTCAAATGATGATGAAGAACAAGAAATTCGTACTGGTTCAAGTATTAAAAGTGATTCTGAATTGATGCCTGGTGGTAGAAAAAGAAAAGTTAAAATTCAAGAACAAAAAAATCAATATATTTTACCAACTCCTACTTTAATTAGTATGAAAAGAAGTATTTCAAGAAAATTTCATCTTTTCAGACATTCTTGATTGTTCATAACTATATAGTCCTGATAAAAAATACCTCTTAAAATTTTGAAATAGTTGCAATTGTACTCTAGTTTATGCTACCAAAATTCTGACAATCTTCTCGCGATAGTTAAAACCAAAAATCAAATATACAATCGATTTAGTTATCTAATCAGACCATACAATTTCCCACTAACACAACCAACAATGAAGTCAACATATGTGAATAGACTTATACACAGCGTAACGCGTACCCAACTAGAAACAGCAAAAGTAAGTACTAAACCATTAATTTAATAATCATCAAAAACTATTTACTAACATTTTATCAAGTTTGGTTTTTATTTATTAACACCAATTTTAATAATGTATTATGTAGGTTTAGATACAGATAAAAAATTTAATTTACCTGGGTTTTGGCCAGATCCAAAAACATTAAATCAAATTCCTAAAGAACCTCATGAAATTCAAGCTGAAGTTGCTCGTATTAGGAAAGTACGTGCAGAAAAAAGACAAAAATTGGAAGCTAAAGCTAGAGAATTGGGGATAATTGAAGATGATGATGAAGAAACAAGTAAATAGTTGAGGCTGTTATTTGAGAGGAATGGGAGAGTTGTTAAATGTTGGAGAGTTTTGAAGATTTTTACGAATTTTGTAAATAGTTAATTTAATGAACAAGAATGTATTTAATGATGAATTTAAATACTTTATAATTTTACTTATTTATTTACTTCATTTGACCTTACTCCACTATTTATTTAATTTTGATTCAATATTTCTTAAATTATAATTTAAATCATCAATAGTAGCTTGAGACAAATTAATTTGATTGTTGTTTGAATAATTCAATAATTTTACAAGTGATGATTTAATATCAAATTGATAATTCTGAGGTTGTTGGAATGATTGGGATTGTTGGGAAATTGGGAAATTTTGATATTGTGGTAATTGAATATCTATTAATTGTCTTTTAATTTTCCAATTTTCTAGATTATTTAATTTATGTTTTTGACTGGTGGTTGTAGTTGTCTCAAATGGGAAACTGTTTATTATTTTGTTTTCTAAATCATTATCTACTTCCATTTGATCTCCATTATCTGAATTTGTAACAGGACTATCAAATAATGAAATATTATTCGCAGTATTAGAATCGGATCCAATTAATGACCAATTACCATTTTCATTATGTTTAAAATCATTTGTAATTAATTCAACAAATTCTTCATCTTTTTGTTCTTGTTCTTGTTCAAAATCTATTTCATCTATTTCGAAATCACTATGACTTTCATCATCTACTAATTCTGATAAACAACTATCTATTATTTCTTCAATTGACGCATAACTTAATGTGATTTTACCTCTTTCATTTACTAAACCTATTAGTTCATCTATTTCCCATGGTATAACTACATTTAAATAACTCATTAATGATTCTAGTTGTTTGAAATTTTTTTCACTATCATATCTTGTTAATTGATCATTTAAAGTGAAGATTATTTCATTTGATTTTAATTTATTGACTTCACTTGGCCATTGATTTCCTTTTAATTTTAGTAAGTGGGTCTTTTTCCAAGACTGATATATACATTCTTTTGAAACCATTGACCAAGCATTTTTAATCCATTCTATAACTTTGATCAATGGTATGTGATAATTTTGTTCAGATAAAACTTCTAATGGAATTGAATTTGAATTAAATTCATATTGTTGGTTGTTGTTGTTGTTGTTGTTGTTTTTATTACTTTGTCGTGATATATTTCTTTGTAAATTTATCATTTCCTCATATTGTTGTTTTCTATATAATATTTTAAATTCTTCAAGTATACCAAAATTTATTGGTAAATAATCAAATTTTATACCACTAAAATTTGTATTATATGGGTTTTTATGACATGTTTCATTTTTCAAATAAACTAGTTTTAGGTGTTGGAACTTTAAATTTATAATTCTGTGACTCGAACAATCATCTAAAATTATAAGAATTTTCCTGTTGGGGTTTAAATTATGTAGTTTATGATCTAATGTTAAAAGATAATTTTGAAACATTTGTGAAGTAATCCATTTATTTTTATTTGATTTGTAAAAAATATTGTAGTATTCAGTTAATTTATTCATTAAATTATTATATGATATATTTTCAATTGATAATGATTTTAATTGTATTATTGAAGATTTTGAAACATCAAACTTATCATATTTCCCTACAATCATTGGAGATAATTTTTCTGATCCATCTATATTACAACCTAATAAAATAGTTAAAGAAATTTGATTTGATGAATGAGATTGTGGTAATCCTTTATCTAAAGAATTTACATTAAATATTTGATCTAATGGTAATTCATAAAATAATTGAAATTCATCTAATACAAATATATCTTGTGGTGTATAATTATTTTCAACAATTAAATCATTTAAATATTGTTTTAATTCAATTTTTTCATCCAATCTCCAAACTTTATTTAATTTATAATTCATATTATTTAGTATCTCTTTTTCATCTCCTGTTATATTTATATTTAATTTTTTCATAAAATGTGTACACCATTTAGCATTAAAAACTCCATTACCCAGTTTTTCCAGTTGTGGTAATCTTGTCCATATAGCATGAGCTGTCAGTTGTATTATAGGAGTTGTTATAGGTATATTTTCCCATATTGCTTGAGTAACCCATTCAGTTAAAATTTTTCTTAATAATGGATTTGTTTGTTTTCTTCTACGAACTAATTTAAAATCTCCCTCCTTTGATGCAATTAAATCATTTTTAGAACTTAAAATCCTTGATATAGTAGTTTGTGATGGTGGTTTTGTTGATCCATATTCTTTCATTGCCCATATTGCTAAATCAGATTGAGTCATTTGTGGATTTGATTCTGCTTTTAAACAGATATCAATTTTTTGTTTAATTGTGTAACCCATATTTGACTTGTACTATATAAATGACATTTGTTTAGTTAATTGTAAAAGCAAAAGGTGTTTAATTCAATGATAAATGGTTGATTCAAATTTTTTAAACCTGTTTGAAAATTTGGTTGTAACGATGATAATTTTGATAGTAAATTTTAATAGATCTTAATTATTTATGATTGATAAAAACTTAAATTTATTTTCTAATTTTGTGTAATATTCTATTTGAATTTTATGCGTTTAAAAGGAATTGCTAATTAATTTATTAATTTAATTGGGGATTTATTTAAGGATTGTGAAAACATCAATAGGTATAGATAGTGGTTTTAACGTAAGTTTTATCAAATTATAAAAGGACAAAGTTACGATCAACTTCAATAGAGAAAAGTGAAATAATTACAAAATATACATTTTAGTTATTATTATATTTTGTTTTATTAAAGAATTGGACCACATCAAGAAATAAAACAAATTTGATATATTTAATGTTGAATTCACTTTAATTTGGAATTTGTGAAAATTTCAGAGACTACTTGATCAGCAAAAAACAATTGAAAATTGAAAAAGTCTCAGGTTAGCTTAGTAACCATATTTGAGCAGTATAATCAAGTAGAGTCTGACACAAGAATGAATGAGGTTGTTAGTAACAAAATTACTCATGATTTATAGTCTATATTGGGCTTGTTAAAGATACTGAATTAATAACTCTTATAATTTGATGTTGCTCTAATTTTGTTGAATGATCCACTTGACAAGTCTGTAAGTCAGTTTCATGGTTGGACATGAAATATTCAAAATATGCCTATTATTAAACATTCATCATCATATGTCAGTATATTCAGTTCGTAGAAGTACTTAAAAGTAAAAAGAAACTGTTTCTATCAATCGAGGAAGCAATGGGGTCAAAATGAACTCCCTTGTTTTTACACATTTATTTGAATTTTGATTTTGGTTGTAAAAAGATTTAAAAAAATTATTTGATTATTAACGCAAAAACATTTAAAAATATGAGTTTTGCAAACTATGAATAACTCAAACTTTATTACAATTGACTCATGTCGACTTGTTTATTGTTATTTTTATATAAATAACTCAAGTCAAGAAATTTAGTATCATTTCACAATCAATAACTTTATAAAATTATATTTTCTCAGTTGTTATATAGATAATAATTCATTAGTATTGCAATAGAAAGGCACATATATTAATTAAGATTAATAAATTAATTAGTGTACCTTAAATTTTCAACGGAACCAACTGTTTACGATAAAATAGTAGTGTAAATTAGACTAATTACTTACATAGATTAAATTTTCAATTAAATTATTAACACAGATTTGAATAATTTATTTTATAATCAAAATAATAAATTTATTAAATCATACCATTCTAAAATAATTGTTAATAAATGTAATCAAATGTTCATTACTTTTTTAACTCATGATATTTTGTTTTTTTTTCAACGATGTATTAAAGTTGTTTGATCTTATGGAAATCATATAAGCTTTTTTCAAACCTTTCCTGAAATATTTGAAAAATGTAAACATGTTATTTGAATAATTTTTTCAAATTACGATATTTTCAAAATCTCAATTATTGTTGTTTTGTTGTTTGTCTGTTTTGATTTTTTTTTTCGTCTCTACTCCACGTTGCAATTAATATCAATTTTTTTTTTTTTTCTTTTCTGTACTACTTAATTAAATTAATGACCCTCATTTTATAATACAGTATATAATTTGTACTACCCACAATTCATTGACTAAAATAGAAGAGCTTTATGAAACAATTTTACAATAATAGAATGAAGAACCACGTTTAATATTAAACTAATTCCATTAAAAGAATTAAAGCAAGAGTTAAAGCAAGAGAGAAAGAAAAGTAATATATATAAAAAACTGTAAATTTAATAATCAAATAATTAAGAATATTAAAATTGATAAGCGGAGGTACTTTTTATTCTTTATTGATATATTTTGTACCACAAATTATATTTACTAAATTAATTTACTAGATTAATACCACAAATTAAAATTAAATTAAGTTGAATTGAATTGAAACAAATTTTCATAATAAATGTACAAATAAATATTTAGATACATCTCTTCTTTATTTCAATTTAAATTAATTATATTCCCATTAATTTCATTTTAAAATATAAATAAACGTCTGTTACATTTTTAGAATTTCATTAATTAAACTCAACATCATAAAATTTAAGTTTGTTATTTTTTCCCACCCTTGAAATATTTGAACAAAAAAAAAGAAATCTTTACTTCTTTAATTAAAAGAGAGAGATTAATTATAACAAAATTAATAATAATTAATAGAAGAGCAAAATTAAATAACATAATACAATATTAGAATATTATTATTATAATACTACTATAGAATTCAAAATTTAAACATTAAAGATCAAAAATTTATTCACAATATACAAATACAAATCTCATTTTAATACCCTAATAATAACAATATAACATTTATTTAACTGCTATCTATCCATCAAAATACTATTTACTTATCAATAAGTAAATTGGAAATTATTTATTCTGATAAAGGATTTAATCTCAATCATTTCCTTAATTAATATAATAATATAATTTGTCATGAGTTTATTAACAAATAGAAAGAGACCAAGGGGTTATAGTGAGAATTTTATAAATCAAGATCAATCCAATAGTAGTAATAATAATAATTCTAATGATATAAATTATCAACAACAATTACAACAACAACAATATCATTTACAACAAGTTCAACAACAATATCACCAGACGCCTCAACAACAACAACAACAACAACAATCACATAATTCTTACCACGTTCTTAATAATAATAATCAACAGCCTTCAATTCAAAATCAATTAAATTTTAATTCATTTCAAAATTCAAATCAATTTAATTCATATGATTCAGATTTAACATTAACAGACTCAACTAATATATCTAATTTATCTAATTTATCAAATTTATCAACATTTAATGAATCAAATTTAAATAATAATTATTTACAACCAAAAAAATCAAAATTTAATAATCCTTTTTTACTGGTTGAAGAAAATGATGCAATTATTGATGATAATGATGATGATTTAAATACTTTTATATTAGATGAAGAAGAAAATAGTAATAGTATTAATAATCAGGAGAGTAAGAGTTTCAATTTTCAGGAAGAAGACAATGATGATGATGATGAAGAAGATGATTATGATGAAGATGATATTATAATAATTGAAGAAAAGAATATAATACCGAAAAGTAAACGAAATAATAGTGATTCAATACTTATTAATAGGGATGCTCAATTAGCTTATAATTTATTTAATGTAAATAATCAACAACAACAACAATTACAACAATTACAAAATTATGAATTTGAAATTGATGATAAACTATCTAATTCCACAACCATCAACAACAAAAAACAAAGAACAAGTTCATTACCTCAGTTACCTCAAGTTAAATGTTTTTATAATAAACTACCAAATAATTATATTTTACAAACTCCAAAATTAGGTAATATTAAAACTAATATAATACCTTATCAAAATAATTTACCACCATGTGATGATGAAAATGGTCATTATATTATAAAAATAAATGATCATTTTGCAAATCGATTTATTATAATGAAATTATTAGGTCAAGGAACTTTTGGTAAAGTCGTACAATGTTATGATAAAGTAAATAGAGAACATGTTGCTATAAAAATAATTCGAAATATTCAAAAATATAGAGATGCAGCAAAAATTGAATTAAGAATACTATCAACCCTTAAAAAATTTGATAATTCCAACAAGAATCATTGTATACATTTAAGAGAATGTTTTGATTATCGTGGTCATATATGTATTGTAACTGATTTATTAAAAATATCATTATATGATTTTTTAGAAAATAATAAATTTATTTCATTTCCAGGTAGTCATATTCAAGCTATTGCAAAACAATTGATTAGATCAGTTACTTTTTTACATGATTTAAATTTAATTCATACTGATTTAAAACCAGAAAATATCTTATTACATGATGATTCTTTTACTAAAAAACAAATTCATTCATCCACAATTACAACTGCATTTATGAAATTAGGTAATAATTCAAACTTAAAAAAAGAACCAAGATTATCAAAAGTTTTAAAAAATCCTTTAATTCAAATTATAGATTTTGGAAGTGCTGTATTTAATGATGAATATCATAGTTCAATAGTTTCAACAAGACATTATAGAGCACCAGAAATTGTATTGGGAACAGGCTGGTCCTACCCTTGTGATATGTGGTCAATTGGATGTATATTAGTTGAATTAATTATAGGTGAACCACTATTCAAAACTCATGATAATTTAGAACATTTAGCAATGATTGAAAAAATAGCTGGCTATAAAATTGATAAAGAAATGGTTAAATTATCAAAATTAAAAGAAAATGAATGTGGATTAGAATTTTTCACAAATGAATATATTATTGAAAATCATAACAATAACAACAACAACAATAACACCATAAATTTTTCATCAGATGATGATGATCATTTCAAAAGAAGAAATAGAAGATTATCAATAAATAAATCTCCAACTAATAAATCATCATTTTCATCATCAACCACCACTTCAACTACAGCAACTACAACTTCATCAACAACAACATCAGAAGAAATAGAATCAGAATTAATAGAAGAGGAACAAGAAACAGAAGTTAATGAAGAAGATGAAGAAGAAGATGTAGAAGATTCAAAAAACCCACCCCAACAACAACAATTCAATTCAAATAATTCATCAGATGAATCAGATGATGATATAATTTTCGATGATGAAAAAACATTAGCAAATTCATTATGTTTAAAATTCCCAACAATATCAACTCCACAAAAATTTATAAATTCAGTAGAAGAATTATCTCGTATTGATTTATTTATATCAAAAAGAATAGGACTTTATATAAATTTTGATTATTCATTAAATTTAAATTTTGAAAAAAATAAACATTTAATAGAATTTGGTAATTTTACATTTTGGTGGTTTTTCATTGATTTAATGAAAAAATTATTTATAATTAATCCAAGAGATAGAATTAATGCATTAGAAGCTTTAAATCATCCTTGGTTTAATTTGGGGATTGAAGATGAAGGTACTGTTTAATTTGTTAAAGATAAATTGTTGTTTTTATTTTTTTTTTTTTTAATTACTATTTTAATGATTTGAAATTTTTCTATTTTAGTTCGTGATGTTTTTAGTTTTTTCTTATTTTTTTGGGATAATTTTCTTTTTAATATAAGACGTTTTATATTGTGTTTTGTTTGAAACTGGTATTATCTTTAGTTCTGTTATTACATTTTTTAATTTTGTTATATTAATTAAAAACTAAAGTATGTCTTAATTACTAGTACAAAGTTAATTTGTTATCTTTTTTATTTTTACTACTTCAAAATATTATACGTTTACTAGAGTTAAATGTCCATCTATCTAAATTTGGTTCATTTTTTCACACATTTGTTTTAATTGAAATTATATCTGAAACAATTTCAGGTAGCTTAGCACACAAAAATCTACAAAATTGCACAAAAAAAGCTCATACAATTTCATAATTAAGTGTAGCATTAAATATAATTCTTTTTAATTTTGATGGAATAAAGTACTAAAATGAGAAGACACAACTAGAGATGAAAAATTTGATTAATCTTTTTGGTAAAATTGAAAAAATCGTGAAATATACAGATGACAAAAGGATACTACAAGAGTGAATTTTAATCCCACTATTTTAACATCATGTATTACTTAAAGGCTAATTGAGATATTAATAAAGTTCACCCCCCCTGATACAGAAACGATGAATGGATTGAAAACTATAAAATTCGTTTCATATCAAGTCAAAGTTCAGACCTTAAAGAATTAAATGCATCAATTATGAAATCGAATAAATACTTCAAAAATAGGTAAAAACTTTCAAGTACCTCATAGCAAAATAACTATACGGAGATATTCAAAAATAGTATTTAGCAAACTTGAGTATGAAAGTACTGCTATTTATGAGTGATACCTTTTTTAAGATAAAATTCCTTTCAGAAATAGTTAGCTATACCTGGATATACATGAAGTTTTTTAAGAAAAATTCAATAATGTCAACACTCCAAGATTTTTACTCAATCTAGGAATAGACTTAATCTCAAATGTTGTAATCACTTTGTTTTAAAATCCACGTAATTAATTATTAATTTAGTTGAGAGACTCAATTAAAAAATTAGTCTTCACCCTGCTTTACCTAAACTACATTAATGAATCTTGATTTCAAAAAAAGTTCTACTTTATAATATTATATATACAAGTACCTAAATTTTTAATAATAAGCGATTATATTATCATTTCATATAATAACAAATTCTAAAATCCTTAATTGAACATAACACTCTAATAACAGATTGACAACAAGTAAGAAGTCCCCTTTTCCTAACAAAATTGTTTCATGAAACCATTGATTTTATCTTATTAATTCAAAAGTATTATTTCTTATGATAAAAATGGATAAAATTCATTATATTTTTTTAAATAATAACCAGTAGAAACACCACCTAAAACTAATAATAATAAAGGAATAGGTTTTTGAAATCCAGTAGGAATAGCTCTTGATAATCCAGCAATAAATAATAATGAACTTGTTCCAACAGCTAATTCTAATCCATAATTTGAATTATTTTTTAATAAATATCCTGAATATCCATATAATGTTGAAACTGCTAAACCTGCAACTAATGATGGTAATGAACCTTTACGAAAATAACCCATTAAACCACCAACGGCACAAAGACCTGATAATGTAAATGCTGGATGTTCCATTGTGTAATAATTTATTGAATCAATTGATTGATATTATATAAAAATAAGTAATTAATTTAAATACGGAATTGAATTCTATAATATATTAATTCAATAAATTAAATAAAAAAGGTGTGTAAATTGGTTAAAAACCCAATGTCATATTAATTTACCGAAAAAGATCGAGATTAAATTCTGTGTCTTACTTTTATTTGTTGTTAGTAATAAAAAAAAAGGTTGTGAATAAATCAATAATTTTTTTACATTTTAAGCAAATAGAATAAGAGAGAAAGTGATGATATGTATATAAATATATTCGGATTTTAATTAACGAATGATAATCATTAATTTTAATCAACATTTTAGAGATATTGATTTATTGGATAAAGAGGTAGTTTTACAAGCTATAGAATTTTTACTTGATGAATAATTTATTATATCAAAGTGAAAAATTATCACCAAATTTTTACCAACCTTTAATCCATTTTCAATAATAATACAATTTTTAATATTTCAGAATTCATGATTATTGGTTGTAAGGATCGTACTATGATTTACCAATATCTAATTTATATAACCCTCCTTAATAATTTCAGCAAATTAAACAAGCTCTAATTATCTCCTTTTTCTTTTTTTCTCTCTTTTCTATTATTCAATTCTTAATTTAAGAAAAATAAATTGTGATCTTTTTTTTATTTTTGCTGTTGAATAAATTATTATTATCATTTGATTTTATTAGAGTGAAGTAAGTGAGAAAGTGAGAAAGTGAGAGAGTGAGAGTGGGAAACAGTGAGTGAGTGATTTCATTTTCCTTTTTCTTTTTTTTTTACAACCAAAAAATTTTACACACACATTAATTTAATTATTATAATTAATATTAATATTAAGTATTATCTTCTTAGATTTAATTAATTGATTAGAATTTCTCTACAAATAATAACTTTTAATTTGAATGTTAACTCTTTCTCTCATTTTCAAAGGTTTAACTATATTAACTTTTAATCATTCATAATATCCTCTATATATATATATATAAAATAATAACCTACATTAATATTATTTACTATATAAAAAATTTTGTATAGTAAAATTTAATAATCAAAACATTTACAAAAAAAAAAAATATTTTTTTTTACAAATTAGTTTTCAGTAAAGAACAAATATTAATTTATAATTATAACACAATGTAAAATAGCTATTAGGAAAAAAAACTTGATAAAGTTCGTTGTAAAAAAATTATATCTCTCATTCAACTCTTTAATAATAGTTCAACAATCAATCAAATATAGATTGGTAAATTAAATTGATTAATCATAATCATTTGATTTTACAACCAATTATTTCATAATTTTGAATATGAATATATCATCTATGCTATCTAATGATAGTATTAATAATAATAATGATGCTAATAACTTTGATCATATAAGTAATTATAATAATAATTATGTAACGCCATCAACTAATAATAATGAAAATATTAATGATAATACTAATAATAAATCATCATTATCATCAACACCATCAAATATATCATCATTTATTAAACCAAACAATATAAAATACGAGTTGCAACAACAACAACAACCAATTCAAAATAATTTTAAAACTATCAAAAATAACAATTCATTACCTATACTATCAAAATCGAATTCAATAATTGGTGATATACTACCAACTTTTGATTATGACAATGACGCGTCTAATACAATAGATTTAAATTATCAATCAAAATTTGAATCAAATATTAATATTATAAATGATTTGGATAAATTACAAAATTTGAATCATAATATTAAATTATTAAAATTTGATGAAATTAAATTAAATAATTATTTAATAAATACTCATCAATTTGCTGCAAATTATATTGATAGAGTTGTTGCAGAAGATATTTCTTCAAGATCAAATAAAATTAGTGATACAAATAAAAGTAAAGAGTTGGTATTAATTGATCATTCAAAACCTTTACATCATAATAGTACAAGAGGTAAAGAATATAAATGGGGTTCAACAAGAGAAGTTCATAAAGTTGAACATAAATCAAGAAGAAAAAAACCATCAACCACTACAAACAATGATTTAGAAAAATCATCATCACCAACTACAAATGGCTCTGGTTCAAGACATGTACCAATAAAACCAAAAGGCTCAAGTAATGTTCCAATTGATCTTAATGTAAGACGAAGTTCAAGACCAAAAGCTAAAAGAAAAACTTATGAAGAAGGTGAATTTGATGAACTTGATGAATTTGATGAATTTGATGAAGATGACGAAGAAGAAGAAGAAGATACAAAAAAAGATCAACAAGGTGGTGATTTAAAGAGACAAAAATTAGACGATGGTAAAGCAAAATCAATGTCATCAAAAGAATATAAAGCATTCATGAGACAATATGATACTACATATGTTGCAATATGGAAAGATATGTCAAGAAAAGATGGACCAAAAGTTAGTAGATTGATTCAACAATCAACTCAAGCAAAATTAATAAATTTGAAAAAAACAAGTATATTAGCAGCACGAGAAGCTAAAAGATGGCAATTGAAAAATACTAAAAATCAAAAAGATTTAACAACAAAGGCAAGAAGAGCAATGAGAGAAATGTTTAATTTCTGGAAACGTAATGAAAGAATAGAAAGAGAAGCTAAGAAGAAACATGAAAAAGATTTAGTTGATAAAGCTAAAAAGGAAGAAGAAGAAAGAGAATCAAAACGTCAATCAAGAAAATTAAACTTTTTAATTACTCAAACAGAATTGTATTCACATTTTATTGGTAAAAAAATTAAAACTGATGAAATTGAAGGTAGTGATTCAGATCCAAGAATTAAATTGAATCATGATAAAACTCATTTAGATAAATTTGTTGGAGTTGAAGCTGCAAATAATGATATTTCAACTTTAGATTTTGATAATGATGATGAAGATGCATTACATAGAGCTGCTGCTCAAAATGCTCAAAATGCTTTAGCTAATGCCCAAAATAAAGCAAGACAATTTGATGAAACTGAAGCTGATCCTTTTAAAAATCCTGATACAAATGGTCAAGAAATGAATTTCCAAAATCCTACTTTAATGGGAGATATAAGTATTGAACAACCAAAAATGTTGAAATGTACTTTGAAAGAATATCAAATTAAAGGTTTAAATTGGTTAGCTAATCTTTATGAACAAGGTATTAATGGTATATTAGCAGATGAAATGGGTTTAGGTAAAACAGTTCAAAGTATTTCAGTTTTATCATATTTAGCAGAAACTCATAATATTTGGGGTCCATTTTTAGTGGTTACACCAGCATCAACATTACATAATTGGCAACAAGAAATTACAAGATTTGTACCAAATTTCAAAGTTTTACCTTATTGGGGTCATGCAAAAGATCGTAAAGTATTACGTAAATTTTGGGATAGAAAATCCTTAAGGTATGATAAAAATGCACCATTTCATGTTTTAGTTACTTCTTATCAATTAATTGTTTCAGATATTGCATATTTCCAAAAGATGAAATGGCAATATATGATCTTGGATGAAGCTCAAGCTATTAAATCTTCACAATCATCAAGATGGAAATCTCTTTTGTCATTAAGTTGTCGTAATAGATTATTATTAACTGGTACTCCTATTCAAAATTCAATGCAAGAATTATGGGCATTATTACATTTCATTATGCCAACATTATTTGATTCACATGATGAATTTAGTGATTGGTTTTCAAAAGATATTGAAAGTCATGCTCAATCAAATACTGGATTAGATGAACAACAATTACGAAGATTACATATGATTTTAAAACCTTTTATGTTGAGAAGAATTAAAAAGAATGTACAAAGTGAATTAGGTGATAAAGTTGAAATTGATGTTTATTGTGATTTAACAAATCGTCAAAAAAAATATTATCAAATGTTAAAATCTCAAATTTCAATAATGGATTTATTAGATGTTGCAAATTCATCAAATAATGATGAATCCAGTTCAACTTCCTTAGTTAATTTAGTTATGCAATTTAGAAAAGTTTGTAATCATCCAGATTTATTTGAAAGAGCTGATGTTAAATCTCCATTTGCATTTGGGAAATTTGCAGAAACTGGTTCATTTTTAAGAGAACAAAATGATCTAGAATACAATTATGCTACTGAAAATTTAATTGAATATGATTTACCAAAAATGATTTATGATGAACTTATGACACCAAATTATGAAAATAGTAATAAGAAATCTGTTTTGGAAAAATTTAGTATTTATAATCCAGAAAATTTAGATACTTTAGGGAAAACAGATGCTTTAACAATACTCAAATATAAGCCGATCACAAGACAAAATTTAATAGAAAGAGCAATTGATCAACAAACAACTCCAATAAATGATTCGCTTACAATTGTACAACCAACCAACTTATCAAATGAAGTATCAATCAAGGTTTATGAAGATATGTATTTGAATAGACAAGATCCAGCATATACACCAATAGCATCAGCACCACCAATCACAATAAATTGTTCATCAATGAACTTCCAAAACAATTTAAAACAAGAATTATTTAATACCAAAATAAGATCATCATTATTCCCAATGTCATTGAATGAAGAATATCGTTATATGCAAAATAAAATACCATATCAATTATACCCACCAAATAATTTATTACCAAAATCATTAAGTAAATTTAATAATTATTCTCAAATTAGAATGCCTTCAATGGATAGATTTATAACAGAATCAGGGAAATTAGCGAAATTAGATGAATTATTAATTAATTTAAAACAAAACGATCATAGAGTTTTGATCTATTTCCAAATGACAAAAATGATGGATCTTATGGAAGAATATCTTACATATAAACAACATAAATACATTAGATTAGATGGTTCATCAAAATTAGATGATCGTAGAGATTTAGTTCATGATTGGCAAACAAAACCAGAAATTTTTATCTTTTTGTTAAGTACAAGAGCTGGTGGATTAGGTATAAATTTAACAGCAGCAGATACTGTTATATTTTATGATTCAGATTGGAATCCAACAATAGATTCTCAAGCAATGGATAGAGCTCATAGATTAGGACAAACTCGTCAAGTTACGGTTTATAGATTATTAACAAAAGATACAATTGAAGAAAGAATGAGAGATCGTGCTAAACAAAAAGAACAAGTTCAACAAGTTGTTATGGAAGGTAAAACTATGATAAAAGAAGAACCTAAAAATAGTAAAAAAGATGCTGCATTTTTATTATTGGGTGGTGATGTTGAAAATTAAGAATGAATAATTAATGTATATATATATATATATATTATTTAATACATAACTTAAAAATTTAATTTCATTTCTAAATCATTTAAAAATTTATTATTTGGTAAATTAAATTTTTCATTTATGATATTATTTTCTTGTTTATGTAAATTTATAGTGGTTTCAGACGCTTTATTTTTTAATTTTTTATTTTCATTAGTTAAATCATAAATTTTATTAAAACTTTCTTCCAATTTTTTCTTAAGTGCTTCTTGAGTTAATTGAGAATTTTCATTTTCATTACTTTCATTATCTTGATCTTCTTCACTATCTTTATAACTTGTTAATTGAGTTGATATTAAATCTGTTATTCCTGATACATTACTTTGTACAGAATTTATTGAAAATCTATTATTTAATGGAAATTGTCCATTACTATTACTTTTTCTGTTTAATTGATCTAACGTTGATTTATTATAGCTTTCATACTGATTTAAGTTAGGTAATATGTTAAGATAGTTATCATCATATGAAACTTTTAATGGTGGTGATAATATTGAGTTTTGTTGATTTGAATCAGAAGATGATTTTGATATTAATGATTCTCTGTTAGCTTTCAAGTTTTGTTTATTTTCTTCAAAAACTGTTAATAAACCTAGTGGTAATCCAGTTGATAATCTTTTATATTTTTTCTTTTGTTTTGGTTGTGGTTGTTGAGATGAATTGACTTGTGGTTGTACTTGTGATTGTGATGGAGAATTAGCTGATGATGGTAACGAAAATCTTTTTTTGAGTGAAGAGTTTTGAAATGTTTTTAAGTTGAATGAATCTCTTGGAGTTGTAGTTTGTGAAGGTGATGATAAATTTGATAATGATTTTTGACTTACCACGTAATCAGGATTAATTTCTTGATTTAACTCTAACAAAGTTTGTTTATGTAATAACTTTAAATTACTCAATTCTGTATTAAATTGATTAAAGATTGAAATTTTCTCTTGCTGTTCTTCAAAATTATCAACGGATAATGAACTATTATATTTTTGGAAAAATCTTAAATTTTGATTAAAATTTGAAACTTTTGATATAAATTGATTTAAATTCAGATTTAAATTTGTTTCTTCTATACGATCATGAATTTCGATCTTGTGAATTTCATATTTTTTAAACATATCATTTATGTTTTCCATTGTTTTGTTGTAGTCCATCAATACTTCAGCTAAGATTTTACATTTCTCTAGGTTGTTGACATCTTTAGATTCCTCACTAACTTGAAACTGATCCATTAGATTTAACACAAAGAAGTTACCTTGAGCATTCTCATTAATTGTAATCAATTGACATATAAACAATTTTCTTAATTGATTGAACTTGTTGATGTAAAACACTACTTCTTGAACTTCATTATTGTCATCATTTTCATATTCTTGAGTCAATATACCAAGATTAATGTTATTTATGACACAATATTGCTCAAATATTTCACCATTTAACATTGGTATTAATTTCATTATTAAAATATTTAGATTCATTATCAAGAAATTTAATGAATTAAGTAAAAAATTGGATAATTGTCTTTTATTTACTTGTAACTCTAAATTTAAATTCGATCCCTTGATTTTGATTATGTTGAGAATTAAATTCTTGTTTACCGTATAATTTGATTTTAAAAACTTGTTCAAGAAGTTTAAAATTTTATTAGTCTCCACAACCACCTTGAACTTTTGTATTTTTATTAATTTTGATGATAGATATAGTATAATTTTGAATAATTTAAACTGTAATACGTTGTTCATGCATTCTCTACCCAATTGGAGATTTTGCTGTTGTTTCAACAAGAAGATTATTAAATTTGTAAATATTATAATTATTCCAAAATTGCTATATAGTAAATTATATGTGACTCTATAAGATGTATTTGTCACAATTAATTTTGTACCATCATCATTTATAGTGTATTTGAAATTTCTGAGTTGTTGTTGGTCTAGATCCGACTTTAGTACTTGCAAACTTGATTCATTTTCCGATAGTATCATTGAATCTTCTAATAAATTTGATATAATTAAACTATATCTAAATTTTTCCCAAAATTCACCCATTTTTTTTTCCATTGAAAGATACTTTTTTATAAATTTCAGTAATGATTCAGTAGTTGGGTTGATAATTGTGCCTGATTGTTGAAGTACTTGAATTGCATTTAAAGATTGTTGCAGATGTGATCTATGTAAATGTTGATGAGGATTTAGTGGACTTTGATGTACATTATTATGTTGCTGATTATAATACGATGAATTTGAGATTGATGAGTTTCTTCGCTGAACTGATTTCATATATGAGGGATTTGGTGGTATATAATCATCGAAGCTTTGTTGCAAAGGTTGTGAATTATAATTACTAGGTTGTCTATTTTGTAAATAATTTGGTGGTTGATGTTGTTGGAAATTTTTATTATTTGTGGATGTTGCAACTGAAGAAGTTGGTGATAGAAAAGTTGAAAAAGTTGTGCCAGTATTTGGTGTAAAATCTTCATCAATACCCCAATCACTTACTTCTGAATTTAGTAGATTAGTGGTTGCATTATTGGTGTTTGATGGTTCCTTGGTGGTTGTGTTGGATGATGATGATGATCTGTATATAAAATTATTCGATAGTGGATTGAATTTATCAAAATTCATTTAGTTTTTAGTTTTCTTAATTTAGATTTCTTGTAAACATGTAAATCAATTTGTGGAGCAAAATGGTATTAAAGAAAGTGAATGATTTAATAAAAATTGGAATTGAAAATAATAAATAAATGATCAGACTATCAATTTATGTCTTGATCTATATCTGTTGATCTATCTTCAGACCAGCTGAATAATCTATAAATTAATAAATATATAAATCAATTTGGTTGTAAAAAAAATATTAAAAATTAATTTGTTTATGGTTTATTATTTTATTTATTTTTTACTTTTTTAATTTTTTAATTTTAATTTTCTGGAGAAAAGTAAAATTAAAATTTAAAAATTCGCATAAACTTACGTATTAAAATTAATGAGACTTCGCTTTAAGTTAGCACGGGTCTGTTTCAAAGTGGTAGTGAGTTTAAATTTAACATGATGGAAATTTATAAAATAAGTCGCGCTAAATTCATAATATAAAGGGTCCACTGAATTCTGTTTCACATGATTTTTCTTAATGAACAATAGAAATTTAATTTGTTTCGTTTATAATTCAAATGTTAGATTAACGATTTAATTTTAAGTTCGAATCTATAAATTATAATTTTCAACAAAGA